TTGAAAACATTATCTTTCGACTTTCGGTACATTCATTCATTGTTCCGTGGCTGATACGGGGGTGAACATTGCAGGGAAAGAGACGGACAGAGCCAATCCGCCGCTGACCCCTGGTCAACCTCAGCCTCCACCTGACACGAGAGGCAACCTCTGTGACGAGAATGGCGCCACGGAAAACGAGACGACTGACAGACCCCTATTTATGATGCAAGTTCAGTACTTCTCCGAAGGAGGCTCCTACGAACTATTCCCGGAGGGCCAAAGAGACCATGACGCTTTACGGAAGAAATATGACACCATTGGAGAAAGGGATTCCGGTTACGATTCGATAGCCCCAGAAGGAGAAGAAAGCGACAAATATCTACCCATGGTGGCAGGACCAGCTCCGGCCTTCAACGCCAATATGCCCTCGATGAACAACTCTATGGTGGCGTCAACGACGTTTGATGAGTCTTCCATGGGTACAGGTACAGCCTTTGACATATTGCCGGAGCAGGACTTTAAACAATGGGATTGGGACCTCGAGCTCTGGAACGAAATATAAGAGACCGGTCAGGTTGGGATGGGGGGGTAAGAATTGAGAGCGGATAGACTGTGCTGGCCAGGGAATTTGGAACGGAGGGTTTGGCTGTTAAAATTGTTACTAAAGGGGTTATCCGTGTGGGCTATCATGCCGTCGGCCTTCTGTGCCTGGATATGCTTCTCGAAGAAAACCGTGTATCAGAGATCTCTGTGGCAACAAGTTCAGATGGAATGTATTTCCCCAACCTGATCTTTGGATAGATAAATCATAAATCAACGGCAGCTAGTTCTACGATCCCCATTCGAGACCTATGTGACCCGTTTATTAGTATCTCCTTGACAGCGGTGAGGAGGAAAGAAAAATAGATGGTATTGCAATTGTCTGTTCAAACTCACACGCCTCACAAAACGTCTTCCGGTTGGGCGACGCAGGGTACATGTCCCGACCGAACGTCTCGTTCAAGGAGACGGCGCCGACAGCTTCGCCAGACTCAAGGCGGATCCACGTGTCGAGCTCGCCCTTGGCCAGCTTATCCTGGCGAAGGAGCAGCTGCCTCGCGCCGCGTTCAAAGTCGCCCGCGCCGCCGTACCCTGTACGCTGACCGAAGCAGATGTTCAAGCCGTCCCCCTCGGGCTGGACCGGGTAGTCGGGAAGCGAGCCCGCCGTCCACTTGTAGCACCACGAGGCTCCGTGGATATGGGCAGTGAAGAGGCCCAGCATGCCGGGCGTCGAAGTCACAGCGCGCATGAAGGGGATATCTTGACCTCCGTAGGCGCAGGTGCCGTTCCGGACACCGTCCGGACAGTAGTGCTGGGCCTGCGCGGTTACATTCATGTCGTTGAGCCCCGGATTGCGGCTGGGGTCGAGACCCGGCCCGACCTGAATGGCTCGGAATGCGTCGAAGGGGATGTGGACAAAGGATACGGAGGGGATGGTCTTGTTGAACTTGGCCGTGATGCGCTCGTTTTCGGCCAGAAACCAGTCCACCACGTCGTGGTCTACCCAATTTGGCCGGTCGATGCGCTTCCCTTCTCCGTCCAATCTTTGGTACTCGAAACCGCTGCGGGAGTCGAAAAACCAGAGGAGCAGCTCCGGCGTGCACCCGCAACCGGTGGGGCAGTCGGCCGCAAAGACCGGGAGGTAGTAGTTGGTCACGCCAACGCGCTGGGGGTCGGGCACCATGGACCGGGTGCGGGAGTTGGGGAATCGCTTCTCGCGGGCGAACATATCCTCGACGGACCGGTTGTAGCCCGGGTCGTGGTTGCCGTGGAGGGTGGCCCATGTCAGGCCGCGGTCCGCCAGAGGCTGGACGGCCTGGTCGATGTACTCGGTCGTGTTGTGGAAGAAGACATTGTCGCGAGAGATGATGTCGCCGTTGATGACCACGAAGTCGGTCTCAGGCTCGTAGTCCAGGAGCTTCGCCACTGTATTCGTCGTCAGGGCATCTCGAATAGGTCCAACCGAGCTGGGCGCTAATACACACGTTTTCGTGTTAGTCCGTCGACGCTAGCGACGCGGGAGCTTGCTGCTTACCCTCTCCGTAATGAAGATCGTCAAGGATGGATATTTGAAAGCTGCCGTCACAGCGGAAAGTCAACGCTTGGTCCGGACCATTGGCACCCTCGAGAGCGAAGACAACCGCTGGGATAGCCAGACCAGAGAGGGCTTTGAACAGCATGAGGCTCGACTTTCCGCGGACCATGGGAGATAAGGAAGATCACTGCGACACATCTTCCAAGAAACGAGACAGGGTTAGGGCTCAGGACGGGTATTATATGCATTCCTTCCTCTCGTGCGTCATGGGCGGTGATGGGCCTAGCCGTTGAGAACTACACGGAAATCGCCCACGTGCTACTCAATGTGGTGCTACTCAGTGTCTTGCCCCGCGGAGGAGGTTCACAGCTCACTTACCCTGGATAGAATCAGGAACAAGGTGATCCACCAAAGCATGCATACAGCCAATGACGACCCGAGCGCAAACAACGTGGACGGTGCCGAGAAGGTCGAAGGCCATATTCTTTGCTGTAAGGCAGAGGCGCCATTGCTGTTGCCCGGTTTGGTGTGGGCCTGCTTATTTCTTGGTCTTTCTTCATTCAATAATGGAGTGCGATCGCGGGCCTAATATTATGGCGATAGTGTTGGGATAAGCAAGCAGAGCACGAAGATCTCTCATATCCGAGTGTAAATAGCTAGGGAAGAGGGCCGGTTTATAGCTGTCAAGGAAGTAGATCAATCCGTGTTTCATGGCCTTGATATGGATATGGTTGAATCGAGTTCGCAGCGATGGTCGCGGTGTGGCAGCGTCGGTTCTGGAGCAAACAAACGTCAGAAAATACTTCATCCCGACGATCCACACAGTTTCTCAGACCAACTCACAGAGTGAGCTACTTCATACTTCCGAGGGTGGATAAGACCGAACGCTCACTCAATACTGTACCTACGTGTGGAGACACCCCGAACGCGTCGCGTCTCACCAAGTCGTACGTGCGCCATGCAACTCTCGCGTTAAAACCCCCACGGGTCGCGTTGCATCATGTCCTGGGACAGGTAAATGACAGGCAATAGGTATCGCCTATCGATGGATCAATGACCGGTCCACTCGTAGAGGAAGAACCGCTGGATCGAGAGAACTCATGGGCGCAGATAAAAGATGGATAAGATACGAGTAGCGTACTTCTGACGACACAGCTCTTCCGCTCCCGGTAGCGCGATTCATCACGCAGCTGATTACGTGAAACGGGAGGGTAAAAGCTGACTCCAGGCCGGCCCACGCAAAGATGCCGAGGGTCAGTCGTATGGGCTGGTTCGGCAGCATCACAACAAACGTTCGTGTTAGTCGGGAAGCGGAGAGAAAGAAGTGCGAGCCAGGCATACTTCGCCATGGAGACTTTTGTTCGCACAATGACCTTCTTGTAATGCCATGAAGATACCGCCTGTCACTTTTTCGAACCTCGTGGCAACACCGGAAGATTGGTTCTTCGGTAGTCTCAAGGCGGAATGGATTGTATTTTCTTTCTTAAAAGAAAAGAAAAAGGGCGACCCCGGCTTTGTGGTCAACAATATGTAGTTGACTTTGTACTGTTCCCGTACGTCCATCCGGTTGGTTTGCTGGGTCGTGGACTTGAGACGCCGGGAAAAAAAGATCCAAGGTTGATTGAGAAGTACCAGGGGGTGCTTGATGAGCTGGCGAGACCGGCAGAGGCCGAAACGACAGGTTCATTTGTTCATATCCCACCCAAGAGTCCCGTTGCTTGGCTCGTTTGAGCCGTGCGGGCGAAAAGGGCAAGCAAGGAGCCAGAGAAGGCTGAATTGAGGGCAGAAACGGGAGTTGCCCTGAGTTTGTGCGCTGCTCTAATTATTTTGTAGATTTCAGCGACACACAGAACTGGGAGGAGAGACTAACAAATCATCGCCCGAACCGTCGTCAACGCAGTGGAGCCACCTGGACAGCGGCCAATGCCCGGGCGGCGCCATCCGGCGAAGCGAATTGACTGGATACGAGCGCGTAGGGAAGGGTAGATTGGCCGGACAATACGGCGCCGATCATGCCACAAGCCGGACACCGGGCATCAAACCATCTTGCACATCCCCGGTGCTATCAGAGATGTAGAGACACGGCAGGGAAAGCAGTGGGACCAACGCCTAGTTAGCTCGTGATTTTGACGATGAAATGACGGCGCCTTTGTCTGTTGCTGTCGAGTGATACGTGTGTGGAGTGGAGATTAAAAGAAATAAAATAAAACTAAAAAGGAAGCAAGAAAAAGATGGTTTGGGGCGAGGTCAGTGAGATAACCGTCACGAGGGTGCATTAGTCACGCTGGGCAGTCCGTTTTACGCGGGGTATTACAGTACTATTATTGTACCTTTATGGTACAGTGAGGATTCGGTGACGATGATCGGTAACGGACGAAGGAGGGCTTTCCGGACTGTTGGGTAAGGTAGGTAGAGCCCCTACCTAAATGGTCACATCCACAGGCAGTCTTGCCCAGAAATACCCCAGACCCCATCACAACTACCTTACCTACTCTGCAATGTCTGATAACGTCGTCAGATGGTGAAAACGTGAAACGTGCTTGTTGAGCTGGTCCTTCTCTGTCGTAACCAAGATGACGTTACCAGGTTGTGTCGAGGCCGGTTGCCACGGCCCTTCCTCATCCTTTTTATCTTATGGAAGTGGCGATGGCTGACGGTTATGGTTATGGTAGGAGCTTCCTTCCGTTGCTTCGCCCTTGTCACCTGTTCCTTCTTCTCCAGCCCGATCCCACCTAGACTTTCCATATTTGGGTACCCGGTCGTCGTCTGAGACAGCACCATCCATCCACAGCGAGACCATCTTTTGGCGCCGACCGTACCTTATAGTACGACCACCACCCATGTAGCTACCTAAGGTAGATACCTCATCGGTACCATCAGGTGGCAGAACGGCCAAGTACTTGGCTGGAGCGGGACGGCAACACGCTCATTCTGCAAAGTCGATCTTGCTCGACACAAACGAGCCGAGGGACGCGCTTCGGATTCTCTGGTAGGGTACATATAATGTCAAGCTGCTCTGTCCTCCGCGTTAAGGTACCTAGTCATCCTAACACCCCGATGTACGAGCCTTCCATCGTATTGGGCCCAGCTACTGGTACCGAGAGGCAGCGTCGATAACAGGTACGAACGGGTCGGACCAGCATTGAGGGTCTCACCACGTATGTCCAAAGTCTTCTTTCCCGAAACATAAACAATGTAGAGTGATATTTATATAGGTACCTACCTAATATTCGCCAGTTCCTGTGCTTTTATGTATTTTCGCTCCACGATGCATGTGATGACGGTCGATGATTGGAGCCCGTGCGACTCCGGGCTGAAGGAGGATACTTCCGCCGACCCTCGGCCGACGGAGATGCCGCCACGATGTACGATGGATTATAGTTTAGAAATGGCGAAACATGCGCACAATCCTTACTTCTTCAAACACGTCAAAGAAACAAAAGATAACTCAAAGCAAAGAAAAAGCTAGAGTATTTTCTTTGCATCCCCTTCTTCCCGGCCGACCGATGCTTTGTGCTTGTCTCGACGCTTCTTTTGAGTGTTGCGGTTGTTGGAAGGGAGAAGAAGGTGGGGACACGTACAGTGCGATTGGAATGAAACGGGCGATCTGCCGACGCGTGCGCGTGAAAGAAGGCAAGGGAGGAAGATGAAGGGAGAGAAACCCGAAAAACCAAAGGAAACAAACCTTGCACAAACAGTTGGGAGGAAAGAGAGATGGGCAGACCAGGAGTTATAATTATATATTGAGAAACACGGGGTATTAATCGGACAACCCCACCAACGCACCCAACGACGAAAATAGAAATAAAGATCAAGATCCACTGACCGACCGGGCGTGGTGATGGATGGAATGGATGGATGCAGGTCCGTTTTGGGAGCCAGCTCTGTTCGATTTTCCTACCCTAGGCCTTTTCTTTTCTACCCTTCATTTGCCGCTCCCTTGTGCGAGCAGGAGGATGCAGAGGTACGAAGAAATGGAGAAACGGGGAAAACGAGAAACACTTCCATCCATCAAACAGTGAAACGAAACAGCGAACATCGTGATCGGTATCGGGACTACGGAGTGCGTTGTAAATAAAGGAAGATCTTTCTCGTACCGTCCCGATTCTTTACACTGTAGTAGTAGCCGCATAGTACCGTGAGTTGACAAAGATTCCGGGACAACTCAAAGTAATCTACTTCGGATATTTTGGAGACATTCTACGTGGACGATCATAATCTGGTGAATCATCTAGTGTTGCCAGCCAAAGTATCGAAGCGCCGGGTCTTTGAAGTGTCCCGAAAATAATGCCCACCCCTGTAACGTGATATACGGTGCGGAAACAGGTGGTACGGAGTACAAAGCCACGCCATTCGCCAGGTCCGTTGCGGCGCGAGTGAGACCAAGATTTTAGGGACTGGTGGACCCACCTGGAGCTCCAGTTCCCGGCACCGTCACCCGACCTGCCCCGTGTCCTAAACCCCCGTCCAGACATTCTTAGCTCTCCAGCGTGTCCAGGTCGTGGCTCCGAGGAAGGAAGGGGGACAAGGAGCCAGCAGCCCGCCCATCTCCCCCAATGTCCTAAAACGTTCCTTGATCCTAATGTTGGACCAGGGCCCCACCCGCCCCCCTAAAGCACCCAGAAGGTCCGCCCGACCGTGTTGCCATTGAGGCTTTCGGGCCCTCGCCGTGCTGCCTTGAACCCCCCAGGCTCCGCCGCCCTCCCCACAAAACTTTTTTTCTCTCTTTTACCTTCGCCCGTCCCCTCCGAGCCCCTACCCTCCGTCCTTTCCCCCCTTCTCTTCTCCTTTCTTCCTCCTTTTTCCCCATCATCTTCCGACCGGCACCTTTCAATCTCACCATCATATCGACCCCATCCGACCCATTCTTCTTCCACCGGGACCACGGAGCCTTGACGGACTTGCGCCGTGAATACCATCGACATACCAGATCAGCATCGTCGTCCTCTGTCCCTGAAAGACTTTTTTGGTTTCCATTCTCCGAAGCTCATCCGGCATCTGTGGACGGCTTCAAATCCCCCCGCGGACCTGCATCTTCCGGGTTCCTCTGCGACTCATTTCATCTCTTTTCGTGTCCATCATCACACTACAATAGCTGCGCGACAGCATAGTCATCCTCGAGCAGAGGGGTGACGCAGAAGCATATCAGTCTTTTTCGTCTCCCCTTTTAACTCGTCGTTCGTTGTCAGAATTTGTCTGCCTCGCCTGGCGACCGGCCTACCTTCCGCAACCGCGATCACTGATCGCCGCCAACCCAACAACCGGACTCAACACTGGCCCACCAGCACATACCCCCCCTCCTCCCTTCAGGCGCCCAGTGCACTCGGAAAAACAGCCTCTTGGCTTGCGGGCCTGAACCCTTTCCCGACTACAGTGGCTGTCCTCCGAATCCTGTTCTCCTAAATTCCAACACGAGGGCAAAAGTTGTGAGCTGACCAACGGAACGGGGCCGACCACCGCTCCCATTAGCTCCGGCATCAACGACCCCGCAGCGCCCGTCTTCTTTTTCTTTCTTCTCTCCGGTCTATTTTATTGCTCCCTTTCCTCCCCCACTCCCTCTTCAACCATCCCTTCCGTCCATTTTGGTCCCTCTCCATTGACGGAGTTGCGTTGCCTTTGCGACTTTACTTTCTTTCCCTCGCGTACTTGGATTCGACCTCGCTCGCTTTGACGAGTAACCATTCTCAGCTCGCCACCACGCCCACACGCGCGCGCATTTTCTTGTCGCCAAAAAACCGCACACGCATTCTCAATCCTTGACCATGACCGGTGCCGTCCGGTCCACCGCCCTCAGGGCTGGTGGTGCCTGTGTGCGCTGTCGCAAGGGCAAGACGAAGTGTGTGTACGAAAATGGTCGCGCCCCTTGCAAGAATTGCGCAAAAGGCCTGCACCAATGCTACCTCCCTTCCGACTCCATGGCCGGCGCTACGGCTTCCCGACACACGGTGCATCGCCCAGCGAGGGAGAGTCTCCCTGCGACTGGGGGGACTTCGAGTGACCCTCGCGCCGCGAATCCGGCATCGGTCTCCCGCCACATCCAACCCCCAGCCGGCGATAAGTGAGTTTTTATCTTTTCTTATTTTCTTTGTTTAATTTTCCATTTTTTTCTTCAACTTTTTTTTCTTTTTTTCTTTTTACGATTTTGGTTTGCCATTCTGTGTGCGCCAGTTTGGTCATAACACATCTCCTCTATCCACCCCCTTGCCGGCTTCCGCCTCGTGCTCTCACTCGCTCATCTTTCCCCCGTGGCGCCGCCCCGACCAAGGCGCCGCCCACCTCCATCAAGAAACCCCCCTTGTTCTACATCCATGCGCATAATTCTCGACCCTTCCCGGCCATGTTCCAAATTTCTCTCCGCTCCCCACATGGGCAGACCCTATTGGTGGTCGCGGCCCTAGGCTTCCGAAGCCTCCGTGCCCGTGCCACGAGCGAACGACCGCGCCACCACCGCCAGCCAACGCGCTAACCACCTCATCTCCACAGACTTACACCCGAGCTTCTTCAAGAATGCGAACGCGTCGTTTCCAAGACGTATCCGGCTTCGGAAGCTTTCCACAAGCCGACCTTCGTCCAACAACTCAAGAACTCCTCTCTTGAACCAGCGCTCGTGTATGCGCTCCTGACATGTGCTTCCCGGTAAGTACTCCGAGGCCTTGTTTTTTATTCGTTCATCATGAACGTGGCGGCAATCGCCTCCCCTCCCCTCCCTCCCTTGTCCCTAAGGTACCTTTCCACGGATACCTTTTCGCCGGGGCTTCATCCGAAGCCTACCACCTCTCCGACCCACTTTTCCGCTCCCGCTCATTGGGGTGGGTAACTGGTACGGGGTACTTCGACTAACCCCGAATTCGGTGTACAGGAGTTCACCGGCACTCATCCGTCGCTACGGCAATCAATCAGGAGCCACCGGAGCGGCCGAGCACTTCGCCAGCAAGGCGATGAGCATCATCATTCACAACATGGATGCTCCGTCCCTGGCCGACCTCCAGGCCATCTGCCTGATCATCATCCACGAATGGGGCTCTCGCAATGCCGTTCGTGCTTACATTTACCTCGGCCAGGCCAGCCGCATGCTCCAGATGTACCGGGTCCTCCACAGCCACCATGTTGGTGATCACGGCAATACCGACCGGTTCCTTGAGGATGAGTCGTTCCGTCGCGTCCTTTGGCTGCTCTACATCCTCGATTGCCTCCTGACCAGCCATCCCGGTCGTCAGCCGGCTCTCTCTGTGGCCGACACGCTGGATGTCTCTCTGCCCTGTTTGGACATGAACTTCGCCTTTGGAAATGCCGTGTTCGTCAAGACGCTGGACTTGAGCAAGCCTCGACACATGCCCCCTGACGCCCAGGTCGACGTGGTGGGTGAGTTTGGCCACATCGTTCTGGCTACGCGCATCTGGCGCGACGTCGTCCAGATGCTCTTGTCGCCCGAACCGTTCAGCGAGGACACTTGCGCCCAACTCGTGGCCGCCATTGAGAAGTTGCGGCATTCGCTGCCTATGCAGTACACCGAGAAGCCCGGGCAGATCAACCTGCACATCACCATGGGTTCCGGCTTCACGTACGCCATGCTCCATTGCATGCTCCACTGCGCATGCATCTTCATCCACCGCCGTCGCCTGCTGCACTACGTCACGGCCCACGACTTTAACATCGAGACGTGGCGTCTCACGCCGGAGTGCCACGAGATCGTCGGCCACCTTTTCACCTCATGCCACGCCATCATCGCGTTGCTTTCGGCTCTCGACGCCGGATCCGACAAGGAGTCGATTCTGTGCTATCCGATCGCCATGCTCTTCTCGGCCTTCACGGCCAGCGCCACGGTGGCCTACCTGTCCCTGAAGGGCCTCACGCCGCAGAATACCTGTGAGACGGCGAGCAGCCTCGTTCGCGACGGGCTCCGGTTCATGCAGGACGGCGTCAATACTTGGCCCCTCATCAGCTCGTGGCTGCGCCATCTCACGGTGATGCACCGTGTCTTGGACAACGACAGCATCCCGCGTGTGGCCCCCGGTGGAGGAGGAGGAGGCGGCGGGGATGGGGTACACGCGTCGTCGTCGTCGTCGTCGTCGGTGAAGGACGATGTCGCGTCCAACGCGGACTCGAACCAGGCCGATACCTCCATGGACTACGAGCATGGGGCGGACATGCACAAGCACCCGTCCAACAGCGAGAGCGGGCGTGATAGCGAGCCGCCCGCCCCGGCACCCCGCCGACCCGGCGTGACGACCATTAACGGCGGGTCCGGCGGGATCGGCACGCCGGCGGCTACTACCAGCCCGCCTCCCGTGCAGACGGAGGTGAAGCGCTCCCCGGAGTCGGTGCACGGCCAGCCGGTTGTGAGTAACGGACACGACCAGGGCGGCGTCGACCGGCCCGTGCCTCCCGCTCCGCAGGATATGACGGCTTTGGAGCTTTGCGTTGCTTTTGAGCGACAGCTGCTCGAGCTGGATGACCTTGCTGCGTTTATGGGTGGTGGTGTCTAAATGTGGCCTAATATCTGAGAGTCCTTTTTTCTTGTGTGGTTTGGACTGCAGTTTTCCTTGGCCTTTGTACTACTATCTTCCGACGGTTCGGCGTGGTGCTGATCAGACTGGATTTGGGGTGTTCTATTGCGGCAGCGTGGGCCGCGACCTGCAAGCCAAACACGCAACCGGTGCGGTGTCGCTTGACAGCTGCCTTGAGTGGCGATGAGTTGACTGTTTTTGCAGTGTGACGTTGGCTGCCTTTTATTGTTTGCGTGGTATTCAGATGGGGTTCTGGTCGTTGTCTTTTTGATTTTTTAACATGGCGTTGAGGCTGGAAATGAGATCAGTATGAGGCTGGATAAGCCCAACTCGGTTGGGAAAGATCGGATCAGGGCCGACGTGGGCTTTTTTTCTTTTCATTTCTTTTTTTTTTTCCTTTTCTCCTGCTTTGGTTCGTTTCACTCTTTTTCTTTTCTTTTTTCTTTTATTCCATGCCTTCCTCCTCTCATTTTCGGCGCCATGGTTGATTGACCGGATGGAAGACTTGGTCCCGCAGTGTAAGGGGATGCAGCGAGAGTGTCACTATGCGTTGAATGTGCTCAGGTTGCGTGATATGGCGTTGAGGACGGGGCCGTTCACTCTCAGTAACCGCACTGACTGTGCGGTTGTAATATTGTATGATGATATTCAGTTATGCCAGACAAAGAAGGTCTCGCCGGTTACGGTCTCAGACTCTCCGTTTCCTCCTACAAGTTTTGGTCGTACGGAGTACGGGTTTGCGTCTATCCCCCGGGGTCTGGGACTCTTCTAGGTAACTCTGATAGGAGAATGAGAGAAGGGAAGTGAGAATTGTGGTATAATTCGTGTTTTTCTTCCCTCGCAGAACCATATGTACTTCTTGCCATCTTATATACTCAAGTCTCTGACTTGTATGTCGGCAAGTCATTACTCAATACTCATAACTACTGAAAATATAGACAGGTTGAAGCGAAGTAGAGTCAAGAGGCCTCCAGATGCCATATACATACCGTGATAAATTCCATCACACACACACACCCCACAGGTCCTCTGACTGGCGCGGTCATTTCATCGCGGAGCGCAACTCCTCCGGAACAGACCCCGACTAACAAGTGATAGGCCGAGGACCCGGAGCCTGGTAGGGCCGGAAGTTGTTATCAGGCCGGCCGCTGTTTCCGTAGATCATGATCTGGATGGCCGGGTCGGCAGCATCGTACACGCCGGGGATGGCGACGGTGTCGTTCGGGACGAAATCCCCCCCGGCGGTGACGCGGAGGTTCGCGCACGAGGTGTAGAACTGGGCGCCGCCGCGGCCGTAGGCGGAGTGGAGAGCGAGCAGCTCGACGCGGAGGAGGTAGTCGCCGGGGGCGATGCAGCGGGGCAGGTCGAAGTAGAACCAGCCGTCCTGGTCGAGGAGGTTGTCGACGCCCCAGCGGCCGGTCGACGTGTCGAAGTTGTCCTCGGCGACCTTGAACCACTCGAGCCCCTGGACGGGGGCGTTGGCGGCGTCGTCGACGCGGGCGAGCCAGGCGGTGAGGGGGCCCTTGTGCGAGGCCGCGATGGGGTTGTCCGGGTCGCCGGGGTACTGGGCGCCGCCGATGACGTGTTGGTACCAGGCGCCGATGGAGTCGCCGGCCTCGACCTCGATGACGTCCCGTGAGACGCGGGTGACGAGACCGCAGGTGAGGTCGGGGGAGTTTACGTTCTCGACGGGGTTGTTGGAGCCCGGGGCGCGGAGGCCGGAGAGGAGGGGGGCTTCCTCGCCGTTTACGGAGATGACCTGGGTGCAGGAGATGGGTTGTTAGTGCCCGATTTCTTGGACCTTGGCTGTGGAATAGGGGGATAGGGGGATAGGGGGATAGGGGGTTTCAGGTACCTGGAAGATGGCATGGCCATGAGCCAGGGCGGCAAAGCCGAGAGCTGAAGCGGCGGCGTACTTCATGGTTGTGGTCGTGATCGGAGGGGGAAAATATGGGCAGATCCTGGAGGTTGACGAGGATAGAGAGACAAGGACAGCTTCCGACCTTCGGGGAGAGAACAGGTCGAGGCCCTTAAGTAGTCGCGACACAGACAGCGACATGAGGTTGCATCTCAGGGACAGGCCAGCAGAATGTCACGCAAACCCCCTTTCGGAGGACTGATGTCGACGTTCCGTCGAAATTGGGCCCCCATACAGTGTACAAGTACAGGATGGGTGGATGGAACCCTCCCCTCCCCCTCATTGCGATGCATTTTTTGGAAGCGAACGACCCCACGCCGGCATGCTCTGAACCGGCAGCGAATGAAGACCCTGGTCTTTGAATAGCCAAGCTGGTTTAAGTTTGGTTCCCCAGAGTCCAGATATTGCGGGATATTCATATAGTGTTATATGACGACGGGCTTCCTGTTCTGTAAGAACTGCGTTAGTCGTCATTGGCTTCAGAAATCAAGAATCAAGCCAACCTGGGGAACAGTCTGCATCTTCTATTTGTGGGAGTTTTTCTAACACATGTAGGCTGAGAGTCAAGCGTCATCTGGGATGGTTGGCGTTTGAGAATAAGCACAGGGACATCATATGAGGCCCCCAAGAGCTCAGATATCTGAACTATCATTACATCCACAAGATTCTGGCATGACCTCATCTGTTCTATCTGAGATGAGCAGGCTTCTGGCTCTGGCCGAAGAAACGAGAGCCTCTGAGATCACATTCAGGGTTACGGGTAACATGAAGGCTAGGGAGGAGGCCGGGGAGTTCACGATGCAAGAAACGGCAGTGAGAAGAAGATTTCCCCGAGTGGCTGGTCCGCGATGCCAGGAACCCGGGGGATCATCGGGTTTGAAAATCGTCCAACGCGAGCTTGGTTACAAGAAAGGAGATCGCTTCCGCATTGAGAACGGAAGAGGAAGACAGTGTGGTATTGCAGGCGGAACAAAGGGAAGGGAATTCCGAAGCTGGTGCCCCCTTTCGTTTTTGGCCTTTCGCCTTTCGCCTTTCCTTTCGACCCCCACCTCCAACAGAGGATCACGAGGAGATGGGTCAGGTCGAAACATTTGACAGCAAACTGACAGGACTCCGGATAGCAGATTGCGGAATACTTGATGGTCCAGAGTTCTATTTTCGATGTAGACGGGGTGGTAAAGTGGTCCTGTAGTATAAAATAGGCATTATACTGTAGTAGCAGTCACATCATAATAACCTGGCATCTAAGTGGTAACTGAAGCTGGCCCGCTTTATTTATCGACACTTCTTAGCAGCCTGGCGTTTCGTACTATTACTATAGCACGGACCCGTTTTACGGCATTTAGCGGTATTTTTCGGGCGACTTACTCTTATAGTATATAGCTCTATAAATTTTAAAAATTTCTATACTTTTATTATATACAGGATTTATAGTAAATAGCGTTATATTTAATTAAGGGCGTTCCGTGCGGATCTTTTCTTATTTTAACGGCTAGACTATACTACCGTGTAGTATTACTCTTATATCCCCCGGCCCCCGTAAATAAAGCTTTACCTACGCCGTTAAATATTATATCGCGCTATTAAGATAGTTAGCTAACCTATTAATCCGGAGCCGCGGGCTTACGGTAGTTACTATACCGTTAAGCCGTTTTCTGATTTTAGGTATTATCCGCGGGCACGGTATATTTACGCCACCTATATACTATATCGTGCTACGAACGCAGCTAACCAAAACGCCTGTTAAGCCGCCCGTAATACGTTATATACAGGTTCTACGGCTCCCGCACTACCCGTTTTAATAGGCTACCCTCCTCCTACGCCTTCTCCTCCTACGCCTCCTCCTCCTACGCCTCCTCCTCCTACGCTTCCTCCTCCTCCTCCCGTTTTAACCGGCTAAGGAGGAGGGCGGCTATATAGGCGACGCCGTTATACCCTTATAGCGTAACGCTTTACGGTCCACTCCGGGTTATTATTACTTAGCCTATCACCGTTACCTTATAATAGCCGCTTTTCCCATGCGCCGTAATAGTATACCGTATAATACCTATACCGATTACCGTAACGGCAGGGCGAATGGCAGAATAGCTATTACTACTAGCTAGCGCCTCGCGAACTATACCCGCTGTTAAGAGCGTTTAGACTATTCCGGGCCGCTAAGGTAGTATTAGCCGTGTATTACGGTCGATTACTATAATCTCGGACTAATATGCGTAGAGTATAAGTATTACGCTACGCTTTATTATATTAGGGAGAAGTTATAAGTTAGTTAACTATCCCGCGTTATTAGCCGTTATCTAACCGCTATTATCTTCTATTACTTAGGAATTATCGCCTATAAACCCGAAATTTAGCACCTATTATAACTAGAGCGACGTCGACATTCCCGTTATCTCCCTATTACCCGACTTCTTCTAACGCCTACTATATGCGGATACCGTCTAAGCCACGGATTATCGTAAAAGGATCCGTTAATATAATAATACCTTTACGTTTACTTCTATATAATATACAGAGACCCGTTAAGGTGCCGCTGCCGGTAGCGTAATAGTTTTCTAGATCCACGGTACTCTTTACTATTATACGGGGCCGTTAAGTGCTATAAGCTAACTCCCCGCCTTTACCTAGCTCTACTTTTACGATCTATAGGCTACCGCCGACTAACGCCTTATAAATACCTAAAGCCTTAACTCCACGCTTAACCGTTATATCCTTGGGGAGATTTCGGACTTCCTACACGAGTATAACCCTTTCGTCGACCTATATAAAACGGCCCGCGAATAGTTTAACTCCCTCCGTGAATAATGCCGTATAATACTTAACCCCTGTATAGAATTAGTTATTAAGCAGGGCGCCGATATACGACGCGAGAATCTACCCGTTATAGATAAGGTTACGGCTATTATACCGGATAAGTAGGGTGAATATTATTATAGGGATATTATTATCGTAGAGAGACGGTCTAACGGTAGCGTTAACGGCCTTAGGCGGATAGACTACGAGTATCCTGCCTATCTACCGTTATCTTACCCGCTTATATATCCGCGAGGCGGTTCCGGATATTACTAGCAGTTATACTTATAGGATATTTATAACTATTAGCGGCAGAATACCAAGATAAAGTTCCGTTAATTCTGCCGGTATATACTATACCTATAACACTAGCAGAGGTTCGTGCCCTTTACCTATAGCCGTCTTTTCTAGTAGTTTTTAGTAGACCTATAGGTATCCTGCGATTAGAAGAAGCTTTTATAGATCTAGTAGCACTAGAACTAGTTACGGGCTAACGTATATAACGGCTTACGGGATTAGGCGTATAAGGCTAACGGCGATACCCGTAGTATTAGCCGACGGATTATCTTACCGTTATATTATATTAGCGGCTAGCGGTTTATTTTATAGTGCTATTAGAATTCTATAGTAATTATACGGGCTCTCGGTACTCTAACCTTTTATATTACCTTTACGGCTAATCCTACCTAGCCAGAGATTATACAAGAGCTTTAGCCAGCTTAGACTATTAATGACCGGCCCGATTTAGTCGGCCGTGTATTCGAGTTAAAGTCCCGCGACCTAGAATAATAGCTACGCGATAGTCTATTTAGTAAGTTTACGGGGATTATATAGACCGTGGAATACTAGAAGCGTAGTCTTTTACACCGTTATATCCTTCTTTTCTTTACGCCGCGGGCGGCCGAGATATATAAGGACCCCGTAACTATCGATAAGGTTATCTCTACGGAGCTACTAAACCGCGAGTCGGATCCTACTAGCCGTCTTTTTAATATTATTAGTAAGAATATAATATATAGTCCTTACGGTAATAATAAGCCTTCTACGCCGTGTATATAGCTATAGCCTAGCGATAAGAACCGTATAAAGTGCTCTAAGCGGTTCCCTAAGCCGTACTGTCTAGAGACGACTATACGGGAGGATAGTTATCCCGAATATAGGCACCGTAACTCTAGCCTGTATATTATAAAAAGAGGCCGCGCGGGAGAGGTCCCCCTTAATAACCGTTTTATTATTCCCTAGAGCCTATATCTCTGCCTCCGCTATAAATGCCTATATTAACGTTAAGATTTACGGATCTATTAAGGTAAGTTATCTTCTCCTATATATCTGCCTCCGTTATAGCGTATATACTAACGTTATCTTTTACGAATTTATTTAGGCGATTAAGTACGTCTATAAATACGTTTATAAGGGCACTAACCGCACGACTACGTGTATATCGGGCAAAGAGGGCGAGGACGAGGTTAATATCTATCTCTAGAGCCGCTATATTAGTCCTGTAGAGGCCGTTATTTAGTTATTCGAGTTCCCCGTGCACCGTGAGTATCCGCCCGTTATACGTCTTCCGGTTCACCTTAAGGGATAATAGCCTATATACTTCGGCGATAATATAACCGTAAGCTAAATTAAGCGTATATTATAGGAGCGAAAGACTTAGCTAATAGCCGTTTTCGACTATAACCGTAATAACGCTAATAGCCGCGAGTTATTCTATTACTAGTTTCCTAGCCGTTATACGTGGAAACCGTAGCAGTTTACTTAGTAGCCGAGGCAGCGTGGATTTTAAATCGGCCGTCTACGGTATATACTCCTAACGGCTAGAAAGGCGTACTATTTACGGTTACTCTTAGTCTCTGTTAAAGGGCCGACTTCCTTTACTAACCTTTATACCGTGGAGGGGACTATCTATAATACCTACCGCGAGGCCTGCATTACGGCCGGCCTTCTACACGATAACTATTACTAGGTTACCTATTTTAAGGAGGCCGTTCTTTAAAAGACCGGGCGTGCATTACGGGAGCTATTTATCGTCGCTCTAATACACGGGGATATTTCCGGTCTAGTATCGATCTAGGAGAGGTTTACGGAGTCTATATACGATAACCTGTCTTACACGTTATAACGCTAATACTTCCGATATCCTGCCGATCTAAAACGCCCGTATATCGATTATAGCCTTTATCTTATATACTCGCGGCTCCTTGAGGTAAGCAGGACTATTACGGAGTTTAGGCTACCCGCGCCTTTACACGACTAACACCGTACAACCGGTAATATATTATTAATTACGGAGACTTACGATCGCGATACCTAGGCTACGGTATATAAAGATATCTACTATCGGTTTAACTAGAGCCAGGCTACGGTGTTTAGCCAGGTTATAGCTACTATTAAATCTTATAGCCGCGGCGCCCGTTTCTTTTTATAGGGCCCCGGCGGTATAGGGAAGATATTCGTATACCGTGGTCTTTACGCGTATTTCCGGTCACGCGGGCAGATTATACTCTATATAGTATCCTCTAGCATCGCGGACGTTTTTCTTAAGGGTGGCTATATAGTCTATTCGCGGTTTAAGATCCCCTTATAGGTTAATAACGCCTCGACCTATAACGTACTAAAGAATTCGGACCTTATAGCGTTACTATAGGAGACGGTTCTTATTATCTAGGACGAGGTTCCTATATAGTATAAATTCTGTTTCGAGGCCGTTAATCGTATATTACGGGATATACTAAGCTATAACGATTACCTCTTTAGCAGTATTCCGGTTATCTTCGGGGGCGATTTTACCTAAATCCTACCTATTATTCGTAATAGTAGTCGGGCGTAGATTATATACGCCTACTTCTAGCGGTCCTCTATCTAGCCGTAACTTAGTATTCTTTACTTAACGGAGAATATGCGGGTTACCTCTACCGACCCCGATAATCGGGCGTTTATCTAATAGTTATAGGACCTCTCCTATAATACCGCTCTTCATGGGTTAATCGACCTTTTCCCTGCTATCACGGTTATTTACGAAATTATCTATTTATACGGGCGTATTTACCCGACTACCTTACTAAAGCAGGCCCCGTTAGACTATATAGTCTTCGTTAACCGCGTTATTCTAATAATATATAATACCACTATCACGGAGATTAACGGGCAGATACTCAGGCGACTACCTGGCTAATCACGCGTTTACTAGGCCGAGAATTCGGTCGCTAATTGGGTAAAAGATACTAACGGTCCTACGCCGGAACTAGTATTAGAGTTTTTAATATAGTTAGAGTTCGCCTCTATCCCGCCCGCACGGCTTAAGCTAAAGGTCGGTGCGCCCGTTATACTTATATGGAACCTTAGCCCGTAGCAGAGATTATATAACGGCACGCGTATAGTTATTTTACGGATAGCGCGTAATATGCTAGAGGTTAAGGTGCTATCCGGAATACACACTAACGAGGTAGTATTTATCCCCTATATCTATTTAGATTCTAATAAGGAGGACTACCCGTATATTATCTGGCGCCGTTAACTCCTATTACGGCTTTATTTCGCGATAACGATTAATAAGTTATAAGGGTAATCGTTTAGTACGGTCGGCGTGGATTTCCGGTAGCACACCTTTATACACGGTTAGTTTTACGTTACCGTATTAAGAGATACGGATATTAGGAACCTATTAGTATTATTACCGGCGTAGGAGGGTTAGGCGGTATAGAATAGCAGGCGTATATCTAATATTATATACCTAGAGGTCTTAATTTAAATATTCTAATAGTTACTTTACGGGGGCACGATATTAATAGTTATAATTATAGTCGTAGTATTCGTAGTTAGGATTCCTTATTATATAGCGTATAGTATAGGCGGGATAAAGTAAATTAACTATATCCGAGCCACGAATACCTAAAAGCAAAAGTAAAAAAATAACCGTAAATCCTCTATAAAGTAAAAAAAAAATATAAAAAAATATAAATAAAAACCCTAGTAGTAAACCCGCGACCGTGCTGCTTTAACGCTTTACGGCCGGGATACTATTCTTTAGAGCCGAGATAATATTCTTATAGAACTATATTATATCTTTTTTTTACGCCGTTATCATACCCGTAGGGAGTAGGACGCCTAGCACTTTAACGTTACCGAAAGTAACGGGCGCGGGCGTAGGCGCGGCAAAAGGGGCGGTAAAGCAGGCGGTAAAGGGGGGGGTGGAGGGAGTATACGTTACGGGCGGCGCTACGGTATTAATAGGGGGGGGCGCGGGTATTACGGTTATTCTAGACGGGCTAGCTATAGTAGCGGGAAGGGGGGGAGGGGGGGGCGCGGCAGTTATAGTCTTCTTAGCCTTCTTTAATAAAAGCGTAGGAGTTCCTATAGTATTATAAATCTATTAGTTAGTATAGGAAAACGAATATTACGGCTATTTCCGGCTTACCTATAAGCGCGGTATACTTCTTCCCTTTAAAAAGAGGCGGGAGTAGCGGGAGGGGGGGGGGCGGGAGCGGCGGGGTTAGCGGCGGTAGGAGTGCTATTAGCGGTAGCGGCGGCGCGGAACGAATACTTACTACCCTCGGAATTAAAATAGCAGTTACTATAACTGCCGTTAACGATATTAAGGACCGTAAAGCACTTTATAAATAGTCCGTCTTTATTACTATAATACTTATAGTCTTAGATATTACCGACTAGGGTTATTATAATAGCCTCGCGGTTAGCCGTGCGGTTAAGGTTAAGGTTTTTATCCTTATATAGTATAAGGTCCTGTTTAACCTATTTACGGTAACCGTTAACGCGTGGAATAATAGTTAAGTAGTAATTAATAATATACCCGAAGGCCGCGTATAGTTATTAACGCCTTAGAGTCTTTATAGGCGGCGTTATAAATAAGGTTAATTCCCTTTATACGGGCGACCGTATAATTATCCTTTATAGGTATCGTCTTCTAAACGTGGTTACTAAAGGAGGAGGGAGGCTAGCGGGAAGGAGGCTATCAGGAAGGAGGCTAATAGGAGGGAGGGCTAACGGGCGGGAGGGCTATTAGCGGGCAGGTCGTTAGCGGGCGGGTTATCGGCGTGCGGGTCGAATAGGCTATACGCGCGGGAGGGGGTACTATCCGGGAAAAACAGTTTATACAGGAATTCTTCTTCTTCTCCTATAATAGGAGCGTTAAAGGGCGAGGGCGACTATGAGTCCCGCGAGCTAATAGGGGAATCGGATAGTACGGGCGGTATACTATAGATAGCGGTTAGTATTATCGCTTTTTATAGGGTTAACGCGTCTATTTATACCTATAACTTACCTAACGGCGAAGCTTCTACTGACCAGAAGCGGATGAGAAGGAGGGGAGTTAAAAGAATCGAAAGAAAATAGTTACTTAGTAGCGATATAAGGGATAATAACGATCGATTAATTAATTAACGGCTTTACTTCTATAAATAAGCACGTTTAGTATAATAAAGGGAGAACTATTGTATCGCGATACTAAAAAAACCGTAATAAAAAAGTCGTCATAATATAGAAAATAGTAAATAGCAGTAAAATAACAGGAGGTAGGCGTTTAACGGTTATTTTCGGTTATTTTTCGGTTATTTAATTATAGCGGGGCAGGTCATATAATAAGCCCCCCCCCCTAAGGGGGGGGGGGGGGGGCGGGCCTCCCGCAGGGACGAGCTTTACGGCGTTGCCCGTAGGGCAACCTGCTAAGCTCGTCACAGCTATTCTCATAAGGGCCCTTAGGGCAACGACGAGTATGCCAACTCATAGACAACCTGAGGTGTGGCATGGAGTTGTGGTAACTTATAATAAATCGCCTTGGAGAGTAGTTATGCATTATGATATGGCGAAGTGGCAAATGACAGGAAGGACAAGCAAGGTTTTAGTCGGAGGGATCAAGATAAAGGCGAGTGAAGGGAAATAAATGTTGCTGTGAGGTGAGACTGCCTGGATGACTGTCTGGGAAAAGATGAAAGGAAAACAGGAAAGCGGTAAGTAAGATAAGATGCAGTAATGGTGAGATGTGAGATGAGTAAACGGGCCGAAATGAGAAGGCGAAGCAGAAAAAAAGAAAAGAAAAAAAAAAGAAAAAGGGTGTGACGCATTAATAATCGCACCATGGCACAATGTATATTGTTCCGAGTCCATTGTCTTGTTGGGATCTCACTGTCTCTCGGTCAGTGAGTCCCGAGTATGGTCTTTCAGATGAGTTGTTGCATTCCTCGTTCCATCCGTCCTTTTCCAACCCAGTTTCACATTAAATCACCAGCCCTTATAAAACAGGGTTGAAAAAATTCGTAATGAGAGCTGAGAGCCGTCGTAATAACGATACAGACTGTTTGCTGGTCGGGTAGCCCGTGGGATGACTAAAGGGCGACTTGCATCTTCATGACGTCGTGCATTCGACCAAGCGTTCGAAAGTCCCCTACGAAACAGAGGGAAAAGATCTTCCTGGCCCACTCCTTTCCGTTGATGCCGCTACGTGTACGTGTAGCATGGAGGATAAGCTCACACGTGTTCGTCGTCGAGATACGACCAAACTAGAGGTGACGGTCTTTTTAAGCGTCCTACTCATTCTCTCGTTTCTCGTGTTTGAGTATTTCTCAGGACGGGACTAGCCGTGAGGTGAAAATGGCCGCAGATACAAAGTACGGATATATGCTACTTTGTACGAAGTATAGGTACGAAGTAAATTCCCACGCGACTTGCGTCACTATGATTGTTTTTATAATTTGGACATTTTTTTTTTCTTTTCTTTTTTCGTTTCTTTTTCAGACAGGGACAAAAGGGCAAGGTACGAGTCAGGATCTGCCGCTTGTCTCATCAAGTCAGCTACCGACCCGACACAATGAAAATGTCTTAGTCCGTTGGGTTTCACAGCGGCTATCTCCGCCTCTTAGAACGAAATAACGACACGGCGTCGGTAGAATGTCGGCCATTGAATACGAAGCACTTGTGGGAAAAGAAGAGGAAAATGGAAATAGGGCAGTAACAAGAAAGAAAAAAAAAAAGGGGGGGGGGGGAAAAGAAAAAAGGAAAACCGCTACATGGGGTGGAAAACTTGTGGGCCATCCGGTCCAGGGCTTAGCGACTTGGACCGGTTGTCACACGTTTGGGTGGCTAACCGTTCCTCTTGACCCTTCGTAATTTTATCGCTGGGTGTTTCCAGAACAGCCGGCCTGTTTCCTAGTGTCGACGGCGGGAGTGCCAACGACAGATGACACATGGGGATTGTACGTTGTACATACGTCCACTGCCGGCATACCGAGGATCGGAGAATCTGCAAGGTGTAAGTGTACGGAGTCATGACTGTGGAAAGTGCGTAATTAGGTATTTGAAAGCCCGCAGAGGCCCTTTTTTTCTTTTCTTTTTCTTTTTCTTTTTCTTTTTCTTTTTCTTTTTCTTTTTTAGCCCAACTGTTTTCCCGTCTGAATATGAAGACCATCGATCGGCAAGGTGGTACGGATACTGATACATTGGCTGCATGTGCAGCAAGTTGTGCTACTTTGCAATTTAACTTTGACTCTGTACGTGTCCTTCGACTCTGTACGTGTCTTCAGGGCGAGGTAAGGGGGAAGCTCGTAGTAGTACTTCGTCGAAGAAGTTTATTAGGTAATGAGCTGGCAGGAATATGGGATTGAGATGGAGGAGTACCGAGTAAAAAGGAAGGAAAAGGAAGAGGCCGGTCAGTTTACAACGTATCGGTTTGTTCGTTTGCCTACCTTCGTTCTATAAAGTATTGGGTAGAGGTACGTTGTCTGTGTTCCGGTACAGTACCGAGGACTTGGACCTACTCGGCCTGCACTAGTAATTGCGAAGTGCTATATACGGATCCTACGGAGTGCAAAGTACGAGTACCTGATGGATGATGGCTGGCTGGACCCAAAATGTCACATTTTGCACGTGTTGGACACAACAACAACCGCAGCCCAACCGCCCATTCCCCCTGACTAATCCCCTTTCAGCCTAGCGCATACCACTTTGCCCAGGATCCGGGAGGATGAAGATGAGGATCAGGATCACAGGTCGATCAAGAAGAGAAGGGCAGTTCAGTTATCGTCCCTTGCCTCTCTTCTCTCTGTTATGATTCTGCTTCCCTCGGGAGTCTCCCCTTTACATTGTGTGTTGTTCTTGTTCGTCATCGACCCATCATCGTCACTGGAGATCCCATCCCGGCAAACCCTGTTTCTCATCAGACTAAAAAGACATCCCTACCCTGTCCATGCGTGGACGGGCGAACGTATCGTGGCCAGGCCAGAGTGGAATCGACCCAGACACCTGCATGTCGGTGGGGATCTTGGTTGAGGACGTGGCCCTTGGTGGTCCCTCGTATCTTTTCCCTGTTCCCTGACTGGTCGCGAGGCACCCTTGCTCGCCGGCCCCCCCTTTCGTCCTCGCCTCCTCTTCCCGCTCCACTTGCTAAGCGCAGAGGAGCCCAGATTTGCCCGGTAAATCAAGGCATCAACATCGACGTTGTGTGGTCTGGTTCACCATTATGGCTGGGTCCTTGCGCCAAAAGGCAAGGTCAGGGCTTCGGCCTTGCCCTTGGCCCTACCACGTCCCCCCCGGTCGTGCACATCGATGCCGGTTGGCCTCCTCCTCTCTTAAGTAGGCCGGGCCCTCGTTCATCGCGACCTGAATGCCAAGTCTCGGGCTTTCACCCTTTTTCTCTCTTTCTCTCTCTTCTCGTTGTTCTCCGTTTTCACTCGCTCTCTGCAAGTCAGTCCTTCGTTTTTTTCCCTTCTTTTCTTTGCCACATTCTTTCGCGAATTTAAACCTGTCGCTTTTTTGATACCATCAGGAGAACAACTAGAAACCGAGAAACGAAACAAATTACCCCTTCACAAAAATGCGTGCTGTTCTATTGGGCTTGAGCGCCCTCACCGTCGCCGTCCAGGCGACCGAGTGGCCCTACTGCGTATGCTGAAACCCGTCCCCCTTCCTCTCCTTACCCCCTTACCCTGACCCGTCGTCTAACAGTAGCCCTCTTAGGAAACCGACAACTGCTACCGCAACCTGGTCGACGACCGCTACATCGACCAGGCCGAAGCCTTCTGCCCCGAGTTCCTCGCCGGCACCACCACCGCCCCCGAGGCCATCCCTACCGACTTCGGTAACTGCAACGAGGACGTCTACCGCGTGTCCTCCGCCTGCTCTTGCATCACCTACTGGGCCACCCACACCAGCGAGGTCCCCGTCAGCACCGAGGCGCCGCCCGCTCCTTCCAGCACCGAGGACTGCGAGTCTACCGTCAGCGATGAGCTTCCTCTTCCCACGAGCGAGGCTCCCGTCCCGTCCAGCGAGGCCCCTCTTCCCTCCAGCGAGGCCCCTCTTCCCTCCAGCGAGGCTCCTCTTCCCTCCAGCGAGGCCCCTCTTCCGTCTAGCGAGGCTCCTCTTCCCTCCTCTTCGGAGGAAGTCTCTCCCAGCAGCGACGTTCCGGCACCGTCTTCCACCGAGGACTGCGAGTCCACTGTCTCGAGCGGCTATCCCGTCTATCCTTCCAGCGAGGTAGTTGTTCCTACCAGCGAGGTTCCTGCTCCTGTTCCGTCCTCTTCGAGCGAGGAGGTCCCCCTCCCGTCGAGCGAGGCTCCTCTTCCCTCCTCTTCCGAGGAGGCCCCTCTGCCGTCCAGCGAGGCTCCTATCCCTTCCAAGTCTGAGGAAGTCCCCGCTCCTTCCAGCACTGAGGACTGCGAGTCGACCGCCTCCGACGCCCTGCCCCAACCCCCCGCCAGCGAGGAGCCGACCCCCTCCGGGCCCTCCAGCCCGTCTGAGCCCGCCAGCACGGAGGACTGCGAGTCGACCACCACCGATGCCTCGCCCCAGCCCCCTCCTACCGACGGCGTGCCTGGCCCGTCGCCGTCGCCTTCTGCCCCTCACGATGGTGGGCTCACCACCGACGTGACCATCACCAAGACCAAGACGAAGACCACCACCGACTGCGACTGCGACGACGACGACGACGAGTACCCCCCGGCGCCCACCGAGCCTGTCACCCCCTCCGAGGTCATCCCCTCCGACGCCATCATCAGCGAGACCACCGTCGTTGTGATTCCCGTGCCCTCGGAGAGCTGCGTGGAAGACGAGGAGACCACCACCACCACCGTCCAGACCACCGTTTACACCACCGAGACCGTCTACACCCAGACCAGCAGCTGGGTCACCTCCGTCATCCCCCAGCCCCCCGTCTCCGAGGTTCCCGCTCCCATCCCCGAGGTTTCTTCTCCCGTCCCGGAGCTCCCCGTTGAGTCGGAGCTCCCTGAATTCCCGGAGGTGCCTGAGCCCGAGCCGGAGCTGCCCGAATTCCCCGAGGAGCCGGAGCCGGAGCCTGAGTTGCCCGAAGAAGAAGAGCCTGAAGTTCCCGAGGAGCCCGAGCAGCCCACCGAGCCGGAGCCCATCTTCCCCGGCGAGCCCGAGCAGCCCGACGCCACCGTCCCCGCGGTTCCGACCGACACGAGCGAGCCTCCCGTCGAGGTCCCTAACGCTGCTGCGCGCCTCGGCTCGGGCGTCGAGTACGTCGTTGCCGCTGCTGGTATCCTGTTTGCTCTGCTGTGATGGGCTTGATTTGATGCCACTGGATGCTACCTTTCTTGTTCTTTTCTCAACATTTTAGAAAACCGTACATGATCGGGCTGGTTTGACAAATCTGTATTTATTTACTCTTCTCTTGTATATATTTTCTCGAGACGACGTCTCTTTTTTACTTTGTGGTCTTTTTTGTCTTTAGTCTTCAGAGGCGACCAGCTCGCGCACTCGGAATGGACTTTATGAGTTGATTTACTCATTGATCTTCTTCGATAGCCCCCGTTCATTCGCATTGACTTTGGATTTGGCTTGATTGGGGACGTGGTGATTCATTCCATCGACTCCATGTTCCCCTTGGACCGCCTTGTTGAATCCAGTAGCCTTTACGTTACCCCTGGCTACCGGCGGTGAGCGAGTATCATCTTATTTTAACACTCGTATTCCTTTAGAAGCGACATACCATATTCAAATCCCTCGCCCCCTTTCCTTCACCTTTTCTTCTTCCTCACCTCGGCCGCGCAGCCGTCGCCTCCTCCAGCAAAAGCCTACTCAACTCCCTCAACAAATTCCTAAACCACTGCCACCGCGGATCCAGCGGCTGCCTCCCCCAATACTTCCTCCACTCCCTAATCCGCCGCCTATGCGCCAGGGGTCCCTCCTTATCCAACCCCTCGGTGGCCGCATGGGCCCTCACGCACCCCTCGCACTCGAGGAACGCGTCCGGGTCGTCCCAGAACCACTCATCACGGCGAACCATGGCAGCAGCGGCAGCAGCAGCAGCGGGGCAGATGGGCTCGTGGGTGGCGATGAGGCGGTCGAAGACGCGCGAGACGTCGTCGTCGTAGAGGGCGTACCCGGGGCGCGGGCGGGCGAGGGGGCAGAGCAGCCAGAACTCGTCGCGCGGGGGCCCGGTGGTGCCGCGGATCTTGTAGGGCGGGATGGCGCGCTGGTCCGGGTGGGCGAGGCAGTAGGGCCGCGAGGTGGCGGTGTGGAAGCGCAGGTTCCAGAGGCTGTCGTGGAAGTTGCGCTTGTCGAGGGATAGGGTTGTCCAGTGCTCGTTGCCGCAGAGCGCGGTGGGCCGGACTTTGGCGTACCGGATGCACATTCTCTGGTGGTATGTTTCGTCCCTGTTGTGTCTAGCCAGAGCCAGCACAGGTCATATAGATATCAGATGTAGTCCACCTTTGGGAATGTTGTTTCAAGCAATATAGTCGGACGACCAGATGGGTCTTATTCGGTTGAAGTATACTCTTGGGATGTCTTGCAACTTGACGAGTGAAAGGGCGTGTCTTTGGCGTAGAATACTCTCAACTCGACACTGGAGGACGCTCGCCTTCAATGACTTCTTTTTGACTGTCCTCCTCAGAAGCCAACGGGGGAGGTAATACACCAACATCCCATCATTTATATGGCCTCTGGCATCGTTGACTTTGTCTTAGGTGTTCCTTTCTCAGGGGTCGAGTGTTATTCGAGGTAACGGACTGCATTGCTGGCATTGTAACTGGTATTGGGCCCGTATCTGCTGGCAATAAGAAGAGAGCGAATGTATGAGGCTCCGGTGTCAAGACCGGAAGGCTTTCATGTAGCCAGCCTATATCTAAAATGTTTCCTCTTCGGAGCCGAGAAGAACCATCTGTATTAAGCAGACGAGATGGTCGTCTTCCCGGTCGTGCAACAAGAAACCTCAAGCTCCGTTGCCACCAGGTCATCGTTCGGAATGCGGCGATGCCTTCATCTGTTACTTACATGTAGCCATCTTTGGCCATGACCTTTGCTGCCTGTCATGATAAACTTGAGTCAAGACTACCTCGCTCTCCTAGTTTGCTTGCAAGTTTGGTTTGCTCTTGGAAAGCTGCATACATGATACAGACTTCACGCTGCATACATACTGCAAGATGCCTCTTGATGGGTTGTCCACCTCATGCCAAGATGGACCCTAGCCTCTGACGTCGTACTCCCATCTCTCGTCTCTGATCTGCACGATTGCCGGTTGTCCCTGTTCCACGTAGACTTTTCTTATTTTTTTTTTTTTTTCCTTTTTCTTCTCCTCACTGACCGAGATATTGGCGAGCCTCACGATGTCATGATGCATTATCCTCAAAGTCCTGATCAGCGTTATTACCCCCGTTCATTAAGAGACGTACATACCGTGTAAGTGAGTTCTACCGATCCTTGGATAAGTGCGCTTGGTGTCTTGTAAAATAAGAGAAAAAAAAAAACATTTCCCCCCTTTTTTTTTTAAAAAAAAAAAAAAAAAAAGGACGACCTCCACCTTGACCCCTGAATGCGACTTGGACCAAGCTAAATTTCCACTTGGATCGAAAAGGGCCATAATGTCGGCTTTCCTCTTAGTAAGAAAATCACTCAAAGACCCATTCCATAGACTTACAAAGGGCGCACTCAACGGCATGAGGAGGGGAAGGGTTAAGAAAGGAATTTCACCCCCCTGCCAAGTGTTCATGTTCATCTCGTTCAACTCGGCAGCTTAAAAGATCATCGCCATAATTAACGTATTCAACCTTTCAACATCACCTAGACGTCTCACCTCTTACTTATCGAAATCGGCGAGAAATTACACGACATCAAACCATGTCTGCCTCTCAAGACATCCGAATCGAACCCACCACCGAGGAACAGGACTTGCTCGACTCCTTCAACTGCATCTCCAACGCCTTCGGCACCCAAGCCAACGATGGCATCTGGACACACATGAACCCAGGCTGGGACACCCCGGAAGGCCACGCCCGCTGCGCCGCCCGCCTAGCCGCCCGCCTGCGCACCATCACCAAAGACCGCAACGGGAGGCCCAACATCGTCTTCCTCAAGGCCACCGTCCCGGACCCCGCGGTCCCCGCCGACGGCAGCGGCGACGCCAAGCGCATCATCGTCGGCATCGCCACTTGGGTCCAGCTTTCCGTCGTCGAAGGCTACGGCGACCGGCCCGCCGAGGACCTGGCCCAGGCCGTGGACCTCGAGGATCTCTACCCGGGGAGCGAAGCCGACCAGCGCCTCTGCCGCCAGCTGGACGCGGCGCTGCACGCCGACCGGATTCGCGTCGTCAAGGACAAGGCGGCGGCCGCTGCGAGTCCGCCCGCGGTCATGGTGCTGGATATGTGCGCCGTGCATTCCGAGTACCAGCGCAGGGGCATCGCCACGCGCCTGGTGCAGTGGGGTGTCGAGGAGGCCAGGGCGAGGGGAGGGCTCGAGTGCCTCACCGAGGCGTCGTCTATGGGACGGCACGTGTATCTCAGACTCGGGTTCAGGCAGGTGGGAGAGGAGATGGAGTACGGGACTGTTGATGAGGAGGTTAGGAGCAAACGGACTTTGCCGTCTAATATCTTTATGAGGACGGGTGCTTGAGAAATCCCCCTGGGTAGGACTCGTAAAATGCCACGACGACACCCTCGACGACCAAACCGCCCCGACCCCCCCTTCACCTGGGCCTGCAACGAAGAAGTCCGGATGGGTCGTTGTGCTTTGTATTTGTACAGGAAATCTACAGGTGTTTGAAAGAACGCAAAGAGAACATTGAGAAACCCACGCCCATATCCCATACTTATCCCGTTTTGATCTTCATTAGTGCATGCATCTAGTAGTGCACGCATCTCTCTCCATCGGCAGAGTTGTTACCATACCATTATCGAATAACACCACTGTCATCTTCTTCCTCTTTGCGCCCCAGGTCCTCGTCTCGTCAAACCCTCTTGCTACCGTCACCTGACCTAAAAAGCTCAACAACTAGCATTCCGTGGCACACTCGTTCGGCGGCACGGCAATCGTATACTCGAGCTCCAGCTTGACCGTCTTGCCCGGGTTCAGCGTGACGTCCCAGCCCACCTCGCCGTCCTTCTTCAGCGACGCCGTGGCCTTCCCCCAGTCGCCGGGCGGACCGTACGGCACCACGCCGGTACCCGCGCCCGTGCTCGCGCCCGCGCCCGCCAGGCCGTTCGGCCTCGGCCGCAGGACCTCGACCCGGACCTTGTCGTCCTCCGAAACAGGCACCTGGTCCAGCACCTTCATCTGCACCGGCTTCCCCGCGGCGCGCGTGTTGGAGATGATGGCGACGCGCGTGTACAAGGCGTTGTCCTGGCCGCCGAAGAGGCCGGCCTTGGTGCGACGGATCTCGGGCTTGGGGTAGGTCACCTTGACGCCCGGGTCCACGCCCAGGGAGAGCGTGAAGCTCTCGCCCGGGCTGCAGCGCGGGAGGGAGGTGCGGCCCATGAAGGAGCCGTCGAGGGTCAGGCTGGCGGGACCGCGGAGCAGGGCGATGGTGCTGCTGTTGCACAGGCGGGCCTGGATGTAGGCCACGGGCTTGTACTTGGCCACGATGGTATGGCTGAAGGCGACGTTGGAGAGCTGGAGGCGGACCATGCGCTGCTTGGTGGCGGTGGAGCGCGGGGCCAGGGTCTTCACGCCGGGAAGGTCGTACGTCGTGGTCAGGCCCGTCTCCTCGACGAGGGACTCCTGGAATTCGAGCTCCGGTCGGGGGAAGTTGAGGATGGTGTTTTCGTCTTCGTCACGGCTGCCACCGAAATCGGATGTGGCGAATTCGGCCCGACTCATAGAAGAGCCTTCGGCGGCGGGGGGCGGAGGGGGGGCCGAGAAGGGGACGGAGGCCCCAAACGCGCGACTGGAAGTTGCGGTGGGAACAGGGCGGGAGGCACCAAACAGGGCACCGCCGCTCGGAAGGGGGGGCGGAGGGGGGGCCAAGCCCGTGGGGATAGGAGGAGGAGGCCGAGCTCCCTGTTTCTCCTTCACGCCAGCGTTCTTGGGCCAGCCAAAAAGAGACCGGCGGGACTTCAAGGGGGCGGCGGCCTGGGACTGGGCGGCATTCACTTTCCGCTTCTGCTCGATTTCCTCGCGGCTGTTGGCCAGGTCGCTGGTGCTGGTGTTGTTGAGGACGAAGCGGGGGGCGAGCTTGATTCGCCAGGGCTTAAGGGTGGGGATGGCGTCGTTGAGACCGGAGAAGGTGGCCTGCGAGGTGGAGAGGGTGACCTTGCAGCCGGACCACGTCTCGGATGTGGTGTTGGTGAGCTGGGCGTCGAAGCACAGAGCGGCCGAGTTTGTGGTGGTCGACAGCTGGAGGTCGTAGCTCGGGGACCAAAAGGCGGAGTGGGTGACGTAGGTGAGGACCAGGTCGCACTGCAGGCCGGCGCTCGTCTCGTCATCGGCCAAGCCAGCAGCAGCAGCAGCAGAAGCGGCGACTCCGAACTCTTGGGATGGCGACTGGGAGGGCTTGACAAAGGCCGCTTCGCCGGCGAGCGAGCTGCGACGGGAAGACAGCGGGGTGAAATTGCCGGCATCGAGGGTGATGCGGACGGCGTAGCAGGAGCGCGGCCAGAACCTCTCGCACTCCCCGCGAAGGCGAGCCTTCTCGCGACGGTGTTCCGCTTTCCGGCGGTTCTTCCTGTCCAGTTCCTTCTGCTTGGCCTTGGCCTCCTGTTGCTTCTTCCGGGCGGCCTTGCGGGCTTCGGCGTCCCGACGGGCGACGAGGCGTTTCTCCTCGGCGATGAGGCTGTTCAGTTGTTGCGACAAGTCACGCTCTTTGAGGGTGCCCTCCATATGGTCCTGGAAGACCTTCTCGCGCTCGGCGCGATAGGTGGCCATAAGGTCGGTCATGTCGACGGGGGTCCTGCGATCGAGTTGGGTGGTATAAGCGTCGAGGATCTTGAGGCGCGAGGCGGCGCTCAGGAGGAGTTCGTTGGCGTTCTTTTGCTGGTCGCGCAAACGTTGCATGTTCTCGCGCACGGCCTGAAGCTCGGGATTACTGTTGTCATCCCGGCTGCTGCTGCTGCCAAACTCAGTCCTGAAGGCGTCGGGTTCAGTATCCGAGTCATCGTCGGCGTCAGTCTCGTCCTGGTCGAATTCGGGATGGCACTCTTCAAAAATGTCTCGGTTGGGGAGCAGTTCGACGGCAATGTCGGAGATGACGGCAGATCCGGTGCCCTCTACCTTGACGGATTCCTCGTCGACGGTGGGGGTGAGACCGAAGACGGTGATTTCGTTGGTGCCGGGCTGTAAGACGGAAAGTCGTTAGTAGGAGACATAATGCGCACAATGGCGCCCGGCGCCAAGAAAATAAGAAGCGTATGCATGTGAAGAGGGTAGAAAATACTATGGCGGGCGGGCCACTGGGGAATCAACTTACGTGGAGGGAGACGTTCTTGACCTCACGGACGACCTGAGCACTGGAGGGGAAGAGGGTGACAGCGCGAGTGCCAAGGTCGCGGACATTGAATTCTTGCTTGTGGATGGTGTCCATGGTGGGCGGCCCGGGGGGCGGGGGTGGACGACTGGCAGTGAGACTGCGAGACTGTGAGAGCAACAAGTAGCGCGTCTGCGGTCACGGGATGAGGTGCTGATTCAGTTGTACGCAGTGTTGGATGGGACGATATGCGTGTCGTGTCCGAAGTAGCGTAGACAGAAGACTCGAAGAGAAGAAAAGAAGCGTTGGAACTTGGAAGACGAAAGGAAGAAAGAGGCCCGAGGGAGAGGACTCAGAGGAGAAAGGGAAAGGCGCCATCTTAAATTAGCCCGTCTCGTATTCATACAGGCAGCAGCAAAAGAAAAACGCCAAACGGGATAACATAACCTTTTGGCCTCACAACTCATAAAGTATGTGCACAAGAAGCTCGAGATGGCTGATGGCATGGGTCTTGGTGGTTGACTAGTGGGCAGTGCCTGTTGAACAGGATACCTTGGCGCCATGTCATGAGCTCCCCTGCTCGTTATATGTGCCCTTGGCAGTTGCCTCAAATCCCCATTTGCTTATTTGGCAGCCTTGCAGGGGACGCGCAGGGGACCTGCAGAGAACAAGGAACAAGGACCGACCCAAAGAGACGGGATTCTCCCATGGCTTGCAGGGGGGAGGACGGGCAGGCACCAGTGGTGGTTAGCGGTGGCGTTCATGGAGACTAGGTATCCAGGTTATCGCTGCCTGAAGATAGAAGGCCGACCGTTGGCCATATAGAAAGGGTGGGAGAGGAGGGAGAGGAAGGAGAGGCCTCCACCTTGATGTGAGCGTTGAGATGAAAATGCGCCTTGTAAGTGGGAAAGGTTGGGAAAGCGAACTGCAGTGCGGAGTGCGGGGTGAGCAAGGTAGCAAAAATTAGTGGCAAAATTAGTAAAATTGGTAAAATTAGGTTGTAGCTAGCGAGGTTTGGTGGGCGGGCTCATAGGGGTAAGGGCTGTTCTTTAGCGACCCAGGCGTGTTTCAGTCCTTAAGAGGCGCTGACTCACACCGCTACGGTGAAGCAAGTATGGATTTGCTTTTGCCTTTGCTTTTTGCTTTCTCCCAGTCTCACTTTAGGCCGACTCTCACTTAGTCACTCTCTCGCTCTTACTCTCATCCCTTTCTTCCTCACCTTGTCCCTCACCAGCAAACCTCGGATCTCCCGTACTATACATTACTTATTTGCCCTCGCAAAGAAACAATATCAAACAAGTGGAAACCATGACTAGAAATAGACATAGACAGGCTTCCTTGACCTTCCTCCACGAGCCCGCTGCCTACCTCATTATCCGCTCTACTTAAGATCTTATTCATTTCTCCATCATATCGCAATCTCGGCCTCGGATGTAAGAGCACGATAAAGTCCAGTGAAAACGGCAAAAATCAGAGGGGAAGAAATAAGAGACCAGGTATAAGATCTCGAGACTGATTATGTTCCACCCGGTCCCGCCATACGGTCCATACCCAGCATGGCTTCCGCCCTCAGGTCCTTACCCGCCGCATCTCCTCAACGTCTTCACGAACAACAACCATAACGCCCGAATCAACCCCAGTAACCACCACATTCCGCAACCGCCGCCGGGCTACGTTGCGTACAACATTCTCCCCATTCCCGGCACCACCTATTCTTACCCACCGCCTCAGCCGCCCCAACAGGGCCAATCGGGTGCCGGCTCCTTTCCTGGCGTACACTACAACGCCTCTACCCCCTTCCCTTTCCCCAATGCACCTCCTCACTACTCGATGCCCTCCCAGAACCCTCCTCCTACTGCCTCTGCCCGAGACCGACACCGAGACCGACACCGAGACCGACACCGAGACCCCATCGTCACCGTCCACTTAGCGACCGGAGGCACTTCCACCGTTCTGTATTCCCACCTGCGTACCCACCTCCCCCGGACCCGCAACAGCATAAGGCGCGGTCGTTTCGGTCGAGAATTCCGCGTCGCCGACCATCTAGCCGACTACAGCCCGGACCTAGACGTGCGCGGATCCAGGCCCCGATCGGCGGCCCCTCCGATCAACCTGGGCGAGCCTTTCATCCAATCGCTCTTCGCCGCCTCAACCTTCCTCTTCCAAAACCTCGACATTCTCGTCAGACACGGCTTCTTCCACCTCTTCGAACGCTTTCGCTTCCTCCTGTCACATCACCATCATCAGCAACAGCAGCAGCAGCAGCACGCCGCGGGACGAACAACATCCCGCACCCCAGCCACCAGCGCCACCACCGTCCACGACATCTTCTGGCACCTCTTCTCCCTCTGCTGCCTCCTCGACCGGGATCGCGCCCTGGGATGCTCCCCCGAGCTAGGTTTCGCCGTCGCCAGCTTCGCTCTCGAGCTGTTGCCCCGCGTGCAGACCCATTGTCGTCCCGAGCTGGACTACGTGCAGTGGATGTTCGTCGGACTGGCCCGCGTCTTCCGGGGGCAGCGAGACCATGCGCAAGTGGACGTCCTGCGGCGGTTCTGGAACATGATGGCCTTGGAGAACCGCGCCGCCGCCGTCCGTACTATCGTGGGCAGGTTGAGGCTTCGTCGTGATCCGCCGCGGAGTAATACAAGGAGAATGCGGGCGGCTCTGCGATACCTTGCCGGACGGGGACTCATCGAGCTGCCTGCCATCTTTCCTCCGCGACGTGGGACTGATCTGACGGATGCTAATGTCGTAGACTACGAGTCTGACTTTGACTCCGACTCCGATACCTTGTGTGAAAGTTTTTCCACCCCCTGATGCTCCATTGTGGTTCTTGGCTTGATTTTTCTTTTTTTGCCGGGGAAAACGGTACTTTGCCAGTCCTCAACTGTCTCGCTATTTGCGTCAGGGACTCGGGCGGACCAAGGCAAATCTACAAGCCCAACTCTACAGTGAGCAAAGCAGTTGTCCGTCAACTAACCCACTGACCAGAATCGACCCCCCTCCCCCGTAGAACAACCTAACCTATCTTAAGAGGAACCCAATATTGGCCTCAGTAAACTCACTGGCCGTCGACCCAGCCTGCACCTCCCCAAACAGATCCGCAAACGCCTTGGACCCACGGTGCGTCTGCTCGTAAAACTCGCGCGTCGTATACCTCTCAAACGTCCAGACATCCCCCGTCTTTTCGTGTTCCATCACGACGAACGTGGGGCAGCCCTCCTTCTCCTGCCCCTCCACGTACCGCGCATACTCCTTGAGCCGGTCGCCCGAAACGGGGGAGGAGCCGGACGGGAACTTGTTGATGAGGACCACGCCGACCGGCCGCTCGACTTGGCCGCCGCGCAGGATGAAGCCGCCGACGGGCTTGAACAGGTCCACGTCGATGGCGCAGAGGTTTTCCTGCTGCACGATGGCGCCCAGGTTCTTGTACACGTCTGACGTCGCGTGGACGTCGAACAGCGCCGCCTTGGTGGGGTAGCTGCGTGAGGGTGCCAGTCAGTAAGTGAAGTCGGTCAGTCAGTCAGGAGTTCAGGACTCGGCGCGTTTCGAGAACCTGGTCGGACGCATGTGGTCTTGACTCTTTGCCTAGTCTTGTCTAGAGCGCCACGTTTAGATGTCTAGGGGGCGGGGGTTTCCTTACGCCTCGAAGCCGTAGAGACTGTGGTCGTCCTCTGACGTGCTGTTGAAGAAGTAATAGCTCAGGGTATCGGGCTCACTCTCCTTGCAGTGGGTGGCCAAGGGAGGGAAGATCTCAAGAAACTATACACGGGGTTCATCTTAGCAGCTGGGTCATACAAGAGTCCAACGGTGCAAACCACGTTGAGCGGCGAAAGCAGGCAACGAGATCTGGTCGTACGTACGCGACTCCGGGCCGATGGAGTGGTCGTGCTGACGTGTGCGATGACTAGATGAGGGGGAAGAGGTGAGGCGGCCATTGTGATGACAGTTTGTTTAGCTCGTAGTTTTGATAGAGAAGGCAATGCTGATGAGGAGGTTGTTTCAGTTTGTAGATTGTGTGAGAGTATGAGGGGGGTGGACGATCATGAGCATGATGATTGACGAGGGCGGGATTTTGCCCGCCCAACATGTCGCATGCGGCATGACAAATACCTATGAGGCTTGCCCACCAGTCGCTTCTTGCATCTATATCCACTTCGCTCCCCCAGCTAGCGTGCTAGTCGCGTATTAGTCTTAGTGTAGGGAGGTCGGCGTTCTCGCCGATGCCACTGATGAGACCTTCCGAACCCCGCTTCGGTGTTTATGTCCGGACTCCGGACCCCGCTGACAGACACGGATACATATCAACGAGTCGACGGTTAGTCCAGGTGTGGTAGGTTTTGGGCAGCTGCGCGGTATTCCACCTGCAAACAAGGGCCCTTATCAGTTCTCAACAACAGTGTGCCAGTGTTCTCTTCCCCCGGAGCCTGGACCCTGGTTCGGTCGTCGAACTCGCCACATGGTACAACGTCAGGACCGGGAGCCAGGGAACTCCGTAATCCGGAACCAAAAATCGGCTTGTAAACCGGGAGAGGGGCCGGTCCACCGTCCGCCGGGATCTGAACGGAATGGCTCCGTCGACTTGACTCGCCTTCGGAGGTGCCCCTTTCGCAAGTCTTGCCATGTTCACAGTTCGTGTTCCACTTAAGCTCTCGTTAGGTAGCCAAGCCGAACTCCGATAATCAGTGCAGGACCCAGGAAATTGTATGTTAGGATACGGGTCAGATGAAGCCAAAAGTCAACAACATGAAGCTACCAGTGGTCCAGTGCCCAATGCCTGAACCGAACGCCACGAATTGATCCGACGGCCCATGAAACGACCGTGGTGATACCCTCATCACTCATTCGCTCTCAAAACCCGCACCAACCCCGCCTCGTGGGCCTCGTCCACGATCCAACCCGCAACCCAACGTTCCGAACAAAGTCAACGGGTTTATTAAGGTATTTATGCGCAGCCAGTCACATCTAGTCTGGGACAACATGGTCCCCTCGACCCGACATGCTTCGCCCTGCCAACACACCACCCACTATCGCGACAAGGATAGGGCGAATAGGAAAACGGTACGGGACCTATATCCCACCTTCATCGCAACCTTCACCCACTTACAGACGCAGCACGTCCCTTGTTGTAGTGTAGTACGTTGTATCCTGTATCCATACGCGCTACCGGGACGTTCGATCCGGCGAATCACCCCGCCGTCCGGCCCACGTTGCTACTGTCTGTCTCCACGAATGGACCTGAGATTGTCTTGTGCGGTGTTGTGCTTCGAGACGAACGCCTCCTCCGTATCGTAGGTATTACCTTGCATCCCACACCCCCTCCTTGGCCAAGTAGCATGCATCGCTGCTCTTTTCTGCACGCACGAATCAACATGTTAGGGGTATTACCGTATTAGCGACTGTAGTGTAAAGGAAGAAAAATGGCCGCAGGGCCCTGTTTCTACGGCAATTGGTGAAGAAGCGAACGAGTCAATAAGGCCGAACCACGTGCATAACCAGTTGGTCATCTAATAGGCATGCCTGGAGTGTGTTTGTTTGGCAATACGTGTAGAGAGAGTGCTGTCAAGAAAAGGAGGGGTTCCAAAATGAAAGCAAGGGGTAGAATTTGGTTGGGGGCGGGGGAAAGGTGCAGAAAACCACAAAAAAAAGGAGGCTTGGATGTCTGTCTAGCCATCCAAAGAGAAAAAAAAAAAAAAAAAAAAAAGGAAAGAAAAAATGCAGAGTACCTAATACAAGTAGGGCAATTGGGTATCGAAGACAGCAGAACTTCGTGTCTGCGAATAGGTACCTAAGAGAATGAAGCTGAACCTCATGTTAGTGTGGGGGTCTAGACCAACGATTGGCATCGCTTGTGTTCGACCCAATTCGGTCGCATAACGTCATTAGGCTCTAACAAACAGTACGTTGTACAGTACCTTCTTTACCACAGAGGAAAGCACAACAGCACAACAGCACAACAACACACAGAATTATAGTCACAACTCAACTTGGTCTGAAAAGGAATATGGAAAAGTCATCATGAATTCCTTATTCGGGAACAGTAATCATAATGAACGACAAGGCTATGAGGTAATGGGCCCTTCCTTGTTCGGCTACTTCTCGGAATTACTTGGCTGACGAAATCTTTCCTCCCGATTCTACCGCGACCCTCCCTGTGTCTCTAGTCAGAGCTATGGGGAAGCTCAGGTGGCCTCAGGTGGGATCATCATTTAATTAATGACATTGATCGTCTGGCAGGTCATCGGACTAGTCCCCACCGCTTTGTCCGTGAATATGCACCTGTATGGCTTCAATTTGACAACTCCCAAAGGCCCATAGCGTTGGCATAGCTATGTACATGTACGAATAGCATACGGACTACGATGCGTCCAGTCGATACCTTAGACGGGGCCAACTCGGAATGCGGAAAACCCATCCCTGCACCCTGGATACCGTTGCACCCCCCTACTCCATCCAGTGGGGTCATGCTTCCGACTTCCTACGACGTAAGTAAATAGAGCATACAACGTATGTACGGGAGTATATATCTCATTCAAGTAGACCCTCCACCACTCTCTCCCTGCCCCCTCTTTCCGGGTTTCCCCCCACAGAAAGAAAGGACAAACCAAGATGCATACTCTTCTTCTTCGCCAATGTCATGATATGTCCCGTTCATCTCGACAACAGGTGGACTCAGCAAAGGAACACGTTGCCAACATCTTCACCTTCGAACATCACAACCTCCTCCTCGCCGGTCGAACCCTAACATCCCCAAAACCATCGTCACCACCCCGACCATGAAATCCGCTTCCGTGATCGCCCCGGCCACACGCCGGGAACCCATCCCAACCCGTCCCGAACGTTCCAGCCTCATCTCCCTCATCGAGCCCGCCTTCTCCCCCATCCTCCGCTACCAGTACGTCTTCGGCCAAGCCACCTGCCTCCTCGTCATGCAGGCCTACACCCTAGCCGTCCTGGGCATCCTCGTCTCCAAGGACGTCCTCCTCGTCGTCAGGGACGTCGCCGCCTATAACCTCGGCCTCGTCGTCAGGAACATCGTGTACCTCGGCTGCCGCGCCCTGGTCAGCGTTGGGAAAACCAGGTTTGCACGGCGGCTCCGCAGGCGACTCGAATTCGAGATTGGTCTCACCATTCTCGGCCCCATGGCCAACGGCATATTTCTCTTCGTCCTCTGGCCCGGGTGGTGGGTCCTCGCTGCCGCCGCTCTGGTGGGTAAGATCTTGGTCGGCTGAAGGAAAGTAGAAGTAAACAAGAAAAAGAAAAAGAAAAAAGAAGAAAAAAAGGTATGTTCGTCTTTTTTGCCCTGCTTCGATCGATCTGCTATTGAATGTACCGATTCAAAAGCATGCTGAACGTTTCATCTCCGCAGTCTGTGCACATGCCTTTTTTTTCCCCCTTTTTTTCTTCTTCTTTTTCAACGGACACCGCCGTAATTCTTCTTTCTCCGCGACGACCAAACCCAACAAAACCAGAAGAGGGAGAGACCAGAAAGTTGAAGCGAAAACGAAAAGAGACAAACCAAAACAAAACTCCTTCGCTTTCCCGGGGGAAGCACAGAGTTGTTTGATCTTTCCGTCCCCCGCCTCCCCCCCACCCACTGCAACTCCCTCACCGCGAGTAAAAGAACGTATTCCCACCCAGATCTTTGCGCACCTCGGACCGGTAGTCCTTCTCCGGATCGAATTCCTGCCAGGTGCTAGCGGGGAATATGTGCTTGTTGCGTTCGTACCACCGCCGGTCGACCACCTTGGTGAAGGACGGGTCGTCCCCGGCACCCTCGAGCGTCTTGATGTCGGGCAACGCCTTGGCCGCCGCCGCTTTCAGGGCCGCTGCCGTTGTGAGTCCCTCTCGTGGCGGTGTGGCGGCCGACGACGCTTCTTCGTCGCTCGCGACGGTGGGGGATCTGGTGTTCTCGGGGATGGGAACGGGCACGGGCACGGGCACGGGGGGTGTCGGGGGAGCCTCGGCGGAGTAGTCGAAGAGGCGACGATTTCCGGGAGCGAGGGTCTTGTTGATGATGAAGAAATAGAACTCGTAATGCTACATAGACGGGGCAAGAAGAAGTCAGCCGAGCAATCGGGTTTGCGATAGACAAAAAGGCATGTCGAGAGGGGGGAGAGTGGGGAAAACAGAAGAAGAAGAAGAACTGCAAGAGTAGAAGAAACAAAACAGCAATGCAAATTCCGATAGAAACTCACATGTGGAATGATGACCGAGCCTCGGACGAGCATCAGATCGTCCACACCAATACGCGCCCACTTCTTCTTATCGCCCACCCCGAGGTGGGCTCCCACCTTGCGGCTCTTGTCCAGGAACACCCAGACGTGATCGCCCTTTTTAACCCGTACCATGCCGCCGGGGATATCCGTGCCATCGTGGAAGACGAAAGGGATGGCCACCTCCGTATTCTTGACAGCCTCCTGGATGGCGAGGAACTCGCGCCGGAGCGCTTCCCGCTCGGCCGCCTCGCGCCGCAACGCCGCCTTGGTCCTCGGCTTCGGGATGATGCCCACCGACTTGTTGACAATGACCCGCGGTTTGTTCTCCTCTTCCGCGGAGTAGTCGTCGGCCTCGCTCCTGCCTACTACTGCTCCGTTTCCTCCACCCCCTGTTTTTGTCTTCTCCTTGTTCTCCCCCGTCATGGGTTTCCGGGCGAGAGGTCCCGGCGCTTCCTCGTCGTCCTGATCATCGTCCTCGCACGCAAAGGACAACTTGCTCGTCACGGCCGCCCTCTTTTTCTTCTTCTTCGCGGGCCGCGTCACGCCTTCGCCCGAGCCGTCTGTCGTCGTCGTCGTTGTCGTCGCAGTAGTAGTATTAGTAGTCTTCGTCGCCGTCGTCGTCGTCGTTGTGGCGTTGTTGTTGTTGTTGTTGTTGTTGTTGTTGTTGTTGTTGCTGCTGTTGCTGTTGGGCGTCGCGGTCTGGGATCGATCCGGCGTGGCGAGGGCTGACGAGCGTCCGCCGCCGCTGACGATGGCGGCCTCGTGGGCCTCCCGTTCCTGTTGCTCGAGCGCCTCGGCGCGGCGTTTGCGAAAGTCCGAAAGCGCTACCAGGCCGACCGTGTTGGAGGCGAGGCGCTCGTGCGTCGTCTGGTTCTGCGGGGTAAACCGCGACGGCTGGGAATTGGCGTTGTTGTTGGACATGGTGCCGGGCTTCGACCTGGTGTCTTTAATGCCGGCGTCGAGGTCCTTGTATGGGGGGTGGCAGAAGATGAAGAAAAGGTGGGTACGGATACTGAATTACCTTGTACCGCCCGCACTGGGGCGGCATTATTAAGGCACCATGGTGCTTAGTAATCGACTGTCTGCCCCATCCAGAGCCATAATATCAAAGCGTTTTTGCCCTTATAGGTAGCAACGACGACACGACGAGAATACTAAGATAGAAAGAGAGCAGGCCGTGGCGCCAAATGAAACTATATAGTATATAATAAGTATATAAATAGAGTAAATAGAGTCTATGAGATTGGCATATTAATTTGATTCTCTCTTTCCTTTCTTTAGCAGCTTCTTTATTGAGGTAGCCGGGAAAGTCTCGACAGCCGACTTGCCTACACGTGTGAGCCTGCGGGCGTAGCAGAGTCATGTATCCATGTCCTACCGTAATTACTTGTACCGTTGTACCTTATTAGGCAAGTACACTACACTGTGCCTCGATCAGTTTTTAGGCGCCTGGAGGTGATGTGTCTTAATCCGCCCCACTATTTGCCGCCAACAGCTTCTCCTTACCTGCCACCGCCTTTTTGTGCGGTTGTCGTGCCGTTCCGTGTCGAGTCGAGCTGCGCTTTTGTTTTGTACCTTTGGTTCACCATTGTCAATCATCACCGTGACTCGTAAACGTCATCTCAGTTCCCAACCCAACTCTCACACATTTGACGGCGTATTTCTCTTCTCAACCTACATTCAACGATGAACCCACCAACGTCAGGGCCCTACGAGAGCTCTTCTTACTACAACATGTCCGGCGGGAGTGGGTACCCTCCTCACGACCTTTCTCAACCCGGCGGCCCCCCCGGACCCGGACCTTGGGACCATCCATCCCCTCATCCTCAACCGGACCAAGTCTATGGCGGTCCTCCCTCATTCGGTCCTTCTACCGGCCCTGCACCGGATGCCACACCGGGCGTCGAGCAGATGTCCGGCCCGGCCGCCATGTTCCCATCTTCCTCACCAGGCGATGGTCCCCATCCTCAGTATCCTCCTCCTGTCCAGCATAACGCTCCTCCTTCTGCTCCTCCTCCGGGCACTTTTGCGCCACCACCAGGACCCGGTTACGCCCCGATGCCGATGGTGCCTCAAGGCCCACAGGGATTATCCGCGCCCGTGGACACCGAGCCCCCGGGCATTCGCGCCGCTAGGGGCAGGGCGCAGATGGCTCTGCAAGAGTACCTCTCGCTCCAGAAGAAGAGGAAGCGTGCGGAGGGCGGGGCCAAGGCCTCCGAGCTCGACCAACAGATTCGCGTTACAGCGGCGCGTGTTACGCAGGATCTGTCGGCCGTGAGGAAGGAAGTGCGCAACATGATCAAGGAGGCCGAGACGCATAGGTGGAGGAAATGGCTGATTGGAGGCCTTGTGTGAGTCCAGCCCAAGCGCCTCTATTTCTTCTTCCCTTTTCTGTTCTTCTTTTCCCCTCTCTCCACCTGACGGACAACTGCAGTTACGGTTGCCGTGTTTTCTAGGCTAACAACCGACCAAGGGCTTCCGTCATTCCTGTCGTCAAGCGCCTCTTCCGCCGCTCGCCCGAGGAGAAGGAGCAAGACAAGTCGGTCACCGACATGGAGCACGCGTTCTCGCGTAGCCGGGAGATCTTGTCCCGCATCAAGGACACGGTTTTGGGCCGCAGCGGCTTTGCGAGCATGGCCTTCTTCGTGTTTGCCGTGCTTTACGTCTTCTCCAATGAGGTGTCGCTCATGGTCGCCAAGACGGTCAACAAGCGGGTCAAGTCTGTTTCCAACAAGCTCTACGACGGGCAGGAGATTGACGAGAAGGACATCAAACTGCTGGATGGATGGCGCTGGAGGATTCTGCTCTTGGGTCGTTGATCGACTCGGGAAGAGTGAGAGATACATCACGACGACTTATCTCACGAGTCACGCATGGGCGATGATTGATGAACGAAGTTACGAACCGCTTTTCTTCGACTCGATACTATCTCGGGGGAAAACGGGTGTATATGCAGTGCACGTCTGTCTATATAGTCCAATTACGGGAAACATTACATGGTCTTACTTGTCTAGTTGCGTGGTTTGTGGTTTGTGGTCTGTGTCGTTGATGATACTTCTGCCGTGTCAAGGCACGTGACTCGAATCGAGTCCTTCAAAGTCACACGTGACACAGTTTTAACCGTGACCTCACACCAGTGACCACTGACCAGTTTCAAGTTTCAACCGCCCTTCATCCACCACCACCAACGAAGATGAACCAGTGCCACACCGTATAAGTATGGGCGGACAAAAACGCCCATGGGATGCGGACGACAACAGCCCGTCAGAAGAATCAACAACGACACACCACAGGGACCACGGGGGCCACGGGGCCCCCTCACCAACGTTGCCCCCACGAGTGCCTGTACGACCTCAACCTCCACCAGAGCCTGGCGTCAAAGCAGACGGCTACTACCGCCAGCTGTACGCCTCGGAGCCAGATTTCCGGCAGCTAGCACGCGAAGATGCCCAGTTTAAGGCCTTGTAAGCTCGTCTCGTTCTCGATGAGATGCCTGTCAATCAAAGTCCTTACATCTTACTGGTGACCCAGACTCCGGGGAGGGAATCTCGACTTCAATGAACCAGAAGCCGTGATGCAGCTCACCAAGACGCTTCTCAATGCTCATTTTGGGCTAAAGGTTGAACTTCCCAAGGACCGATTGTGTCCTCCCGTAAGTTGCTTCTCTCACGCCTCACGCCCCGTTTATGTCCCTTATATCGATGACGCCCTGCAGTCTTGACTCTTGCTCACACATTTCCCCCATCAGGTTCCCAATCGCCACAATTATATTCTCTGGCTCAAGGACCTGCTTGACAGCTCATCCTACGATGAACCAGGCCGCAAGCTGACGGGTCTCGACATTGGCACCGGTGCCAGTTGCATCTACCCGCTCCTTAGCTGCACCCAGCGCGACTGGTCTTTCATCGCCACAGGTTCGTTTGTTCCGCGCATACCATTTGGAGAAAGGAAAGGGGGGAAAAAATGAAAATGAAAAACAAAAGGTCGGCTCTGACCCGTTCGGCCGTCTATCCAGACATCGACGACGAGAGTCTCACCTACGCCAAAAACAACGTGGCGCGCAACAACTTCCAGCACCGCATACAGATCCTCCCCCGCCTCGCCACGGATCCCCTCCTCCCCCTCGACGCCGTAACGACAGCAACAACCATCGACTTCGTCATGACAAACCCACCCTTCTACGAGTCCGAAGCCGACATGGTCGCCTCGGCCCAGAACAAGTCCCGCCCCCCTTTCACCGCCTGCACGGGGTCTCCCACCGAGATGGTCACCCCGGGCGGCGAGGTCGCCTTTGTGCGGCGCATCCTGGACGAATCGCTCGCGGCCCGGGACAAGGTGCGCTGGTACTCGTCCATGCTGGGGAAGCAGTCCAGCCTCGAGACGCTGGTCGCCGCGCTGCGCGACAAGGGCGTCGGGAACTACGCCGTCGCCGAGTTCGTGCAGGGGAACAGGACGCGGCGGTGGGCCATCGCGTGGAGCTTCGCGCCCATGCGGCCCTCCGCCGGCGCGGCGAGGGGGCTGAAGGGCGAGAAGTGGAAGAAGATCTTGCCGCCGCCGCTCGACGCCGAAGTCGCGACCGTCCCGCTCGAACAGGGCGTCGGGAAGATGGGGGACCGGGTCGACGAGTTGATGTGCTCGCTCGAGCTCGTCTCTTGGGCTTGGGATAAGCAGAAGCTGCGCGGCGTCGGGCGGGCGCCGGAGAACGTGTGGAGTCGGTCATGGAGGAGGAAGAAGGTGGCGTTGCAGAGAGGGGGGATTTTTGACGGTGTCGTGAAGGCCATGATTGACGGGTCTGGGCCCTGCGCTTTCGGATTCGAAATTGATTTGGACATCAAGAGGGCCGGTATGACGGTCCGTTGCTGCTGGAGGGAAGGTCATGACGCGAGCTTATTTGAGAGCTTCTGCGGATTTCTCAGGACCAGGTTGGCTGCACAACACGGATCTTGAAAGTCGGCTCCATTTGTTTAGCCCGTCGTCTGTTCCTCACCAAGTTCTTTCATGTTTCCCGACACGGTTACGTGACAGAGAGATTCATTACAAGACGTGCACGTGATAGAGAGGACTGTTTCCCCCGAACATGGTCTAAGTAACATTACAAGTATTGGTATTCCTTTTTATTTTCAATTTTTGCCTGCCGTGACCTCCCTTCAATTGAGGGTCAAACTATACGGAGTGTCGTCGACAATTGCCCTGTTCCCTATTCACCCGCAAATCTTGCTCCGCTTGGAAATCCGAGGTGCGCAACCTATTCAGCGCCTCTTGTAGCTCCCGATCCTTCCTGGCCTGCGCCCGCGCACTCCAGACGGCCATCCAGCGGCATTCTTCCGGCTCGCTCGCCCTGTTCCAATCAAACTCCTCCGCCGCGACCTTTGCGAGGATGCAGTCCTTGCATAGATACGGGACGCCAAACCCGAACGCCGTGCCGGGGCTGATACCCCTGTTGGCGAACACACTGCCGTGTTTCGGGCTTCTCCCGAGAGGAGGCAAGGCGTATTTGCGCATGGGATGTGAAGTTGTGTTACCAGTCGGCACATGTTGTCCGCTCTGTTGTTTCCTTGTGCTTAGTATTGGTATTGAGAATGCTGGATATGAGTATCGAGTAGAAGTGTGTGGTATCTCTTGGGATCTTGTGGTGTCTGGTGTGGGTTGTGGTTGAATCATGTTCTCTCAAGAACCTGTGTTAGGAAGTGCTTATAGACTGGATTCTGTCTAAGGGATCCGGTACCCGTCATGAGTTAGGGATCTGACGTTGTGATTTGAAGAACAGATATCTTAATGGAGAAAGGGTATAGGAATGAGAAAACCTCTGGCTCGTGTCAAAGTATTGCCAGGTCTTGTGAATAACGTATGGTTTCTGCCGCTGGTCTTTATGCCAGATGGCACCTTTCCATTTACTCTTCTAAGTTATTAAGCGACGCTGCGTGGAAAAGACTCTATGATAAGAGGCTCTACATCTTCTGCCCATTGTCAACTGTGCTGTGAAGTTCAGGAAACTGGCTAGAGCTCTTCTCATGATATGAATGCTTTGGAAATGTCTTATAGATATACACAAATTAATCGAGGTAACCACTTATTCGGCCTGCTTACTACAAACCAACTACAGTTCGAACACGAGAATAACCAATATATAGGTGGCAGTTGAGTTTATCACAGCGTTACACTGAGAAGCCTGGTTGCGTACTAATAGCGAATCAATATCACTGACTTCAGTTTATTAGTGTATCAATGCTTTATGTTTTCCATTACCACCTGTTTGTCTGGTAATTGTTTCTTCTCCATTACCTCCTTTTTTATCTGACAATGCTTGCTCCTGGTTTCTCACCTAGCGACCGAACAACTCTTTGTCAATCAAACTGCTTACAACGAAATTCCGTTACGTCCGATAGTGTAAACGCCGTCTTGACTCCCGTACAAATGTTTTCAAGCTACCGACGACCTAGGTGTAAATTGTAATGCTCGAGAAACAGACAGATAGTAGATTGTCTGCCGGGCCAGGAATGCAGGACATCTCCCTCTTGCGTCAGTACCGTCGTACGTGAGCCTCGGGATGCGGGCAGCTTCCGTGTCCCTCACCCAGCCATGTGCAAGGATTTTCAAAATATACCAAATTTTCACTGGCTTAGACTGTACCGAGGCTATGCAGAAGGTGACGAGACTCGACGGGCCAACCGACTGGGCCAGCGTGCTATTGGAAAGATGGAATATAGCTTCACGGGACGGTCAGACGCCAGCAGCTAGCGTAATCAAATCCTACATTTATATGTCGTTTGCCACTAAGTTAGTTACCTTGGTAATCAGCGGGTAATGCAGAGTTGTGTCACCCCCCTTAGTTGCAGGCCTTGCATCGGTCACAACGGGCCCTGTCAGCCGCGAGAACCGGACGCCGCCTACCCCAACGCCCAGATTGGGCTGGTGGTGGTCTCCTGGCGTATGGTGCTGACGGGTGCATCTACGTAGGCTTTGGCTTTTTGTTCTTCGGATCCTGGGATGTGCGTACATAATCCGCTTCGGGTGGAATACCGGTTCGATACTCATACATTCGTTAGGATCAGATGTTCGGCCCGTCATAACTTACAAGTTATAAGCACTAAATCACCAACAGGCACGCTATTGCCAGCAGCTCACACCGTTCATCAAAAATTTTCTGGGAGGGCAGATATCTTCTTGAAGTCATGCATTGCGAAGCGCAAGTATCCATAAGAATATCCATTTTCTAAACCTGTTGTCATGTTGGTGGTGGGGCTCGACCCCAGGCCGGAGCCGGGACTTGGTCTTGAGCCCGGAGCCGGAGCCGGAGCCGAGTGGGACATCGGAGATTTACGGAACGTCGGAGAGTGCCGGTTGAATGTGGGGAAGAGTGCTATAGGATGAATTTAAGACCTCCGGGTGTAGCTCCATAGTGCCGCAGATACTTCTTGTGTATTCCGTTGCAGTCTTGCAGACCAGAACAGAACAACCCGGATTCAATTCCTTCGGATAACTTTATTTGAACATGGGGACCAATACAAACCTGAACCTCCCAGGCGAAGAAAAGCCACAAGGATTCCCGCCAGTTCTCTGCTACCTAAAGACCATCCATCGCTCCCCATTAACCGTTCTGACCCGAGCGCCACGGCCCATGATGCGAATAGCGTATAAGCTGAACAATACAACGACCCAACCCCTCCTCCTCGGCGTGCTCATATCAACCAGACAGGATATCCGAGACCCTAGACTAACATGCCGTAAGAGTGCTATTTGCTTTGCTTTTATACTCTCCACAAAAACCAGTACGAAAGCCAACTGAGCTTGCATACAGGCAAGGGAGCTTGCCATCTCGCTAAAGGTAAACACCAACACGTTCTCCAGACTTGCCAACATCAACAGACACTGACCGATGCTATGCAATCAGGACGATCTTTGCACGTCTATGGCAAGCTGGGGAACGTGGAAGGTAACGGCGGTATTGGAATGGTAGGCCTCCGACCCCAAGCCCATGTAGCCTACGTAGTCTGAATCCAGGGGGTAGTATGACCCCGTCCCGCTCAGGACCCGTTGTACGAGGGGGGTGAGATCGGCGTTGAACTTCTCGACGGTTTCGGAGGCGACCCAGGTGAGGACGTTTTGTTTGAGGCTGTTCCGTCCGACGTAGAGCGAGCTGAGATGGTCAGAGCGGAGTTGGTATATATTCTCCCAGAAAGCAGGAAAAACACGAAACAAGGAAACAAAGATCAAGGGGAAAGACATACAATGTGATACCATTGATGATCTCAGTAGCCATGGCACCCTGCTTAAGACCGATGGGATGGGTAGCGGGGCCGATGGCAGCCAACCAGACCATGAGTTCGTAGGATGCCTTTGTGCTGTCTTTGGCCTTCTTTTTGTTGCTGTCGAGGAACATGTCGATGGCGACGTTGGTGTTGACCTCGTGCTCAGCCAGCTCATCTTCGTCGGTAGTAGAGGCAGTGCGATTGCCAACACCATACGTCCACTCGACATCGATACTGATGCTCTCCAGATCCCGCACCCGGACGGGGAACTCGGTGGACTCGACTTTGATGTTGGGGAAGGCATGGACGGGCTGGGTGAGCGGGCCGGGCGGGTATTCCCAGGTGACGGAGAATTCCGGGGCCGTGGATTTGGTGGCGTAGGTTTGGTTGTTGAAGGACGTGACCTGGGGGATATAATGAGCGACGGTACGGAAGAACTGAAGATGCATGTGGCTGTTTTTGTTTCAAGTCGTTGGATTTGGGTGGCCACAAAAAGATGAAGCAGATCAACACAAGAGGGTTGGTATAAAAAAAAAGAAAAAAGAAGAAGAAAAAGAAAGAAAACACGTCTTCCCACTTACATTTATGCACAGCCCTCCAGGTTCCCCCTCCGACCATCCCCACTGATTGGGATTCACTGTGACGAGTCTCTTGTCAGTCCAACTTCTCGATTCATATTCCAGGGCAATGAAGAAAACCCACATGTGTACTCCAGTCCCCTCGACTCCGGGTGTATACCAAAGGCCTTTTGGCAATACTGCGTCCTCTTGATGCCATTGTCGACGAACAAGGGCGGCTTCCCTACTGCTTCGCGGCCGGCCTGGAGGCCAAAAAGGACGGCCAGAGTGATGGCGATGGGCAAGGCCAACAGGCCAGCATTGACAAGCCATCTGCAGTTCAGCCCCATTGTGACCTCGGCGGGAGGGTCGGAATCCTCAGAAGGGTCAGACTCGACGGGACGGCGGGGGATGTCGGAGAGCGAAGTCTTCGAGGCCCCAGTGGAAGAAGATCGAGACATTGGAAGGGGAGGGAAAAAGGAAAAGAATAAAAAATAATAATATTGGGGGAGGTCGGGCTTGGAGAGTCGAGGGCCCAATAGGACTCCCTCGCCGAGAAGGAATGTGATTGAATGTGGTTTGGTACGATGTGAGAATAGTCAGGGGACTCTTTCCTAGTAACAAGGGTTAGGGAAAGTTGGATTGGTAAGGACTGGGCAGGGAAAACCTTAGAACTAGAGGGGAGAGGGGGGAGGGGGGAGGGCAGAGACAAGAGGGCGGAGAGGAAGAGGAGTGAGGGAGAAGGGACGGGAAGTTAGAGGAGAGGGCAGGGAAAGACAGGAAAGGATAAGAGAGGTCTGGAAAGGGTAGTGGCTGGCTTAAGCCGGGGAAGGGGAAGTTGTTCCCGCCATAGAGGAAAATCCAAGGCACGAGCCGGAAAGAACTGGTAACGGGACTAACGGAGTAATAATAGAGGGCCAAAAAAACATTGCCCCTGAGACGGGAAAGGGAGACAGGACCCTGGGGTCGTCTCGTAGCCCTCGCCGCAACCGAAGCAACGGGGTTACCTACCGCCAGTAAACTGTCGGCCGGGGATATCTTTGGCTTGGGAGATCTTCTTTTCTTATTTTTATTCTTCTTCTTCTTTTTTCTTTGGTTTTCTTTCCTCGTTTTTCTTTTCTTTCGTTCCCCTCCGTGTCTTCCTAACAATCTATCCCGTTAACACTTAGGGTCTGTACGGATAGAATCAAGTCCGCGGAGACCCGTCAAGAAAGTTTTTTTAAAAAAGGAGAGAAAAAACAATGACAGAAAAAGTAGCTAAGGACAGGAAAGGAATGGGAGAAAGAAGAGTTCTTGCTTCGAGTTGATGAGATTCGCTGGACCCGGGGCTTTTCCTCGATTCGTCTGTTCTCGGCGGTGATCATGACAAATGAAGTCTTACAGTACCCGCAGACTTTGTATCGACAGACCAGGAACACGAGAGTCCGAATCAAAGCAATCTCCCTACTTGTCGTCGAGAGTTTGGTCTAATGGCTGACTGCCGAAGGTCCGGGTCCATCACGGAGGGTTGCATGAGCATTCACTATCCAGGTGTTTCAACGTGTTTAGTGTATCGAGATGATGAGCTGACATTGAGCGAAGATGGGTCAGTCGAGTGTCTTCATCAGAAACAAGTTGCTTATGATAGATGTAGAAGGGAGGAAAAAAAAGGGGGGAAGAAAAAAGAATTATATTAAAAAAGGAGACGAGTGGGGTGGGAAAACGAAGACGGTTCCTAGAAACGTTTCCGATTATTGGAGAAGACGAGTTCCAACGATCCAGTAGTAACGAGAAGAAAGAAAAAAAGAAGAAAAAAAGATGGAAGAATCAGAAGAAGACGAAGAAGAAACGCATAGTTCCGAAGCTATGATGAGCATACATACTTACAACGAACATAGGGCTTAGGTGAGACGATGTTATCGTAGAGGCGCTTTACGTCCGCTGCAGACACATGTATGGTTCATGATTTAGAGGAGAACGGGGCGGACGAGATTTGGAAAAGCCGTTGAATATCCAGAGGGAAGATATATCATATGGGTATGCATAAAAAGAAAAAAAGAAGAAAAAGAAGAAAAAGAGATATAAAAAAAAATAAAAAAAAAAGGACAAGACAAGACAAGCTCCAACGCCAAGGAAGATCTTGCCTAGAATATTATAGAAATCTTACGAAATAGGCAAAATGATCGGCGTTGACCAGGATGCAGGATGTCCAGCCGGGCCGCCCCCTGTTAGTAGGCTGTAGACCCGCATATCACCCAAGCCACCATCGTCCCCATAGCCCCCATAGACGCCCACTTACACCGACTACTCCCACTACTCCCACTACAGTCTACTCCACTACTCCTTCCCCCCCTTTCCTATCGCTTAGTACATGTATTACCTTTCAACCTTTATTACCTACTCCACTCTCGATCATAAGACTCCCAGAGTAGAGTTCCTTCAGTCTCACGCATGCACTCTCCCAGCCTCCCAGCTTCCCAGCCTCCCTCCTGGGAAGGAGAGTCGGACGGGACTCGGCCTGGAGACGGGCAGGCAACGGACTGGCCTGTCCAAGCGTCACCATTCCCCTTCGTTCCATCTTCACAAGACTCCAAGAAGAACGGCTCACTCTAGTATACCTTCTCATTCTCTCTCCTTATCCTGCAGCAACACCCCAAAAGGGGGGAGGGGGAGCGGGGAGGCAAAAAGAAGAGAAAAGAATAGCAGGGGCCATAGGTCCGACTCGGCCAATTGCCCTGACAATGGCATGTTGTCGGGAAGACCGACAGGGGACTGGTCCTTCGGTTTTATCTGGACATGTTGGGACCTCCGAGACCCCTTTTCTTGGGCTTGCTCCTCCTCTCTCCTCCGTCTTCGAGGTCTGTCATCACAGCCAGAAATTTTCTGTATAGTTCTGTTGGTTGGGAGCTTCATCATTCATCATTCTTGTGTGCTTCATCTTTCTTGTCTACTATCATCTTGCTGCGTTGTCCCAATATATCCCCCGCTGACGTCGTCGTCGTCGTCTTCCTCGTCCTCGTTTTCGCCCAAAGGACAAAGACCGGCCACTGTCCGTTCGTTTTCAGGCGTGGATTTTTAACCTCGACGGACAGCGCAGCCCCTCGGACGCCGCTCAGCATTACGAAGGAGCTTTTTTCCGGTTGAGGTCGAGGTCGAGGTCCAGTATGTCGGGCCACTATCAGAATTCGCATGGCAACAACGGCGACTCCCTAGAGTTCAGCATCTTCCAGAGCCTGTCTAGCGGTAGCGATAACAACTCGGACGGGGCTTCGTCTTCTCGCGGTCCCACTACTACTCTTCCCGAGAATACGAACGGAAACGCCACTGCAAACGCCACTGCGAACGCCAATGCCAATGCCAATGGTTCCTTCATCCCCGGCCCGAGCCTCGTCGGGCCAGTGCCGCCATCCGCCGCTGAGGAAAACGGTCCGTCGCCCACTCTTGCTCCGTCGGGGTTCTCCTCCGAGACCCTCTTCCAGTCTCAGGCCGACTCGTTCCCGGGTCTTAATGGTCGGGCGACCCCAGTCGACTCCCTACCGTCTCCTCCTTATCCGGGGAAGACGGGGTTTTACGACTCTTTAGCATCAGGACCGTCCACTCCAACAGTAAGTGAAGCAATAAAACTCCAATGTCCCCGCCCCCCGGCGTCTATACTTTCCCCCGAACGTTAACCATTCGCTTTCTTTCTTTTTTTCCCGCCCATCTTGCTTAGCAGTACCAAAGCCAAGCAAGCTTATCCAACCTTCTCAACCAGACTCCCACCTCGGTCCTCTCGAAAGACTGGGTCCCTAAAGAAGAGTCCATCTCACACCTCCACGACCGAGACGACGTCGACTTTTGGCACGGCTGGAAACGCCTCCTCTTCCGTCTCGTCCCCGTCCTCGTGCTGGCCAACACGCTCCTCTATCTCGCCTACCTCGGCCTGCGCATCGCCTGCGTCATCTGGGCCCAGGAAGCCCGGCACGCAGTCTACCATACCGCCTGGGTCTTTATCGCCGTCGAGGTCGCCGTGGCCATCCCGTCCATGATGCACAACATCTGGACCATGTGGGCCTTCAAGAAGAGGAGGCGCCCCAAGCTGCGCCTGACCACCGACGACGTGCCCGCCGTGGACGTCTTCGTGACGTGCTGCGGCGAGGACGACAACGTGGTGCTGGACACCATCCGGGCCGCCTGCGACCAGGACTACCCCAGGGACAGGTTCCGGGTCGTCGTGCTGGACGATGGCAAGTCGAAGGCGCTGGAGGACGGCGTGGTGTTGCTGGCCAAGCGCATGTACGCGAACCTCCACTACATGGCTCGCCCGAAGTATCCCGGCGTGCCGCATCACTTCAAGGCCGGGAACCTGAACTACGGTCTCGATCAGGTTCACGATCTGCCTGGGGGTGCGGCTCCTTTTATGGCTGCCCTGGACGCTGATATGGTGAAGTCCCCCTGTGCCCCCTTTTTGTCCTCTTCCTTCGCCCCCCCCCCCCCCCCCCCCCCCCCTCTCTTTGAGCACCCAGACTTCCCACCTTTTCCCATCTCCTGAGGAACCTCCATACTGACCATTGCCCTGCAGATCCCTGAAAAACACTGGCTCCGCGCTATGCTCCCTCACCTCCTCCTCGACCCCAAGATGGCGCTCGCCTGCCCGCCACAGCTCTTCTACAATACCCCCCCATCGGACCCCCTCGCCCAGAGCCTCGACTTCTTCGTACACGTCATCGAGCCCATCAAGGACGCCCTGAATGTGGCCTGGTGTACGGGATCCGGCTACGTGGTCCGGCGGGAAGCCCTCGACCAGATCGGCAACTTCCCCCTCGGCTCCCTCGCCGAAGACGTGGCCACCTCCACCCTTATGCTGGGCAGGGGCTGGAAGACGGCCTACATCCACGAACCCCTGCAGTTCGGCACCGTCCCGGAGGATTTTGGCGGCCACATCAAGCAACGGACCCGCTGGGCCGTCGGCACGGTGGACACGTCCTTCAAGCTCCGGTTCTGTCTCTTCGGCGAGAAGGTGCGCCACATGAGCCTCGCCCAGCGCTTCTCGGGCTTCATGTACGCCTCCCTCAGCCTGTACACCATCCTCCTCACCGTCTCCCTCTTCGCCATCCCCGTGATCCTCGTCATGGGGAAGCCGCTCGTGGCCTTTGCCACCGACGAGCAGTTCCGCTGGCTCATCCGCGCCTGCTTCGCAGCCGTGGTGACCAACCGGCTCTGCGAGCTCGCCCTGTTCCTGCCGGCGGGGTACCACACGGGCCAGCGCGGGTCGCGCTACCAGCTCTGGATGGCGCCCTACCTGGCCCTCTGCATCCTCCGCTCCTTCGTGCTGCCGACGTGGCTGGGGGGCCAGAAGCAGGCGTTCAAGCCGACGGGGTCGCTGGCGTCGGTGCTCCACGAGCGCGACCTGAAGCACCGCCGGGGCATGCTGCGGCGCCTCCGGACCGTACTGGTGCACTACATGGCGGCGTTCCACCTGGGCTACGTGTACCTGACGCTCGCGGGCGCGGCCATGACCTCGTTCCGGTGCTTCTACCGCGGCGGCGCGGGCGCCGTGCCCATCATGAGGTGCCTGGTGACGCACGCGTTTTGGCCGCCGCTGACGTTCATCTTTCTGTGCAACTCGATGTGGACGCCCATCTCGTACGCCATCGACCCGCCCGTCATGCCGGACCGCGAGCGGCTGCTGGAGCGGGACGCCGCGACGGGGGTTGCGCACCCGACGCCGGAGAGCAAGAAGATTGCCTTCGGCGGGCAGGCAGCGTGGTTTGAGTTTGAGTATACTTTCTCGACGGTGTATACGGCTTTGGTTTTTGCGGCGTCTTTCATTTTCTTCTGACGTCTTTTTACATTGGATGTGAACACTGGGAGAAGGGGATTTTCTTGGGGGTGGACCCCTGGTAGGCTGCACGACTTTGACGTTGGAGTCCTGAACTCCTGTTTGAGCCAGCTATGATGAAACGCGCAGGAAGGGGATGGAACACACTTGGATGAGCAGAGAGAGACGTACGACGGCTGCAGCCACGCATGATGGGTATGAAGCTGCAGAATGGGACTTGTATTCATGGGGCTCGTGGTTGTATGGTTATGGTTATTATCCTTGGGATGGCGCTTCACGGTATGAAGTAATTCATAGTATTAGATCGATCTAGGCACGTCAAGTATGTATATATAATAACTACCAAAAGTTCATGTTCTTGCAGCAGATAGCTTCATAGTCTGAGCAAAGCGTCCTGTCCAGGTCTTGTAAGTGAGATGAGCTTTACCACTAGTCAACGTCCAAACAACGAGTTGGCCTAGCTTGTTTTTATGGAAAGACTTTGGGACGAAGTATAATGACTGCTCAGTGTGTTCTGTGCCATGTGGGAGTGAGTTGTGAATTCTCGGCATATCTAAGGCCAGATATCTAGGGGGCATAGTAAGCTCGAGAACGCCCGGACGGCACTGCTAGAGCTTCGGTCGTGGTTCCACGGTTATTGGAGCTTTCGGCACCGAACGGTAGATGGAGAATGCCAAAAGTAGTAAAAGCTCCCGGGTGATGGGGGATCCGAAACCAGGTTTCAGCAAGGGTATCATGAGCTCCATGCCGAGGAGAAACCATGAGCGACGAGCCTGAGAACGGAGTCTCGATGATCATGTCTGCATTTTTCACGGAGGGCATGACATGGTGGCGGTTCAACTGTACGGACCCCCTGACTCCCGCCGTCTATCGAATTTCCACGTATGACTTTTGTCCTTGCGGATATTGATGGGCACCAAGTTAAGCACAAGGAGTATCCATGGTCAAGAAGATGCTTCAAGTTGACCGAAACCCCTTTATTGAGTCTCAGGGATCTCGAAAACAACATGAACCTGACCCTGTCCATTTCTCCACCACTTATAACGGCCTTACTCCGATTGAGAGATTCGCCGTCACACGATGATCGGAATACTGAGTATAAAGACGACCATAGACGACCAGTCTCAATTGTAATTTTTTTTTTCGGTCTGTCTACCAATGTGTCTATCAGGGCAACCCCTACACCATGATCAAAGTCCAGGCAGATAAACCGTAACCCCTATTTCCAGCCCCCCTGAACACTGTGCTTACAACGCCAACAACCATGCTCCTCAAAGAAAGAACTGTCATCGCGGCCCTCGCTGTTGCCCTTCCCAGCGCTTTGGCCTGCGTGGCGGGAGGCAATATCCCCGCAGCCACCGAAACCATCAACAACGACGCCCCCATTGAGGTTGGCCCTGGTGAGGTCTTCGACGGCGGTATGGATTGGCTATTTGGATTTGATCTGATTGAACGGTAACGCTGGTGACTGGTAGATCCTCAACTTTTACGCCGAGGATTACGGCAAGGTGTACCGCTCCGGTGGCACGGTTAATAATTTCGCCGCATGGACCTCCCAAGAAGAACAAATAGTAGCTGACAGGTAAGCAGTGCGAGATGTGTAGGCGCGATGTCTACGTCGAGGGTGTCTCGGCTTACGGTGGCGGCGAGGTCGTCGGTATTAACATTCAGACCGGTGACACTGCTAAGCTCGTCAATGTCTGCACCGATGCCAATACTCCTTGTCAGCTGGGTCCTGTTAACGGACGACGTTCACGGTGCGGTGCGGGGACCACGGCGAAGTGGGGCCGGGCCGGAGCGGGGCGGGAGTCTGTGCAGAACAACCCGGATCGGGAAGTTGGCTAGTGAAGGAGGACATTGGCCAAGACAATGACTCGAATACAAGAAGCCTAGAGTGTTTTTAATGTTGGCTTGTATATATTCCAAAAAAAGAAAAAAGAAAAAAAGTTATTTATCTTCCAGTGTCGCCGCCGGAGCATACCACCCGCGCGTAACAATCACATTCACAGCCGAATCGACGAAGCCTCATTCAGAGAAATATCAACATCAACCGTCCTGCTACCCCTCCCATCATTGCCGGCAGCAGTGACACACAAAGTCCCAAGGACCTTAATCCTCGCGATCCTGACATCGGTCTCGTACCCAAACTGGCCGTCAATCGTAAGTGTGCCGTTCGCAAACCCAAACTCAACAAGCGTGATGCCGCCTCCCGGCTGCTCCACCGAGACCCCGTCGTCAAGGTACAGCTCGCCCCGCGCGGTGCCGTCGGCAGAGAGCGGCACGATGAGCTCAAAGTCGCGCCGGCGCACCTCGGCCGTGGTGTACGCCGACTCGGCGCGCAGGGGAAGGATGACGCCCGAGCGGATGAGGAGCGGGATGTCCGTGACGTCCTGGTCGCGGAACGTGTGGAGCGCGCCCCTGCCGCGGACGGGGCGGTGGGTGTACCAGTCGTAGAACATGTCGTCGGGGAGGTACGCGTCGACCGAGGTGGCGTTCTCCTCGAGGACGGGGGCCACAAGAACACCGTCTCCGTAGAAGAACTGGTGCTGCAGCGCCCAGGTGGCCTGGTCGTGCGGGTAGAGGTAGAACATGGGGTTCAGGACGGGGGTGCCGTCGAGCGAGGCCCGGTAGAGGGCCGTGTAGATGTAGTCGAGGAGGCGGTAGCGAATGTCGATGGCCCGGCGGGCGCTCTCGGCGACCGAGTCCCAGCGGTAGAACTCCTGGTCGCGCCAGTTGATGTCGTTGTGGTTGCGGTAGAAGGTGAAGAAGGCCCCCAGCGACGCCCACCGCGCGCAGAGCTGCTCGTTGGTGTCCTGCGCGAACCCGCACACGTCCGACCCGGCCATGGGGAACTGGTACAGCGCCGAGAAGGACAGGGTCGTGTGAATGGCGAACCGGTACTGCTCCCAGTTGGACACGTTATCACCCAGCCAGTGGCCTACTTTCCGCCCGTCGCCGGGGAAACTGCTCCGCGTGATGATGAAAGGGCGGAGGCCCGGTCGGCGGCTGAACATGGCGTCGCGCGACGCCGCGCCCATCATCTTGCCGTACAGGTTGTGCGTGTCGTACATGGCGAGGCCGTTCTGGTGCCGGATGTCGGTGTTGACCGTCCTGAACGAGATGCCGCCCTTGTCTGCGTTCCAGGAGAGGTCTTCGCCGGCCGCGTGGTTGTGGATGGCGTACTTGGGATACAGGAGGTCGCGTCCTGGCAGGCCCATCCAGTCGCTTTGAGGCTCCTGGCTTTCCTGACGTCTCTGCATTCTGGCGGGCGAGACGGGCAGACTGGAGCCCACCTGGCCCTGCTCAATGCCGGTGGAGTCACCGTCCTCACGCGAGTCACACCCGGGTGTTCCGCGGGGTTGGAAACTGCATGAGAAACCGGGGAGAGGTCGAGGCGGATCACGTACAGGAGGAGGGGTCGGGGGCATCCCCACGGCATCACCATAGGGGTCTTCGCAGAGACCCTCACAGAAGCTAGCCGGCTCGTTCATGTCGATCCATAGACCATCAATATCAACACCTGTGTCCTTGTCGAAGAAGAGCTCAAACTCGCCGTTCCAATACGCGGTGATATTCTCCGCGAACCAGTCCGGGAATACGGTAACGCCAGGCCAAACGACCTCGATATGCACCGAACCATTCTCCTTCTTCAGGAAGATGTCGTCGGCCAGGCCGCGCTGAACGATCGGAGACTCTGGGTCCCAGGCAATGGCGGGATCAACCATGACGATATACTGTTGGTTATTCTCGTGGAGATGATCCACAATCTCTCGGACCTTCTCCAGAGGGAAACGTTCCGGGTCGAGGGTGAAGACGGCGCGGGCATCCATGTAGTCGATGTCTGTCCACATGGTCTCGAGCGGGATGCCGGCTCGGCTGTAGTTGTACACTACTTCCGCGACCTCAAAGGCGTCTTGGTAACCGTATCTACGTAAGGAATGGGTAAGGAAAACATTTCTATACAAATAATAACCATGATGCAAAAAAAGACTTCATGATCGGTCAGCTCAACGTGAGAGGACCGCACTCACCGGCACTGGTGAAACCCGAGCGACCAGTACGGCTGCATCGCCGGCAGGCCAACAACTTCGGCATACTGCCTGGCGACATCGATAGGGCCAGGGCCGGCCAAGAAGTAAAAGTCAAGCACGCCACCGAGAATGTTATACTCAAGATATTGGCCAGCCTCCTCGGTGTTATTGATGAAGACATCCATGCCGTTCGAGTTGAGCAGGAACACGCCGTGAGTGCCGGTCTCACGCTGCTCGACGTAGAACGGGTGGCTACCGTAGAGATTCGTGCCGGGGGGTACGCCATAGCTGTCCCGGTTCCAAAGGGTGCGGGTGTAGTTGGTGGCATTGAGCCGGAAGTTGTCCGTGTGCTCACCGAGACCGTACAGGTAAGGGTCGCTGGGAAGGCTGGCCCGGAGGCGGAGGTACTGCGATTCGAAGACGAGGGGGGCGGCGGATGTGTCGAAGAGGAGTTCGTTCGTATCGGCGCGAACGATGGAGAAGGAGAAGGGGTTCTCGGTATAGACAAATTTGATTGCGCTCTCAGCTGCCGGGCCGCTTCCGCTGGGTCGTGGGAAAGCAGACTCGGGAATCTGATAAACCTGGTTTGCTTGATCCTGAATCTTGACGTGGATTCGGGTTTCTTGTTGATTCGTTCTTTGTTAGCCGACGCGCATGATGCATCGACCGGTTTGTAAGGGTGATTGTGATTCGTGAACTCAGGGGTAGACTCGGTAGACTCGGTAGACTCACCAGTCTCATAAGTCACAGAAAGCACGAGGTCATCCAGGTCGTCTCCGTATGCGTTGCACGCCGGGCCAGCGAGCCTTAAATCGGCCGTTAATCCCGTCTCGCTCGGCCGGATATTAGAGGCCGCATATCCAGGGCAGTCATTCAACCTGTCGTAGTTCGGCCCTGCTTCTCTCGTCACCAGGGCGGCCGAGGCCAGCCCGGAAAAGAGAAGTGCCTTCCAGTGCGGCGACATGGCGGCGGATAGGAGATGAGTGTCTGTTAGCTGGCGACGAGTCGAATGCCGATACGCCCATGTCGTTTCGCAAACGGCCGAGAGTGGGCCGTCGCAACCATATTTATAGAGCTGTCAGCTCAGCAGCTTGATCGGCTCCCCCGCAAAATCGAGAGTCCGCAATGAGCAGTGATTGGCATGCCAAAGGAAAAGCAGAAGACTCGCAGAGACCGGCCATCAGACCATGCAAGCTGCCGTCTTTTCGACCGTCTTTTCGACCGAGACTCGACGAGGGGCGTTGGCTCCATAGCTACGTCAGTCGTCAGTCGTCAGGGGCCAGGGGCAACCCGTCTTACCCCAGCCGCAGACGCAAGGTTTCTGTGATTTTGCCCTTTGAAAGTGTCACTCGCTAAAATAGGGCGACATAGTGCCGGAATATGAACGAGGAGGAGGCGGCAGCGAGCGAATGAGAAGTTGCCGAACACGCAGCCAAGGCGCGGGTGGTGACGGGGGCTTTCCGGGGTCATAGGCCGGCCCTAGGCCCCCCAGCCACAGAAGGATTGGGCTTCAGCCGCGTAAATGCGGAGTCTGCAGACGGTACAACGCAACACACAGAATACCTACAACGTACCGCATGCAGGAGCGGAGTGAAGGCGGAGTGGACGTGAGGATTATGGGGGCCAGGGGATGATGTGCAGAGTAGGGCCGATAACGGGTTTTCGCTCTGGCGAGTCTGGCCCAGAGGTCGCCTATGAAGGTGGCGTGAAGAGGTAAGATAGAGACTAGAGAGCACGTGGAGCCAGGAGGTAAGACCAGACGGAGTAAGCACCTTGACTCTCGTGGCCCGTCCCGAGGTCCCAGGACGTAATCTTGGATTCATCAATCAGCCAGGGAAATATCTCTTGATGGCTGGACGGGGTCGGTGGATCATAATGCTGCATGAGAAGATCGGCCGATCGATTTGACAGAACACCCACCTCGGGGGCAATGCCGAGATGGGAAACCGGAAGCCTCATAATGGACGAGGGAAAATAGAAACTCCCTACCATCGGATTCTCAGGGGTTAATGTCGATTGAAGGTGAGCCAAGACAAAGAACCCAAAAGCAAGCTGCAACCATGTATACTTACGGCATCTGTCGGGGACTTCTCGGTCTCAAAGAACTCCTGATGCTCCCCCATAGCTTTAACCACACCCAATAAGGGTCGAAGACCGGTGTGCGACGGTTATACCACCGTATAAGCCCCGATATTTCTTCCCGTCCCACCCGGGAGAGCCGAGAGCCTCATCGGTCCGTGTCATAGTGGTCCCATGAAATGCCGAATAGACTCGTTCACGTACTCCGTAGTAAAGAGGAAGAAAAGACCAAGTAACTGTCGCGTCACCATGTGGAAATCCTGAATACCATTGGGCTTTCGGGGCGGCGGCCAGGCCCAACTGAAGACGGAGAATGTTGTTGCATCGGCAGCGGATGGGCTAGAAGTGGCGCCAGAGTAAAGCCGGTCATTACGTACTTGATAGTAGAGCCGATGTAAAAATGCTCCGTAGGCATGCTGAAGATGACACACCTTGTGTAAGCCGCCTCAATCATCTTAATCAGCTGCTGTTGGAAAGAAGCACGGGGACACCACGGAAGAAAAGAAAAGGGGCGACAAAGCCACTGCGTCTCAGCACAGCCCGAATATTCGACCGATACCAACAATGCGGCCTCCGGGCTGATTTGGGCAACTCCCATGTGCACACTTGTAATCCACGTTACCTACATCGTCGAGCTTGCGGTGGTTGTGACAGGACCGGTTGCCCCGCAGGCGCAAATGTCGAGAAGGTCGTTGTGGGTGCCCTCGCCTGGGGTCAGGACGGTGAATTCTTCAAGTACGTGGAGTATGATTACGGCGGTGAAGAGGGTCTCCATTGAAGGAAGACGAGGAAGAGAGGTTGGAAACACCCAGTCGGCAAGGCCTTCGATGCCATGCCGGAAGAGCGTGGATTCGACTCGATCCAGGATAGGCCAGACAGGACGCTCAATGTGGATGATCGCCCTTATAAGGTCATCCGCTGTATCGGGGGTTGTCATCGCCTCTACTGACGAGATGTGATTGCCTGGTTAAGGTGAGGGTAAGGTTCGAGGTGAGGGCCGGCAGTTGAGGCCGTTGGAGAGAAGCGGCCGTTGAAGAATTGTGCCGGTCCTGGTCGTCATACTCGTACTCGGGGTAGGAGGCTGCGTTTTCGACCGAGTTCCGTTACAGGCTCAGACTCGTCGCCGTTTCCCGGATACCTGCATGTGGTCAAAATCCAATGACTCGAATCCCGATTCTCGATTCTCGATTCTCACTGCTCAGCCGCCCGGGTACAGGGCACCGTTTCCCGTTTTGAGGGAAGCCGCCATGGGGTAAATGGATGAATATGTCCCCTTGTATATTCACGACGAGTATCGAGGCATTGTCCGCATGTGGGCAGGGCACGATCGCCTGGGTAATGATTAGTCGTTGTTGTTGACGACTTGACATCGTGGGATTTTGCTATGGAGTACGAATCAGCAGGAGCACGGACATGTGCGCCGGGGATTACTCAGCAACATGCTTCTTGGAAAGTGGGTCCAATTCGTCTTGGTCTTTGGGTTGAGGTACTGCTTCGCAATTACTCCGTACTCCGTTCCTCACTACGTGTAGGTACCTACCTACCTACCTACTCTGCAACCAATGAATACCCAAAAGATACTACCGGACGGGGGTAATCTAGTACGACAGGTTCACTACCTAACACAAGACAGCTGGTGATGGAAATGGAAGGTCTTGGAGGTATATCGGACTCATTCTCTGCCCGACACGATCGCGCGGTTCTCCCCTGGGTGATAAGGTGCCAGCCTGCATGGGGTTCTCGGGTATGATTGCTTTGCACGGTCTACCCCAGCTCTCGTCCAACCTCCCCTCTTCTCTAATGTCCACTAAAAGTCCTTGGGGGCCAAGCACCGGTCCGGGTTGAAATACTCGAACGACTTGGGGACATACCTAACGAGGTACCTAGGTAGGATGATATTGGGGAGCCGATAAGACTAAGGTAAGGTACCTACGAAGTCAAAGCTGGTTGTGGCGTCCATGTGCCGGCTTGGTCTTCGGGAAGTAAGATGTAACTTTAACTCCCTACCTTATCATGTATCTATTTCATCTCGGTAGACGTCGAATGTTCTCCTCGGTCAACCATCGACGAACGAACGCACCATTTTTGTACTCCGTAAGCATAACCTGGGGTTCAGTGTCCAGCGAAGGGCAAAGGAGAAAAATCACTACCTAGAGTGAAAGTCCCCGGTGTCGGTTTCTGTCTGTTCCCGTCGCTTCCCCGGGTTCCCCTCGGTGATCTACGTTCAACCCCGTGGAGTTGTTGGAATCTTGGCCCGGTCTGTTGGTGTTGGTACATGAACTTGACTGTACTTTTCGTCCCACATTTGAGGACTTTGAGGACGCAACCGCCCGCCCGGCACTTCAACTAATTCTTCCCCGAAAGTTTTATTTCTTTTCAACTTTGTATTTGTACAGCCTCGTTTATTCATTCTTCCGCCTCGTCGACTTTTTTTTTTTTTCCGCGGGGGGGAGTTGTCTGGTCTCAAACTTGGGTGTGTTTCTGACCGGCCAATTCACCTTTCATTCCATATTGTCTTTGGATGTTTTTTTCATCATGGCCGAAAAATCCGGCCAAGACGTCGTCGCTCCGGCGCCTAGCCGTCCGTCCCACGACGAGAATAACGGCCACGACCACGACCACGACCACGACCATGGCCACGTCCCGAAGCTGTCCGCCGCCTTCGTTCAGGATGCGAAATCCGCTTCCGACAAGGAGCGAAAGATGACCCTGCTTCAGGGTGTCCGCTTGTATCCCAAGGCCATTGGCTGGAGTATGCTCATCTCTACGTGTATCGTCATGGAAGGGTAGGTCTTGGACGGTCCTGGGCGGGATATTCACTCATTCATTCATTCGTTTGCTTTTCCCTTCTCTCATTTTTGTATTTTATTTTATTGTTTGTTATTCTTGTTTACTTTCCTCCCCATGGCCAAAACATGCTAAAAATAAGGCAACACCTGCGCGGGCAGATATGACATCTCCCTCGTCTCCAACTTCTTCGCCTTCCCCCAGTTCAACCAAAAGTTCGGCGACCTCCAGCCTAACGGCTCGTACGAAATCTCCGCCGCCTGGCAGGCCGGTCTGACCAACGGCGTAGCTGTCGGTGAGATCATCGGCCTCTTCATCAACGGCTACGTCTCCGAACGCTTCGGCTACCGCTGGACCGTCATCACCGCTCTCGTCTGCCTCACCGGCTTCATCGCCATCTTTTTCACCGCCCAGAACGTCCAGACCTTGCTGGTCGCCGAAATCCTCTGCGGTCTCCCCTGGGGCGTCTTCCAGACCCTCACCATCACCTACGCCTCCGAGGTCTGCCCTATTGCCCTCCGTGGCCACCTGACCACCTATGTCAACTTTTGCTGTGCGTATTTCCACCTCCCCAGGCCACTCATCATCGAGTCTAGCCCCCATCGGTCGTTCGACGTTACTTCGCCATGGATGAATTCAAAAGACGAATGGAAATTAGTACTGACCGTTTCACCTCAGGGGGCCTGGGTCAGCTCATCGGCGTCGGCGTCATCTCATCCATGATCGACAGACAGGATGAATGGTCGTTCCGCATCCCCTACGCCCTGCAGTGGATGTGGCCCGTACCTCTGATCCTCGGCGTCTTCTTCGCCCCCGAGTCGCCCTGGTGGCTCGTCCGCAAGGGCAAGCTGGACGAGGCCAAAAAGTCGTTGCTGCGCCTGACCAGCAAGAACGACGAGACCGACTTTGACGCCGACGAGACGGTCGCCATGATGGTGCACACGGCCGCCCTGGAAGAGAAGATCACTTCCGGCGTGTCCTACTGGGACTGCTTCCGCGGTATCGACCTGCGCCGGACCGAGATCGTCTGCTGCGTCTGGGCTACCCAGAACCTCAGCGGCAACTCCTTCTCCAACTATTCCACGTGAGCATTGTCCCCTTATCCTTAACGTGGATGTATACTGTCACCGTGCGGCGGAGCCCCTGCATGGTGCGACTTTTCGTCCCTCCGTCGATGCTAATTCCGAGCTTTGTCGATCAGGTACTTCCTGACGCAGGCCGGTCTCTCCACCGAGAATGCGTACAGTTTCGCCATGGGCCAGTATGCCATCAACATGGTCGGCGTGTTTGGCGCGTGGGGCCTCATGTCGTGGGGCATCGGTCGTAGACGGTTGTATATTGGTGGCCTGATGGGCCTCTTCTCCATGCTCCTGATCATGGGCTTCCTCGGGCTCGTCCCCGCGTCGAACCGGGATCAGGGCGCCATGGCGACCGGCAGCATCATGATCGCCTGGGCCCTCTTCTATCAGCTCACAGTTGGAACCATCACGTATTCGCTAGTCGCCGAGCTGCCGTCTCGTAGGCTGCAGATCAAGACAGTCGTACTCGGCCGAAACCTCTAGTGAGTCCTCTTCCCCATTGTCCACATCACCCTCATCACCGTCCGATTCAAAGTGACAGGCTCAGCTGACTGGTTGGCAGCAACGTCGTGGGCATCGTCAACAACGTCATCACCCCGTACATGCTGAACCCCACAGCGTGGAATTGGCAAAACTTTGCCGGCTTCTTCTGGGTAAGCAAGTCTATACACAGTAGCCCTTCCTTTTCCCCGTTTTGATCATCTCCGGTTGACAAATGACAAAAAACAGGCCGGATTGTGTTTCCTGTGTCTCGTGTATGCTTTCTTCCGGCTGCCGGAACCTCGCGGGCGCACCTTCGCCGAGCTCGACGTTCTCTTCGAGCACAAGGTCAGCGCTCGGAAGTTCGACAAGACCAAGGTGGACGTGTTCCAGGAGGATGTCGCGGGCGAGGGTCTAATTAGCAACTTCCACGGGCGGATAACGGGCCCCTCTGCGAAGACGACGACGACAACAACAACAACAACAACAACAACGGGCGCGTAAGTATACTGAAGAGTGCCGAGGGAAACTTGTTGGACTGGTGCCGGGGTAAATCTCCGCTGCCGCGTGGTGCGCAGATGATTTGGAACTTCCAGGGTCGTCCGTTACCCAGTACCTCGGGGCCATAATATACCGCACGACCACCCTATGATCGTCGACATCAGCGACGGAAAAGGGCTGCGAGTTGTATCCGTCCTCATCACGGCGATCATGGACCCATGGTGGCACGCGCCATGTCGCTTCCGCTTTGCGTGGCTGGCTACCGGGTTGGAAAGTTGGATAAGATGATGGGGTTCATGGAAGTGGTGTATATTATATATGCGATCGATGATATTCGTACATACCATAAGGTAGTCGTAATATGCGTTGTGATTTTGTAATCTAGCAGCTTCCCTAAGGTACTTGAGTCATAGTTTTTTGCGACTTGGCTGACCCTGGGCTTTTTGTCCAAATTCCCAAGTCATTGTGCCATAGCAATCGGGGCACGACGGTAGTATGCTATAGTGTATAGGAGAGAAAGGGAAGAAATGCCAGGTAAACAGAAGACCAAAAAAAAAAAAGTGAATAGAAAAGTCCCACCTCTGTTGTCTCGTGATGTTGATCCGAGTGGACTTGGGTGGACTTGGGTGGACTTGGGATGGAGAACAGGACCCGCTCAGGTACGCATTACAGGTACCACGGGCCAAAGTGCCTGATACGATTTGCGATGGGAATAATTAGGTAGGTACACAAGCTACCTTGACACGGCTACGATGCTAGGTGAAGTCACTTCCACCGACGGAATGGTCATACCTCTAAAAAGTCGAGGTAGCGACTTTGGTCTTCGTATTGAATTAACAAGATGGTTCACCCAACAATTTCTTGAATACGAAGAAGGTACGGAAGGTACATTCCAGCTACCCTTCCGGGCCTTTAATCACAGTGGTAGGGAAATGGGGCAGTAGTACCAGAAGCGGTGTAGCCAGGAGTTGACTTTGTTCCGTTCTTACGGTACCCCTTTCGTCACTCACCGAAATATGCAGAATGAATCGTCGGCGCCTGGCATTTTAGCTCCCAACTTCTTCCCACATATGACTTCGTCGACCCCGACAAATCCTGTTCTCCGAACACACACCGCGCCGTAATACACCTTGTTTACACCGGCGTTATGTCCCAGGAAGTTTCAATCGGCTAGTCGCCGTCGTCATAGGGGCGATTATTGCCGCCAATGAAGACCTTGGATTTCCCCATTTGACGATCCCACTGGTTTGACTGGGGATAGTCTTTCAAAGGTTCTTTTCCTTTATCTTTTCTCTCGTTCGCCGCAGTCTGGTGAGGTGATCTCTGTGAGGCTATAAGAGCCAGGGACGTGGTCACTGTCAGTCTTTTATGCTGACGCACGTTTGTCATCTTCACCTTATCCATCGCCTGCCGCCATCTGCGTCGTTTAATGCCCAGGTTTTTGATCTTCAAGTGATACCAAGGCAGCCCAGTCATAGTTTTTCTTTTCTTTTTTCTTTTTCTTTTTGTCGCCAAAAGCTCGACAGTTCAGTCCATCATGGTCACGGCAGCAAGGCTCTTCTTCCACACAGGCCCCGTCGGCGGGCAGGCCCTCGAGGCGACGGAAGACCTCATCGACGAAGTCAACATGATCAAAGGCAAGAAGCCCACGATGATGGCGAAGAAATACCCACGAGCAGCTACCGAGACGGCCTCCCACCTGGAGTCCCGGTTCGACGCCGACAAGGACAAGACAATGTTCCGGCAATACACGGAAGCATGCGAGCGAGTCAAGTCATTCTACGCAGAGCAGCACCGAAAGCAAACCGTCGACTTCAACCTCGCAGCGCGGGAAAAGTTCGCCATCGACGACACGTCGCCGCCGCGCGACGAGATGACCATCTGGGAAGCCATGGAGAAGCTCAACACGCTGGTGGACGAGTCGGACCCGGACACGGAGCTGTCGCAGATCCAGCACCTCCTGCAGACGGCCGAGGCGATGCGACGCGACGGCAAGCCCCGCTGGATGCAGGTCACGGGTCTGGTGCACGACCTGGGCAAGCTGCTCTACTTCTACGGCGCCGAGGGCCAGTGGGACGTCGTGGGCGACACGTTCCCCGTGGGGTGCGCCTTTGACGACCGCATTGTCCTGCCCGAGACGTTCTCTGCCAACCCGGACGCGTCGCACCCGGTCTACTCGACCCAGTTTGGCATGTACGCGCCTGGGTGCGGGGTTGCGAAGCTGCTTATGAGCTGGGGACACGATGAGTACATGTACCAGGTGTGCGCGCGCCAGTCGCGGCTGCCGAGGGAGGCTCTGGCCATGATTCGGTACCATTCTTTCTACGCGTGGCACCGCGAGGGGGCGTATCACGAGTTTATGCGCGAGGGCGACCAGGAGCTGCTGGATGCTGTTCGGGCGTTTAACCCTTATGATCTGTACAGCAAAAGCGACGATGCGCCTACTGTGGAGGAACTGAAGCCGCATTACCTTGAGTTGATTGATGAGTTTTTCCCTCAAAGGGTTATTAGGTGGTGAGGTGGGGGCAACGGTATACCCTGCTATGGCGTTTGGTTCTATTTCCCCACTCCTAATATTTCGTCCTCTACCGCATGTTAATAGGTCAGGACGCTTCGTGTTACTGGCACGAAAACTTTGCAATTCCCTGACCAAATGAGAGAAACAAGAGATGCAGGCCCATCGTCAGACACTGGACTCAAAACTTGGTCCGCATCCCTGACCTTAGTACTGAGTAAGCACTAGTGAGGAATAAGAAAAAGAAGGGGTTTGGTCTTTGGATTGAAACCCTGTCACGTGAGACGGTAAAGGACGATAAGCATCGTCGGCAAAGCACGCAAAAATCGATCGACCCAGAGACAAATTCATCTTGGCAACAAACTGCGCCGCACCGAATTCCCCAATGCCGGGAAAAGCCAAGCCGGGCAAAACTGGACGAAGGAGCACGACCAGCGACCGTGAAGGCCGTGATCCGGGAACCGAAAGCCGGGTTTTCGGAAGAGTGAAACAGGACGAGGAGAACAATAAGATCCGGAAAAGGGGAAGATGAAGATGAGAAGAAAACAATGTTTTGGCTAAAATGGGCCCGGCCATACGAAGAAGGGAATCTTTATTACTTTGTACTTTTTCCCTCCCGGCGTGTACCGTATGTTACGCTGCGAAGAGGACCGCCATGTCGGCGATTCCTTACTACATACTGCTTATTATCCCCTGGGGGTTCGTTCCCGTTTCCTTCATCCGTCACCGTCTGGACAATCATGGAACTTCCCGTTCTAAAGTGATGCTTAATCAATTTTAGTCAACCTTGGTTCTTCTGATGCGACCCAGCTGGAGGAATGGATCGATGGCCCTTTTAGCCCCGGAAACTAGAGACGGACTGGAATAAGTCCAATTGCTTCGCCACTTTTACGTCGCCATGGCCTCCTCGCCTGGTCCCCCTTCTTTTCTTCCCTTTCTCCGATTAGCGGGGAAAGAGAAAGAGATAATATGTATTTACAGTGCAAAATATTGTGTTTGCATTCCGTGACAAGCAAGTAAAAATGAAGATGAAGCCTTGGACAATAAAAATTCTGATGAAGGCTGACGACGTCAGCCGCCGATCCCCCTGGACTAATGGGCTTGTGTTGCTTGGCTGTCAGGGGCGTAAGAGCAAGAGATCGGCAATCCAGTGTATTTCATCGCATTTCAACGGAGACACGACTGTCGATCTCGACTTGTCCATCACAGATAATGCATAAGGTAGCTTTAATACCTGTAGGTATCCGTACTCGCAACGCCTTGGTTACGGGATACGTCCCCGTCGCTCTCCGTCCCTCCCCGCCTCGTCACTCGTCACTTCCCTGCTTTCGCCTTCTCTTGCCTTCAGTTCAGGCCCCCCCCCACTTCCCTTCTTTTCCCAGTTTTGCGTTGCCTCTATCGTTTCATCTTTTGAGTCCGTTCGAAGTACTTCGAAATTACATAACAAACGTATATGCCCATATTCCTTCCTTTACCAGGGACAGTACATGGCTTAATTCTTCTGACCGGCCTCACTCTTAGTCTCTCCTTCCTCAACACTACGTTTCCATTCTCTTCGACTCTTTGGCCCTTCGTCTCTTCGACCACACATTCGCTACCTTAATATTCCGCCCTTCTCCTTTGACTGTTCCTACTATTCCTTTCCTTTCCATCTTTCTTTGAATCTTCCCATTTCCTTCGGGAACCCCTTTCTTACCTAGTCATTTTAGTATAGCGTCGTCCCGAGCTAGGAGCCGTTCCAACGGTCAACCGTTGCAGAATAAACCCGCCTTGGCGTTCTTCGTTCCTGGGCCCCTGCTTGTTCATGCGCACACCTTGCCCCGGGCCGAGGGCCAGCTAATAAGAAACGATCGCATGAAATCTAGATATCCTCCACGAAGGCGGAGTTGGTAGATCACGATCTTTTGGGTTTTGTTTCGACCCCAAGACCGACTACTTCCCGGCCACCATGGAGTCGCTCTTCTCGAGGCTTCTCCGCATCGTCGCTGGCGCTCTGTTCGTCCTGATCATCGCCCACCGCACGTTTCTTTTCCATCATGATGACCCCTACCGCTGTCGTCCGGTGCTCAACTCGGGTTACTGGGCTGATCCCCCAGACGAGAACGGCAGTCGTGCACCTTTCGAAAACTGGCGAGTCGATGGCTGCCTCCTTCACCAATACTCTTCGGAAGACATCCGTCAGTGCTTCCAAGGCCGTTATGCCTTGTTTGGTGGCGACTCGACCACGCGCCAGGTCGCCTTTGGTCTCGGTCGTTTGGTATGTCACGTTCCTTATCTACTCCCCATACAATAGAATAATAGTAGTGTATACTATACTGTACAGCACTGCGCGAGATCCAGTGTACCGCTTTTCCCAGTCTCGACAGCCCCCGTCGTTTGCCACAGTCGTCACCTTGGCAAAGTAAAGAGTCTTTTAACTGATCTTGCCGTCCTTCTCCAACAGCTCGAACGCGATGAGGCCGTCTGGCAGCATAAGCACATGGACATCCACCGCTCCTTCAACCTGACATACCACGGCGTCCAGATCCAGCAGCACTGGAATCCTTACCTCAAGATCGCCGGCGAAGAACCTTACGAGGCTTTCGGTGAGCAGGTCGAACTTATTGGTCGGGAACACAAGAACCCGCCCACATCCTTCGACGACCAGGAGGGCCCCGCCCTCGTCATGCTGGGCGTCGGCGCCTGGTTCACGAAACCGAGCAATGGCTACGAAGATCCCGTGGAGGCCGAGGCCGAGACCATGCGCAACGTCTCCGATGCCATTGGCAACAGGCGGGACTGGCTCAGGGAGCCCATGCATCCCATCGATGGCATCGGTAACCAGGTCTTCTTCGCTCCGCCATCTGGACCTTACTACACCGGTGACGACGCCGAGAAACGCAAAGAACGCCTCGCTATGGGTAGTAAGGTCAAGGAGATTCAAAACTGGATGGCCACCGATATCTCTGAAGGCGACTATAACCTCGACCTGGCTTGGGCCCTTGCTGGCACCGTCGAGGACCAGAACGACACCTTTGTTGATCCCCATGGCACCGGCTTCCACGTCACTGACGGCGTCGCGGAAACCAAGGCCAACATCTTGTTGAACCTGCGCTGCAACGCCGTCCTCGACCGCATCCAGGGGTACCCATACACTCGCACCTGTTGTACCGACTACGGCAATAAGAACCTGACACAGACCATCCTCGTCGCCGCCGGCATGATCTACCTAACCGCCTGCGTCCTTTTCGACACTGCCAACCTCGTTGTGACGCGTCAAGGGAAGCCCCGAGTCGGTTGGTCCTGGCTCGGCATGGACACCGGCGCCTTCGTCATGGCCGTGCTGATGTGCTTCTACGCCGACCGCACCCAACTGTTCGCCAAGAAGGAGAAGAACTGGTCGTGGACCGACTTCATCGTCTTCTCCGTACCCTCTATCATCCTCGCCCTCATCACCATCCGCAAGTCTAAGCCGCCCCCTCCCCGCCGTGGGGGTGCCGATAACCCGGCCGCCGTCGACCCGACCAAGCAAGCCGACCAGCCATTCCTCTCCCGTGAGCAGACCGACGAGTGGAAGGGCTGGATGCAGGCCCTCATCCTCATCTATCACTGGACCTCGGCCAAACACTCGTCCAGCATCTACATTTTCGTCCGCCTTTGCGTCGCCGCCTACCTCTTCCAAACCGGATACGGACACACCACCTATTTCCTCAAGAAGAAGGATTTCTCCTTCCACCGCGTGGCCTCCGTCCTGCTTCGCCTCAACCTTCTCCCGTGTACACTGATCTACTTCATGAACACGGACTACATGTTCTACTACTTCTCGCCGCTGTGTAGCTTCTGGTTCCTCATCGTCTACCTGACGCTCGCCGTCCGGAACAAATCCAACGACGACACGCAGTTCGTCCTCGCCAAGACCTGCATCTCGGCCGTGCTGGTCGCTGTCACCATGCTCGCCACCCCTCTGAACCGCTGGGCCTTCTGGGTCCTGCGAACCGTCTTCCACATCCAGTGGAGCGTCCAGGAGTGGGAGTATCGCGTCGCCCTGGACCTCTTCGTTGTCTACACCGGCATGCTGGCAGCCCTGGCCTACGTCAAGTTGAAGGAGGACGTCCGCGCTCCTCTGCGCTGGGCGATGGCTCTTCTCGGCTCGGCCGTCATTGGCGGTTACTCATACGCCTCCGTGTCCGTGTCCGTCGCCGACTACAGGCACTGGCACCCGTACACCGCCTTCGTGCCCATTTTTGCTTTCATCGCCGTGCGCAACGTCTCGGGCCCTGTGCGGAACTACTACTCTGCCGCCATGGCCTGGCTCGGCAAGTGCTCGCTTGAGACCTACACGCTGCAGTTCCACATGTTCCTGGCCGCCGATACCAAGGCCGTCTTGCTCGTCGACGGCCTGTTTGGGGGCGGCGACTACACCATCTTGGGCGATCGCTGGCGCTCGCTCGTGGTGGTCGTCCCCGTCTTCATCTGGGTGAGCTCCATCACTGCGACGGCGACGGGACATCTCGTCAAGCTTCTGTTGACTACTCCCACGCCGCCGGACAATGGCGGACATCACGCCTCTCCCGACTCATCGACGGCGGCGGATCTTGAGAAGAACGAGGAGGGGTTTGAAGACGATTCGCGTGCTGGTTTGCTTGGTGCTTCTCGATCCGCCGTCTCGCGATGGCGCCGCACCAAGTACATCCCCACCATGCGGTCCATTGCCTACTCGCCCCAGGCGCGTATCGTCCTCATTTTTCTCATCATGTGGTTCCTCAACCTCATTCAGTCGATCCCGGATCGGACTGTCCCTGACGGATACACTCCGACCAACGCCGTCAAGGCGCAATCTGGGTGAAGGAGATCCGGGTAGTAAGAACAACAATGGCGGCGTCATACGAAATTATTTGACTAGGAAACGTGACACAGCACTGCTGGATGGGTCTGGAGTACACGCATCTAGCTTTGGATTGTTTGATTCATTTCTCCCGTTACTTTACACCATTGGGTTTTGGGGCGGCGTAGCGGCTTGGATGGTTCGGGTACTATGGACGTGTAACATAAAAAATAATGAGCGACTGCATAGATTCTTTTGAGTGTTCTTGGTTATTTTGTGATCTTACTGGCGCTGCTCCACGAGGACGTTTTGTTACCACAATATGTCATAATAACATGCAAGGTGTTGCTTATACCTCGTGAGGATGGATCCCTCGATAGTTCATAGATGTCACTGAATCTTCCGTAAATTCTGCATACTGTAGACATTAGCTGATGACACAGTACGCCATGCATTGGCAGATGGGTAACACTCTAGAGGAATATGAGAGTGGCTTTATTTCACAGGACGATGAAAACAATGTAAATCTGGGCTTTTTTATAAAAAGAAAGTTGTAAGAAAGTTGTAAGTCTTGTCAGAATGGCAGAATGGCAATTTTTGGTGCGAGGCCCTTTTCATCCAAGAATATGAAAACGGATCATACGCTTAACTTGGGTCCTAGAGAGCAGTGTGACAAGCCCATCTGTCGAAGAGGAGAGAGAACACGGTCGGGAAAACATAAATAGGATTGGATATGAAAAAAAAAAATTGGCAACTGCCTGTATTCTAGGGAAGCAAAAGGGAAACTCAATGTACAAGACAACAAAACCCGTTCCCTGCAACCCGACGAGGTAAAGCAGCATTACTGACTGACAGAGAGATCAACGCAACTGTACACGGGACTCAGGTGCTGGACACCCCCCTTTCGTTTTCGTTTCCCCATCTGCAGCCGGGAAGGTGAGGGTTACTTACTCTTCCCAGCTCCAAATATCCCAGTCTCGAAAATGTGAGGGATGTCTGAGAGGTAGAGGTAGAAGAACTCCGACGGGTGGAAAAAAAAAAAGCAACTCCAGCTATTCCCCCCCTCGCCGCAAGAATAATTTTTCCCCCCGTTTCCTTCTATAGTCTCGAGAGCGCGACGCTGTGGAAACAGTCTTTCCCCCTTTCACCCAACCCCCCGATCTCGACAACAGCGATAGGACGCGGCTATAGAAGAAGCTGGAGAGGGTTCTCAAGCACCTTCTTGAGCTCCTTCAGGTACTCGGCGCCGACGGCACCGTCGACGACGCGGTGGTCGAAGCTGCCGGTGATCTTGATCTGGTCGTCCCACTCGACGCCGGTGGAGCCGTCGTCGTTCTCGGCGGGGACGGCGACCTTCTTGGTGCTGCCGATGGCGAGGATGGTGGACTGGGGCGGGTTGATGATGGCGGAGAAGTGGTCGACGGCGGGGTTCATGCCCATGTTGGAGATGGAGATGGAGCCGCCCTGGTACTGCTCGGGCTTGAGCTTGTTGTCGCGGGCCAGCGCGGCGAGGGCCTTGACCTGGGCCGAGATGGACTCGAGCCCGCGGGCCTCGACGCCGGTGACGATCGGGGTGATGAGGCCGGTCGGGGTGGCGACGGCGACGGAGACGTCGACGGTCTTGTGCTGCCGGATGACGTCGCCGCGCCACGAGGCGTTGACCTGCGGCACCTTGCGCGAGGCCACGGCGATGGCCTTGATGAGGAAGTCGTTGACCGAGAGCTTGTAGCTGCCCTCGCTGGCGGCGTTGAGGGCGGCGCGGAGCTTGAGGAGCTTGCTGACGGAGATGGAGCTGGTGACGAAGAAGTGCGGGCTGTTCTGCACGGATTCCTGCAGGCGCGAGGCGATCACCTTGCGCATGCCGCTGATGGGCACGTCCTCGTAGGTGGCGCCGGGGGCGGAGGCGGCGGTGGCAGGCGAGGCGACGGCCTTCTTGACGTCCTCCTCGGTGATCTTACCGCCCTTTCCGGTGCCCTGGACGTCGTCCACCTTGATGCCGTTCTCCCTGGCGAGGCGGATGGCGGCCGGGGTCGCGTTGGGGTGGCGGTCAAGGGAAGGCTCGAGGAGGCCGCCGGTCGACTGGGAAGCGGGCTCGGGTTCGGGCGCGGGGGTAGGGGCGGGCGCGGGCTGGGAGCTGCTGAATTCGGTCTTCTCCTCCTTCGCGGCGGGCTTGGGGGCGTCGCCTCCGGCATCGGCGGCGGTAAAGCCCTCGAAGGAGCTGACATCGGTGCCTTCCTCGACGAGAACAGCAATCGGCTAGACGAAGGTTATTCAGTTAGATGAATTGTTCTCGAGATTGCCAGTGTATTGAAGAGAAGGAGCGGATGAGGTAGAACGGGAGAGAGATATAAAGGGGGGGGGAGGGGAAAAAAAGGGAAAAAAAGAAAGAAAAAAGAAAAAAGAAAGAAGAAAAAAAGAGAAAGTTGCATACGCTGCCAACGGGGACGTCCTTCTCGCCAGTCTCCTTCAAAAGCTTCGCAACGACACCCTCCTCTTGGAACTCAAAGTCCATCTGGGCCTTGTCGGTCTCAATCTCAACAAGCACCTCACCGGGCGCGATGGTATCGCCGGGCTTCTTCTGCCAAGCGCCAATACCGCCGGCCGTCATGGTAGGCGATAGCGCCGGCATCTTGATGACAGTGTGCGGCGGATACGAGGCGTAGAGGCGGATCGTCTGATAGAGGCCATTCCGGAGGAGACCCTGGGAGAGGGCACCCCTTCGTAGTACGGTGGAAATCATTCTGAGAGATGGGGGGAGGGAGAAAAGGGGTTGAAGGATTAGGAGAAAGGTGTCCTTGGGGAGAAAGAGGTCCAAAAGAGACCGGCGTAAAAGAATCGAAAAGGCAAAGGGGAACGTCGAAACAAAGACCTTGGAATAAGAGTCGTTCTTTGCTTCGTACAACAGCCGCCCAAAAGCAATTGAAGACGAATTGGGGATGGCGAAACAACAAAAACGGAAGGGGGCGAAGAAGGCGGCGCGGGATTATTGTTTCGTGATGGTTTGCGTCGAGGAGACGGAAGGTTTAATGTTGGGGGTGGATTTTTTGCGTTGAGCTCCGTTGTCCGATGGAGCTAATCACGCTAAGCCTGTTAGGGCATTAGTGCGGCTCGACAAAAAGGGCGGATTGAAAATTTGAGTGGACCCGGACGGGATGGCGGACCCTCCAGTCGCGAATTGATTTAGAGGATTTGGTGGGGCTGTCACGTGATGTCGATTTTACCTTGTGCCGCTGTGTGCTTTGTAATGCTATACCCGTGGTTATACCCGCTGTACGCTGTGCTGTTCTTACTCCAGTCCCTGGAGCCACGATGCATGGAATCGAGGGAAACAGAAAAAGGAAAAAAAAAACAAAGGCCGACCATCCCAACGGTGCGAAAAAGAAGAGAAGAAGACAACGTCCTTTATGACAGTGAGAGTGTGCGAGGCATGGCAAGCCAACGAAAACCGATACGACGCCCAAAACCATGGGCTCGTGAGGATACACCAACCACATCATCCGAACAGTAGGTAATCACAGATGATATACCACCTAGGGGCCAAAGAGCGGCCTTTTTCTTGCTACTCAAATTGAAGTAGGTGTTGCTGTTGCCAACACCCATAATTTGCGAGGTTAGATCCAGCTTGTAGCAGGAGAGGAACCAAAAACTACTCGACTCCTGGAAGAACTCGCATCTGTCATTGTCGAAACCAAGCTTGCCGTCTCCCAGGGAGGCAAAACGAGACATCCACGAAGCCGCCACCACCGCCCGCTGCCTGGGAGCAAAAAAGAGTCTAGGTACCTATAAAACAGTAAGAGACACATTCTAATTAACTTTAGAGTCGCTGCTTAAGTTCCCTGTGGCGGTTACGACATGCGTGTTACCCATGTCTTTGTCTTTCCTCTTACAAGCCTTGAGATTATCTCAGTTGCTCTAGGCTTTTAGAGAAACGAGTTGTTCATCAAACCTTCAATCTTGGGCCTGAGACTCTGTACGTATCGGTACGTTTCGACGATACCCGGGAAACTTTGTGGCTTCAACTTTTTGGTTACGAATTTTGGCTACAAGGGGAGGGTATACCTCGAAACCACAGCCTCAGCTTCATAAAGTGTTACATTTCTTCACACGTACATGTTACTGAGCATAGAGTACTCGATACCCAAACGGGATGAAGGCCCACCGTAAGACTCGTGGTGTCGATACAACTTTCAACTATTTGGTTACTCCAGGATGAGGTACCTTAGGTAAGGCAATTAATTACCTACCTTACCTTACCTTAAGGTACCTTGGGTACCAAATTCCACACTCAGCCAAGGCTGACAGGTACGTATGTACTAATTAGTTTCAGGGCATTCTTAGATAAGCTGTCCGCACAGACCCCATATCAATCCACGCCACCTCTCACGTCCTCCACTTCCTTCCCCATCTCGCACTCATATTAGGCACACGTTGTGTCCTCCTCAACTCGCCTCCACCCACCCCCTGGTCCAAGACAAGCTTGTCAGCGTCCTTGTTAACCACTCACAGGCATTTGCATCGGTCGTCCTAACGTGCCAGGGGGGTCTCCATCCTTTTTCCAGAAATTGACGAGACCCGTTCCGGGCATTCATCATTGTTGGCCAGATTTCTAGGCTCCGAAGAATCGACCTCTCGACCTCTCCTTGGAGCTTCTTTCGACCATCAACGCATCGTCCTTGACCTCTTTTTCCCTTGCCAATGCTCTCTGGGGAAGCATAGATTTTTTTTTTACTGCCTTCAGTCTTTCTTTTTCTTTTTCTTCTTCCTTTACTTAATCGTTTCCTTCCGGCTTTCTCGATTGGAATACCTATCGCGTTCCTCCGCATCCTGCATCCAGCTCCTCTACCACGCCGCCATCGTAATCAACACAACGGATGGCAGCTAGACTTCGCTGCGCTCCGCCATGAGCTCTCTCAAGTTCCTGGTGTCCTCCTTGGAGGCCATCGCTGCCTCCAGGGATGCCCAACGACACAAGCAGCTATCCGAATCCCTCCAGAAGACCCTCGACGCAATCAAGGAAGCCGACCCGCAGCTGCCGGACCCCGAAATCGTCTTTGCCCCCCTCCAACTAGCCACCAAAACTGGCAACCCGCAGCTCGTCACCGGCGCCCTCGACTGCATCGGCAAGCTCATCTCTTACTCTCGCTTCTCCGTTGCCTCTCCCACCAGCACCGGCACTGGCACCGGCACCGGCACCGGTTCCGCCGAAGATGAGGGTGCCGAACCCCCGCGTGCGCACCTCATCGAGCGAGCCATAGACACCATTTGCGACTGCTTCCAGGGCGAAACTACCCCCGTCGAGATCCAGCTCCAGATTGTCAAGTCCCTCTTAGTGGCCGTCCTGAACGACAAGATCGTCGTCCACGGCGCCGGCCTCCTCAAGGCCGTTCGCCAGGTCTACAATGTTTTCCTCCTCTCCAGGAGTACGGCCAACCAGCAGATGGCCCAGGGCACCCTCACCCAGATGGTCGGCACCGTGTTCGAGAGGGTCAAGACGAGACTACATATGAAGGAGGCGCGCATGAACCTGGCTAGGCTCAAGCATAGTTCCAGCAACATCACATTTGACCCGACATCAGACCAGACCGAATCGGTCAACGGCACGGCCGATATTTCTGCCGATGGTGCCGCCGACGCCATGGAAGGAGAAGCAGACCACGGGCATGCTGGTGATGTTGGCGATGTTGGTGATGTCGGTGATGCCGCCCATGCAGGCGCACCTGCAGACGCACCTGCACCCGGCGAAGAAAACACGAACAACAACCTGGCAGAACCTCCCCCACAGGAACAAAACAAGAGCAAGCTCACCCTAAAGGACCTCGAGACCAGGAAGAGCTTCGACGACTCGGCTCTGGGCGACGGCCCGACCATGGTGACCCGATTGAAGCCCGCAAACGGCTTGCAACGGTCCGTCTCGACGCAATCCTATGCCTCGTCGTCCCCCGACCACCGAGAAGAAGACGACACGGCCGACACGGCCGACCTCGATGTTGAGGACGAAGTCTATATCCGGGACGCCTACCTCGTCTTCCGCTCTTTCTGCAACCTCTCCACCAAGGTCCTTCCCGCCGACCAGCTCTACGACCTTCGCGGCCAGCCCATGCGATCCAAACTCATCTCTCTCCACCTCATCCACACCCTTCTGAACAATAACATCTCCGTCTTCACCTCGCCTCTTTGCACCATCCGAAACACCCGAAATAACGAGGTGACCACTTTCATCCAAGCCATCAAGTATTACATTTGCCTGAGCATCACACGCAACGGCGCCAGCTCGGTCGATCAAATATTCGACGTCTGTTGTGAGATATTCTGGCTCGTGCTGAAGTATATGAGGGAGCAGTTCAAGGTGCGTAACCATCATCACCACCCTTCATTACTACCTGCAGGCTTCGCTAGCTTGCTTACATTCTGGCCCCGTGACAGCTCGAAATCGCCGTCTTTCTAAACGAAATCTACCTTGCTCTGCTGGCGAGGCGGACGGCTCCTCTGTCCCAGAAGACTTCCGTCATCCATATCCTCAATAGGTTCTGCGCGGACCCGAGAGGCCTCGTCGAAATCTATCTCAACTACGACTGCGAAGGACAAGTCGACAACATCTTCCAGACCATCATCGAGGACCTGTCCAGGTTCTCCACCGCCGCGGTGCCCGTAACGCCCGCGCAGGAACAGCAATACGAAGAGAAGGCATCCAAGAGCCCTTCGCCCGGCGAGTGGCAGCTCCGTCCCATCCTCCCACCCCCTCTATCCGTCGCCCAGATCGTCCCCCACGCGGAGCCGGAATCCGACGTCCCCAAGGAGTACGCTGTGAAGCGTGCTGCCCTGGATGCCCTTCTCGACTCGCTAAGGTCCATGGTGGCGTGGTCCTCTTCGGTCCGGACGGATACGAAACCGCCAACAGATGGACTACGACCCGACATGGATGGTGACATGCGCGCCTCCGAGGATGTGCGGCCCTCGATCGACCCCAGCTTGAGCGAGAGTCACCATCGCAGCGACACGCCACCTCAGCCCGCCACACCGGCATTAGAGGATGACCCGGCGTTTTTGGAGAAGGTCAAGCAGAGAAAGACGGCCCTCAACAATGCCATCAAACAGTTCAATTTCAAGCCGAAGCGCGGGATCGCCATGCTCGTCAAGGAAGGCTTCATCCCCAGCGACGGCCGCCCCCAAGACATTGCCCGGTTCTTGCTGCACGAGGACAAGCTGGACAAGGCCCAGATCGGCGAGTACCTCGGCGAGGGCGACCCGAAGAACATCGAGATCATGCACGCTTTTGTCGACTTGATGGACTTTACCAAAACCCGCTTCGTCGATGCTCTGCGAACCTTCCTCCAGTCGTTCCGTCTGCCCGGCGAGGCGCAAAAGATCGATCGCTTCATGTTGAAGTTTGCCAACCGCTACGTCGTGGGCAACCCGAACGCCTTCGCCAATGCCGACACCGCCTACGTCCTCTCGTACTCGGTCATCATGCTGAACACGGACCTGCACAGCGACAAGGTCGTCAAGCGCATGAGCAGGGAGGAGTTCATCAAGAACAACCGGGGCATCAACGACAATGCCGACCTCCCGCCCGAGTACCTCCTGGGCATCTATGACGAGATAGAAAAGAACGAAATCGTTCTCAAGAGCGAGCGAGAAGCTGCCGCCGCCGCCGGCACGCTCCCGCCCACCTCCACCGGGCTGGCGGCGGGGCTAGGCCAGGCCCTGTCGAACATGGGCCGCGACCTGCAGCGGGAGGCGTACGTCCAGCAGTCCGTCGAGATCGCGTCGCGGTCCGAGCAGCTCTTCAAGAACCTCCTCAGGACGCAACGCCGCAACGCGCAGCGCGCCGGCGTCAGGTTCATCCCGGCCACCTCGTTCCAGCACATCGGGCCCATGTTTGACGTGACGTGGATGTCCTTCTTCTCCGCTCTGTCGAGCCAGATGCAAAAGGCGCAGAACTTGGAGGTGAACAAGCTCTGCCTGGAAGGCATGAAGCTGGCGACCCAGATCGCCTGTCTCTTCGAGCTCTCCACCCCGCGTGAGGCCTTTGTGTCGGCGCTGCGGAATGCGACGAACCTCAACACCCCGCAGGATATGCATGCGAAGAACGTCGAGGCGCTCAAGGTGCTCCTGGAGTTGGGCCAGACCGAGGGCAACCTGCTTGGGTCCTCGTGGAAAGACGTGCTGCTGTGTATCAGCCAGCTCGACCGGCTCCAGCTCATCTCCGGCGGCGTGGACGAGAATGCGATCCCCGACGTGGCCAATGCCCGCTTCGAGAGACGAACCACGGGCGACTCCCGGAAGTCGGTACAACAGACGACGCAGACGAACAGGAGGACTACGGGCCGCCCTCGAGCCGGGACGGGCCCCCAGGGCTTCTCGATGGAGATCGCCATGGAGGCCCGGTCGGACGAGGTGGTCAAGGCGGTGGATCGCATCTTCGCCAACACGGCCAACCTGACGGGCGAGGCCATCGTCCGCTTCACGCGGGCGCTGACCGAAGTCAGCTGGGACGAGATCCGCGTGTCCGGGTCGAACGACTTCCCCCGGACGTACAGCCTGCAGAAGATTGTCGAGATTGCCTATTACAACATGACGCGCGTGCGGTTCGAATGGACCCACATCTGGGAGGTCATGGGCGAGCACTTCAACCGCGTCGGCTGCCACAACAACACCAACATCGTCTTCTTCGCCCTCGACTCGCTGCGGCAGCTGTCGATGAACTTTCTCGAGATCGAGGAGCTGCCTGGTTTCAAGTTCCAAAAGGACTTTTTGAAGCCGTTCGAGCACGTGCTCTCCAACGCGCAGAACGTCACCGTCAAGGATATGGTCTTGCGGTGTCTGATTCAGATGATCCAGGCCCGCGGCGACAACATCCGGTCCGGCTGGAGGACCATGTTCGGCGTCTTCACGGTGGCGGCACGGGAACCGCACGAGTCGATCGTCAACCTGGCGTACGAAAACGTCAGCCAGGTGTACCGGACCAAGTTCGGCGTGGTCATCTCCCAGGGTGCCTTCACTGACCTGATCGTCTGCCTGACCGAGTTCTCCAAGAACGTCAAGTTCCAGAAGAAGAGCCTGCAAGCGCTCGAGACGATCAAGTCCATTATCCCCCGCATGCTCAAGACGCCCGAGTGTCCCCTGTCGCAAAAGTCGGACCCGTCGGCTTCCAAGGAGGAGGCGGCCAAGTCGGAAGAAGCGCTCCGCAGCACGCAGTCGAGGACCTCGGTGGAGGAGGGCTACTGGTTCCCCGTGCTGTTCGCGTTCCACGACGTGCTCATGACGGGAGAGGACCTGGAAGTGCGGTCGAACGCGCTCCAGTACTTTTTCGAGGCCCTGCTCCGGCACGGCGGCGCGTTCCCGCCCGAGTTCTGGGACATCTTGTGGCGGCAGCAGCTGTACCCGATCTTCATGGTGCTCCGGTCTCGGCCGGACCTTACGAGCGCGCTGAACCACGAGGAACTCTCCGTGTGGCTGTCGACGACCATGATCCAGGCGCTGCGCAACATGATCACGCTGTTCACGCACTACTTTGGCGCGCTCGAGTACATGCTGGACCGGTTCCTCGAGCTGCTGGCGCTCTGCATCTGCCAGGAGAACGACACGATCTCGCGGATCGGCAGCAACTGCCTGCAGCAGCTCATCCTCAAGAACGTCGGCAAGTTCACGCCGGAGCACTGGGCGAAGATCGTCGGGGCGTTCTGCGAGCTGTTTGCGCGCACGACGGCACACCAGCTCTTCTCCCCTGCCACGATCAACTCTACCGCCTCGCTCGAGCTGCCTTCGACCGGGTTCGAGGTGGCGGGACCCCTTAGCCCGGCGGACGAGGAGGAGCCGATGGTGGATGAGAAGTCGCTCAAGATTAACGGCGTCGGCAGAAACGGAGGCGATGCGGAGACGACGTCATCATCATCGATTATGACGGCAGCGGCGGCGGCCGAGGAAGACGAGGCGAAGGCGGCGACGACGACGGCCGGTACTGCGGGGCCGGCAGGAGAGCAGGATCAGCGGCAGCAGGATCAGCAGCAGCAGGATCAGCAGCAGCAGGATCAGCAGCAGCAGGATCAGCAGCAGCAGCAGCAGCAGCAGCAGCAGCAGCAGACGTCCCACTTGGAAGATTACAAGCCGTCGTCGAAGCTCCAGCAGCAACCGGTGGTGGTGACGGCGGCGCGGCGGCGCTACTTCAACCGCATCATCTCGCGGTGCGTGCTGCAGCTGCTGATGATCGAGACGGTCAACGAGCTGTTCAGCAACGACGCGGTGTACGCGGAGATACCGTCGCCGGAGCTCCTCCGGCTGATGGCGCTGCTGAAGCGGTCGTACCTGTTCGCGCGGCGGTTCAACGCGGACAAGGAGCTGCGGATGCGGCTCTGGCGCGAAGGGTTCATGAAGCAGGCGCCCAACCTGCTGAAGCAGGAGTCCGGGGCGGCGGCGACGTACGTGGCGATCCTGTTCCGGATGTACGCCGACAACAGCGCCGAGCGGGCGGCGGCGCGCGGCGACATTGAGAAGGCGCTGGTGCCGCTCTGCAAGGACATCATCGGCGACTTTGTGGCGCTCGAGGAGGAGAGCCAGCAGCGCAACATTGTCGCGTGGCGGCCCGTCGTCGTGGACGTGCTGGAGGGCTACGCGGCGTTTCCGAGGGAGGCGTTCGCGGCGCATGTGGAGGCTTTTTACCCCATGGTCGTCGACCTTTTGGCCAAGGACCTGACGGCCGAGCTGCGGGCCGCTCTCATCTTGGTGTTGCGGCGCGTGGGCGAGGTGGGGCTCGGCATCGAGGGGATGGGGATGGGTGTGGGTCGTCGGGAGGGCGAGGGCGAGGACGAGCGGCGGAGGGAGAGTGTGGCGAGCGGGACGACGGAGAGGACGGCCGATACGACGGCCAAGGGTGGCTGATGGGGTGTGGTGAAGGGGGATGGACGAAGCGGTTAGGGAATGTCTCGTTCCTTGGCCGCCTTTATTCGATTTTGACCTTGTCGGAAAAGTGCGGGCTTCCCTTTTCATTGTTACAACTGGGAACTATTGCATGACAGTGGATTGGAAGGGGGGACAAAAAGGGGAGAATGTTCGCGATGGTGACTGGGCAATTCTGCGTCTCCCCGACCGAGCGTCGCTACAGCATATGCGCGTCTATTTTCTTATTTTTTTTATGTTTCGTTTTCTTTTTCCAATTTTCACCTTTTGTGTTGATATATCCAGTTAGACTTGTGTTCTCTTCGAATGGAACAAACAGTACAGGACGAAGACCGTTATGGTGCTCTCGAAATGGAAAGGAAATACTAAAGTGGAAGTGGGAATGACAGGACAGTTGTGTAGGTCAAGCGAACTAGGTGAAAGCCGTGAGGCAAACCGACGCCGATCTTCTTCTCGTAGTACATGTAGCGTCTAGTGGAGTTTCTATGCCTTGGTTCATATCCGGAAGCACCTCGCCATAGTCCCCATCCTTGCTTCTTGCGCCGTGGTGAGATGAACGCGAAAAGAAAGGCACGAACAAATCAACAACCTACGACAGAACCAGCTCGACAAAAGCACGCAGCCCGTCCGCCTCCTCCGGCACGGTCCTCTCGGGTAGACTCCTCAGCGCGTCTCGCAGGGCGGGATCGTCCGCGGTGGCCTCGGCCAGGATGGCAGACGCGGTGCGCACGATGAGGTCCTTCTCGGGACCATCCATGTCGGCGCGTAGGCGGAGGAGGCTGAGCAGGCCGTCGAAGAAATGGACGAGGTTGCGGTGCATGAGGACGTCTTCCTTGTCTACCATGCGCAAGGCGGCGAACTGTAAAAGACCAATACTGGTGTCTACCTCCACTTCGGCTGGGGGGGAAGGCAGGGTCGGCTGGGGAGGTTGGGTGACGGCGCGAAAGTCGAGGGCGGCCAGGCGGGGGAGGATGCGCAGGATGCGGCCCTGGGCGAGGGTGGTTTGGTGGGCGGACAGGTGGCCGGGGGCTCCCGGGAGGGTGTCCTTCCCCCGGGGCAGGGCGTAGAGGTGGGTGTAGAGGGTTGGGTCGTGAAACAGGCGGTTCCAAAGGGCGCCGGTGCCGCGAGGGCGCAGGTGCCTCGCCTCGGTGGCGTTGTTGTTATTGGATCTATTGGAGGTGCCGTTGACCCAGGTGACGCCGTCGATGGTGATGGGGCCGGCGCCGGCGGAGGGTCGGTGGAGGGGTTCGGAGGTGGCGTCGGTGTCGAGCAGGTCGCCGAGCACGCGGGAGCCTTTCTCGCCGATTTCGACCTGCGGGGTGGCGAGCCAGGTGTGGAGGAAGTGGGAGAGCAGGGTGGGCATGGCGGCCAGGTGGGCGACGTCGGAGGGGGAGGCGGCGGCTTTGTGGAGAATGGTCATGGCGAGGGCCTTGGCGGACGGGGCGGGGGAGGAGAGGGCGGCGATAAGGGAGTCTTCATCGGCGAGGGCGAGGGTCTGGGGGAAGGAGACGGGGCCGAGGAGCTTGATGGTTAGGGCGACGGGGACGGCCGGGTCGTGGGGGGTGGTTTTGAGCACTTCGGTGAGTTTGGGGAGGAGGCAGGGGAGGAGAGGCGGGATATTGGATTCTGGGAGGAAGAGGTCAGGCCTGGGGAGAGACGGAGGGGAAGAGGGGAAGAGAATGTAGAACGTACCTGCCAACTGAAGCTCGACGGAATCGAAGAGCCTGGGATCCATCTTTGTTTCGGGATCAGCCACGAGCTTGTCGAGATGAACGATGAGGTCCTCGAGGCCATCGATGGGGGCCACATCTGGGCCGAGGACTGGCACGACGGTACTCGGCATGATGGTAGACGGCGGACGGATAGGAGGGAATGGAATCTGTATGGTGGGTGAACGCTGGCTGTCAATGTCGAATATAGGTGTGTGCTTGGTATGAAGTAGGATGATGGAAGCTTGGAGGGAGAAGAGGAAAGGGAATAAGAAGATGAGAGAAGAGAGAAGAGAGAAGAGGGGTCCAAGTAAGGTACCTAATTACCTAAGGTAAGTAATAAGAGAAGAGCTCCGAGGCAAAGTGAAGTACCATTGTGTACCTATAGTGATAATCGTATCACCATCACCCCACTTTGATCTGTGTACGCAGCACGAAAGTAGGTACTTGCGTAGCTACGGAGTACGTACTGGCATATGGGGTAGGGGGAGCTGCCCCGCATTCTCCATTCCTGCGTATCCATACCAGTACCAGTACGTACCAGTACCAGTACGTACCAGTACCAGTACGTACCAGTACCAGTACGTACCAGTACCACAAATTCTCCACCAGCTGGTGCCGGACTTACTGCAAGCGTGTTGACAGCTGGTCGTCACCCCCCGCCAAAAAATCAATCGAAGCATTCATTGCTCGTCTTGTGTTTGTCGGCTTGTCGCTTTTGACTCGATACCTTCTTGAACACCTTTTTTGCTTGCCTCGTCTTTTGGTCCCTGTGACTCCATCTCTGGTCTGGCCTTGGCTTGCCATTCATTGTCCGTCACTTTTCACCTATCCATACTTCTGAATTACTAGAGACCAGCTCGATCTCTCCATCGGCTCCAAATTCCCCGTGCGCTCAGCTCACAGTCGCATTCTCGCTCGCCTCCCTCCCCCGCAAGAGCCATCCATCCCTACTTAACCCCGACGTCGAATCCGCCATGTCGCGGGGAGGAGGTGGTGGCAGAGGAGGTCGTGGTGGAAGAAGAGGCGGCGGACCCCAATTACCCTGGGAAAACGAAGAATTCGACGCCCGACCTTCCGAACTCTTTCCCGTATGAACGACCCCCATTCCTACGCCTACTCCTACTCCTACACCTACTCCTACTCCTACTCCTACCCCTTCTCCCTCCCTCCCTCCCTTTCTTTTTCATCTCAAACTAACGTCGCTTCTTCCCAGGCATACGACCCCCCCACGGCGAAACCCCTCACCCCAACCGAACGCCGCACCGTCGAATCCTTCCTCCTCCTCCGCCGCCAACTCCACGACGGACCGCTCTACACCTCCCGCAAACTCCCCGGCCCCACCTCCGTCTCCCCCTCCTCGGCCTCCTACCGCGGCAAGCGCTCCGCCGCCTCCTCCACCACCTACGACCCGATCCGCTCCTCCCGCGCCGTGGCAGACCCGTTCACCGCCGTGCCGACCTACTCCCAGCGCTTCGCCCGCGCCGAGCGCACCCTCCCGGACTTCTCCTCGCGGCCCTACTGCCCGGAGTTCGTGCCGGACGAGCTGCACGCCACCTTCGAGGGGCGGGATGCCGAAAGGGGCGTCATCTCGGCCGCGGCCTTTCGGGGAAGGAAAACGAAGAAGCGGTTGCAGCTGTCGCGTATCACGGCTTTGCCGACCGCCGAGGACGTTTTCGGGGTGAGTTCTTCGGGGGCGGACGCCGACGGTCGTGGCTTGTGGGAGGATGAGGACGAGGCGGCGGCGGCGGCGGTAGGCGGGGATCCTACTGTGAGGACAAAGATGACGCTGGAGGCGTTGCAGAGGTTGGAGGAGGAACCTGCTGCGGGTGAAGGGGAAGAGGTGGAGGAGGAGGAGGAGAATGCGGCGGAGGAGGACCAGGATTTGGAGTATGATGATGAGGATGCGGGTGATTATGACGCCGAGAACTACTTTGATGGTGGTGATGACTATGACGACGATGTGGGGGATGACGATCAGGGCGATGCATTCTGATATCCCCCTACGCGGTTCTTCTATATTCAACTGAAGGAAGTCAAAAGATGGAGCGGCAATTTGTCTTTTGGGGGCGTTCTCCGGTGTTCGGGCCAGGCAGGTTCAGGGATAGAGAGAGAAATTGGGCTTGGTGACTCGATTTAGATACCCGATAGGAAGAGAAGAGCATGGGAAACCGCGTGGGATACCCATCTCCAATGCAGGGCCTCGTACTTGATGTGCTATAGGCTGTAGTGGCTGATGCAAAGCAACGCGATGCGAGGGGATAGGCCGCAACGTCTTCACAGGAATGATCCTGTCAGTTCACAATTCTCTCTGCATACACCGGGGTATCACTGGGTTCTAATTACCCGCAGGTGGCATGCCATCGCCCTGATGTTTTGACAACCTCCCATCGGGAGTGTTGATTTCCCTCCGTCCATGCCGGTCTCGTCCCGAATCGTAGTAGTCCATGACCCCAACGCCCAAGCTGTCAAATAGACCAACCAAGAAAAAATAAAGAAGAAAAAGGACCGAGAAAGAAAAAAAAAAGAAAAAAAAGGACACAATGTTCACTTCATTGGAGGCAGCGGTCGCAGCTGCAACTGCGTAAGTTTCTCCCGCGTCTCGACAATCTCGCCCGCCGCCCTCACAATCTCATCATTCAACGCCTTGACGGTATCCAGCAACTCGACAGCGAACCCAAACCCAGCAAACTGCGGCGCGCCGTCGCGCAGCGCACACATGCGCTCGTACAAGCCGTTCTGCACGCCGGGCATGTGGTGCTCGAGCTCCCTGATCTTCTGCACCTGCGACTGGTGCAGCCGGCTGAGCCGCTCGGCCTCGCGGGAGAAGAGCGCAATGCAGTCCTCCAGGTCGGGCTGCTCCCCGTCGTCGTCGGGGGCCGGGGCGGCGGCGGCAGTAGCAGCAGAAGCAGCAGCAGCAGTGGCGGCGGCGCCGGCGGCGGCGCCCCCCTTGGGCTTGCTACGCGGCACGGGCTGCTGCTGGTGCTGCCTGCTGGCGGTCAGCCAGGTGGTGTGGTACTGGGCGGGGAGCTTGAGCTGCTCGGCGCCGCTGAAGGCGGCCTTGGCGATCTGGGCGTCGGACTTGACGAGGTCCTTGAGCTGGGCGGTCATCTGCACGTCCTCCTCCAGGGTGGTCTTGACGCCGGCGAACTTGCGCTCCAGCCACTCGACGTCGTGGGTGAGCTGGTCCAGCTCGGTCCGGTGGCCCTCCCGGAAGGACCTGATCTGGTCGGCTTGGCGGGCGAAGGTCTGGATGATGGTGTCGCAGGCCTCGATCTCCTTTTGGAGCTCGGGCGTCAGGTCGTTGAACTTGGTGGTGCCTTTGATGTTGGCGAGGTCGATGCGGACGCCGGGGACGGTTTGTTGGTTGGTGGATTGGCCCATGGTGAGGCCGCCGGTGGTGGAGGGCTGGGCTGTGGATTGACCGCTGGGTTTGGTCAGCGGGAAGGGAGAAGAAGAAAAAAGAAGGAAAAGAAGAAAAGAAAAGAAGAAAAAAGGAAAGACAAGGAAAGAAGGGAGAGGAAAACTTACAAGAGACCACCTGGTTTCGCTTGGGTTTGGTTCTGGCTCTGACCAAAGAGGCCACCCCCCGTGTTCGCCGTCTGTTGACCAAACATACCGCCCGTCTGCTGCTGCTGCGGCTGCTGCGGTTGCTGTTGTTGCGGCTGCTGCTGCTGCTGCTGCTGCTGCTGCTGGTTACCGAAGAGACCGCCGGTCTGCTGGTTCTGGTTTTGCGTTTGTGTACTTCCGAAGAGGCCGGTACCTCCTGTCTGCGCCTGACTGGTGCCAAAGAGACCGCCGGGCTTCTGCTGGGCATTTTGCTGCGAGCTTCCGAATAGACCTCCACCGGTCTGTTGGGTGTTCTGCTGGGTATTGGTATTTCCAAACAAGCGGCCGCCGCCGCCGCCGCCGCCGCCGCCGCCGCCGCCGCCCTGGTTCTGCTGGGAAGAGCCGAAGAGACCACCACCGGTCTGCGTCGAGCCACTGAAGATGAAAGACAGACAAACGGTCAGAGACGTGTTTGGAAGACCAGCTCGTTGAAGTTGAATCTTCCAGTAGAAGGTCCGAGGAGACAACTTACGCATTCGCAGCCGTGGTGTTGATGTTTAAGCCGCCGCCCGTTTTAAACATGGTGTCGTCGGTGGCTGAACTGGTAACGGGTAAAGAAAGGTCAGCGGGATATATGGATCAATTAGGAAGACGAACGATGCAAAGAGAGCTCACGTACCTGTTCTGGTCTTCTTCAGTTGTCCAGTCTTCTGGCTCGGTGCTCTTGGTGCTCTTGATGAAGGGGACTGGACGACAAACAATTGATGTCTATGTCTGGAGCAAATTCAGAGGAATCGCACGAGTAAACGCAGGCGTCGCGTTCCCCAAAACCTTGAACGGTACCAAAGTCTCAGTACCTTATGTATCGAAGAAAGTACCTAAGGTACCGAAGAAAGTATCGAGTTCCACCGACGCTACGGCTGGATCCAGGGTCAAGCGAGCCATTCTACCTGTAGCCAATGGCGACTCTTTCCTGGGACCCACCTCGGAATATCGGGGGTTCTCTTGTTCCGCCTCGTCCATGTCGCAGTCGCAGTGACGTCCATTGGCAAATCAATCAAGTCATCCGCCCGACCAACACCTCCGCTACCAGCATCACCAGCATCATCGCAAGCTTCTTTCTCCTCGACATCGGAGACGCTCACGATTCCCACTCCCAAGTGCCCATACCCATTCTGGAAACGAATATGACAATGGACGTCGAAGACGAAGAAGATTTCTACTCCCCCGAGCCCTCTGTAGCTCCCGAAACGTCGGACGGAACAAACACAACAACAAATGCTGGCGACAGCCACGTCGAAAGGGAGGCCACAGGTTCGGCGACACCAGCGCCGACAACCAATACCAATGTGGAGCCGAAGACTGAGCTTGAGCTTGAAGAGGGAGAAGAAGAAGACGAAGAAGGTCCCATGGACGAGGATGACGACGACTCGGTGAGTTCTGTCTTTTTTTATGCTTATAATTTCCCTGGACATCCTGCAGGCAGTGCCTCGATTCTTCCACTAGATGCGCTGCACTGTCAGGCAACATTACCTACCATGGTCTTCTATACTAATCTCTCCGTGGTTCTAGGACATCGAAATCGTCACCGAGAGGAAAGACGGCACAAAAGCGGCCCCGCCCACGTGAGTGAGCCGAGCTCACGCCCCTTTCTTCCTCCCTTGTTTCTCCCTTAATTCCCCATTGCTAACAAGCGATGGGACAGTCAATCGAGATATAGCGATATTAGGAACATTCCTCAACGATCGGCGTCCAACGACGTGTCCACGAAGCAACCACCCGCCAGTAAATCCCCGCAACCAAAGATCGAATCCCCCGCCCAGCGACTCGCCGTCCCTAGCGCCGACAAGGCAGCCGCAGCTGCTTCGAGCTCCAAGATTGACATTAACGGAAACCCCATCTATACTCCGACCGGCAAGCACATAACCGCCATCAACATAGACGAAGGTGAGTTGGGCCGGGGGGGTTTTTTACTTTTTTTTTTCTTCTTTTCTTTCTTTCTTCTTTTCTTTCTTTCTTCTTTCTTCTTTATCCTCTCATCTAACCACTCCCAGACCTCCCCGACAACGAAAAGCCCTGGCGCAAACCTGGCACCGACATCAGCGACTACTTCAACTACGGCTTCGACGAGTTCACCTGGGCCCTCTACGCCGCCAAACAAGAAGCCATCCGCAACGAGTACAACCCCGACCTCATGATGGCCGGCAACAAGAAGATGATGGAGGACTTTGGCAGCATGATGATGATGGGCGGCATGAACATGCCCGGTGCCGCTGCCCCCGGGCCCCAGCCTGGCGGCCCCGCCCAACCCGGCATGTCCGCGATGCCGTCCATGGGCGCCATGCCCGGCATGGAGGGGATGCCGCCCGACATGCAGGCCATGATGCAGCAGATGATGGCCTCCGGCATGGATCCCAGCCAGATGGACCCCGGCGCCATGTCCGCCATGTTTGCCGGCATGCAGAACCAGGGTGCCGCCGCCGCCGCCGCGCAAGGGGGTGGCCAGGGGCAGGGGTTCGGTCAGGGCGGTGGTGGCTTTGGCGCGGGTGGTCAGGGTCAGTTTGGCGGTTATGACCAGCAGGGGATGGTGGGACGGGGTGGGTTTGGGAGGGGGAGGGGTGGCCGGAGGTGGTAGCCGGAGGTGGTGGCTTGTACAAAACACTCGGCAGGCATGGGACAACTGGGGACTGGCGGCGTTTAGGTGTCGGGCTTCCGGCTGGTCTGGTGGTTGGACAAGCCTATTTCTCTTGTAGGATGCAATGGGAGGAGGAGGAGGAGGAGGAGGAGATACCCAATAATAAAGTCATGTGCTTCCTCTATCCGGCGACGCGACTCACGAGGTGTATCGCCAACATCGCCAACATCACCACGTCAAACCCACAGGTCAGAATAGTATGAATTTCTGCCGTCTTTTACATCCAGTCAGGAGTCTTGACACATATGGGTACCTCATCCTTTACATCCAACTCAAGTCCCGTCGTCTCAAGCTCCTTGTCAAACTTCACAACCACAACGCTCTCCTCACGTCGCTGACAACGTCAACATGGCTTTCCTCGTCCACAACCGAAAGCACATCCCTCATTTTCTCCATCCACTTCTGCCACTCCCCCCTCAAGATCCCAGATTCGACAATCGATGCAACAATATAATCCCTCGGAAGACGCGCGATAAAGTCCATCCCGTCCTCGGATCCCGGGCCCTTCTTCGCCGTGTCGTCGCACGTAGCAGGGGGCCCCCAAAGCCCAGCAACTCCCACCACGACCCTCAAAGCATCCACGTCGCAAAACCTCACCCGAACGCCAGCCATCTCCACGTCCCGGGCCTCGATCTCGGGGGTCCGCTTCCACTCCTTCCACAGCCCGAAGCGCTTACGCCGCCACCTCCCGAAATCAAACTCGTGGCACGTCATCCCGCCCGGTCGCGCGAGGCCGAGGGTCGAGACGAGGTAGTCGGCGCGGTAGATCCGACGCAGGTGGGCCTCGACTAGGTTCTCTGCCGGCTGGGAGGCGGGGGGGAGGCCCAAGGACAGGATGGCCTGCTCGACGGCGGCGCGCGGGACGGCGTTGAGGGGGTGGTTCCATGTTCGGAGCGGGAAGGAGTCGCGGTAGAGCTGGACTTTGATGAGCGTGTGGCGGGAGGCGTCTTCTTCTGCTTCGCGTTGCTTTCGTTGGCGTTCGGTTTCTTGGGTGTCGTGGATTTCTTGCTGGTGGGAGCGGCAGAGGAAGAATGCGATCCATCTCCTGAGCTGTGAGGAGATGGGTCTGCTTCTTGGTTTTGATTGTCGGTCTTCTTGGGGGTTCTGTTCGTCTGCTGGTGGTTGTTGTTCTGCGGTTGGTGCGACTGGCTCTTCCCCAAGTTCCCCCTGCAAAGTTATAGGAGGAGTAAGTGGAGTGGTAGGTGGTGGTGAAGGCGAAGGTGAAGGTGAAGGTGAAGGTGAAGGAGGAGGCGGTGGAGGAGGAGGATGCCAACCTGAACACCATGCCGCGGGTGCGCCGCTGCTCGTGCGGTGTGCGGCATGACAGAACATCCTGTCCATTACATCGATCATGTATTCCCTGTCGTCGTTGCCACTCCCGTCTTCCGTCTTCGCGCCCCTGTTCTCTTCTTCTCTCATATAATATTCGATTGTGCCCTGACCAAAATGTTTGCACAAAAGGCTGACAATGGCATGATCGATATCCTCCAGGGCACCGTAACCGAGATCGGGATCGGGGATGTATGCTGGCCGCGGCCTGAACGGGTTCTCTTCGGCCTCCATGTCCGTGTCTGGGTCGTGATACGGTTGAATCAGACCCAGGACACGCGTATATGCTGTTTCAGGCATGGTCCTGGTGTATTTTCTTTCCTTTCTCCTTTTGTTATTTCTTCCTCAAGACCCCTATAAGCTGTGAGGTGCTATATGCTCATTCTGACCAGATGGTTGGGGCTATGTCTTGGCCTAGATGCGACGATATGGATACTGGATAACTCTTCTGTCCAGGGATGCTGCAGTTTCGTTTTCGTGATACAATGACATTGAAGGTAACGGGAATGTGGCAAGACTTGGTCCGTAGGGATTTGAATGGGTAATTAGGAGGGTTGGGTGGCGTCTAGTCTTGACTCTGTGAAGAGGCAGAGAGTTTGCGGGGAGTCGCTGAGGCAGACGTGGCGTATGGATGCTAACTGCCATGATGCAGCAGAAACGCCGGGGGAGAAAGACTAAGAGCCATAGAGTGGTTAGGAATACGGTGGAAAGCATGGCTTGTTAGTGCACTTGGAGGCGCAACTGGCGCAAATATGCCTTTCCTGGCTTTTCACTCAAGGCGTTCCGTCGTAACTTGTGTAGGGTATCGAAAAGGGAAAAGGGAAAAGGGGTAAGGGGTAAGGGGTAAGGGGTCGGTATCCAAGTCATGGCCATATACTCCAACAGCGTTACGTAGAGTCCGGCCATCTCCCCCCTGAATCTCATCCTTCCTGGGAATGTACTTCATCTCTTCAGACTCTTCTCCTAAGCCCCTGGCCGGGAGTAGTCAAGTTCTCGTACCCTCTTCCAGACCTCCCTCGCCACCCGTTCCTGTGCCTGTCGCCCAGTCTCTGTCCCAGAATCACCCGCCGGTCTGTTCATCGTCAGCTCCCAAATGCCTCCAATATCAGAGGGTGGGTGATATCATACCATTCCCAGCAACCCCCTTCCCACCAGATATCCAACGATCCCATGGCTGTGTGTGCCAAATCCATAGTCGCGTTTAGTATGCCACGTCAGTCATCTCCCCCCAAACATAAAAGCAAAGAACAGCAAGGACCAAGGATGACTTTCCTCCCTCAAGCTCCTCATCCCATGCACCATCCCCCCTTTTCCATTCCGGCCCCTCAATCTTAGTCGCCATATTCACAAAACTCTCACCCTTGCGCTGCAAAATCCCATGAGACCCGTCTCTTCTACCCTTCCCCCACTCGCAAGAGAAGACACAACCCTTGGGCGCCCCCGCTGGCAACGGCGGCACGGGATCCCTCACGAGAGGTAAACGCAACAGACCACCACCCAGCGCATGCCCGCCGTCTAACCAGGCGCCACGACCCACATAGGCGCGAAACAACTGCGAGAGGGAACGAAACATAAACAACACTTGTCACGGGCCGGCCGCCCAGAAAAGAAGGCGACGGAGACGCAAAAGACGGCGGAACAGACGCGTAAAGTTGACGGTGCCGTCAAGGGGGTCGACGACCCAGGTCGGGGCGGAGGTGACGAGGTAGTCCCGAGATGAGCCGGCCGAGTAGGATTCCTCGCCTAGGAAGTGGTGCGTTGGGTACTTTGCTTGTATGGAGTGGAGGTGCGGATGAAGGATTCGATGTCTTGGGTTTTCGTTCTTGTCAGCTTACACATGTTGCAATTCTCGAGGTGGTGTTGTACTGATGGTAGACCGTAGAGGCGTCTGTGGTAAGGTGTGTGTGTATCTGTAAGGGGCTGGGACAACTTCGAAGATGTAGATAGACATGCGGCATGCCTCACCTCGGGTCAACCTAAGTGACAATATCCACGGAGCTATCCTTTTCCTCTACGGCGGCTTCGGCTTCCCGACAGTTCTCCTCCTGAGAACCTGGAGCCTGGCGCGAGCTGCGGCCATGAGCTTGTCCCCGGCACTTTTGCCGAGTTGGATGGCAAAGTCATAGATCTCGCGTAGCTCCGTATTATTCAAGTCCATGTCGTGCTTGTGTTTCGCCATCGCGATTCGGCTCGTTTTCCGGTTGTCGTTCTGTTCTGTAACCTCTGTCGTGTGAGTACGGGGGCTGAGTGAGCTACGCCTTTACACGTAGCACAGGGCGTCGATGTCGTCAAGTCACAGGGAGGAAGAGAGGATTGTTCTACAATTTTCTCAAGGCAGCTCGCTCGGAGGTTCTCGGAGTGTCGGTGTCGGAGTGTCCGGCGTTGTAATCATAAAGTGCGGGTGTTGGAAGAATAATGATGAAAGGTCAGAACATGGTAAGGGAGTACGAGGATTATAGTCGAGGAAGCACGGCTAATGATATCACCTAAGATCGGGCAACCTGCAGTGCAGCCTGCAGGACACAACGTCGACAGCTGACGCTCCTTGTCGTCCGTCATGTTTGGTCACTGGTGAGCCCCAGACTCAGAGAGCGCGCAATGGTTCCGCCCACTACCCAGACTAAAGATCTCGGCTTAGGTCGGCCCATTAGCCGCCAAGCATGCTATGTGGGACAGTGGATAATCAGTAAACTGGGGGAAGGACTTGTTGGGGGCAGCAATGGTCTAGGGGGCAAAGGAGGTCGAGGTGGAAACGCGATGCGAGGATCATTGCCAACATGAAGCCTCTTAATAGCTTCATGTGGCCAGAAATTGGTAAACCGTCTTGAATTTTGTAGTCAACATGATCTGAAATACATTATGTTCTAATTGATGGTAAAAACCCTATGCATATGTGGCTGTCCTTATTCGTGCTCGCTTCTTGTCGTTGCGTAACATGCCTTTGCCCCTGTCCCGGGTAAAACAGAAAAGAGTTGACAACTCCCTCGTCACGTCCGTCTACCAAAGTCGTCCGTCAGCCCGCTGCCCATCCTCACAGCGACGCCGTCATCATCATGGTATCCTCTGCCTCAACCAACCGCATATCGCGAACCAGCTTCACCCAAGACAAAGCCCCCCTCTGGGCCAGCTCCTCAGGAACAGCCGGATCCTCGTCGACGATGCGCCGGTGAAACAATTCCAAGCTAACCCACCCCTCAAACCCAAGCCCCTGGAAAATGGCCGCCGCCATCTCCCTCACGGGGAGGTAAGCACCCCTCGAAGTCTCGCCGTAGAACAGCCGGCAATTGCGCGACCACATCATCCTAGGCGGCTGCTCCCCATTCCAGAACGCGTGGCCGGGGCGCAACGGCTCGCGCAACCGCTCCGCATCAACGACCTGCACGTAGAACACCCGCGCCGGGTCGACCGAGGCGACAAGCCGCCCCATGGACGCGCGAACCGCCTCCTCCGCATTCGAAATCGAACCCGAACCGGCCAAGCCAGTCTCGGCCGCGGGATCCGCGTAGATCCGTCCCGCCATGTTGAACGTATCGAGACAAAGCCCGAAATTGGGCCGGTCGACCCGGCAGACCACGTCCCAGCTCTCCTCCCACGTGTCGACGCGGGTACCCCACGCCAAGCTCTCGAACGTAAGACGCACAGGCGGGGACGCGGCGGCGGCGGCGGCCAGGTCGGCGATCTCGCGCAGGTCCGCGACGTGGAGGTCGAGGTCCGGCGAGACCTGGTCGGCGGGGAGGACGTTGGAGGCGACGGCGATGAGGGAGGTGCCGAGGGCGTGGCAGAGGCGGAGCCAGAGGCGGAACTCGTCGACGCGGCGGGCGTGGTGGGCGCGGTCGACGAGGCCTTCGTAGTGCTGGAAGGGTTGCAGGTTGAGGATGGTGAGGCGGCGGTCGGCGCAGAGCTGACGCACGTACCGCGCGGCGGCGAGCTGGTTGGCTACGACGGAGGCGCCGCCTTCGGGGAAGCGGTCGGCCATGTCCATGAGGTCTTCGTGCCAGAGCTCGATGCCGCCGTAGTTGTACTTGGCGGCCATGTCGAGTTTGTGCTCCAGGGTGTGGCCGGCCCAGCACCGGCCGAGGGAGACGGTGCTGATGGCTAGACGGCAGGGCATGGTGGCTTTCGTTGGAATTGGGCTTGAGGTCTATCAAGAGGGATGTATGGAGTCTGGAACGAATGTAACTTCTCAGAAGTTTGAAGCTTCTCAGGGTGATGGGGGAGTGTTGATAGAGCTGGAGAGGGAGAGAGTCTTATAAGACGGGACGATTGCGAGAGAAAGACCAAAAAGGCTCGAGCGAAGACGTAGGAGAATAAGTAGGAGAAGAGGGACGTGCGAACAGGGGAAAACAGGGAAGAGTGGTTCACGATTTTATCTATTCAAACAAAATGAGCAGAAGCAAAGGCTTGAATGGAGTACTCGTAGGGTATATGCAGAGAATATGCAAGGATAGACGGCAAAGCAACATGTGAGTAGAAACCGAGGGCAGAGAAGATGAGACTAAAAGCCACAGATAAGCCGGGAATGTATGTACGATGTAAGGACGCGTGAGGAAACCAACGTCTCGGTCTCGGTCTCGGTCTCGGTCTCGCCTGATACTGGGAACACGGCGGGGGCCTGGTCGAGATTAGCGCTGTATGATGACGAGTCCAGGATATTGAGTAACAGAAGATTCTACGAGAGTGTAAACGTAGCGAGGGAAGAATGCACCGGAGGGGGTATCACTATATGCTGGTAACATGACGGGGGGAAGATGCGAGGGTTCCAACTTCCAAGAACCAACTTTCAAGGAAAACGTGGGAGAGAACAAAAAAAACAAAGGAGACCATATAGTACTGGCAGTGTAGTGTAGAACATAACGGCCCCAGCCGGGTACAGACAGCAAAAAATAGGCTCGTTGCACGACGTATTCGCACAACGACTGTTTCTCCCTCTCTCTGCCGTGCAGTCCGTGACTCCCCGTACTCGCCTATCCGAGGACCAGGCTGCGGCGTGGCGAGAAGAGGGAACAAAAAAACGGGATGAACGTTCGCCCTCTGGTCTGTCAGACTTGGCTGTCGTGGACCCCGGGGTCCCCTATCTCTTGATTTCTCTTGTCTGTCGTGCAGCGCTGTGCTCATGTTGGCTGAGGTCAGCTGGAAAGCGAAAGCCGAAAGCGCATTTGGCCGAAGGTAACCGATCAGAATTTCATCATTATCATAATCATCGGGATTCTTAAAGCTCGAAGACACGGCGGGGGGTGGAGGTGAAGGATGAAATGTGTAATGACTTATCCTTGGATGGAAATAGGAGGCGTTGCCGCGTTGGTGTTGGATGTTCGTCAAGGTGAAGTTCGGTGAAGAACATGTGTTGTAAATGTGGGTCCAATTCTATATACTGATTGGTCAATATAGTTACCGCCTACTGTGGGTCTTACGGAATTACGGATAGGTACGTAATTACTTGGCGTGAAGTACCCATAATCCCCAGCCACAACCGTCGGTGTACAACGTACAAAGTAATAGTAGATACCGTGGCAGTGGCGGATGATAATAATTGAGGCTGGTGAACACGTGAAAGACGTCATGGTGGATGACTAACAAACATGCCAATGTCTCCCGCCCAGCCCTTGTTTCAACAATCATCAAGCGACATGATCAATTCATGAGCATTTGGACAACGTACACATACACAGCTTCTTGATCTCACAAACTTAGTACTTAGTCTCGTAAGTCTATCTCTTCCTGGTAAGTACCTGTATATAAGAACTCAGAAACCGAGCTGACATGTCCTTAGCATCATATCGCACATTATACCTTATCAGTTGTAACTTATACCTGCACACATATAAGAAGCCAGGGGAAACAAGGGAGGGAGACCGCGACCTCCACAACTCCAGCACTCGTCAACCGGCTGATCCTGCTCCTTTACGGTTTACCATTCACAATGGACAAGGGAAATGGCCCTGGACGACTACCGAGGCAGGAGCGCGAGTTTGCGCCGTGGGAACTCAAGTTCTTCGACACCGTCGCCAAGATCCACTGGGCGCTCTTCTATTTCATGACCTTCATCATGATCGCCGGCTTCGTCGCAGGCTTTATCAAGTTCATTTATAACTGGCGGGCAAAGAGCACTTCGCGGGACCTTGAGGGGAAGAAGAAGATATGAGCACTGTCCTGTGAGCCTGTAAGGTGACTAAGGGGCTGGTTCGTGGACGGTGGCGGGGGATGCGCCCGTATGAGCAGCGGCCGGGTGAACTTTACTTTACTCCCAACGATCTAAAGATGCTTGGAAGTAACTTTATGTATGTAATGTAGATGGTTCTTCATGGTCAAATTTGGGCGCCAGGTACTAATTGTACCCTATACTTGAAGCCATGACTGAGTTTGGGTCCTCACAGCGATGGTCCATGGTCCTGGACGCCCCTTTAAAACCCCCAGTGCCTTTAAAGATCCCTTCTTCAGCTGGCCATCTCCTGTCTCACCTCCCTACCTTATACTTCACCTCGATTGACGCTCCCACCAAGATACCAAGATACCACGAACCCGAACCCGAAGCAAGAAGCAGAAACACCATTGTCAACCAGAACCCCGAACAAAACATTCTACAAAATGGGCTTCATTCTTTACGTGATCGAAATCTTCGACATTGCGCACATGGACCTTTACAACCAAGTTGCCACCATTTTCCCCTTCTGGATCGCCCTCCCCTTGTCGACGTATCTCTTCCTCCTGTTGATCGTTTTCATGTGGAATTTCAACGACATCTGCATCAATGCCGCCTCTCGAAAAATCTCAGGCTGGCTGCGCAAGAGGAGGGCGAATGGAACACGTCAAACTGTTGGGCAGGACCTCGAGAAGGGCCTATGCGCCGGGGGAGGACCAGAGAGCACGTCACGCTTGCAGCCCCATACTGTGAAGGACGGGATACGAGAGAAGGTCGGCGCATAAGCTGTCCAATATCGAGGAGCGGGAGCCCATGAGAGCGGGGTGGACATTGAGAAGAATGGGCTTTCCAGACAAATGTTAATTCAAGCACCTGAATCGAAAGCATTGAGTCTTGGTTGTTAGAATCCTAGCACTTTCTTTCTTTTTTTCTTCTTTTTTTTTTCTTCTTTTTTTTTCTTCTTGTTTAAAAAACCCCCATCTCGATACGTAGTCTTGGTGCAAGTTGGCTCCCTCTCGGATCAGCATGGAATACCTGCAGCCAGGAGACGCCCTCCAGGCTCCAGGCGAGGCTCTCGACTCATGTTGAAGGTGGCGTTTGCTGCGCAAGTCACACATCAAGCCATGAGTTGAAAAATGGATTGACCTGCTGCCCTCGGGAGGCGTAGTTAAGTCCAAAATGTAGTCAAAGTTCAGCGCCGAGAGTCGAGACAGCCACGGCGACGCCCTTAAAATGAAGACGAGCTGTTCTATGCGTAACTGTGCTACCCATCTCAGGAGAGTTCGGGGATCGGGATCCAAAATGTTATAAGTTGAGGTGTCAGCACCCTGGCCACAACTCTCAACTTATTCTTCTTTAGTCGTCTAACAACGGATTTCTTTACCAGATATCCCACGCCCATCGCTATCATCCGTCTCTTCTGAGTCCTCCCTCGGTTCATATCGTAAGTCATCATCACTAACTCCCACTCCCAATATCCTACATAGCCTCAAGGGGGAAAAAAAAAAAAAAAAAAAAAAAAGAAATAAAAAAATGCTTGAAGCCGACGCCCAACTTTCAAACAGTGTCTCTGACCCAAAACCTCGACAGTCAAGACAACCCCCGTTCGCCCAAGATGGGGAGTCAAATTTCCAGTCCACGGCAGAGGGGGTGCGCCTGCCCCCAAAAAATGAGGAAGCTTGCCGCGGAGAAAGCCAAAGGCAAAAACGCAGCGGCGCGAGCCAAAAAGGCATTGGAGGGATGCAAAAGGGCAAAGCTCCGAGAAAAACAGACAGGGAAGATACTCCAGAAAAGAGCCGACATGGACGCCAAGGACCTATACGGCAATCACATACTGTTTGGCCAGAAAGGGCCCAGGGGGGTGACGTCGGGCAACCCGGACGACCCCGGCGGCCCCGGCCTCGCCGCCCACAACCTCGTCGTCGCCACGTTCATGCTTCTCGCCGTGCTTGTCCTCTTATGCTTCGGCCTCTATCTGCAGAGAACATTCTGCAAGAGGAGAAAGTCTCGTGTCAGGCAGGGAGCTGACGTCCGAAAGCAACACGGGGAGCTTCCCCGTGACGCCGAGACGTATAACGACGGTCTCGAGTTGGGACTCCCACATGAGGCCGAGTATAAAAACGACCCAATATCGGAAAAGATGGAGAGTGGCGTGACGTTCGGCGGGCGCGAGTATGAGACTGTCACCGGGGTCACGGGTTTCAACACTTCTCCGTCGTGGACGTGGACGACGCCGACCGTCGGGCCCATTACTTCTTAGACTACATGTTATTACGAGCCCGCGCCATTGTGTGACGCCCAGTTCTGGGACTATGGACAGTGATGTGATTGTCCCCCGTTGATCAAAATAGGAGGATATATCATATAACGGTCTTTCTTCTTTTTCTAAGAAATAATAAACAGTATCCAAGGTACAACTTATAAGCTATGCTCTGTTGAGTCTCCTCGTTGCTTCCGGCCCTCCGCATCCCCCCCGACAGCGTAACTTGGAAGCTGTCACGTATATTCACGCCATGGAAGGTAACCATCTATACCACAAGATCCTTCTCTTTAGTTGTCACGTTGTGGCATATCCGTAAATTTCGTACTTTTGGTTTCGGCGAGGCGAGGATTAATACAGACTAGAGGCGCCGTGGCTTGGGCTGGGCGGGAGACTCTGAGGACTGAACTAAGAGTCAAGGCCGATCTGAAAGTAAAAGGCCAACACGACGGACGTGGCTGAGACGCTGGGTCGGGGATCAAAATGACCTGACTACACATCTTCTCAACTACAAGTTCGGAGTGTAGCCCCAAGTGAAAACTTTACTGAGTACACCGTAAGCTCTCCAAGTTCGACCATCTGGTCCACGCACACCAGAGGATCTATTTTCCTTCCCATGCGTATGATGTGGGACGCCACGTGGAAGAAAGGATAATCAAAAGGCTCCAGGGACTCATTATATCAACCGAGAACCCGTCGTTCCATCGAGTCCTCTCCTCTTCTAAACGCTTACTCAAAGTTCTCCTTCCAAAACTACACGGGTCGACACCCCTTTTACCCAACTACCCAGCAAATTACAGACATCGCCACCGACCATGGCGCCTACCATAGCTCCCTGCCAACCGTCCAACGACAAAAAGATGGCCGAGTTTTACAAAAATCACTATGGCCAGTACCAAACGATTTACTGGCTCGCCTTGACAGTTCTCCTTTTGATCGGCATGGCCGTCACATGGCACCTATGCCGTATGTGTGTGCGCAGAGCAGACAAGAATGAACAAGAGCGCCTCCAGGCCGAGCAGAACGGCTCCAACGCCCCCAACAAGAAGACGCCTTGGTCCCAGCGGTTCTGCAGACTAGACGACCCACGATCGGGGGATCTCGAACTGGGAGGACGAGGTGGACGAGGTGGACGACCGCATGCCGATGACAGCCACAACCACGACCGGCCTGCCCAGGATCCCTCGGCGACGTCTCCGACGCCCCCTGCGCCGGCATATGGCAGCCTGAGGACTAGGGACAGGGACAGACGCAGTGGTGCTGGGTCTCGAATCTCTCGATCCCATCAGCGCACGCCTCCTCCCAGTTATGCGTGATTTGGCAGGATCACCGTTCCAGTCTGGACCGTGGACATCGAACCCTAAGCTCCTGACGAGACTCTTTGGATTGCTGCAGCTTTCATGAGGGAGCTAAAGCCGTATACCATGAGCTGTTGGAAATGGATAATTTCGAGATGCCGGAGCAAGGATTGGCTATATGGTTGTCGACGGTCGTTGAGCATGCAGAGATAGATAGGGATGATGGTTGCCTTCTCTTCTTCAGGCGGTCAGACCAATACAGGGCAATAGTAGTCAAGAATAAGATCATTCAAACATCAAACTTGCCCTATCATACGCTGCTACGCAGTTCTACTTCCTTGACGTGCATTGAGTAATCTCGTATAATGGCGAAAGCCAGTTGAGCTCATTGAAACAATTTGTCCCATTCAATCTCAAAACAGTAGACACCAAACTCCATTCTTCCCACACCATACAATCAACTCACGGAAGCCCAATCAACCTCCTAAACATCGGATTCTCCAACAGCCGCACCCTAGGCAGCCTTCCCACCTTCGCCCCCTCCGTCCCCCCCTCAGCCAGCTGGGCCTCGTACTTCCCCAACGCAAGCCCCGTCAAGAACCGCCCCAGCGGCTCACTAGGCGCATACATCGCGGGGACCAGAACCCGATTCGCCGCAAAGCCCAACCGCTTCAGGACCCCATCGCGGGGGACGACCTTCAACACGGCCTCGTGGCCCGTCGGGTCGACCGTCGATGCCCGGAGCGAATCGACGACGAACCGCCCCTGGGACTGGGCCGCGATCTCGGAGAGCCGCGCTTCGGTTTGGCCCTTTGTGCGGGCGTAGAGGGGGTGGAAGGGACCCGGCTTCTGGGTCGCGAAGGCGCCCGAGACGAAGACGAAGCGGAACGGGTCTTTCTCCGTGGTTTCCGTGGCTAGGGAGGAGGAAAAGGCCGATGCGGCTGCTGTGGGGTAGTCTTTGGTGATTCTGAGGTACTCTCTGGACCTTTTATGTTAGACACATCAACTCTGCGCCATCATGTGCCCCGTGCTGTGGTCCCATATCGTATATGGATGAAGTTGTCGATTGATACGAGACACGAGAAAGGAGGAAAGCAAAACGAAAAAAATAAAAAGAAAAAAGACAGATGCATTATAGTACGGAAAATTGTCCGGGACTCTCACTCACTCTTTACCGACAGTCATCGGGCGAACTCCCAGCGCCCACACTACCCCCTGGGCACCTTTAAGCTGCTCCAGCACTTCGGGCGGATATTGCGCGAAATCCTCGTGGATGATGACGTGGACACGCGGGTCCTGTGCCTGGTCCGCAAGCGGCACGGGCCGGCGCGAAAGGATGGAGATGGTGGTCACCTCCTTATTCTTCAACATGGCGTCCAGCACGCTGGACCCGACGACTCCCGTGGCGCCAGTGAGAATGAGGTGCATCGCGGGGAAACGGCGGTGGGTAAGAGGTGCACGTGAAGAAAAGAAGAAACAAAGTCAGGTTGTTTTGGGTAGTTGAGGGAAAATAAGCAGACGTTTTTAAATTTAGCATGTCGCCTGCTTCTTCGAGGGTCGGGGCCCCTGGCCGCTGGCGTGGAGGACAGGATGATGCATAATGTTCCCCCAACGCAATGTAACGCAGCACGTTGGTCACGCTGCATGCATGTCCTCGCTTGAAGATTTAACGCCAATCATGTTTGTACGCGTTCTCAAATAGCCCCATGTGTCAAGGGACGTCAGGAGAAAACACATTGGCCGGTTTATGCCTGGTTATCTGTCTTGTCAGGAGGGAACAGTATTAGTGAGGACAGGCAAAAGAAGTGGTTGGAAAGCCATGATCCATCGACCATAATGCTGTGCTATTAAAATATCCGCATCCAATCGGCGACAGGACATCTACATCACGATCGTAGCGACCGTCACTACTGTTACAATCGCGCCAGCCCAGCAGCCCACAGCCGTGATCGGCCTAGATGCGGCCGACTGACCCGGCAACAAGGGCCTGGCCGCCTGGACACGCACGTTGGCGGCGACCGAATCCTTCGCGGGGATGTACTCTTCGGGGGTGAAATTACACTGCCGCATAATCGTCGACATCGCTATATACATAACATAACCAGTGGTCAGTACAGTACTGTCTCACGAGGTATGGAAGGGGTCTCGGAAGAACTCACGACCATCTGGGTCGTTCATCTGCTCAATGCAGTCAGCGCATAGGGCTATCACCCGCGCGACGTCAAAGCTGTCGTTGGAGCAAGTACAGGCCGTTTCGAGGCCCTCTGCCTCCCGCTGCGCCCCCTGGTCGGGCAGTGGGCCATCTGCCTCGTCAACAGTATCCTCTGCAGCCTCCTCCTCCTCCTCATCATCGTCGTCAGTGTCGCCACCAATGCCGTTGTCCACGTTGATGACATCCCCAATTCCTACGCCAGTTGCCGGCCCACCGTCGCCTACCGGGAGATTGTATGCGGGAGTCGAGATGATGGCCGTGCTTGCCGTCGTCAAGGCGCTTGTTCGTGAAAGCGATGGAGATGGAGATGAAGAGGGCGACTCGATAATGAGGTTGATGACTGTCGGAGTGGTGGTCGGACGAAGGTCAAGCCTTGTCGTCGGCGTGGTTGGGTGAGTCTGGTGCTGCTGCTGATTGGTGTTGTCGGGAGGGATGGTTCGAAACCCCCCCGGCGCTCCCGCGGCGGGATCTGTTGTCGCAGTGAACGGGATGGTCTTGAACTCTCCGATCACGTTTCCATTGCCGTTTTCACCCACCACGACACCACCGGTGTTACCGCCATCAAAGCCGACATGGACCTGACGCTTGTGGTTCGGTAGTGCCTCTTCGGCTTCCCTTCTCCTGTTGCGGCCCTGGCGCTTTGTGCTATTTGGGCCGCGAAGGCCATCGCCGACTAGTCTCCTCCTCTTCAGGCGGCGCAGCTCCTCAGACGCAGGGGTGTTGACGCGGCAGAGAGAGGTCAGCTCGACTATGGGCCCACAGATATTGGCACAGGCGAAGGGAACATCGTGTGGCCGTAGTTCTTCTGAGAGGACAGCAGCGGCGAAGGAGGCGAGCAGGAAGAGGGTAGCATGATCTGGCTTCATGTTTGGCCAGCGGTACGGGTCTTGAGCAGACCAGAAATAAAACGAGCGTGGCGATAAACGAGTGTGAGGCTACACGACCCGGGGGATATGGGAATCAACCATGAAGCGAGCGAACGCTGGATGGGTTGACATGGAGCAGCAGGCGGTGCTGGGGGCGAGAAGAGAAGGAAAAGGAGAACGGAGATGGACTGGGGCGTCAGGAGAGGTCATACGTGGATCTTCGTAATGGGGAGGGATGGAGGTAGGTAGTCCGTGGGACGATCAAGGGTCTTTCTTGCAGCTGAAACGTCCAAGAGCCCTTCACCATAGACCCTACTGACCACACTTGAGGAGAATGAAGCATGTCCAAGGGTCCATTGCGCGGTGGGATCATGGATGGCCTGTCGTGGCGCGTACGTTGCACAGAAGGGCCGAGATATGCCCTGAGCGATACCATCAACGACACCCGTGTTGGAGATACCTAGCACCGGCCATCTCGACTTTGAGGACTCCAGGTTGGTGGGAAAATAAGAAGTCAAGGGGGCGAAGATGCTTGACCGTGTCGGAGCCCCTGGTGGCTGGTGGCTGGTGCGACCGTGCCCCTTGGTGATGAGACGTGGTGAAACACGATCAGACCGCGGATCAAGACATTGGTTAATCAGATAAAGAGCGGTAGTCTAGGCCCCTTGGCTAGCACCACCACCTGGTTGGAACATCGTGACGAGGCGATGGAGGCTGCGTTCGGAGTGTTGCTTGGATCGGTACGGAGGACGAGGCGGGGGGTAATGGGTATAGATGAGTTGGATATTCCATAATTTCCATCAACCCCGACCGAGCTTCGGAGTCACTGCGGGGGATCGGCCGGGCAGGTTTTCGGCTCTCCAGTCAACGTCCAGACCTATGCCCAGTTGGAGTTGGGTCCTTGAAGAAAACTGGCACGGGAAGAAGATAATAAGAAGAGGCGTGTAACGGTCAATCGATGGCAGCACGGGGGTACCGACAGGAGAGAAATGTCACTTGACATGGATGGGTGCAGGCGTACAGAGGTACAATTGGGAAAAGAAAGAAAGAAAAAAAAGAAGAAGAAAAAAAGTACGGAAAAGTACGAAAAAGAAGACGAAGAAAATGGTGATGGGATGGGGGTGGTTGCAGATAAACTGATGTTGAACTCGGAGGCTGAGCTGAGGGTAGGTGTGGGTCCGAGTGGGGCGAAAAGTTGAGCTGAGGGTTGCTGTGGGGCTATGTACTGAGGTCATATGACTAGATATCTTAGGTAACCACCCTTATAATAGATAGGCAAGGGTTACTATAGGGCTATATATTAAGGTCACGTGACTAAGTATCTTAGGTAACTACCCTTATAATATATATAGGTAGGTAAGGGTTATTATAAGGCTATTTATTAAGGTTACATGACTATATATCTTAGGTAACTACCCTTATAATAAGTAGCTAATATTTATTATAAGGCTATTTATTAAGGTTATATAACTAAATAAATTAAGTAACTACTCTTATACTTTGTAAAAGACTTTATAATAATATAATAACCCTTAGTAGAAATAATCCTTATAATACCTTAAGGTATTTAACGCGATGGCGAAATAGTTCGACCAATTAATTAAAGGCGTAAAGCCCCGTACCTACCCTCAACTTTTTTATCAGCCACGCCCCATATCTACCCTCAGCCCAGCCACCGAGTTCAACATCAGTTTACATGTAACCTCGGATGGGGCCCAATGGCGACTTTGACCAATAATCAGACAATGTGCTCCAAGGAAGGTTTGTGATTGGTGGATGAGTTCTCCTTGGCGCAACTTCCAAGTCGGCAGCAGTTCTACCTAAAGTACCGTATTGACATGTCAGAAGCAACACCTAGGTACGCCCAAGGCTTGGTATCCGAGACAAACTTGTCAGAACCTGGAAGTCTACATACCTACGGAGAAATTAAAGGGTACAGACTGTACGACGATGTCCTGTCAACAAAGCCATGTGGCCCGCTGATTCGCATGGATTTTGTCTTCTTGCAGCTGCGACTTGTCAGGTGCCCTTTGTTGCCGGTACGGATAGTATTAGGCCCCACACTACCACTACACGTGCTCTATACTTCGTAAACTGTTCCTTCCCCTTCGCATCCACGAGTAACGAAGCACCAGCCTCGAGTTTCTGCCCACGCCCTCGCCTGGGGCGTTTCGGCTGGCTGGTTCTTCCTTCCCCTACTTCTATCTTCCTTCCCATGATACCTGCCGTCCGAAGCTTGATTCGACTCCTCAGTGGAAGGTACTGTTAGTCTGTTACCGTATTTCTTGCGTGGATGGCACCTGCTAAACTCCAAAAGTTCACAATCACAACCACTGTCAGATCGAACTTTCCTCCCTCAGGTCAACACTTACGCCGTCGACCGATACCTTACGCATACGATAATGTACATCCACATGTCCTTGGTGACTCGACCACGCGGGGTCGTTCACCTCTGCCCACTGGCATGGCCCTTGGGTAAGGTACCTGATTCTCCCGACCTGCGAAGGTATCAGTACCCGCGGTTGCTCATCATGGCCCACCACGGAGGCGGAATCGATGACTAGGAGGCGATGTAGGGACCATGTGCATTCTCTGTTGGTGCCTGCATGAGTTCTTTCCTTTGGCCCCCCACGGGCTTACTTGGGGACTATGGCCATGTACATCCAGGGCAGCCACAGTGCCGGCAAGGCGGACGTCAAAGTTCGAGATATCAGGTCCCAGTGCCCTGCCGCCCTCATTTTTGCTCTTTCTTGGTGGTTCCTCCCCCCCCTTCTCTCTCTCTCTTTCGCTCGTCCTCTTTTACTCTATGAAAATGATTCATTATACCAGCACGCCGCGACTTTACTTCAAAGACGGCCCTGGACCATATTTCAAACGTCTTCTGGCTGGCTCTTGATGCCTTGTCCTTGGCCCTCTCTGGTTCCACCGCCTAGAGATGGTTAGGACCTCTTGATTACTGCCATGTCCCAACTTCCTCTTCACCACCCCGCCGGCAAGGCACCACGATATCCGTCACACGATTATGCCACCTTTCCAGAAGACCTCCGCGGGAAACGGATACTGCTCTGCACGGAATCCTTCGGCCCCGTCAACGGCGTGAGTCGTACCACTCTGATGCTCGTTGACCATTTGCGAGCCCACGGTGCCTTGGTCGCCGTCGTCGCACCCCTGAACCACACCAAGCACGACACCTTCGCCCCGTCTGCCGCAGAAAAACGGCCAGAGGACGACACGCTGGTAGAGGTCCGTTTGAAAGGATACCCGCTCCCCTTCAACCCGGAGCTATCTGTCGTTTACCCTGTCCGCGTCTCTACTCTCTTCGCCCGCACCTTCGGTCGGGACAACCCCCCAGACCTCATCTACCTCGCAAGCCCGGCCTCTCTCGGCTTCCAGGTCATGCTCCAGGTTCGCCAGCAGCCCCGCGAGAAGCGCGTGCCCATCGTCTGCAACTTCCAGACCGACCTGGCCGGCTACTGCTCCATCCTCTTCCCCCAACCCTTCAGCACCATCGCCGTCTTCGCCTTCGCCCTGGTCCAGAGCTACCTCTTCCGCCACGACTCGGTCAAAACGCTGTTCTATCCCTCCCGTTTCGTCCGTCGCTATCTCGAAGGGCAAGGCGTCCAGCCCGAAAAGATGGAGTTGCTCCGCCGCGGGGTGAACACAAAGGCCTTCTGCCCCGGCCGTCGTTCGGAGAAGCTCCGTCGAGAGATTGCCCCCAATGGTGAGATCATCCTGATCTGCGTCTCCCGCATCGCCGGCGAGAAGGGGTTCGACTTCCTCGCCCAGGCCGCCAAGGAACTCGATGCCCGTGGGCTGCCGTTCAAGCTGTACATCGTCGGCGGTAACCGCAATCCTGACGTCGAGCGGGAGGTGCAAGAGATGTTCGACCCCCTGGTTGACGAGAGCAAAGTCATTTTTGCCGGGTTCAAGTCGGGCGAGGACCTGGCGACCGCCTACGCGTCCGGTGATATCTTCCTTCACTGCTCGGTGACCGAGACGTTCGGGCTCGTCGTGCTCGAATCCATGGCGAGCGGCGTGCCCGTTGTCGCCCGAGACGAGGGCGGACCCAGCGACATCATCGACGACGGCCGATGTGGTCACCTGTTGCCGCCCCAGGACTTGCACGGTTTCGTGGACCGGGTCATGGCGCTAGCGAAGGACCCGGCCCGACGTGCAGCCATGGCTCAGGAAGCGCGATCCCTGGCCTGCGAGGCCACGTGGGAGAAGATCAACAACCAGGTCGCCTGGCGGATGGTCGATACTATCGAGGGACGGCGGAGAGAGCTGGTCCGGGTGGGCCATGCGCAGCACCCGACGCTGTTTGCGAACGCGCGCGCGCTGGTGCAGTTCTACGGGTGGGTGATGATGAATGACGCCGCGCGAGAGGTTATCATATCCTGGATCGTCGATGCGAAAATGGCTGGCGGGCTGGGCATCGTCATCACCTTTTGGCTCTTTACGGGCATCTATCTGGTCTTTACCGAGGTGGCACTCTGGACGAAGGGCCGGCTTCCGAGGCAGACCCGTAGCCGCCGCGGTAGTCCTGCAGGACTGTCATGAATCACTATGCAGGAGCATGGAAAGCGGAATGGCCTACGGAGGACTGATATCTGGGGCGTTTCGGTGTCTGGCGTTTCCACAATACGCCCGATTTTGGGTAGCCGGAGGGAGGCGGAATTGATTGCATTTTTTTTCTTCTATTTTTCCCGAATTTCTCTCCCTCGCTCTCCTTTCCCGTGAGGTTCGTAAATCGTGGTGGGGACCATATGGCGGGACTGGTCTCAGTAAACAGGTGCTTGCAAGTTGCCCGGAAGAGAGATTCCCGGGGGAGAAGGAGGCTAACACACGTGCCTGAGACATCAAATTCGTATTGACCATGTTGATAAACACGTAAACTCGGTCTTGGCTAAGAAATGCCACAATATGGTTTGTAGCTATGAGACCAGAAGCCAATACGAAATGGCAGGGCGGGGCCACCGAGTCGAGAACGCCGGCGGCTTCGGTATCGCTCCTCGCGACAGCGGGAGACGAGTGATCCGAGAGGAAATCGGCCATGGATTCTCCCGCTGGCAATAACTTAAGAGGAGTAATAACGGACCATGGCTGGACCGCAATCGGAGCACAGCATTTTACGGGTAGCCAATAGCGCCAAGCCTCCGTAGTCATGCGAATGAAGAAGCGGCTTGCACCGGTCGATTTTCAACCGAGTCCGGCGGGCCCGGAGCGGGGTCGTCATCCGTGTTGTCAGTCTCTCAAGAGTTGAGACGTATTATGTATAGAGACATCGTGACATCGTCGTCGGCCTATACGCGAATGTCTATAAATGGACCGCCCCCGTCCTCCTCTTCCGCCCGTATTCTGTTTCTACGGCGCTCGGGGCTTCGTTCTGATCCATCTTGACACCTCCGTTTTCCAAATTTCACTCCTCTTTTGTATGGGCACCTCCCAGGCCCCCACGGCCTGTTCCTTTTTGCGTTTGCGCCTCCAGTTCCACAACCGTCATTCATCTGTTCCCGATTTTGCCGTTCTCGGCGACAGTTGAGGGTAACGCCGTAACGCCCAAATATTAATAATTCACTATTCTCTCTTCTGCCAGTCGAGGACTCGAGAGTCGCTCAAATCACGAGAGCACGCTGCACGCACAGCCCACTCGAGTCACTGAACCCCTTCTTTTACGCGTATTGTTGCTTCTTTGTTTTCTTCTTTTTTTTTCTTTTTTTCGGGGGGGGGGGGTTCGTTTTTTCTTTGCCTTTGCCTTGCATTTTCTTTGCACCGTACATTCGAAGAGTACGGTGTAACACTCACCTTGCTATTTTGTTTCCCTGCCGTGGGTAGAGGTATTCTTTGCAGGTTCGAAGAGTTATGGTGTTCCCACGGATAGGCAGATGAGACTCGAGAGATGACTAAGGCCTGGTTTTTTCTTTCTTGGTTCGAGGAGTTAGCGGGTGTTCCCTACAGATGGGCAGGGGACAGCTGGACTGTCCCGATTTGCTTTTCTCCAGATTCGAGGAGTTATGGTGTGCTCCCTAAGGTAGGTACCCATGTGTGGCGTATTAGCGGAGCAAGATCGTGGGTAGAGGAAAGATCGAACATCGGATTTTTTTTCCAAGCTCCGAGATGCGGTCGAAATGGCATCAATATTCTCAGATATATTAAGAAAAGAACTTTAATCCATATAAGTCTCCCTTTGCCCCATAAACTGCTATTTAACGCTACTTAAACTGGCCGCGGCAGCGCAAAATGCTCAAAAAGGGGTTCAAGTGATATCTCTCATTTACGTCCACGTCCCTATTCGTACAAAGTATCGTCGTGACCGGTTCACGGAGCTACTTCGTATCTAGGCGCAGATCTAGGAAGGCCTGGAGGAAGGGAGGGGCGGGTTCGGAGAGAAATGTCTAAGACCTGTCGCTGGGGCCCTGGGGGGGAGCATGCAGTCCTGAACACCATGTGGCTGGCTAGCAGTGGGAAGGAGAGGCCAGAGACTGCGCTCGCGTCAGGATACCAACACCCTACCATGGGGGACGTGATATCCGATCGGATACTGCCCCGTACCATACAACTGGACAAGCCACATGTTTTTTTTTTCCTTTTTTTTTTTTGTCTTCTGGGGAGTCCACGTTGGCACGGCTCAACAGCACTCCAACAGTCTCAGGGTCAGCAAAAACATTTGCTCCAGTCATTACAGTGCGTGTTGTCTTGCGACCAACAGAAGTGCATTTAAGTGTCGTGGAATAAACGTGACCTGCGCATGTCCGTACGAACTCCTCCTCAGCCCTCAGCACCCGGCCTGGCGGAACAACTTGATGAGTAAGTGTTTATGATTGGATATTTTGCGGAAAGTTGACTGGCTGTTGGGTATCTAACAACATCAACGCGCATTTTGTCTTCTATCTTCTTTGTTTTGTGTTTTGTTTTTGTGACAGCCATGCTTTCTTGTGGAAACCGGCTACTCCCCGAGTCGATGCAAGCTTTGTTTTTCGGGTTTGGCAGGCAAGTTGGGTGTTTTGTGAAAGGAGGGGTTTAACGTGACGCAGGTGACGAATGGTTGTTCCCGGTGGTTCAAGACATGCATAACTTGTGTGCACCATGTCGTAGCACTGAACCATTGGACCGTGAAAAAGGGAGACAAGATTGCGAGGAAGAAAAAAAGAAAAAAAGTTTAAAGGTAGCCAAACAAGAAAGAAGGGGAAAGAAAATAAAGGGGCCGAGGGAAGGGACCGAAGATAGTTGAGGGAACTGTACGGATAGAGTGGATGTGTTCGTTGGTGCGGTGCCACAATGATCGATCTCGCGATCTTCCCCAGATTTCTTCGTACTCCACTACCTTGGTAGCTATAAGACCGCCGCAGGTGCTTCGTCTGTATCGTGGTTGGAAAATCCGAGATTTCGTCCAAGGTAGGGTAGGGCATGACGATGGGAATTCAAAGCTGGCTGGCTGGACTGTCACCAATTCCCGGACATGGATGGCACAGACGCAGACTGACAAGGATCCGTATTTACCAGATAAAATCCCGTTGGCCGACATTGGGGGAGGGCAAATTATACAAATTGACCAACCAAGGTCGGGAAATTGAGTACAATATTTCCGTGGCAGCCGTGACAAGGGATACCAAGGAATCCTCCCGCACACGGCGTCACTAAGGCAAGGCCAAGGCCACTCTGTGGCTCGAGTGTTATTCAGGTCACCAAGGGCCGAAATAAAGTGACGGCGATAAGAAAAAAAACAGCGGCCAATCGGCTCGGCAGTTTGTCTTTCCCCAGACACTCCATCTCGGTCACCCATGGCCCTAGTTTCAGTCGACAGTCCCATTCAGCGCCTACCTTACTTGCATACTTCGACAGGACGGAAACGGACAATGAAGTAGCTGGACACCAAGTATTTGATGGCTATGCGATCCGACAAAAAGGCGCGGCATGAGATGAGTGGTAAGGAAGATACTGGGAATGGTGGGCATCGTTGGATGACTGCCCGGACCAACGGGGACCATTACCATGGACCAGGAATGCCCATGGATAAAGTCAGAGTATCGATGAGGGGGTGCAGATATGCCTTGCCAAGTTCGCCGACCGAGCAGAGAAGAAAGGCATACTTAAGTTGTATGTTATAGAGACAAGGGAAACATCATACAACGTACCCCCCATTTCTTATTGGGGGTTGCTGGTGGGGGCATATTGCTTATTCCTCTCGCGGGCCGATGAGGGGCGGGCGGGAGCTGGTCCGGAGAAGACCAAATAAAAGGCAATAGGAGGTGAGTTGGGGGAAGAAGAAAGGGGGGGGAAACTAGGAGGGGAAAAGAAAAAAAAAGAAGAAAAAAATGAAAAAAATGAATTGTAGCTCCGACCAAGAGCTTGGCTGTTAGAATTCTTTATGCGCTTTTACGTGTTAATCGGGACCTTTTTTCCCCTTGCCGTTGAACCCCGGTCGCCGTATAAATTGCACGTACAACTGTAAACCATCCCTGCTCTCAGGTGCCGGTGAGCGCATATCTTTTTCTTTTTTCGAAACACCATACCATTATAGAGGGGTTCAATTCTACAGGACCACCATGAGATGGCGATGTGCGAGTGGTGGGACTCAGGGATGTTCAACAAGGATATCAAGATGCGAAGGTGAGAATCAACACATGACCAGAAACAATGATTGATCTGATCAACCGATCGGGAGGTTCATTAATTTTTTTCTTTCTTCTTTCTTTGTCCCAATTTGACTCGATCACAGTGCTGTCTTTCTTACCAGTGTCTGTGCCTGTGCCTCCTGTCCCGTCTTGTCCACCTCTGCCCCTGGCGATGACGCCCGGCCCAGAGCGAGGTGATCAGAAGAGAAGGTCGAGATTCGTAAGGGGCACGGGTTATACAAGTCCAGTCGGGCATTGACATGAATAGTAAGGTAGGGGGAAAAAAAATCAACTCTAACTTAATATCTCAACAACACGACTAATACCTGCCACTGTCCACCTACCTACTATGATAATGGAAATCGGGTAGAGTCAAGGTATCAACAACATCACTTGGTCCTGTCCACGCGCCGAGTGTTGAAAACAATAAAACAAAAGAAATCATAAACAAATTAAGAAAGAAAAAAAGAAGAAAAAAAGAAAGAAAAAGCAAAGATACCAACCCACACAGCCCAAAAACAAGCAAACATGGATCGGGAAAGACCCCCGTCAACTCTCAAGATCGACACCGGCTCAGCTGCCTCGTTCGCCATCATATCATTTATGAGGAATAGTGGATTTACGAGCGTCTTCCAGCCGACCTAGCGGGCCCTCTCCTGCAGCCTACAGGTGACAAGTGCCCGGTCTGACAGGGAACAGGGGGTGGATCGACAGCCTTTCCCGCCTGCAACTGCAACCTCGACTGCAAGCTCGGTCCAATGCAACCCTCGGCCTTGACCTTGACACGACGGCACCTGCTGGTGGAGGTGGTGGAAGTGGGAAAGGGAGGGGATGCGGGTTGATAGCTAGGTAAGACGCTCCAGGTACTAGTGGGTATGATGTGGGCATACTTCGTGAATCCCTATGGGCATGGAGAAATCTAGTGAGACATGGACATGGGTTGTTCCCACGCAATCAAGGACAAGCAAAAAAAAAAGCAAAAGATGTGCGTAGGTATGTATGTCTCTGTGTGTCTGTGTCTGCTGGTGGGGAGGGGGGGTTCGCGGTGGCAGAGTTGCAAGCGTGGGAAGCCCGGACGCTGGGAGCAAAGCTGAGAGTTGGGTCCGTCCTACACTTCCCCATGAGATGGATGGGCATATTTGCTCCCCTGTCCCAGCAAAGACTTTTGCTTCCTGCTTGCTGCTTGATGTACCCCAGTTTCGACAGCCTCCCCATCAAGTTGTGTGTGTACATATGATGGACTGACTTGGTTCAAATACCCAGGGCCCAGGGATGGATGGGCACTGGGCCTGGCAGGGGGTTCATTTCCATGTCGACATTTCTGGCTTAGACTGTCTCTCTTTCGGTCTCTCAACCCCCAGTGCCGTCCCCTCTCGTTCTCCTTTGTCCACAGTGATCTCATCACCAAAACACCCTTGTCCTGCCCTCCATCTGGCGTGGAGTTAGATCTACGTACGTGGAGTGGATGGAGGAGGACGAGGAACGCCGGCAGGCGTGCATGATATAAGTCCTCGTTCTCCTTCACGCCTTTACCACGCTCTTTTGCCTCGCCCTTCGTCGTTGTGATTCCCTCCCCTCTCTCGTGGTAACAGACGGGCAAAGCCACGACAAGGCACGATCGAAAGTCAAGGCCAGACGAGACAAGACATCGACAGGCCGGGTGTGAAACTGAAACCGTGAAACCACATTCTTTTTCATCGACCTCTTCCCACGCCTCCTATACAACCCTTCTCATTCATTCGTCTTCTGGGTACTAGTAAGGATCGTTGCCAGTGTCAGGGTCCCTTTTCCCTCCTTTATTATTATTATTATTCTTCTTCTTCTTCCCTGTCCGCACAAAAGAAGCCCGACGCGTCTTCTACCGCTCAACGATCCCCGTTCTCGACATCCGGTCGGACAGCGTTACTACCCCCGAAATAGCAATGAGCGAAACAGCAATGAGCGAAACAGCCAACTGGGATGGCCTCGGCGTCTTCTGGACGGCCTTCGCCTCAGGCTGGACGGCCCTCCTGATCGCTGGCATGGCCTTCCTGCACCGGCGACGTCACATGCCGATCCTGCGCATCCGCGGCCTCCCGCTCTCCTTCTGCGCCATCCTCTTCCTGCACGCCTACTGGCTCGCCGTCCAGCTGGGCTACGTCTACGGCCACCTGATGCCCAACGGCGTCGAGTACTGGATCATGGGCATCTATTTTCCTTTCGGCGTCGCCCTCTTCCACGCTTCCAATAGCCAGTTCCTCCACGTGGCCAAGCGCCAGAAGAAGTATGCCCAGCTCGCCTTGCCTGCCGGTAGCGGGAAGAAGCCGGGCCAGCACCAACGCCAGCAGCACCAGCAGCAGCAGCTCGCGAAGAAGAAGACGTCGTCGTCCAAGTGGCCTCTCGTTGGCAAGTTTCGGCGGTACGATTATACCACCAAGATGCTGGCGGTTGTTTGTGCGGGCATGACGTTCCAGGTGAGTTCATGTTCGCTTTGTCCTAGTTTCTCGGACCAAAAGAAAAAAAAGCCGAAACGGAAGGATGAGAGGAACATATTCAGAAAGACTGAATATGACTGACTGACCTGGTGGTTCTGGATTAGTTCGCCTTGACGCTTGTCATGTACCTCGTCTCTCGCAAGTTCCACCCTTCCTTCGGCATTCCCGGGACCGAAGTCACAGGGACCCCTGACGAGGTTAAGAGGGAGCAGGGTCGAGGATGGGAATGGTAAGTCCGGTCATCTTCAGCTCTTCAGCTCTTCAACCTCTTCCACGTACAAGGAACAAACTGCTAACCAACGGTCGAACGAACGATCAGGTGGCCGTCGGTCTTCTGGCAGATCTTCTGGGCCTGGATGGTCGCTCCCTACATTCTCTGGCAGTCTCGCGGCATCCACGACACGCAGGGATGGCGCGTGCAGACGGTGGCCTGCTGTTTGGTGTCTCTGCATGCGGCGCCCATGTGGCTGATCGCTCTTTACGTTGATGGCATGGGCGTGATCAACCAATACTTTATCCCACCCCAGTGGTAAGTCTCGAGAGTCATTACCTTCCTCGTACCTACCCTCTACCCTCGACTTTCTTTCCCTTTGCTCGCCTGCCCCACATCGGAGCATAACACGAATACATGGGGCTAACACTCCGAGTCAAGGATCGCGGTGTCGATCATGTTCATGGAAATCTTCACCATCTTCACCCCCTGCTGGCAGGTCCTCCGGCACCAGTCCCTCCGGCAGGAGACGCTCGAGCTCATCGCGCTCTGGGAGACGGGCAGGAAGAGCGGCAGCGGCAAGTCGTTCGCGTCCGACTCGACGCGGGTCGGCGGCAGCGGCAAGGAGACGTACCTCTCGTGGAAGCACATGGGCGAGGCGGAACGCGGCGGGTCCATCGACGCCATGACGGCGGCGGGAGGCGGCCTCCTGACCATGGACGCGCTCGAGTACGCGCTGAAGAAGAACCCGGGCCCCCTGCAGCACTTCTCCGCGCTCAAGGACTTTTCCGGCGAGAACATTGCGTTCCTGACGGCCGTGCTGCGGTGGAAGACGAATCTCCGGGCGCATCAGAACGCCGGCGCCCCTGCTTCCCTGGTCGGTTCTTCTTCGCCTGCCGTCCCTGCCCCCGCTGCACGAGGAAGCGCGGCCATCGTGGCCATCGGCGCGTCGGAGGAGGAGGAAGCCCAACGGAAAAGGCAGCGCGAGGAGCGCGACCGGGAGATGTTCAACGAGGCGCTGCGGATCTACACCGAGTTCATCTCGCCGCGGGATGCCGAGTTCAGCATCAACATTTCGTCGTCGGACCTGAAGCGCATCGAGGCCGTGTTCGAGTCCGCGGCCAGGACGCTGTACGGCGACGAGAGGCGCAGCAAGGACTCGGCCACGCCGTTCGACGACTGGGGTGCGCCCAAGTCGTCGTCGGCCAGCGAGAAGGGGATCGTGCACGGCGACGGCGACGGCGACGTGGACATGTCGGACGCGGGCTCGACGATTGCGGAGCGGGTGTACTACTGGGGCCGCATCCCCGAGGGGTTCGACGAGACGGTGTTCGACGAGGCGGAGACGAGCATCAAGTATCTTGTGCTCACTAACACTTGGCCCAGGTTTGTCAGGGATAGGCGGACGTCTTTCGACTCGACGGAGAGTGTTGAGTCGTATGATACGCTGCTTGATATGGTGGCGAAGAGGGGCCAGACTGGCAAGTGAGGAGCCGGTTGGGATAGTTGGATTTGATGGGTCGCGGAGGCGTAGCGGACTTGGTGATATGGTACGGTAAGGGGGCGTCTCGGACTATCGGTCGGTGGGATGGTCGGGACGACTAATGCTTTCCCTTTGGGAAGGGTCTTTTTTCTTTGGTTTATATAAGATACTTTTGGTATGATGTTATACCTTTATAATGTGACAATACCCACGGGATTTGGAGAGGGAGCCATGGTTTTTTTCTTTTTTTTTTCTTTATTGTGTACGGTTCCTCGCTTCGTTGTGTAAAGTGGTAGGATCATGGTTGTGATGGTGAGTGTTTCCGTGGTGATGCTTCTTTTTCTTTTTCTTTTTCTCTCCCCGCTTTCTCGGTGACACTCGGTAAGCATCTCGTTTCATTTCCACACCAGTCGCTCAAGGTGAAGCGGCAGGTGAGAGGCCTTGGGCGAGTCGTCCGACACTACCGTACGGTACCTACGAGATGTTCCCCCCTCCCCCGGTGGCACGTTACAGAGGAACCAGCCCCTGAGACGCTCCTAGGGCCAAGTTGAAAGTTTAGTCAGCGCAACGCGTTGCAGCAGGTTTACCCCTGGCGCCTACGCACATGCATCGACCAATCAAAAGCGTCCACCAAGAATCCCGTGTCGCATCGTCGCACGCATTGTCCGAGCCCTCGTCTCGTGTTCCTGCCCCTCGACTCTGCTTCAACGGCGCTTCATGTGATGTCCACTTGCAGGGTTTGGTTCTCGTCGAATGGGCGTTAATCTTTCTTTTTTCCTTCTTTTTTCCCCCTCTTTTTCTTCAACGATTTTCTGTAAGCTGGCTTGACAGAAACCGGGAACCTGTTTTGAGTGTTCTAGCTATCATTCTTGTCTTCATTCTCTCCGTTCAGCTTCACTGCGTCACTCCTAAAGATCGCAGACCACCAAACAGACCTCCGTCGAGTTCGCAAAGGTTGACTCCACAGTCCACAGTCCACATCCCGGCGCTTGACCCGTTTCTCTCGCTCCGCCATCAGTCTCCGCTTTCTATGCGCCACGGTCCCTTGACACGGTTTTCCACCTTCTGATCTTCGTCTTCGTCTTGGTCTTCGTCTTCCCTTCCATTCTGTACCGTTTTCTTTCCCCTTGCTTTTGTGGCTGGACCTGTTGTACATCGTGTTTTAATCTCCGCCATCATCTCTTCGCTTCCCTCTTTGTACGAGGCTTGGCTGTCGCTGTCGCTGTCGTGCGGTCGGACACGCCATTCCAGCTTCACTGCGGGACTCGGAGGTCTGCCTTTCGCTTCAGTCGCTCTCTGCCGGGGCAGGTTCCCTCAACTTCTTCCTTTGACCGTTTTCTTTTCGTCTTTGCTTTCTTCGAATCGACTTTGCATCGCCGCCGGTCGGGACACTCCCTAATACCTCTCCGCCTCCCCCCTCGCGTGCGAATCGAATAACCCCCACCGAATCGGCCGACCCCGACATTAACGTTCCTCATTTCTCGCCAACTTTTCACCTGTGCTTCCAACGAGCCTCGCACCGCCGAACCATCCCAACACTACATACACGATGTACTGGACCACGGCATTATCGACAGCGACGCTGCTCGCGCCCCACACCCTCGCCGAAATCATCCCGCTGCCCGCCGACCCCTCCATCCATGCCGGATCCTCCGGCCTCCTGCAGCACCACGCCCAGGACATGTCCAGCCAATACATCTCGCGGCGGCAGTCCTCCCCCGAGGACGAGACCCAGGGCGCCGCGCCCCTGACCCCGGACGGCTCGATGGACTGGGACGCGTGGGACAGCAGGACGGTAGCGGCCTGCATGCAGGCGCTGGGACGGCTGGACACGGCCTCCAACCCTTCGGGCACGTCCATCTGCTACAACCTGCCCATGCTGAACCGGACCAGCGGCATCTTCGGCGCCGACCTTCGCTTGTTCAAGGTGTCCGAGCCGTCGGGGTCTTGGGTCAACATCCCGCCCGAGAATATCGAGGTCACTGTCGGCTTCCGCGGTGCTGCCGTGTCGGCGGTGGACCCGAATCGCGGAGAGGCGCAGCAGCAGCAGCAGCAGCAGCAGCAGCAAAACAGGGTGAAGCGGCAGGACAATGCGGGACAAAGGAACAGGACCACGGAGCTGCTGCAGACCTATTTCTTCATCGGACAGATCGGCCGGGAACACATGGAGGCGAACATGACCAGGTATGTCTTGCTGTCCTTCTGTCCTCACGCTCCACGAACCCGTGCCGCCGAAACAAACACAACCCAAAGGGGAAAAGCTAACCACAACGTTGAGCCCAACAGCGCCGAAATAGAAGCCCTCGTCATGCCGATCCTGACCCTCAGCGCCACGAACCCCGACGGCGTCACCCTCACCACCAACGTCTCCTCCAACGAGGCAGCCTTCCTCACCGGCGTCTTTTCCGACGAGGAGAACCTGTCGGATTTCACCCGCGCCGACCGCGCCGTGGCCAACATCACCAGGGCGCTGGAGAACGCCGAGGTGGCCTTTGTGCTGCCCGGCGTGCAGATCCTCATCTTCCCCATTGGGCTCGTTATCATCGCCGTGTGGACGCTCATTGGGGTCGCCGCTTACGGGTTTGGCACGTACGAGCGCGTCCAGTACGCCGAGAGCTTTAAGCGGAGACAGGCTCTTGCGGGTAACGCCAGATCCCGGATATAAGGCCATTTATACCACAGACTTTTGGCCTTCCATCACGAGAGACGGTCGTGTCGTGGGGTGTGAGGTGTCCGTGTTGTGTATATAGGTATATGGGGTGAAGTAGGATCTGACGGACTCGCCTTGTTACTTTTTTTGATGTCCGTGGTCCTGTTTTTATTCCTTTTTTTATACATGTCATTTTGCAACAATAAGTCTATGTGTTTTCAGGATTTTGCTTGTGATGGAAGACTATGTCTCCATCCTCAACTCAGCCCTCGAACGCTCGTAAATACTGCGTGTACTTCTGCTATTGTTTGGCGACCCCCAATGGATACCAAAATATACCTTACGGTATACAACGGCGACAGCCCCGTCAGTACCGGTCTTCCCCGCACCGGTCAGCGGGGTACGGGCGGCTTTGAATGGTCCCGACTGGTCAGGCCCCTGAAGTCTTTTGTCCACTGACGCGAGAGACCTGTAATTAGCGAGCTTGCTAGGGGCCTTAGTGGACCTTAGTGGACGTTGGTGTGAATAGGGAGCGCTGTAGCTCTCAGCGAGTTTGGCGGGCTAGCAGGACATTTACTGGCCAGACCCCTAACAACACCACACTTTGACCACACGCAACAACAAACATCCACATGTTACATCCCGCCGACCCAACGCCCAACCCAACTTTCCTCCCCTCCCTCCTTTACCAGAGTGACAGCCAACAGCATCAGCATCATAGGAATCTCCCGCACCACTGACGTCCATTCTATCCCGCACGTTGAGGAGAAGTGAAAACGAAAGGGACCATTCATAATCGGGCCTCGGACAACTCGTTCCCAGCACCCAGTGTCACGTCGGGCTGTAAGACGCAAGCAAAACATGTCGGATTCAACCTCTTGGGTCTTCCCCCTCTTCTTCACTCCTTCGTTGTTCCAACTGAACTAGCCATCATCTCTCCTCCGAACGGTTCATTGGCTTCGTGAGTACCGACGCCATCATGCTCGAACAAGTCGACGACAAGCTCGTCTTCCGCTACGATGCCGAAACCCTCTGGATCCAGCCATGGGGCGCCAACGCCCTACGCATCCGCTCCACGCGAGCCCGCGAGATGCCCGACCAAGACTGGGCCCTCCTCACCCCCAAGTTCCAACCACACATGCAGGCTCCCAAGATCGAAATAGACCCCAAGTCAGGCGGCGCCATCTCGCTCGGCAAGATCAAAGCCACCATCTCCCAGGCCGGCAAAATCCTCATCCACAACGCCAAGAGCGACCTCCTACTGGAAGAATACACCCGCAACCGCAACGACGTGCTCGACTCCAAGTGCAGCGCGCTGGAGGTCGAGGCCCGCGAGTTCAAGCCCATCGCCCACAGCGACGCCTACCGACTAACGGCGCGCTTCGAGAGCGTCGACCCGGACGAGAAGCTCTTCGGCATGGGCCAGTACCAGCAACCCTTCCTCGACCTCAAGGGCCACGACCTGGAGCTGGCGCACCGCAACTCGCAGGCCAGCGTCCCCTTCCTGCTCTCGTCCCTGGGCTACGGCCTGCTCTGGAACAACCCGTCCATCGGCCGCGCGTTCCTCGGCCGGAACATCATGTCCTTCGAGGCCCTCTCCGCCGCCACGCTCGATTACTGGGTCGTGGCGGGTGACGTCCCCGCCGAGATCGTCGAGGCCTACGCCGACGCCACGGGGAAGGTCCCCATGATGCCCGAGTTCGGCTTGGGGTTCTGGCAGTGCAAGCTCCGGTACCAGACCCAGGAGGAGCTGCTCGGCGTGGCGCGCGAGTACAAGCGGCGCCGGCTCCCCATCGACCTGATCGTCATCGACTTCTTCCACTGGCCGCTCCAGGGCGACTGGGCGTTCGACCCGACCTTCTGGCCCGACCCGGACGCCATGATCGCGGAGCTGAGGGAGGCGGGCATCGAGCTGATGGTGTCCATCTGGCCCACCGTCGACAAGCGGTGCGGGAACTACGCCGAGATGCTGGAGAAGGGGTACCTCATCCGCACCGACAGGGGCGTCCGCACGGCGATGGATTTCCAGGGCGACACGGTGCATTTCGACGCCACCCACCCGGGGGCCCGGGACTACGTGTGGCGGAAGGCCAAGCAGAACTACCACGACCGCGGCATCCGCATCTTCTGGCTCGACGAGGCGGAGCCCGAATACAAGGTCTACGACTTTGATCACTACCGCTACCACGCCGGCCCGAACACCGCCGTCGGGAACCTCTACCCGCGGGACTACGCCCGCGCCTTCTCCGAGGGGATGGCGGCCGCGGGCCAGGAGAACATCGTCAACCTGGTCCGTTGTGCCTGGGCCGGGAGCCAAAAGTACGGGGCCCTGGTGTGGAGCGGCGACATTGCGAGTTCGTGGCCTTCGCTGCGCGACCAGGTCGCCGCGGGCTTGCACATGGGCCTTTCGGGTTTCCCCTGGTGGACGACGGATATCGGGGGGTTCCACGGCGGGGATCCCTCGGAGGAGCGGTTCCGGGAGCTTTTCGTTCGCTGGTTCCAGTGGGGGGCTTTCTGTCCCGTCATGCGGCTTCACGGGGACCGAGAGCCGAAGCAACCCCGGCACGGCACTACCGGGGGGAGTGGTTGCTTAAGCGGCGCTCCGAATGAGGTGTGGTCCTACGGTCCTGCCGTGTACGAGATTTGCAAGAACTACATGTTCCTCCGGGAGAAGATGCGGGAGTATAGCAGGGGGTTGATGAAGGAGGCGCATGAGAAGGGCACGCCCGTCATGCGGACTTTGTTCTATGAGTTCCCCGAAGACAACGAGTGCTGGACCATCGGCCAGCAGTATATGTTCGGGCACAAGTTTCTCGTCTGCCCCGTGCTGTACGAGGGGAGGCGAAAGTTGAAAGTGTATTTCCCTCGGTTGCCGGAGGGGGAGAAGTGGTCTTCTCTCCAGGAGGGCGTTGGGAAGACGTACGATGGCGGACGGTGGGTTGAGGTTGATGCTCCTCTGGAATGGATGCCTGTATTTGTCAGGGGTTGAGGTTCTCCTGTCTCCTATTCAGATGTCACTTTTGAATACCAACCATCTGTTGTTATAAGATACACAGCGACTCAGCATATACAGTCGTAGAGGAACGCCCATTTGAGTGTCTTGATGCGGTCGGATAGCCAAGCACCGCCTAGGGTGGCGACCATTTGAACGGCGCCCGAAGGGCATGTTGAAGAGGATGGTGGTGAAGCGGTCAAAGCCGAAGGACTCGACGATTAGGGGGCCGAAGGTTGAGATGCCGCCACTAGGGATGCTTTTGAATCTGGGTTAACTGCAGAGGGGAGACGTTGCTGGGGAGAGAAGACTCTCGGACATTCGAAATGACAGACATAAGCCAAAAAGCAGAGCCATGTCTTGGGGTCGAGGGCGCATTCCTTGACGTGGTCCCATTTCCACACGCCAGAACCGATGCCCATTTGGTTCATTCGGAGTCGTTCAATGGCGATGAGCTTGTCGTCTCCTTTGAGAAACTTGGCTTTCATTGGAGAGTCGGGCATGAAGAAGCTGGGCGTTTTTAATATCAAGTGGTGTTAAGGGGGGGCTGAGGCTCATGAACCACTAGGGGACTGTTTCAACAACAGAAAATCCACTAAAATATAATACGTACACGCCTACACAGGCTAGTATATAAGGGCACACGATGATACACGAAAATATAGTAGTAGAATAGGGCTAGTTAAACCAAGCAATCAGATCGCGGTGAAAAAAAATCTCGTCCCTTACTGTAACGCCACGCCCACCACCGAATCTTATTTTTCCCTCTCCAGACAACCAACGAGTCAGGTAAGTCACCCGACCTACACCCTTACACAGAGCTATTCCATCAAATCAAGTATTACGATTTGAATCAACAGGGCCAGATCTGCTGGAATCCTACTTTTCAGAGCTGTTTTTGTAGTTTTGGTGGTGCTATTGTCGTGGAGCTGGTTTAGCTGGTTTGGCAGTTAGCTAACATGGGACATAATAATAGTGACAGTCTTCAACAGTACTACCTTATACAACAAAATACACACACATACAGCCTATTACCGCTATTTACGATACAATGGAGAAGATTGCTTGGCCTGACGAGATTGGTGGCGAGATTTTGCCTGATGCCCCTGATAAACAACCTCAGCAACTACGCGGCCCTGAGCTCAATGCATATATTATGAAGCGTACGTGTGTGTACGTATCTGTATGGGATAGAGCTAACAATTGTGGATATAGTTTTCAAGGAGATGTGCCCCTCCACCGTCGCCCGCCATCTTGGCGAAAATAACCTTGAGGTACGTACTATCCTACACTATCGTACAGGCCTATACACTAATGTACAAAGCAGATCAAACGTGGCCTCGAGTTACGCCTCCGGTATATGAAAGGGGGTCAGGTCAAAATTCCTAATTTTGACATGACAAGGCAGCAGTCCCTCTCTGGATTTTATATCCAGATGTACGGAGAGGAACAAAAAGGCGACGATATATGCGGGAGGTGTGCGAAGAACAAGGGCAATCTGGTGGGCTGCTACGTCTTGGAGGGTTTTGCCAAGGGAGCGTGCGGCAATTGCCTCAGTGGTTCGGGCGGCAGTGTATGCTCGCTGGCCGGTACGTGCATCTTTAGTGGTGTGTGTTTGTGTACGATCGTGTACTAACCTAACCTGTATTAGACTGTACGCCTGCGCCGCGTAAAAGAAAGGGTTCAGTACTAGGTGGCTCTCTTAGTAAGCGTCCTAGGGAAGATGACGACGAGGCTGCCCTGGACGGTATCCCCTCTAAGCATTTAGAGACTTTCGCGAACTTCCTCTACAGCGTGGTTGAGCGCCGTAGCCGCAGTAAGCCACTATACCCCTCCGTATTATACTATACTTGCTTTTTTTCTTTTCTCTTTACTTTTTGACTTTTTTTATTCTTTTTTTTGGTTAATTTTCTTTTCCTTTTTTGAGTTTAATAATACCCGGTTACGTTATTATAATTATAAATCCGAATATAATATAGTAGTATAAAAGTAAACAATATACTAAGTAATATTAATATATAGGAGTATATCTAAAGTAGTAGTATAATAGTATATACTAGTATAATAGTAGTAAGTAAGATATGAAAACATTTATATCATTTTATTTACCTGTCTAATATCCCAGTGAGACACTCTTCCTTCCGCCATCCGCCCAGAAGTGGGATCCGGACACACGAACAAAGACCAGATAGAGGCCGCACACGTGAACCATTTTCTTTACACTACAGTCTACAAGCCAGCAGGGGTTTTCGTCCATTAAAGGTTTTCAGATCAAATACTAAGGTAAGTAATAAACACGTTCCATCGGCTCCGGTATTAGCCTGCAGCAATCCAGGGTCAAATTCGCAGTAGCGGCCCACCACCCAGCAGGATATATGCTCGACTTCATATCAATACCACCGCTGTTGAGGAAGCACATTAGGAACTACCCCTCCAATGGTTTGACGGCAAAGATCTTGTATGACCCTAATAGTATTACCAGAACGATTAGCCGGGTTCGACACACGACAAAGGTCAGATACAGCGAAGGGGGCACATACCAATCCACTCATTCAAGTCAATATCACCAATCTCAGCCGCCATTTTGGCCAGATCAGCCTGGGCAGCAGTCGTACTTTCGGAAGCCGCCTCGGACTCTCCAGACGGGCCAATGTCCTTTGAGCCGCAGCAACCTCCCTGGTTCGCCGAAGGTGTCGGAGCTCCGCAAGTCGAGTCATTCGAGGAGCTAGTACCCCCATTCTTGGCCTTTTTTGTGCCATCAGGAAGAGTATCCAAGTATACATTCAAATCGGCGTTGGCGTCTTTGATCAGGACGTCTGTACATGTTGGGGGTTGCGTTGCTTTCGTTAGCTTCTGTGGTGGCTCGCCGGTCCTAGTTACACTCCGTGCACCGGGCCCTGGGATATGAAAACCTACCGCTAAACCCAGCCTCTCGTAGGTACGTCTGGTACTGCTCGACCAAGCTGGCGCCGGCAATGCACCCGACATAGGCCGCAGCGCACCGTCGCAACTTCTCCGACAGCGGCTTCTTGGCCAGGATGTCCGAGATGGCAAGGCGACCGCCAGGCTTGAGCACGCGGAAGACCTCGTTGAAGACGAGCTGCTTCTCGTCCTCCGGGACGAGGTTCACGACGCAGTTGGACAGAACCACGTCGGCGGTCCCGGAGGTGAGGGGGATGTCGGTAATCATTCCTTCGACGAACTCGACGTTTGTGGCGCCGGCGCCGACCTTGTTCTTTTCTGCCAGCGCGAGCATGTCCTAGATCGAATATAAGCACGTTGGAAAGGAAAAGAGGGGAATACGAATCTGTGGCATGCCTTGTTCATGTCTATACCAATGGCCCGACCCGTCGGGCCGACTTTCTTGGCCGCAAGAAAGACGTCGAAGCCTCCCCCTGATCCTAGGTCGACAACCGTTTCTCCCTGTCGAAATTTCTCTGTTAGTCTTTCGCGGTCGTTGATTTTTAAACGATCAAGGTGAACGGGACAGGACAAGATGCCATATACCTCGCGTATGCTTGCCATAGCCAAGGGGTTTCCGCAGCTTAGTCCGAGGTTGGACTCCGCCGGGATGCTGGAGAGCTCCTCTTCGCTGTATCCGAAGGACTGCGCGACTGAAGTGCCGTAGCCACGGCTGAGCTGGGTCGCATCAGTCGCCAGCGAGCCATAGTGCTGCGTGACAGCCGAGTAGATTTTCTTGGTGTCCATAGTGTCAATGGGTTCAAGCTTGATGTTGTAACTTGTGTGGGAATTTGTAATCTGCAGAATATAGGTGATGAATGGTGAGGAATCAGGATCGGTTGTGTAGCTCGTGTTGGGTAAGAAGACAGACGACGAGGTCAGTATATATATATATATGTTTTGACAACTGAACTGCCACGTAAAGAAAGCTCCACGTGCTTTATTATCATGCAGGATGTCACTGAATTATTTCCCACCTTGGTGGGAGTCGGACCAGTCGGTGAGACTGCATCAAGTGACGTCGTGGCGCTGCCAAAAAGGGAAACTATTTCGATATGTCACCGGCCCAGACGTCGGATCAATGCATAAGCGCGAGAATAAACGTGCGCTAACCCGTCCCATTAATAAACTGTGGCGTGCAGATGATAGGCGGAAATGTCTTGGACCGTTGGACGTCTGTGCATTTGGGAACCCATGAGCTTGCGACTGAGCACTATCGAGTATCGGGCACGAAACGGCGATCGAGCGATTGTCTGGCGCAATTCTTCATTAACAGCCACCACGGACCGGGACCACGGTAACCAGGACGTCCTTGACAGACTCGTTGCACTTAATCCAGAAGAAACTTCGCCGAATCCCTGATCATTGACGGAGAGCCGCCCGGGCTATACGAACATGCAATGCACACTATGTACGTAAATGACACATAGACTACACTTTGTATTTGTCCTCACAATGGGTTGATAGTGTCCAGGACTGAGAAGACACTTGTGCTCACAATTCGACAGCCCTCCTCGGGGACGGTGGCGCCCCGAAACCCTGGGCCCAGCCGGTCGCTCAAGGCACGCAAGTCGAGCCGGTTGCAGCTTTGGTCGGAAATAATGGCGTCGGCGACGATGCATGGAATGGTCGATTCCCCCGGCGCCTGTTGTGGGAAGCGGAAGGCAGCCTCGAAGAAGATATCGGTCGAGGCATTCTCGTCCGCGAGTGGTAAAGACAGACGCTCACGCTCCCCCCCAGCGACGCGGTCGCGGTTGAATGGAAGATGGGATTCGTGAGAAGAAGAGGAGTTCTTGGGAGAAGGTCCTCCTCCCGGCGATTGTGAAGACCGTGTTGACTTTGGTGCTCGAGGTGATGGAGGTGGACCTGGTACAACTGGTGAAGATGCCGATTCAGATGGCGATGACTTTGAAACAGGCGTCGAAAAACGTTCTTCTGGCCCGGGTATGTCCTCTGAGCCACCAGTCGAGGACGTAGACCCAAGTTTGTATTCTGCAGTATGAGGTTCCGAATCTTCCGATTCCTCCGAATCCATCTCCAAAGTACGTCCTAGTCCTTGGCAACCGGCGCAGAGAAACGGCCGACGAGTCGCGCAAAGTGTTCTCAGGTCCACCATCTCGGACTGAAGCTCGGCATTTGCGGCCAACGCATCGGAAAGCTGCGCTCGTGCTTCGTCCAGCTGGCGCTCCAAGTCTTCGATATACGCTTTTCTCCGGGCGCGATGGCGGCGTTGGTTCTCTCGGACCCGTATTGTGTTGTGGTCCTTGGGCTTTGAAGACCATTTGAGAATCATTCCTGGAGATGTCATGATGGAGCGAGAATACTTTGTTGTTTCCTCAAGATGTTGATGAATATCCAGGACTGAACGACTGATAGGCAGGCCGCAGAATCGTAGGGCGAGGCAGTTGAGGTCTGCCGGAAGTCAAGACTCAAGAGGGCGGAAGTGATGTGATTAGGTAAGTTCAAATGAGGTGATATTCTGATGACCAACTGGAAGTTTTCCATTTTGGGACGGGGCGATTAGTCATTAATCGAATCGGATTTAAGCCCCCCCTTGGTCCAAGTCATGATCACCATTCACCATTCACGACCATGCGGTTTCGTCATACTCGTCCATCCACTCTGTGAACTCGGGCCCTGCAGCCACCCAGCCTTTAATTCCTCCCTTCAGTAGCACGCTCTGCAAATCTTTATCCCCCCGCTCAGCCAGGTAGTCGGCTAGCCATCCAGCGGCCCGCGTCCCACGACCGGCAGACGAACCTGTCTCGGTCAGCCAACGTTATCCATCATGGAACGAGACCGCAATCTTTCGGACATACCACAGTAGAAGATGACCTGTTTGACCCCTGCCGCTTTGAATAGGCCATAGAGGGTCGGGATAGATGGGTAGAGCGACTGGGCCGGTAGGTTTATCGATCCGCGGACCGTACCTCCCTGCAGACATTGGCGGTGTTCACGTCAACGGTCAACGGTCAACCTCAAATCAAACGTCTCCGGCCTTCAATGTCGCTTGGGCATTCTGCTCACCTGGTGATCATTGCGGCGAACATCGACAAGAACAAAGTCGTTGCTGGCTGCATTCTCGCTTCGCCCCTTCAGCAAGGCCAGAACCTCCTCGCTAGACAACGACGCGGGTTCGGAGGTCTTTGGCTTCGGGTAAGCGGCATGCCACGGCGCCTCGGGGGCGGCAGCAGCTCCTGTTTCGGGGCCGGCAGACATTTTGCGGGAGTGTCAGGCACAGAGTTTGTGTTCAAGTTTGACTCTAGGGGCGCATAAATAAATCTTGAATCTCCGTATATCAAGGACGAGCAGAAAAGAGGTCAAAGGAGAGGGGAGTCCGCTACCAGACTTATAGCAGGACGTTAGACCCCCGTCACTCCCCGCCGGTTGGGAACTTGGGAAATGTCGTGATCTGTCGTGATCGAGGCGGGGAACCATCGCCGAGGTACCTAGGTATTTCACTCATTGCAGTCGAAGAGGAGATGTCACTCCCGCATTCTGATTGGTCACATGGCTAGGTATGTGATACCAGGTATCCACATTTCACCCAAAAGGGGTAAACATATGACTCTATTTTTCTTCGTTCTATTAATATACGACTTTCTACCTTAAGGTACCTACCCGGGTAGGGGTGGGTATAGGTCAGAGCTCGAACAGAGAATTTTGCACTGACCAGAGCCAGGACAGAGATATCGCTGTCAACATAATGTTCTAAGACTTCGGACATCTGACCAGTCCATCGAGCTCTGACCTATAACCAGCCAAACCCGGGTAGGTATTCAACGATCACACGCTACCTCAAATCACGCAACCTACAGTACGACAAAACGGGATATCCACTCGCAGCTTGGCTCTGGCCCTCTAGTTGTAACGTCCTTGCACATCGATTTATCCGGTCTTGTCTACCTCGCCGTCAAGGAAAGCAAGGAGGGCGTTTAGTACCTGTAGGCTGTCCGGCATGAGTCAAATAGAGACCTTCGTGGCATCAAACCCGTCAGCCGCAACCCGGAGCATTGGCGACCACCAGAATGGATGATCGACCGAGGAATGGATCGTGAGAATGCTGGCGGCGACGAAGACGAAGGGGTCGACGTCGAGGTGCTCGAGCAGACTGGTCAGGTCGGCTGTGAACGTGGCCCACGTTACGTGGTCCTTCGTCGTAGGCCCGTTGGTCCAGCCCAGTCGCTTTGGCCGAAACCGCGCCGGGTCGGTGGCCACGATGCGGTACCGGTGCTTGTCAACGAGGTCGCTGTAGAAGTGGTCGTACATGCGCGAGGACATTGGCCAGCCGTGGATGAAGACGAGGGTCAGGCGCTGGATAGGCGGCGCGGTTGTCGATGGGCCTGGAGTGTAGTAACGGTAGTAGAGGGAGGTACACCGTACCATCGACGGGGCTAGAGAAGGCTGGCATGATGGTGGACCGCGGTAGCTGGACTGATTCGCCTTTGGTTCTTTTTGTTTCTTTCTTTCTTTTTTCCCTTGCTTCTGTAAACAACAAACAACAAAGGAAGATCGTTCTGTTGACTCTCTTTTTCTTGGTGAGGGCTTTAAGGCTTGTCCATCAGACTCGTGCAGAATGCAACTGACGATATCCCGTGTATATAGTCACGTCTACTCCCTCCATAACTGCTGCAGTTCTCATTATGTTTGACTCCATCTGCTGGGCTCAGCCTCTCCAATTTGTGTGTGAGAGCTTCCAGTCTAGGCTATTACGAAATGGTGTAGTTATGCATAACGAATAAGCATCTCGGTGTCCAGGTTGGCTCTTATAATGCACCGGGAGTTCTCAGTTCTGACATGGAGCATATTCTGACGCCGGTGATTGGTTCCGTTTTATTTATTCATTTATTCTTTAACTCTCCGTTAAAAAGGGATAGGAAAGAATTGAACAAGAGCACCCAACATTATTCGCTAGCCATGGCCCATGAACCACCCGACTCCCTATCCGGCCCCTGTAGAATATTTGAGTAAGAGACTAGAGTTCTGGCACTTCTGGCGGCCAGAGACTGCGTCGAACGTGACTCCAGGTAATTCATCTTCGTAGTCATCATGCTGTACTCACTGCTCAGGAGTCAGCACTCTTGGCATCATTGAGTACTCAGTCCTTGCCATCATGTTGTTCTTTCGCTTCGGCTTGCCTTTCGACCCCGGAGTCTGCGGTCTCAGCAGGACGATGGCGAGCCTCGTTATGCTCGCCCCCAATTGCTATGGCCCGTAAAAAGCTCGTCCAGTAGGTCCTTCGGTAGACAAATTCCTGGTTGGTAAGTTCCGCCTGTCGCTTCTGACGTTCCCACTCTTCCACTTCAATCTCGCGGGTAGTGTTGAAAATGGTGTGCCCCATCCAGTATCCCCCTTGGAGGACAGAAGACAGAAGGCCGACAAGAAGCCCGTAGATAAGAAACTGGCATAATCGGAAAACCGAGCCGCCAGGATCCATCTGGGGGCGACCACGACCGCCTCGGTCTGGGGACATGGGCGGTAGCAGGCAGGGAGGTAGTAACAACCCCGTCCGGCTTGTTGGTCGGTTCCGGTGTTCATTGTCGGTTTTGGTGATGGCGTAAGTGATGGGGCTTTTACAAGTTTGGGGGCTGTGCGGTAGGTTGTAGCCCGTAGCCTCTGACGGGGATCTTTTTCTAGTTCTCGTCCTCGATGTGAGTGGCATGCCGCATTGCCGCATCATGTATGGTCTCGGACTCTCGGCAAAAACACTTACGGTTACCGTTCGGTGACTGTGGTCTGAGTCTCTGATACGTCCGGAGAATTTCAGCTGACTTGGATGCGTCTTATGGCAGTGTAAACTCTGCTGGGTGATGCTTCGAATCCTGACTACCGATCTTGAATCTTGAACCTTGAAGTGTGGCCTTTCGACGGACAGGTCGTAGGTCACTGAGATGTCCTTCCTGTGGTGAAGGTTTGCAGTTAACCAGGGGAATGCTACAGAAGGCTTTACCGACCAGATCTCTTTCTTTACAAGTGCGGGTAGGTAGGTAGGTTTTCCTTTTTAATGGGAAAGCACAACCAGTCTATGAGACTATGACCTTCCATGTGCGCATCTGACGGTCTGACCTTCCGTTTCATAATGCCTTCGGTACGTGTGTACGGTGTACCTGTAGGCTGTGACGCGGTAGGGAGATAGTACGAAGGTAAGGAAAGGTACAGAGTGTAGATGTCTTGGAAGAAGGCCAATATCCCCGGACCCTGGTCTACATGTCGGCATGTACTCTGTAAGCCACGGTGAAAGGGGTATTAAACGCGAATGGGAAGGAATTGAGGATGTTGGTGCCTCTCAAGTCAGACCCAAAAAATCTGTCCGGGGCAGGAAAGGGGGGAGGTCTGGATACGGTGACTGCCCTCACTGAGTCACTGTCGTATGATTCGTACCTTATCCAAGGTAGGAGAATGACCTGGGAATGCAGGTACGAAGTACCAGGGCGACAAATTGCGTACTAGTACTGACGGTCGCTAGCACGATGATTATGTAATCGCTACGGAGTACCGCCTCAAAGTCCCCCGGACTTTCTTTCCCCTTGAGTCCTTGACTGATCAAGACTTCAAGATCAAGCCCCCAACGTCACCACATAAACAATGGGCGATTGATTGTCTGTCAAACTTTCTTCGAGGCGACACTAAAAGCACCCACCGAAGCCACCTGATATTATGTTACGGGTTCCCAAATCAGCCACGTATCACCTGGGGTTGGACGCAATACATTTCCACATGTCCCGACGCGACGCAGTGCAACGATGAGGTCCAACTCCAACTCATCATCCCCATCCACTCGCTTCGACATGACCATGGGCTCCATCAAGAGAACCGACTCGTCCTCCCCGGGCGCCCGCATGTATCACGACGATCAAAGGGACCAGAAGCCCGACGCTCAGGAGCCCTTCCTGGGCTCCGAACCCTCCGATCGCCTCCTCGACGGCGACGGCGACGGCGACGATGACGCATCCATGCGTCCCGTGACTCCCGTCGCGGTCGCAGACGCCTATGCCAACCGTCGCGACGCCGCCGCCGACCTCCTCCGCAAGATGGGCAAGCCGGCGGACTACCGCGTCGCCGTCACCGCCGAGGACGACGAACGCGTGCTACGCCGCATCGACCTCGTCGTCCTGCCGCTGATGCTGGCCGTGTATTTCCTCCAGGGGATCGACAAGACCACCCTCGCGTACGCCTCCGTCTTTGGCCTCATCGAGGATACCGGCCTGCGCGACAACCAGTACTCGTGGCTCGGGTCCGTGGTGTACATCGCCCAGCTTATCATGCAGTTTCCCCTGGCCTGGCTCCTCGTGAAGTTGCCCATCGGCAAGTTCACGAGCTGGATGGTCGCGCTGTGGGGAGTTACTCTGGTGCTCATGTCTGGGGCGCGTGCTTTCCCGTCGTTACTCGTCGCGCGCTTCTTCCTCGGCGCGTTCGAGGCCAGCGTCGCGCCTAGTTTTGTGGCCATTACCCAGATGTTTTGGCGTCGGAGGGAACAGCCTTTGCGGATGAGTTACTGGTATGCCATGAATGGCCTCACCAACATGGTACGGTCTTCTCTTCCGCGTCACCGACACTGTCCACCAGATGCTGACTCGACAGTCGCAGTTTGGGAGCGTGATCACCTACGGGCTTGCCAACATACCATCTTCTCTGCGGCCGTACCAGGTCATATTCCTCTTCTTCGGCTTTGTCACCGTCGCTTTCTCTTTCGTCCTGTTCGCTTATATGCCCGATTCGCCTATCGAGGCCAAGTTTCTCACCGACGAGGATAAGCTAATCGCTATTGAGCGGCTCAGGATGAACCAGACGGGCGTGATGTCTCGGCAGTGGCGGCATGACCACCTGCGCGAATCACTGTGGGATCCCAAGACGTGGCTCTGGTTTGCCCTCATCTTCTTCATCTCGTACGCCAGGCCTGTTGCGCCGTTCCGTTCCCCCCCTCCTTGTATACCCTCGGCGTCTCATTCCTGACCGTTTATCATCTGAATAGGGTCCCGTCAGGCGGCGTGTCTACGTTTGGCCCTCTCATTGTTCAGTCGTTCGGCTTTGACTCCTTTGCCACCATCCTATTTAACGCTCCTTTCGGTCTTGTCCAGCTAATTTCCACCATCGGCGGTGCACTCGTCGCCATGAAGTACCACAGGAAGGGTCCCGTCATCGCCGTGTTATCCATCGCGCCTATCGTTGGGTGCGCCGTGCTGCTTGCGACGCCGCGTGACCCTGCCTACCGGGCGAGCTTGCTTGGAGGGTACTATCTCATCTCGGTCTATCCGGGCATCAGTTTGTCATCCCCGATAAGTTATAGACCCACCATGAATCAATCCATCTGTTAACGTTTCCACTAGTCCCTCTCATCTACTCGTGGTCCGCCGCCAACACGGCCGGCGACACCAAAAAGAAGTGCACATCGGCCGTGCTCTTCGTCGGCCAGTCGCTCGGTAACATCATCGGGCCGCTGCTCTACACCCCGTCCGAAGCGCCCGAGTATTTCCGCGGCCTGCAGTCGAACCTCTTCCTGTACTGTGGACTCATTGCGCTGGTTGCCATGACGACCGTGTACCTCAGGCATCTCAACCGTGAGCACAGCCGCCGGCGCGTTCGGCTGGGTAAATCTGCCTCTATGGTGGACTACAGCCTGTACTCGGCAGAAGACGCAGACCGGGCACGTCGGGCTGCGGAGTTAGACAGCGCGCAGGACCCCGAGCCGGGAGAGACGGGGAGGACAGACGGAGGTTCCCAAGGTCGTGTCGGCACCCGGGCCTTTGACGACATGACGGATTTTCAGAATGAGGAGTTCCTTTATGTCTACTGATGTATTACTACCAGAGGGGGGGGGGGAGAAGAAACGGCTTGGATTGCTTGATGATACGTTTCGGCAGGTCGCTGTTAGCCTGTTCGCTCCGTTTCTGGACATATCATTGCTACTGCCTACTTTGACTGGTAGGTTACGACCACGGGCCGCGAATCGAATGTCTTTTTTTCGAATGCGATACTGGAGTTTTGGGCAGCTTCTCAGTCAGGCATTTCGGTTCTTCTGCTCAGCCTTGACCTGAGGAGTTGGGAGTTGAGGGCTGAGTTCTGAAGCCTGCCTCAGGTGTGACAGCGGACCTGGATGAACAAGGCCAGGATAGGGGGTAATTACCAGGACACGGAAGTTGGGTATGATTACAGGTTGTACTGATGTCGGATTAGGCAAGGCGCCGACGCCTCTTACTGCAGGTCAGAGTCGCTGCGCCATGCTGCCAAGGCGACGGGGGCTGAGCGTGTGCCAGGAACTTACCTGCCACTACCTATTTATCGAGCTCCCCATTTTGCTGCCTGCTGATCATGGGACTGTGATTGACATGTGCAATTGACAGGCATCTTAACACAGAAACAAGACGCGCCGGCTCCAGCAGCAGTGTCGCCTTAAGTACTGCGTATCTGCCGTTTTGTTGGTGGCAGTTGAGCGCACTCCTACGTACAATTAGAGGATCACAACTTCTCAAGTTCACAACCAAATCCATCAACCGTCAAGATTCACGACCCGCCACTAGGAGTTCCACATCACCCAGTGAACCAAGATTACCCATGGATCGAGACACAGACACCACGCCCGAGCCATCGCCTTCGGAGGGCAAGGTATTACGACCAGAACCTGCACATTTGCGGGCGGACAGAATGCCTCCCACGTGCATTCAAGCCATCAAGATCGACGGCATGGAGGTCGAAAGTGTCCCCGTCTACAGCGAGACCGACACCAACGACCTCTTCCGCCGCCTCGAATCACTCCAATCCTCCCCTTCCTCCTCTTCGCCTTCTCCCCTCGTCCTCCCCATCACCAAGATCGAGTCCTACCCCAGTCCCATGTCACATCAGGACGAATCAGGCGTGGAGTTCCCCCGTCGCGTCGAAGCCCACGAGCTAGCCTCCGCCATCGTAACGTCCTTCTTCCACGCCATCACGACGCGCCACGAGGACGTGGTCCGCGATTTCGTCTCCCGCGGCCTCGTCTCCCCGGACGTGACGACCTTGGCGGGCGAAACCCCTCTCCTAGCCGCCGTGCGCGCCGGCGACGGCACCACGCTGCGCGCCCTCGTCGCCCTAGGCGCCACAGTCGACGGCTACGGCACGGTGCCGTCGTCGTCGTCGTCGTCGTTGTTGTCGTCGCCGCTGCCGCCGCAGTACGGCCGGCGCAGGACGCCGCTGCAACTCGCCGCCGCCCTGGGGCGGCTCCCGCTCGTGAAGCAGCTGCGCGAGGAACACGGGGCGGACGACGCGCTCATCGCCGCCGACGGAGAGCTGGCGCTGCGTCTGGCGGCGAGGAACGGCCACAGGGACGTCGTGGCGTATCTGCCGCTGAGGCGCGGCGGGGCGTGGAAGCGGTGGAAGACGGCGCACGAGGCGGAGATGCGGCGGATCCGGAGCGTGGCGAGGGGGATTGTGGCCGTGTTGCGGTTCGTTTTGTGGACTGTGCCCCGGGCGGTGGTGTGGTCTTTTCCCAAATATGTGTGGGAAGAGCGGCACTACGTGACGAAGTGGTGTGCGCGACAGGCGAGGGCTTTCCCGGGCCGCGTGAAACGTGTCGCGAAAGCCCTTCCCGGGGCGTCGGCTAGGCTGGGGCGGGCGACCTGGCGTGCGGTGAAGCGTGTGGTGAAAGCCACTCCCAAGGTGGCAAAGGCTGTTCTCTCTTGGATCTGGGATGGGATCAAGGCCGTCGGCGGTGCTGTGGCCGAGGTGGTGAAGAGGATTGTTGCCGTGCTGCACACTGCCCTTGTCGCTGTGTTCGAGTTCTTCCGGACGATCACGTTGCAGGATGTGATTAACGGGTGCAAGGCGGTGGGGCAAGCCGTGTTTGCCTTGTTTTCTCGTGTGGTGGTGGGCTCTGTTGTGTGGACAGGGAAGGTGGTATACGAGGTTCTGAAGACGCTGTTTGGATGTGCTGTGATGGCGGTTTGGCTTCCTGTGTACTTTGTGTGGTTGCTTCTGACATGGCCGCCGAGGCAGATTTGGAAGATCCTGGAGGCCGCTGGGAGGTCAGTGAGGAAAGGGGTTGAGGAGATTCTTGTTTGGATAGATCCGAAGAGGATGTCGCAAAGGGCGGAAGGAGAGTCGGGCAGTTGATGTGTGTTCTGCACATGCAGCGTGGAGTATTTCGTCTATTCGGCAGCTTGCCCTATTTTGAGCCTAGTAATTCCTGACCTGGAGTAATCCTGACAATCAACCTTTGCACTGACCGAAAACGACACTTGTCGGGGATATCAGGTATGGATTCACGATGCGTGATGCGAGACGGACAAAGCTCAGGTTACCAGCATGAAGCGAACAAGTACCAGTGACAACGGTCAGGGCGTGTGGGGGTGCCTTAGGAGTCCCTAAATTCTCCCTGTATCCCCCTGGTTTAGTCCTTTCGTAAGTAGCCAGTACCGCGACAAGACAGCTTCCAGCACAGTGGGCTCAGGAAGCAGGTACAGCGGGGGCCGTTGGCCTGACACTCCCCACAGGGTATCGGGAGACCCCCGGTCCGGTGGGAATGATTGGCGCCGAGGGACCGGCACGCGGGGCACTAGTGGCCGGGGTGGGGGGATCTGGCGACACTAAACCACGATAGGAAATAAGTAAACAATGGCGCGATAAGGGATCATGTCTCGGAGAGTCGCGACTCCACGAACAAACAACACCTTCAAGACCCCGTCTCCACGGTGTTTTGTTTTCATTTCGTATAAATTGTATCTTTGACGATTCTATCTTGTCTTCCATTGTTTCCCCTTGTATTTTCACCAGAGATTGTCACCAGACGTCCGTTGATCCTGGAAGAAGCGGACGACAATCACCCCTCTATACTGCATAGTGTATACACTTCACAATGTCGTCCTCCACCGCGGCGGATATGGATCTTCCCATCGCGCTTCGGCGAACGCGTCGGAGCATCAACACTACTATTCAGCCGGGTGGTGACAGAAGTCGGACTGCGCGAGAAGCGCCGTCGACTTCGCGTACGCCCAGAAAGACGACATCCAAGAAACGAGTCCGATTTTCGGATCCAGGGCCAACCATAGTCGGACCATCGTCTACCGGTCTGACGCCAATGGTGCGGAGGACGTCGCTCATCCGCGGCACAACACCACGAAGAAGACGCCAGTCCACTCCCGCGCAAACATGCTCTGGCAACGGCGTCGCCTCTTCTTCGTCCTCTACGAGCGCCTCCCCCCCAACCGCAACGTCGCTGAGCGGCGAGATACGCCTCCTCCCGCTGCGGCAGGTCCTCGACGGCCGCATCCAACGGCGCATCCGGCGCAACGGGCTCAGCGAGGAGATGAACGCCATCGCGCAGGAGAAGCGGCTCCGAGCGCGCGAAACGCAGGCCGAGCTGGACCGTCTCCGGGCGCAGCTGCGCGAGAAGGACGCCGAGATCTACCAACTCCAGAACGCCACTGTCGTGATTGACACGGATCGCATCTGGGAGTTGGAGAAGCAGCTCGAGGCGTTGCGCGACCAGCTCGACACCCGGACGGTCGAGAATGAGAGTCGCGTTTATAACTGGACGATGGCGGCGCGGGATCCCTTTGCCGACGATTTCATGGATATCGATCTTCCGGAGGATGATGATGATGGTGATGGTGATAATGATGATGATCAGCGGTTTGGGGATGATACTGTGGCCCAACTGGCCTGCAGTACGCCGTCGCGCCGAGCGAGGGCTTCGTTTCCCACCCCGCCACTTACTAGTCCTGCTGTTGAGACCCGGCATCGGCATCGCGACGTCCCGACGACTCCGGCATCGACTGTGGGGGGAAGACAGGTCTTGCCTCCGACCACCCCGACATGCCATGCCGCCGTCCAGACTTCTTTCATCATGGATCCGGAGAAACAAGATCTCGAGGAGCAGGTGGAGTCTCTGCGGTTGGAAATGTCCAAGCTTAGCAACACCCTCGACTCCTACACGTCCCTTGCAGGTCGCCTGTCGGAGCGCATGGCGACCATCGCCCCATGCACTCCACGGGACGTCGGCAACAGCCATTCCACTGCCACCTCTCCTCCACAAGCACAGGCACACGCGGAACTGGAGTCCCAGCTCGAATCCCTCCTCCGGAGCATCTCCGACCGCTCCGCAGCCCTCCACGCCCTCACAACCTCCGTCACCGCCCTGGGCTTCCCGGGACAAGACGCAGGCGAAGTGATCTCCTCCATCGCCACCGGGTTCCGCACCGCCCGCCTGGAGCTCGAGTACCTCACCCCCGGCGAGATCGCGCTCCCCCTGACCTCCAACGGCGCCGCGGTGCTCGACCTCCTCCTGACGCGGCTCCGCGCCCTCGCGGCGCAAGCGAGGGAAGACGAGGCCGACATTGACGAGTACCACGCCATCGAGCAGTCGCTCCGGCGGCAGCTCGGCGCGCGGGTCGAGGCCATGGATGCGCTGTCGGCTGATCTCGCGCGGGCGCGGGACCTGCTCGCGCAAAAGGACGGTAGGATCCGCGAGCTGGAGGTGGCGGTGGATAGGTTGAAGGGTGCGACGGGGAGCTATGCGCACGACGTGGCCGAGTTGGAGGCCCTGGTGGGGAGGATGGAGGGGGAGCACGGTGAGGTGTTGGCGCGGAGGGATGAGGATGTGGCGGAGCGGGAAAGGAGGATCGAGGCGTTGAGTGGGAAGGTTGCTGCGTTGGTGGGGGAGACGGAGGGGTTGAGGGTGATGATTGCGGAGGTTGAGGCTGCGAGGGACGAGTCGGGACGGCGGGCGGGAGACGCGTTGGCGGCGCGGGATGCGCGGGATGCGCGGGTTGCCGAGTTGAAGGGGCAGGTGGAGAGGTTGAACGAGGCGCTGAGGAGAGCAGATGAGATGGTGAAGGATTTGAGGGTTGAGAAGGGTGCTCTGCAGGGGCGTCTTGCGGAGGAGAGGGAGAGGGGGTGGAGGGCGGTTGAGGCCGTGCGGGAGGAGTTGGAGAGGGTTGTGAGTATGAGTCGTGAGGTGCTTGCTACGCCTACCAAGAAGTCGGCAACGAGGGGTGGCGAGGAACAGACCGCCATGGAAAAGGACCAAAGGGATGCAGTTGTTGCTTCAAGGCGAGGCAGCCTGTTGGCTGGGGACCTTGCAAGGAAGGGCCGGGGAAGCAAGAGGTATGATAGCGGGGTGGGTCTGGTAGAGGGTGATGCGACGGACATTTGAGATGAGAGCACAGATGAGATGACGAGACTCTGGGAGTTCTGCTGGCATGGCCCATGGGTTGGCATGGGTTCATGTTGTTTGTTGTTGTTATGTGACATTGCGCCTGGTGATAGAGGTAGACGGCGTCTAGGCTTGCCCTTCGTTTCTGTTTCCTTTGTAATCTATATCATGGACATAAGTCCTAGTTGAACTCAAAGACATTTTCTTTGATTAAATGAGTCAATGGGAATCAATATCCATATACTGCCTCCAGTCTCCTCGGCAACCGTCGGGGCTGCTAGCCCGGTGTCGGTCCGGGGCCGGGAGTCGGACCGTCCGGGTTCTCACCAACAAAAGCCGAATGGAAGCAAGTTGAGCCAATAAAACGAAAGGATTAGAAATAAGAAAGCACCCCGTGCGCGATATTCGCGAAACCGTTGGGGGACAGGGGTGGATTGGGGCCGTCGGCGTGGGGGTTTGCGATGGGCCATGGCGGCTCAGGAGCCCGGTCTCGGCTTCTACCAGTCCAATGATCAATCTATAGGTAAGTATTTCTCCCTTTCGAAGCTGTTGGAAGGGAAGGCCGAGACCTCTCATCTTTTATTCCGTTCCTATTTTCTCCAAGAGCACTCAGCAAATATCCCAAAGCTTCGCCATCGGTCCACTTGCCAAGATGAGTCGGACCGTCACGACAAAATGCCTCAGGGCAGCGCTGAGGACGAAGGCCGTTCACAGCGCCCCGGCGTCTCTGTCACCGAAAAGCTTCCCTCGCGTTCGAATGTCCACCGTCGTCGAGAACTTGAACCCAAAGGTCCCAACCCTCAGCGGCGTCAGCGCATCTCTCTCACCGCCACCGCCACCGCCACCGCCACCTCCACAACCACATACCCCGACGAGCCATGAGCGCATGGAGAGCGAACGACGAGAAAAGGCAACCAAGATCCTTCGCGACGCAGTGGCTGCCAACGCGCCCAGGCACGACTGGACGAGGGAGGAAATCTCCGCCATTTACTATCAGCCCCTGATGGAGCTGGCCTACCAAGCTGTAAGCGATGGACCGTCTTTCCCATCACCAATGGCTATCTTCTAAGTTTTCCCTACGAATGACTACGGCAGACAGACTTGGAATCATGAATGCCTACTAATGTCGTCGTATCATGCCAGGCCAACGTGCACCGCCGATTCCACAACCCCGCCCACGTCCAACTCTGCACCCTCATGAACATCAAAACAGGAGGCTGCACCGAAGACTGCTCCTACTGCGCCCAGTCCACGCGATACCAGAAGGGCACGGGGCTGGAAGCCAAAAAAGCCGAGTCGGTCGAGACCGTCCTCGCCGCGGCCCGGGTGGCGCGCGAGAAAGGCAGCACGCGGTTCTGCATGGGCGCCGCGTGGCGCGACATGCGCGGCCGCAAGAACGCCCTCCGGAACATCAAGGCCATGGTGCAGGGCGTGCGCGCCCTGGGCATGGAGTCGTGCGTCACCCTGGGCATGATCGACGCCGCCCAGGCCCGGGAGCTCAAGGACGCCGGCCTGACCGCCTACAACCACAACGTCGACACGAGCCGCGAGTTCTACCCTTCCGTCATCTCGACCCGGACCTACGACGAGCGGCTGAAGACCCTGAGCCACGTGCGCGACGCCGGTATTAGCGTCTGCTCCGGCGGCATTCTCGGGCTGGGCGAGTCGTCCGAGGACCGCGTCGGGTTGCTGCATACCGTTTCTACCTTGCCGTCGCACCCGGAGAGTTTCCCCGTGAATGCGCTCGTGCCGATCAAGGGGACGCCGTTGGGGGAGCGCCCGCCCGTCGAGTTCACTACGGTGCTACGGACCATTGCGGCGGCGCGGATTCTCATGCCGGCTACGATTATCCGGATCGCGGCGGGGAGGAAGACCATGGCGGAGGAGAAACAGGCCTTGTGTTTCATGGCGGGCGCGAACGCCATCTTTACCGGCGAGAAGATGCTGACGACTGAGTGCAATGGTTGGGATGAGGATAGTGCCATGTTTGGCCGATGGGGTTTGGAGCCGATGAAGAGCTACGAGAAGTCGCCCGTTCCGGAGCAGGGGGCATAGCAAGATCCGTTGGTGTATTCTGCTATTCGTAGGAGTAGCGAGCATGAACAAGATGCCAAATGCGATGCATACATGTATCCGTTGAATACGTCAACCCGACTCCATATTCAACATGAACACCTGCAGCCACCGGACATGGGACTCGCTCTGTCTCTTTGTCTCTACCAATCTCCCAGCCAAATAGGCAGCCGTTTTGTTTCGACTCGGATTGGATCGAAAAGCGGCAGCCTAATATCATGTCCCTGTGCGGCATCTTGGCCCTGCGGCCCTGCCTGGTCCTGAAGGATTCGGCAGATCCCAACCCTCGGACTCCCCCAGCAGGCTCTGTCGTAGAGGCTATGATTAATTATAAGATAAAACCATGAGAACTGCCCGGTAATCCAGATGGAATTGCCGCTTGTTTCCCGTGGATTCCAGTCGGAGTGCCCCCTCTTCCTTTTCTTCAGCTCGTGTCGTCTTCCAAGTCCCCGCATCGTACGAAAGAAGCCGAGATGCGAACGTTCAGTCTCCCCCGAGTCCTCCTAGCTCTGGCCTCTACCATCCTCTTCTCCGAACTGGTCCAGGCCTACGACGAGCCGTCGCCAAACTCGTGGAAGGGCAACTTGACCTTCCTGCATACCGAGGACTCGTTGACCTTCCACTACTCCACGCCTGATCCCGACGACACCAACTGGATAGGCTTATACCTCAACGCAGGCGTCGGCCTCATTCCCGAAGCCGGCAAGAAGTACAGCAGACCCTCCACCGTCTGGCAACATGCCCCTGGGCGCGAGGGGACCGTTCACTTCCCAGCCCGAAACCTGCGACCCGGACGGTACGGCGTCTTCTTGAACGCCAGGGACGGCTACGAATGGCTGGCCCTCCCCATCATAGTATTCCTGTCCGACGACGGGAGAGACATCGAGGTGATTTCACAAAAGGCGACCCTTCCCAACGCCCGTCGGGGTGACGACTACCTCGAATCGATACGCCACCTCGTTCTTGACGGGGACGGGGTAAAATTCGAATCGCTGCACCTTGGTTCGCCAACGTGGGTCGACGTGACTCGTGACGGCAACATGTTCGGCACCCCTCCCGACGACGCGGCGGAGGATACAACAACCATCCTGGTGTGGGCGACGCGGCGCAACTCGGCCGCCCTCCTCGAACTGACCATCCCCGTGCGGAAGAAGGGAGAGCCCCTCCTCGACACGCTCAAAGTCATGTCCCTGAACCTCTGGTTCGGCGGGAAGAAAGTCAACGACTACCACAAGAAGCAGGTCCGGTTCCTCGCCACTTCCGGAGTCGACATCGTCGGCCTGCAGGAAGACCACGACGGCAGCCACGCCAGACGGCTGGCCGCGGCGCTGGGCTGGCACTACTGGTCGAGCAAGGAGAGCGTCGGCGTCATCAGCCGGCACCGCATCCACCAGGAGCTCGATCTGGGACTCTCGGCGGGCGGTGTGACCATCAGCCTGGGGAAAGGGTGGACCGAGAAGGTGGTGGTGTGGGTTGCGCATTTCGCGTCTAGGCCCTATGGGCCCCACGGGCTGTGTTTTGACGGGCTGTCGGTCAACGATGTGACGGGGGGCGTGGGACGGGGGGTTGATCTGCGGCGGCAGCAGGCCGAGGCCACGATTTGGAGAATGCGGTCGTATTTCTCCACCGTTGACGAGGTTCCGGTTATTGTCTTGGGGGATTTCAACGAGCCGTCGCATCTCGACTACGTGGAGGAACTCCGGGACGGGCACTGCGGTCACTCGGATGTCCCCTGGCCTGTGTCCAAGAGGATGGCGGAGGAGGGGTTTATCGATTCGTACCGCGTTGCGCATCCCGATCCGGCCGAGGAAGAGGGCATCACGTATTCGCCCATCACGCCGTTGCACGACAGCGGCAGGCCCGAGCCGCAGGATCGCATTGACTTTATCTATCACAAAGGGGACCAGCTGAAGGTGTCAGATTCGTGGACCTACGTTGCTGGGGAGCCAAAGAATATTCCGGATCATAGGGACAATGAGTGGACGTCGGACCATGCGGCTGTTATTACTGTGTATGATATATCAGAATGGGAATCTACATGGCATGCCTAGCTAAAATGGAGTATGTCGTATGGGAACATTGAATCAATCATATATCATCGTATGGTGGCACCTCTAGGCTATGCAGAATTTCGAATCTCCTCCTCAATCTTGGCCCAAGAATCATGCAGCAAAAAGGCCGAAATCCAATAATTCTCCTGCGGGTCTTTACCCAAGATGTTGAAAACATTTCTCGTCATCGCGCTCTCCACCATGCTTTGCGCGTGGTGATACACCATCCGCCCGGGCACATGCGAGGGCCTCTCCTCCCATGCGCCAGTGCTCACAACTGCCGGACCAAAGTCAACCGATTCGTAAAACTTGGCTTTCGCCCAGCTGCTGAAGACGACAAGCAAAGCATTCGCCTCCCCAAATAACATGGGCGAGCCGGGCGGTTTCTGAGCCCTCATCAGCCTCATCAAAGCCAGGACCTGCGGCTCGCTGACCTGCTCCTGGATGCTCCGTCGAAACCTGTAGGCGAGTTGTCCAAGCGGCAGGTTGGGGATCTCGTGGGCCGTAAAGAAGGTGAATGTGCCCAAGGCGAGGTTCTGCACGTAGGCCGCGCCGGAGTCGAAGGCGGACTTGACCCGGCCCCGGATGTCGACGGCGTTGATGGCGGTAATGGGGCGGGAGGGACCACGCGACACGGAGACGAGGCGCGTGGCCCAGGCCGATATGATGTCGCCATCGCTGAGAAAGGGGACGTCGACATCCTCCTCCCCGTCCACGCCGCCGCCGCCGCCGCCGCCGCCGGCGGCTTTGAGCCCTTCGACGGCCTCCTGGCGCAGCCTCGCGACGAATTTTGGCGGCAGGCACATCATCCGCCCCTCGACACTATACCAGAGGAGCTCCCAAGCGAACCGCAGCCCGAACCAGAGCATGCCCAGCCCCGGGATCCGTTTCGGCTCGAGGACGTACGGCTCCTGGTCCTCGACGGCGGCGGTACTCGGCTTTTCCAGGGGATCCTCGCGGGCTCCGAGCATGGGCGGGACCTCGGCCTCTCGACCGGCCAGGACCAGGGACCAGGCTGCTACGAGGTCCCTCCGGCCGAGGCCGCTGGTCATGGTGTGCGGCCACGACAGCGCGACGAGGGTTGCGTCCCTGAAGGACGTCACGTGTAGTGAGAGCTGCGGCTCGTCGCTGTACAGGAAGTCGTCGATGGTGGTCGGTGCGTCGGAGCGGGCGCCGAAGGGGCGGAAGGTCACAGATGACGGGTGCAGGGAGAGATCGGGTGTCGGCTGCGGGAGTTGGCTGGCGAGGGGGTGCTCTTTGATGCTGACGTCGAAGGTAATGTGGGAGAAGCGAACGGGTGGACGAGCTGGTGTGAAGGGGGTCGGTACGTGGATCTCCAACCGGCCATCTGACTGCGAAAAGGGGGGGAATACGGAGAGTCAGGAGGCGGTGCTGCGTTCAATTGCTTGGGCAGGGGGGAAGGAAGGGAAGAAGAAATATATATATATATATAGAAAAGTCGTGGTGGACTCTGGCGACGCAGATTGAACCCAGCAGCTGGGTCACAGTGAAGGCTCTCTCACTCACCCTTAAGCGAAGCCGGCCCCCGAGCTTCCTCCAATCGCCCATATTCAGCAGCCGGACGAGGGCATCATGCAGCTTATCGGCGTCGAGGACGTCGTTGAAGCGGAGAGTCCAGCACAAGATGAGATCCCGGTACGTGGGTGTGTCGTCGAAGAAATGTACCGGGAAGATTTCGTCAGTTTCGATCTTCGGCGGCGGAACCCGCCGTGGTTTGAGGCCCAGAAGGGCCCGAATAGAGTCCATGGTCTTCGTCGGTCTTGGCCAGTCGTCGTCTTGTGGCAGGTTGGCGATGAGACGAACGGGTAGCTGTGATGATGACTTGGTTTTCGGCGTCGCAAAAAAGAGGGAGGAGGGGGAGAATGCGAGAATATATATAAACTGATAGGTGGGGACGGGTGAACAGAAATTATGACAGCCGACAGAGCTTCACCGCGGAGACGGCTGGGGTGACGGGTCCAGGATGAGACCTAGGGTAGCATTTTGGAAATGAGGGACTCTATAATAAATCAACATAAACGACACTACAACGTACAGCCCGGTACAACGTAGGTAAGCACTAAAACCCCCTGCTCGCACAACGTAAGAAGCCTGCAAGCCGCCTACAGCCCTGAGAGTCTGAGCCAAGCCGGAGGGATTTGAAGGTCTAAATCATGGGCATCATTTCATGCAGGATAAGTGTCAGCGTGTTATTCCGTGTCCGCACTGCAGCATAAACTTGCTACGTAAAAAACTACCTGTGACCGAAGATCTAGTCACTATTGGGCACATCCATAGGGGAGACGTTAGAGACCGTTATGAAAAGGGGCTTTGTTGCAAGGTACAGTGAGTGGCTCGGCAAAAGGACCGAGGTGTTGTATAGCGTATTACATAATCATGGGCCCTACGCACTCCGGCCGGTACAGAATGTGTATAAAATACTACGTTGCCCGTACAACGTAAACCGGTGGGCCATGCCAAGTGACCCGAGCACCATAGCAATACCAAATTTGTATACCCCGATTCAGTAGGGATCTTCGTCTTCATATTCCGTCTTGTATCTGCGTAGGCGCTGCGTAACCGGGATTTACAAATTTGGTATGACACCGGTTTACTGATGCAATAGTACCGGGATTCTGTACTGGCCCCGAGTACCATATGGACTACACTAGAACGCGTCTGTCCCTTGGCCATCAGATCGGTTGGCGGGGCCATCCCGCAACCGGGTCCCCACGAGTGCCACGAATGCCACGAGTGCCACGAGTCCCACATGTCCTTCTCCGTACCGACCTTTCAGTGGATAAGGTCCAGTGCGTCGTCTTATCTTTGACCAACCGGAATACTTCTATTGTGGGTTAGGGTTGACTCCCGTCCATCGCAGCTCCTGCTCCAACATCTGTCGCACGGGAGGACCAGAAAAGGGGTATCGCCAAGTTTGTGGAGTTGCTGCGAAAACCTACCGACGGCCCTATCTATGACCCCAGATTGGTGCTATGACGGGGGGAGGCCCCTTTGGTTCGATGGCAGAGGGTTAACATGGCTGTCTGGGTGGGATTTAGTTTGTATATGAAGAGTGGGTGAAGGGCGAAGGGCGCCGACGACACGACGACGACGACAACAACGACGACAAAAAAGCAGCGACACCCAACTTGCTCAACTTGTTCCTGCCAAGTTATTTTGAAACGTAGCGAAATACCAAATCCAGAAATCTGTATTTATTGTTTGTCCCCTGCGACATCGTACGATGGCGGAGAGGAGCAGAGTAATTTCATATTTGAGTAGTCTGTCTCGCTATTGCGTAGCTCTGGGGGAGCAAACAACAACGTATGAAGAGCCAGAGGAAAAGCAGAGGGTAAAATAGAAAAGTAGAAAGAAAAAGAAGGAAAAGAGAAAGAAGAAGAAGAAGAAGAAGAAGAAGAAGAAGAGCGAAATAATAAAGCCGAGTTCATAAATATCAAACAACCAGCATCACATCTCCGTCAACGGCCCCCATGTCATAGCACACCAAAATGTCCGCTCAGCCATCCTTGGTAAGCCAAAGACAAACAACAGGCTTCTCGCCAGGGAGCCCCGTACGGGACGCATCCCAGCCAACATCCTTGATAGCCTTCTTCATCATATCCTTGTCATCGGCGCCGAAGCACAAGCCCTTGTACCAGCGACCGTTCCCGCCCTGGGTGATCTCGTAGCACTTGTTCTTCCGCGCCGACGGCCCCGTGGCGCCGAACCCCTTGAGGATGTCCTGGACCCTGGCCGACACGGGGACATGGCAGGCGTGGAACTCGATGGCCGTGTGTGCGGGGAGTTGCCAGGGCGGCGTGGCGGTCTTGAAGACGTGGATCTTGGTGTGCTCGGGCGGGAAGAAGTAGTTGTACCCGGGCTCGCAACCGGCGCCCCCCGTCGAGTTGATCATCTGGGAGGCTGGCATGGTTCCGCCCGAGGCGGGTTGGTTGGTCGGCGTACGGGCGTAGGCATTATTGACGCCGTTGGGCTGAAGGGGTATGACGTTCTGGCCCGCGCCGGCGTAGATGGTTGGGACACCCCAGGCCGACTGATAGGACAAGGGGTAGCCGAGTGGTGAGACTGTGGATGGGTGAGCACTCCACGGTTGTCCCTCAAGGTCACCTTGGTGAAAGAAAGAAAAAATTATATATATATATAAAAAAGAATGCTTACCATAATGGCTATAGCCATAGGGGATATAGGCTTGAGGAACAGAAGCCTGGCCCGGGGGTCCGAGCGGAGGGGGAGGTCCGGAGTCGCGTCCAAACCGAGGATTCATGGTGAGCGGTTGTCTTTGAGACAGCGAGAGGTCCGACTCAAGGGAAGTGGTTGGTATCTATTCAGCGATCTGCTGGATGATACGTGTTGACCCAGCTGCCACTGACGGGATCGTACCGTGTAGACCAGGTGCGGTCGACGAAGCCTGAAAGCAGAGCGCGCTGGGGCTGCCAGGAGGCGAACTGTGATGGGGGATAGATAGACTGTCCGGGAACCGTGCCAATCGTCGTTGTTGCTGTAGGATAGGTGTTCGTTTGATGGTTGACAGGAAAGGTTTCTGTAGAGACTGGAAGTTAGTTTAGAAATCTACCAAAGACCAAAGGCCTGCTTATATACGTGGAATCTTGACACTCTGTCACGGACGTCATGAAGTGAGTGAAATGACATGAGCGAAGAGAAGAGGAAGTGTCAAGAGCGAGTGACAAGAGAAAGTCCAGTCATTCGGCGGGGTAGTAAGGGGGAATCGTTACTCACGTGGGATCAGCAATGACTCTGGAGGGGGAGGACCGTGATCAAATTCACCCGTCTCCGGACTCCAGCCTCTTCGATCGTGATGGACCAAGAAAATCTGGGTACTCCAGACTTTGTTGTCGTCACGGTCGTAAAACGTGCCCACGATGAGCCAGGCCCAGAAACGTGGACGTCTCGAGAGGTAGAGGTATTGGCCGATGATGAGCTTGGTCGCCGGATAGGGGAAATGAGTCGGTTGGCGAGTGGGTGCGGGTGCCCCGGGTCTCTGAGTCGACGCCAGCTTGGTGATTAATGGCACGGTGCCTGCGTCAGAGGCACCAAGGAGGGGGTAAGGGGGTAATAGGTTATATATGGTTTGCTCAAGTTGAAACAGAACCAAGGAAGCGATAGCAAGAGAGAAGGGTTCGGCAAAGAGCTGGACAGAGCCTCGGACTCAAATAAATAGTTCAGCAGTTTGCCATGTTTGGGCGGCGCGTGACTCGGACAATCTCCTGATTCACTGCAAGCATGTTATGGCAAACAGACAAAAGGGACCAGGGGGGAGTCAGCCAAAAGTCTGGAGATGGTACGCGAATAGCTGGAATTTTGCCAACTGCGCTGACGGACTGACAAGACGATGAGCACCGAGGGAAGGCATTGCTGTAAGATCGTTCCTTTATCATTCATGGCCTGAGCAGGAAATCCCAATGTACTCCGATTAATCCCAAGTCTGTGGTGGCTTTGGTTCGATCATTTGGTTCGGTCATCGGGTTGGTGACTCGGTGTGATGTGAATAGAATCGAAGAGGACGCGATCACCGTTGGTCTTCCAGGGTGGGCGACGCTACTGGGATACGACATCCCACGGAGGACACGAAATACGTGGCCACAGCAAAATGGGGGTGGGAATGAACCAAAGCAGTGAAGACTCTAGGCTCGTGATTAGGATCCATGTTTGCCCTGCAAGGAAAAGCGCCAATCTCCAAAACTGCGTAGGAACAGAAGACTCACGGAAATGATGAGAGGCCTGCGAAATCAATTCCAAGGACCCCGTGGCCCGACCAAGTACCAAATTGCGGTTTGGGGTGGTTTGGTTCGGGGAACGAGCGTACAACACTGTCTCAGCATCAGAGAGAGGGAGAGCTCGGGATTCCCCGACATTTGCGAAGACGCGCAGCTGGCGAGATGAGGCCGAAGCCCGAACCGTGTGATGATACCGTACGGTCCGTGCCTTCTCCGCATGTCGTACGCATAATGATCCTCCTAGAGCAGATGCCGATCAGGCGTCACAGGTCGATGGCGTATTGGTCACGGTCACCAGGCATGACTAAACGTCAAATTGACCGCGCAGAGCTTGCGTCCTCAACCCTGCTCACTTTCCTCGACAAGACGGACACCCCCCGCCTTCTTTTTCTCCTCGATCTCCTGGCGTATCTGCTTCCTCCGCTCTACCTCGGCGACCAAGCCCTTGAGATAGACTTCGGCCTGGACCGTGGCGCTGTAGGAGAGGGCCGTCCAATTCCAGTTGTTCTTACGCTCGGCATCGGCGCCGGCGGCGAGGAGCGTCCGGAGAACGAGTAGGTTTCCGTTGCCGCTGGCGAAATGAAGCGCGGTATTGCCGTCCGTGTCGACGCGTTGGACCGCCTGTTCGGGTCCGCCGGGGACGTAGGTCAGGAGGATTTGGAGGACCGTGTCGTGGCCGTTGCGACTGGCCTCCATGATGGCGTCGCGGCCGCGGGCGTCCCGGCGAAGGACGATTTCGGGATTCAGCTCGCACAGGAAGTGCACCACCTCGGTGTGGCCGCCGGCGGCCGCGAGCATGAGCGCTGTCTGCAGGTTCTCGTTGAGGGCGGGGTCTGGGTCCTCGTGACCAAACTCGATGAGGACCTTGCAGACTGGAAGATGGCCTAACGAGGCGGCCAGATGGAGGTTGGAGTTGGATAGACCCTCGGGGGATGCATCGGGGTTGTGGAGGACTTCGCGGTGGGATTTGAGGATGCGCTTGACCAGCAGGGCGTCGTTGGCGACGATGGCGCGGCGGATGCGAATACTTGGCTCTAGCCTGGAAGGGAGAGAAAGGGTGTCAGCGAGCCTTTCAATCGTGTGGAGAGGTGCTATTTGACATCGAATGGAAAGCACAAACATCTCGACGTTGGGGTTGCAAGGCGACTTAAGGTGGTGGAGAGTGGCATTGCTGGCGGTGCAAAACAAAAGCTCGATAGAAGGAAGATTAAGATTAAGATGGCATAAACAGAACCAAAATAACCTTAGTAGCAAGCGAAAAGAAGGAACGCACGAATGGGAGCGGAGTTACCGTAAGAGGGGAATCAAGGGGCAGCTGAGGCAGGGATGTAACTTGTGCCCCTGAAATAGTGGCCCAAGCTCCTTCTGACTGGGAAGAGCTGTGCCATTTTTGCGGGGGAATTCCTCTCACTTTTTAGTGGGGCCATGAAGACAACAGTCACGTCGATAAAGTATCCCATACAATACCATATATAGGTATATAACCCGAGTAGAGGTCTATACTCGTCGTATCATCACGTACCCAAGGCAATTAATCCACACTCAATTGAAAACACAACCCGTTCAATTGACGATATCGACGACTTGAAATATGAGGAGTAGGACAAAACTTATTATGTTAGGAAGTTAGTCCCTTTTTTTTGACCGCCGCAGGTTAAAAACCCAAGCGACAAACCATGCAACCATGCGGACCTCCCAGTCGGCCAGTCGGGGCTCAACGTGCATTACGTCGTTTCTGTGTAATTTCTCCGTGATGACGCCTGGATCTCCACATTTCCTCCAGACATACGGAGTACCTGCATGGCCAGCTTGGGGTATTAAAACGTCCTGTCCCTCGCCATCAACTACCCATACGGTATACCTCAATATTAGCGGGATCAATTATCTCACCACGCGAGCACATCAATTCGGGTTCTTATTCACGGGAAGACGATCGATCCATTTCAATAACACCACCATGTCTGCACCACGCTACATGCACTCGGCCCTACGGCCTGCCATACGGGCCAGCCGCAACAACAGGGTCGCCTTCAGCCCTGCAAACAAACGCAACGCCAGCACAGACAAGGAACCGTCCCGTACTCAGATTCCGCCAGCCAGGCCTGGCAAAGCAAACAACTGGTACGCTAGACATCCATCTGCTTGTCCCATACTTCTTCTGCCCCGCTGCATCGTACCCCTCACTAAGCATTGTAGCTGACGACCGAGTGACAATGCACAGGACTCCCTACGCCGCAGCCGGCCTCGGTCTCGGCGCTGTATTCTTTTACCTCATGGGAAGGCCAGACAAGGCGGCGAGCACCAACGTTGGCGCGCAACCGACAGGGACGCTCCCAGGGCGGGAAGGTCCTATCCGTCCGGAAGACCGGAGCAATAAGAGACAGCCGGGGCAGTGAGAAGGGATTTGTGAGGAGGGGTTCGTTGCTGCGGAGATTGTTGTTGAAACTTGAATGACAAGGAGTTCGGCGTCGGAATGACCGTGGGGGCTAGCTAAGGCTAAGCTGAGAATGCCACATTGAAAGGACTCTTTCATCTGGTCCTTACGACCTATGCAATTGAACACGAACTATGTTTGATGAAGCTATAGACTACTCACTTCCCTACGCAGTGCTGGATCGGCTGATTGGGAGCATTCGTCAATGCAGCTTATGATGTCATACAACTGAAGATGTCCGATAAGTGGTGATAAAGGACCTTGATAAGGTATTCTGTGATAAGGAATGATAAATTAATAATAAGGTACCTAGGTACCTTACTGATGAGGCCGACAAGCCTGATAAGCCTGACAAGCCCGATAAGCCCGACAAAGGATGTTTTGTTCCGTTTCCCGCAATTTCGCAGGAATTGCAGACTATTACCACGTTGTCGAAAGTATCCTCCAAGGAGTTTAGAAAAATCGAAAAATCAAACGTCTTGCGGGAACTTCCTGAACATATCCGCGATACGGTCCATCGGAGCGGTGAGCAGGCCCATAGCCGTCTCGAAAGGCGGGCTCTCGCCGGCACTCGGGTGGCTGCGGGTGGGCACGAACATCTTGGTCCTCTCAAAGCTCTGGGACATGGTCTCCGACGCGCCGGGCTCCAGGGCCGCCTCGAGGGCGGGCAAGTCATGGCTCTCCTCCTCCTCGATGTGCTTCGAAAGCGTGCCCCAGAGCTGCTTCAGCATGGGCACGTAATTCGCATCCTCGGGGCTCATGTTCTGGAACTTCTTGAGCTTCTCCTTGGCCTGCGTGTTGGGTTGGCTTGTCAGTTCCTTGCCTTTTGCCTTGTCTGAACGGCCAAGAACGAGGAATTGAGGTTACCCACCTCGTGATGCGCCTTTCGGTCTTCTTCGGCCATCTCGTGACCTTTGTTGCCCATGTACTTCTCAAAAGCAGGGTAGACGACGAGCTCCTCGGCAATGGAGTGGCGGGCGAGTTCCCAGGTGAACTGGTTACCGAAGCGTTCCTGGTGGTCGTGGTCCGACGACGAGGTTATCTCGTTGAAACACTTCTCCATCTCACGGTGGTCTTCGGCGACCTTATCCGAAAGTCTGACCATTGTTGCGGTTTGGACTGTGCTTGTGCGAGGCTGTTGCAATTGGAATTTTGGGCGACAATGCGCAGTGCAATGTCAGTGGGAAGGATGTGAAGGAATGGTTGTCACAATGGTATTGCAGACTTCTGGATAGACGCGTCGAGGAGGCAGATGAAGCGGTTAAATATATCTAGATATCTGCCCACTTCTCCTGCGCAAAAGTCTGTCTGGGAAACTATTCAAAATGGTGACGTTCTCCATGGCAGCTATTAGATTTTAGAGACTCTGTTTGCTAGGAAGATGCGTCGGATGTTCTTCTGTCGACCCAATCCTCGCTGGTCCCAACCCATCATGATCTTCCAAGGTGGACGAGTATGGACGAATCAATTTATCAAATTAAAGTTACTACTTTGGGTGTTGTCCACACCACCAAAAGTTGGTGCCAGAATGACTTGCTCCGTAGTGTGAAGTCAAAAAATGCTGGAAGCCAACAGGGCTTTGTCTTGATTCTTGATGACAGGCAGAAATCCAGGGTTGGTGGTCTGAGGTAGCCAGGTCTCCAGTCCTCTCTGTTGTCGAGGGCCGTCTTTTTGAAAGCAATGATAATTAATACAGCAGCTCGGGATCAAGACAAGGAAGGGGGGGAAAGGGAAAAAAAAGAAGAAGAAAAAAAAGAAGAAAAAAAGACAAGCTGAGCTTGTTGTGGTGTCTCCCCGACCGGAATCGAGCCGGTGACCTTTCGATTGAAAGAGATAACAATTACAGTCGAACGTGATAGCCAACTACACCACAGGGAGTTTTTGTTGGAGGACGTAGCTTCGAGACTGTATATAAGCTGGAAAGTGGAGTCAACTCTCCCCGAGAGTGGGGAAGGCTTTCTTAGTAATCAAACCCCGGAGAATTCTTCCATTTTCCACTTCTCCACTGCTTTATCGAAAGAAGATTTTACTAATTTATTATGACTCTGCGGCTTCTTCCTCAAACTTCCTGAGCTTCGCCCGGAGATCTGCTCTTATGTCCGAGAAGAGAGGCAGCTCTTCGCGACGTCATAGGACAGAATAATACATAGTATGCTTGGTAATGCTGCAATTACTGTGAATGTGATTTCTAAGTCCCGGTAGGCTGAGGTAGCACGACGACACGATGTGCGTGCTTCACCTGGTTTCTGTCATCGTCTTACATTAACTGAGCCAGTACATTCGTATAAATACTAGACCATCTGTCGTGAAGTCCTGTCTGAGGAGGTGAACTGTAAACTTGCCATCCGATCCCTCTTCTTAGAGTGAACGTGCTCAATCCATTATCTATCGGTTAACTACCTACACCCATCGACACAATACAGGGTAAGACGCAATGGCCCAGACCAAGATTCTCGTCACAGGCGCTACGGGTTACGTGTAAGTGACCGTGGACTGTTACCCGCCATCCCTTCTGCGCTTCTCACTGACCACGGACGTCGCTTTCCAGTGGGGGCTCGGTTCTGGAACATTTGAGATCATCCTCCAACCCGAAGATCAAGGATGCGTCCATCACAACCCTTGTCCGACGGCAGGATCATGCAGACCTCCTTGGGAAACGTGGGGTGAAAGCCCAAGTCTTCAACGGACTCGATGACAGCGATCAGTTGAGGTCCATTGCATCTGATTTCGACATTGTCGTTCATTGCGCGACGGGATCTCATACAGCATCCGCTGAAGCCCTCATTCTCGGGCTCGGCGACGCAAAGGCGAGGACAGGCCAGCAGACATACTACATCCACGTTCGTAGCACTGCCCCTTAGCCCTCTGGCCCTAGGGGGTTGCTAATGCTGGAAGTAGACCACGGGAACATCCAACTTTGCACAGGGTCTCTCCAACCCTGACGCCACAGTCCAGAGCATCTCCGATAAAGACGACGTATACGGGGAAGAAGTCAAACTAGAAGCCAAGTCTCCCTATGCCCAGCGCACTACCGACCTCGTCGTGGTCCACACGGCCGAGAAAACCGGCGTCAAGGCCTACCTGCTGATGCCCCCCACCATTTACGGCAAGGGTCTCGGCCGGTTCAAGACACTGTCTTACCAGGTTCCCATCGTCGTCCGGAACGCCATCGCCGCAGGGCATCCCACTTACATCGGCGACGGGTCGGGGTCCCTGGGCAAAGTGCACATTGACGACGTTGTCACCCAGTACGAGATCATCCTGTCCAAGGTCCTGGATGGGGAGGAGATCCCGTCCGGTCGGAAGGGCATCTACTTTTCCAGCACTGGCAGCTATACGTGGAAAGACGTGAATGAGCTGGTCGGCCAGGTCGGTGCGCGCTTGAACGCGCTCGAGTCGTCCGCCCCAGTCTCGGTTAGCTTGGAGGAGGCCGTCGAGAAGTGGCCGCATGGGGCTAATGCTACGTTTGTTGAGAGGAACTTCGCCGCCAGACATCCGTACGTCTTCCCGAGCTCAGGATCTCGTGACCTCTTCATTGGCAGAAGTTGGAAATCTCACATGCTTCCTTTCTTGCAGGGCGGTTACCAAGCCGGAATTGGCATTCGACCTTGGGTGGAAACCAACTAGAACGGAGGAGAAAGACTGGATCGCCGATATAGAGCAGAATTGGGAAGCCATTCTTTCTGAACAGAAGGAGCAGTGGAGGATGATTTTTTTTTCTTTTTCTTCTTTTTGTCCAGGTTGCAATTTCGGTAAGTCATAGCCCGTGGGATACTCTCTGCGAGGAAATGCCAAGCTTGACGACATTAGGAGCATTAGGACGACATGATCGAGCTGCACATGTGCAGAAGGGGGCACACCAACCATACTATACTGTTGGGTCGTCGTTGGAGCATGAAGCCTCCGAAGCCGGGATGCAATCGATATTGGCAGAGAGAGAAGGAAGCCGGACAGTTAATTGCGAATTACAAAATAGAATCGTCAATGCATTTTCTCCACGCTCAATTTTCTTCAAGTTCCCTCCAGGGCGGAATTGGTATCACGCGGAAAGGAGATACCCCCCTTTCATAACGAATATTGGTCGGGCATTAGGGAATCATGATTCGTTCCTCATGGAGCGGAATTAGAAATCATTTCGACACGCTCTCGTTCTAACCGCAGGTATTGACTTCGGCAATGAATTTGGGGACCTCAAAGAAGGCCGGTCCTCCTGTGAAGACCTCGGTGCCAAACTGGTAGACTGTAGGAGCTTGTCAGTTCGTTTTCTCTCCACGGATAGTTAAGCAGGTCAAGGGAGTGGGTGAGCCACTGCCCCTGCACAACGCACTCAAGAGATGCTGGTCCCTGTCCGGGAAGCCCTGGTGGAAGACAAGGTAATCGAAGAATTCCTTCATGTCGGCCTCGAAGTGGTGGATATTAGGTCCCGCGGGGATGAAGCTGAATACCTTCATCTTGCCGCCGTGGTTGTAGCCGAAATGGAGATCCCAGTCGTACCCGGCAATGTTGACTCTGGCAATGGGTCGCTTGGCTTCACTGATGGGCCAGACTCCTCCATAGCAGGCGAGCCTACCGTCGTGTCAGTTGGTAGTGCTATTTCGTTCTTCCCATGGGAAACCCAAAGAAAGAAGGACCGCAACCAAGGGGGGGGGGGCAGGGGACAACATACCAAATCATCACCTCGTACTCTCCACTGCTATTCGCATGCTTCTTATCCGGATCCGTGAAGAAGTCAAATGCGACATTCGCCCGGATATGATCAGTGTCATACCGCCACGCAACATCAACGGGCATCGACGCGATATCCTGGAGGAGCGGACGGTCGAACTGCCGCGCGCCGTAGACGTAACTCTTCACTTGATGCTCGCCGCCCTGCCACTCCCAGTCAGAACTCCAGGCGATGCCGCGACCCTCCGGGCCGGGCCCGTCGTAGTGTGTTCGTTGGCCGCCCGAGGTGGCGTGCTTGAGGCCCCAGGTGTTGTTGTTGAGCTCGTACCCCTTGACGGCGTGGTAGCCCCATTGCTTGGTGAGAGTGTGGAGGTGGGTGGGAGGCATGGCGGGAGGGCAGGCGGGAGGGCGGCTGTGAGGGTGGTCTGGAGGGTGGTCTGGAGGGTGGTTGTGAGGCCGATGATGGGGTTGATGGACTGGTTGGAGTGATTGTTGGTTCTGGTACTGCTCCGAGCTGGAGGGCGAGAAGACGCGGTTGAAGAGGGAGGCGACTTTCCGACCCATGATGAATAGCTGGGTGATGGAGGATCGGCGGGTGATTTTCCTTTTCTGTGTGCGGAGTCAAGGAATGAGCTATGGAATGACGAATGTCCGATGAGATTCCTAGGAAGTAAGGGCCTGAGCGGATTGGTGAAGAAGGATCAGGGGGGTTGATTGGAATGTTGAGCGTTGCAGAAGGGGGAGCGGACGTGAGAAGAGAGTTGAAAAGGGGGATAAGGGGGATATATGTACACCAAGGTACTTACATCAAGTTGGGATTTCCCTGTTGTTGTAGTGGTACATTTCTGGTCTGACAGTCACCTACCTACCTTACCTGTAAGCTGCCTAAGGTAAGGTACCTAGTCAGTACCTTGTGTTGAAAGTGACGTAAGGCCCAGGAGAATGCCAAAAGGTACGAGTCAGACTTGAATGAGACCGGTCGGGAGGTTTATTACCTTCAGGTACCTGATGAGGGTTGGGAGATGCAGCAAATCGCAATCCGCTGAACGTTCAGGTACCTACCTACTCATCGTCCGTGTAAGTCTCGGGTTACGGTACCTCAGGTATCGCTCTCTCAATTGCAGTGCGTCCATCTTGCTCCTCTCAAGTAGCTTATCCGTTAGCTGGACATTTATTAGGGTTAAGGCACCGAGTAAAACCAATTCTTTTTGCTGTGTAGCTTTTTTGGCAACGAAAAAGGGTATCATCTCAATCTGCCTTGAGTGTCGGGGCCATATCCAAAATCCTCAGCCGGCGCCGGGACTTGTCCTCTGCGCCGAGGGGTTCAAAATGCGAAATCATCATACACTGACCACGCTATCCACCTCTCTCCGTTTCTTCTCCACGTTTACCTCGAATAATGCCCTCGCTACCAGTCCCCATTGTGTGATCCTGCCCAGAGTTAGCACAGTTTTGTTTCAAAATCAAACCAGAAGAGAGAAAAGAACGGAAAGAAAGGGGAAGAAGAGAAAAGGAAGGGAAACGCACATTAGTAACCCTAACAGACAAGCCAAGGGCACCTCGTAGCGATGATAAGGATACACATCATGGGCGATGTCGTTCTCCTCCACCATGTTCATGACGAGCAGCACGAAACAAACGACGGAGGCCAGGGCAAAGAGGAGTTCGACGCCGAACTGCATCTGGTAGGGGATGCCGCCGCGGTAATGGGCACGTCGGAGGCAGAGCAGGTTTATGATAGCCCATAGAAAGACGAGACCGTTCTGCGACAGTAATCGATGGTGGTGAGTATGGGCGACAGCAAGAATTCAATCAAGTAGAGGGCGGAGAAAGGAAGAGAAGGGAAAAGGGGGCAGCATACCAATGGTACGGTCAACCACATGGGATAGTAGACGGGATCGGCCGAATCGGTGTCATCGTTCAGGTAGCGGCCGCGACGCGAGACGTAAATGTTGACGGTGAGGACGAGCGAGACGAATGGGAAGACCAGGGCGGCCTGGCGCAGAACGTAGTACATGTAAAGACATCTCCGGCGCTTCTTGCGGAAAGGGGTTTCGGGAGGAATGTAGAACTCTGGTGGGCGGTAGTGGAATGTCGGCGGCAAACCGGGCGGCAGTGGTGGTGGGGGAGGGTACAGCGCGGAAGGTGGGGGCGGGTAGGTCGGACGGTTCCCGTCCGGGACATGGTATGGGATGGCGCCGCCGTCGTTTCGGGTGTATGGTGAGGGTGATGACGATGGTTGAGTGTATGCGGGTTGGGGCGAGGAAGGAGGATAAGTGGTATCGGGGCCGTGGGAGGCGTTGTCGGAGTGTTCTGGTGGTGACATGATCGGGAGCGCTTGTTTTGTAGGGGTGTTTCCCCCCTTTTTTCCCGTTGGTGACAACACTGCTCTGTTTCCCTCCCTTTTTGCGCGCTTTCCTCCGCGTGTATCCGTATCTGGTGACTCTTGCCTCTCTCTATCCTTTTCGCCCCTCTTTCCCCTCTCTCTTCCTCTTTGCTCCTTCAGGTCCTTTCTGTACCTGGGGTTATTATCGTTTTGGCGAACGTGGATGTATGTGTTGACCACTGTTGGTGTAGTTGCCAATGCTGGTGCTACATGTATCCCTAGGAAGGGAGACGGTTGCCGTATCCATCTAGGTCGGCCTGTGTGTGTCGGTCGATCTCAGCCGCGTTTCGTCGTTGGAGGTGAAAGTCGTAGTATGTCCTTCCATGCGTGGGAGAGTCGATCTAGAGGCAGGCGCGCGCGGGTGTGGTGATCGCCGAAAGGTGGGTTGATTTACGCAGGGAGCGATCGCGCCAGTGGGGGATCGTCTCGTAGGGCTCTCGGTTTGGCGATGGCTGGTGCGTGGGTGTGTAGGAACAGTACTGCGGTGAAGGGTTCGGTAATTGAGACAAGACGAAACAATGACCAGTTGGAAGGAAATGGCGAGGAAGAAATGGGCGGATTGAATGATCAAATAGGTAAAGAAAGAAAAGAAGAAAAAAAGAGAAAAAGAGAGAGAGAGAATTGGACAGGGGCGAGGAAGACAACGAAAGAAATGAAGCGGAAGACTAACTTATGAACAAAAGACCAAGAAAGCCCAAGAAGCATGGCTTCAAATTTGGAAGGAATTTGGAATTAGGAATTTCTGGGGTGGAGGCGGCCAAGACGACGAGATGACGTATCCACGTATGCGTTTCCGCCGAGACGCACGGCCTTTGTCTTGGTACCTTGGGTACTCTACATCGTGGATTCCATTCTCGTTTTTCTTATTTTCTTATGAAATATGGAAATCAAAAAAAAAGAGAAATCAAATCTACCAATGTTTCCCAGTCTCCGTCTTTTTCTGCGAAGGAGTTAGACACTTCTCAATAGGAGAGGAACGAATGGAGAAGTGACGCCAAGACAATGGTCCAAGAAGGCCAAGATGCCGAGACTAATCCCAAGCATCAAGGACCAACGAACCAAGAGCCTGCAGATCCCGAGTCGGTGTAAGGTACTGTGAAGTACAAGTACATACTACTTCGCAAGGTGTGTTCAAGTGCAGTGGCTTCAGGTCTTTGCTCAGTGGTCGTCGGCCATTGAACTGCCTAAGGTGCAATGCCGCAAGGTACCTAACGCCGGGGGCCGGGCTAACGTCATTCCACCAGGAAGTCTCAAGACGCTAATTGAGGTGTCAGGCAAACCGCCAAGACGGTCCATCCCATTTATCCATTCTACAACTTTTTTTCTCCCTCTTTTTACTCTTGTTATCTCCTGTTATCTTTTCCTCTTCTTCTTCGTTTTCGAGATATCTTTGAAAGATACAGATGACTTCGTACGGTCTAATCACATCGTGTGGCTCTGATTCCCTTGTTCTCATTTTCTTATTCTCCGTCTCGTCGACCCATCTCTCGGCATCGACCACGTCGTCCGTCAACTCGCCCGTCAACTCGCCCGTTTTCGCTTTGCAGGCCATAACCTATTGTCTCGGCATGGCGCTCGGCATCGCTCTCGGCACGGCCTCTCAACCGCCGGCCAAGCAAATACTGATTGGATCAAACCCAAATCAGCGTCGTCGTCGTCACACGCTCGTGTTTTGAGCGGATTAATCACGCGCTGCAAACCCTCTCACCAAGTCTCTTGTACGACCGAGCCCCCGGGGCTTTTGTGTTGCCAAGTAGGATGTGCTGTCTCCTTTTCTTTCTGTCTTTTTTTTCTCCCCTTGACCCAAGACCCAGACGCGTCATTCATATATATCTGCAGTGTCACCAGACATGACCAGGGTTTGACCGCACTACAAGGCCTTATCGGTCTTCGACACAGGCCCCGGAAAAGAAGAGCAAGAGGAAGAGGAAGCATGCCAAAGGGCAAAATGAGATGAGATCCCTCGACAAGGTCACTATAGGGATAGAATGGCATCCAGAGTACCGGGAGTAAGTGTGATGTGTTGACTGCCTACTTCTCCTCCGACATTGAAACGACAGAAACCCCAATCCAACTCAACTCTAGCAACCTTCTTCCATCCTCGTCACACTGGCGTGGGCTCAGCCCTCACCTCCGTTCTCAGTGTCCTCGCCCTCGCCTTCGCCTTCTCCCTCGCATCGCTTTCCTCAGGCACAGCACTCGCCGAGCTCGTCACCGTCGACAACGTCTGCTCCACACTCGTCGCCGCACCGCTATGCAAAGTCGGCCCAGGCACCGTATACTCCGCCAACGGCGACGTCGAAATATCATAATCCAGCCCAGGGTCCGCCTCCACCTCCTCCCCTTCCTCTAGCCCTCCGTCCCAGTGATACAGCTCCGAAGCCCTGAGCCCCGCCGGCCGCACGTCCCCGCCGCCGACGACCTCGATGTTGACGCACTGCGGGTAGTGCTGCGGCCCCACATCCGGCAGCGTGGCGTAATGCAGCGCGATGAGCTCCTGCCGCAGCACGTAGTGCCCGGCCGCGAGGTCCTCGGGGATCTGCACCACCCGGCTCGAGTTGTTCTCCCGGAACAGGTCGCTGGCCCAGTACCCCGGCGCCAGCGAGTGCGGGTCCGAGTAGACGTCCGGGTCGATCAGCCCTTCCGAGTCGATGAGGAAGAAGGCGAGCCCCGTCTTGTCGACCGTCGCGCACGCGCCCGGGGAGTCGCCGCAGCGCGCCAGGTACGTCAGCACGGGGCCCTTGTGCGACTCCGGGTACCCCTGCCACTGCACGTCGACGTTGCTGCCGGCTGCCACGGGGGCGTAGCCCTGCGCGTTCGCGGCGTCGCGGTGGCAGACGATGTTGGGGCTGCGGTAGTCCTCGAAGTTGACCCAGCCGTCGTCCGTCACCGTCGTGCTCCACGCGACGAGCACTTCCGGGTTGGTGGGCACTTTGGGGTTGTAGCCGTCGTAGAGGACGCCGTCGACGACGATGTTGGTGATGCGGCTGTGGGCTGCGACCCCCGAGGCGCCGAGGAGCAGCGAGCTGAAGAGTGAGAGAGTTGTAGTGGGTGGCATCTTGGGGGCTGGGACCCTGGGGGCTTTTTTCTTCTTCTTTTTTCTTCTTCTCTTTTTTCTTCTTCTTTTTTCTTCTTCTCTTTTTTCTTCTTTCCTTTTTGGTGATTCTTTCTGCCGTGATGGGTCGTCGATCGACTGTTTGGTATTAAATGCCCCTGGTTCGTCGACCGAACAGATCAATGCCCGGACGAGGGCGATCGACGGCAAGATATATACCCCATCGCCAGGGGGTTTGAACATCCCCCTCATCCCCCTCTCTCTCTCTTTTGGCCGTGTTGATCTTCATCGCCCACTTACTTCTTATTTGAGACGACCAGCAATCCATCAATTAATGGCGGGACGCTCTCCCGCCCGGCTGGCGCGTGAGAACAAGGTCGCGAGGGCTTCCGCCGTCGATCATTGTCGTGAACGTGACAAAAAAAACCCATCACCGGGAACCAGACATGAAACGAATTTTCATTTAACATGGATGGGGACTCACCAGTGGTTTCCAATCTGTGGTATGTCAAGTAAGATTTCGTGGCTCACCTCTGGTGAGGCCTGGGGGAAGGGGTGATCATCGCCCTAAATACTGGTTCCGGTCGCGGGGACGGCGTCTCAACTAACCCACCTCGTTCCTGTCCAGAGGTCATCCCGGATGGTCCCGTCGATCAATGTCGTTTCAGAAGTTTCGTTTTTTCGTTCCGTTGACCGAACAAGGCAGTCGTGATCCTTCCGCAATACCCCTTCTCGAAGATCGTCGTCCGCATTGGCTTTCACGGCTGGGTACGTCAGCTCCCGGGGGACTGTTAAAAGATCGAAACTGGATGCTACCCAGGGAATTGTTGAAAGCAAGGCAAGATAAACATGGCTCCTATCCGTTCCCAATTCGGTTGTACACGTGTAAGGGGTCTCGAGCGAAGGGGACGCGCGGATTATGGATTATTGACGCGTCTGTTCCTTCGTGGTATGGGGGAAATTCAACTTACTTAAATTTAAACCTGTTTTCTGTAAACCAATATATGAGTGGCATGCCCATCATCTGTGTTTGCCCATCTCAGTTCAATCTGCGACGATTAGTGAGGTTGGCTAGGGTAGTATTCGTTTGCAACAGCGACCATGCCTCCTTACCATTTTTCTGGTCGATCTCCTTGACACGAACGAAGGGACAAAAGAGCGTGCGTCAAATATAATACTATTATGTTCTTTCGTGCATGCCTACCTAGTCTGTAAAGCCAAAAGTGAAACTGATATCCGGACGACTAAGTGGAATTGCCAAAGGCCGAGTAAGTAGTTCTTCGTATCCAGAGAAGCAGAGGCTCACTTACAAGTTCTCAGATCTCTCTTCGTCAGCTCCGGAACAGCTATACCAAGGCATACCTAAGTAACCTAATCTCTATTCTAAGAATTATACGAGTTCCACGTAAAATCATCTGGTCTTGGACGTTGGCCAGTTCGACAACGGTAAGCTTGGCTCAAGGAGACGTATGTGTGATAACCTGTCCTTCAGTGTTCGCTATATAAGAAGAATTACTCTATTGTCTTATCACACACGACCATACCCACTGGAAAACTCGGGATCCCGTCCGCTCTCCCCTAGATAAGCCAGTGAGGGCCGGATTAGTAGTTGGGTGGGTGACCACCAGCGAATACCCGGTGTTGTATGTGTTTTTGGTTATTATTCTTTTTTTCTATCAGCTTTACATATATATATATATATATATGTTTACGGGAACAACATGAATGGCTATGTAAATTTTCCTCTTCGACCACGGCATATGCGACTATGCCGACTGGTAAACTCGGGACCCCGTCCACTCTTAGACTTTAGTTGTCAGAAGGAGTAGGCGGCGTACCGGGGCGGTATTTTTGGTTCCCCGCGTCGGTTCTTAGGGTACATGTCACATAGCCCCTTTTATAGTACTATTTAAGGTAGATAGACATTCCCTTAGAGTACCTTTAGAATCTCCAAGGAATACGATTCACGAGTTCGAGTACCGATATTCTTGTTCTGATATTTACGTAGTCATTGGGGACCGAAGGGACCATAATGAATTACTAAACAAAATTTGGAGAGCATGACTAAGCACCTTCGTGTCTTTTCGCGACGTAACCGTTTCCCTCCTCGTCTTCGGGCTTGGCCCTCACCAAGCAGACACAATACAACCCCGTCCTTCATCTTCCCTTCTCTCGCCCACTAGTTTCTGTTTTCGAGTTTTAGGCAAAAGGAAACGAAAATGCCGTCTTCGAGAGCTGTTCATGGGAAAGTTGAGGGCGCCGCTCTTGAGTCGCCCCTTTCCCCGGCGACCTTCCCGTGGCCGCGCGGTCGCTTCCTCTTACCGCCTCCTCGTATCGCCCCTTTCGAGACGGCTTCCCTTGGCCTGTCCCTATCATGATCAGCTTACCCTTAGCCCTTGACTATACCCGATTCGAATAGACAATAGCGGCACAGTTGGTATTTCTAGTCAAAGACCCCCTGGAACATTGAACTTTGCGGACGGCGAGTCGCGACTGGTTCGACGACACGGAGATAAAGTGGGCGTCGCATCGGGGTAGTTCCTGCGGCGAAAAGGTCTCGCATGTCCAACGTGCTCTTTTGTTCCAGATCCGTATGTATCTAACTTCCCATTAAGACTCGGCCCAAAATAAGGGGAGTGGGATTCGAACTCCACGGCCTTGCGCGGTCACCAGGTGTGTCTACCATCTGGTCCATCTCGCAGATTGATCTGGACCAGCAAGCAACCCACTCCTTCCGACCGAGAGGAATGGACCCTGAATGCTCGACAGCGGCTTGCTGAATGATAAGTGAGTTGTCCGAAAACGGAAGTGCAGTGCTGAAATTCGGAGTTAATTGTATCGCGTGCGGCGTGCCCCGTGCCGGTTTCGGCTGGTCTCGATCGTTCGTTTTCAATATTTCGGAGACCAACCCCGATGCTTGAGCCGACTATTACCCCATGTCATCCTAACGCAGGAGAAGTTCCAGCAATTCCACGTCGGTACTAGCATGGAGGCTGGCGCTGCCCATACCATACCTGTCAGGGGAGCAGGGCGAGATTTTCTTGGGGAACGCGTGTAAGCTCCGGGACCATAGGGCCGAAGTGGCGTACAGCGTACCTAGTAAGGGTTGTGCCTCTCCTGATAAAGTGGGCTCCATTGCCGTTCACTGGGCTCAACTTATTATGCAATCTAGCAGAAAATTGCGCCACCACAAAGATTTCAAGCAGGTTCATCGTAGAAACTATACCGTATTGAGCAGTACCCCCATCTCCTAGATTAGACGTCGACATGTTGTACGCTGATCGACCATCATTTCTAAGCAAAGTTTGTTGACTACGTTCCGTACTGGAAATCCTTTATACAGGTACTCATAGATACCGGGTACCAGATTAGGCATTGAGGCTATACAATGCATCTCTTTAGTGATGGTTGGGTTTAGATAAACATCGGGAGTCACCGACGCCAAGTCGTTAAATCTACACGTGACGATAGATACAGGTATAACGCAGAGTTGAGTTGCGCTTGACAGTTCAGGAAATCAATCGGCCGATCATTGCAGGCAAACCCCAAAACGGTATAGTGTAAGCGCCGAGCCTCGTTCGAGAAAACCGCTTGACTTCCATGTCGGAGGCTCGTCTCGTAATCCGATTGGCGGATTCCCCGTCGTGCCCGGTTAGGGTGCGGCCCGCACCGGCCATATACCATATATACCATGCGCTACTGGGTAACAGGGCTGACTCCGTTAAACCTATCATTACATCACATGGCGATTGGAGAATGACCGAGGATTCTGGGTTCAGCAAGTCACAGGACAAGGGAGCCAGTTCAGCTCGCCACCGTATATTCTGTTGTACGGAAAAGTCCTTGTGGTTAACCTGGAGGCGCTACGGTGAACTGTCCTTGTATCTGGAGCTGGGTCTAATAGGAACAGCGTGGTCGTTGTACGCGAAATATTGGCGGCTGATCATCCCGGGAGGGCTGGTGAAATCGCAAAATATACTCGGAATTCTATCTTATTCGTGAGCGGTGAATGGGCCAAACACTCTGACAAACATCTTTCAGCAACGACGAGATGCGTTCAGCTGTTTCAGGACATCAGGACTTGACCGGCTAGGGAATATTGGATCAATAGTTGGATGCGCCACGTTGAAAACCTTCCCTTGGTCAGTAACGACACTCTGTTGCTGGTTGAGCGAGACTGCAAGAGAGAAGCCAAGTGTCAAACGCTGAGATCGAGTCTTTGTGCTAGTCTTGAGTAGACTCAGTAGAGTACACTAGACCTCCAGGCCAGAGATCACAGATATATAAACCCTTGCCCACATCCTCTTCAAAACGAAACTTGAAAGCATCATCAGCAGCAGCATCATCAACTCAGACACTCACACATCCAAACCCCTCAGCAACAACCTTCTTCATCTCCATCTTTCTCGATCTTCACCAGTCACAATGGCTTCTTCTCTCGCCTTCGCTCAGCCGGCCCCGGCCCAGTCTGCCCCTTCCGTTGCCGACGGTGCCAGTGGCGACCTCGTCAACGCCCTCGCTAAATATGTCACTACCGGTGTCGGTGCCGTGAACACCACGCAGGGAGAGCTCCAGGAATTGGTCTCCACGGCTGTCGCCAAGCCCGGCGGCATGGCTAACATGGAGGCCCTCATCCAGCTTGACCAGCACTGCCCCCCCGAGCGCACTGTTTGGCACGACAAGGCGGCTGTGACCGCCACGATCTCGCTCACCAAGACTGGCCTCACCCTGGGCTTCCAGATTCCCAGTCTTTCTATTACCTTCGAAGGCAAGGGTACTGGCTTTTTCAGGCCCTTCTCGGGCCCCATGAACAAGTACGCCAGACTCACTGCCTTGTTAAACCCTACCTTTTTCAAACGGGATCATATGTTGACAAGTTTCTCTCTTTCCAGCGGCACCATCTGGTACAACAACATGGACAATCTTCAACCCGGTCCCGCCGATTTCCGGCTGCATGTCGATAACGTGAGGGAACTCCTTTTCTCCTTATCATTTACCAAATAGTATTGCTAACTCGTTCCAGCTGACCCTGCACGTCGACATCTTCCGCAACCAGCTCCAAGTTGCCAGCCTCGCCTTTTGGCCCATTGCTTTTGTCCTCGCTCCTGGCATCCAGGAGGGCACCGGCGACTTTGCTTAGACAGTGGCCTGCTTATGGAATCCGTTGCAGACGTCTCTGATCAGAGTCGGAGAAGGACGCGTCGATGTCGATGGGTGATTGGTAGTAAATTGCACAGTGCAGGGCACTGAGTTTTTGCTAGCTAGCTATTTCATTTTTTAAAATATACTACGTCTTTCCCGGGACTATTACAATCTGACCCTTGATAATGAGTGCCTAAGAGACTGCAAGCAACCCGAAAAACGGGCGGCTTAGCAAGCTGAACTAGTAGCCATGAGACACGCAATCCAGCTGATAGTCCGATGACTCTGATCCCCGCAATGCCAAAATAGAGACCTGACGATGATGTAAAACTTTACGATATACTTTGACAGTCAAAGCGCACTGGAGGAGCTTGACGCAGCAAGAACGAGCAAGTAGAGGACGATATAGAGAAACAGCTGAACTGAGCAGGACTATATCTGGTCCTTGGGCCGGCTTAGATCTATCGTGACATCATCTATGTATGAACTCTGCAGCGCAAGGCTTCCTTCCATCTGCTATTCTTACACAGCGTTGTGTAGCTTGTCTAAATGCCGTGTCAGTTGCGCAGGGAGAAGGTTAACACAGGACGTAGCATCTTGGGAGCACCAAGACGGATCAGCAGTATCGGAACTTCGGAAGGTAAATAGGTCTACCTATTGCGTACAGCAAAGCAAGCTACTAGTGGACCAACGGTAGTGGTTATATAATAGTTTCATTTCCTACACGTCAGTATATACGACCATACCCACTGGAAAACTCGGGATCCCGTCCGCTCTCCCCTAGATAAGCCAGTGAGGGCCGGATTAGTAGTTGGGTCGGTGACGACCAGCGAATACCCGGTGTTGTATATATTCTTTTTTTTTTTTTGGCTCTTACACTGCTTTCCCCTTTTATATTTTGGTTCATGTTTGTTTTTCCTACCCGTTTTATTTCTCCGAGTTCTAGTTATCAGGTATTCGGCCTATCAAAACATCAATCTTCCGAGCCCCGAGCCTCCGTGTCTTGAAATGTTCTTTAGTTTCGCTTGCAGTGTTTTCCACCCTATTCCTTTACATTTCAAGGCATCTCAACGGCAGCCTTTTCGTCTTCATGTCTGAGCCGGCCGCCCTGCGCAACTCCGCCATCACGAGGGGGCTCTGCTCCGATTTCCAATGTGGTTGTAGGCTCTCGGATCTTTGGCTACTTGATGGGTCAGGTCGATGGGGTAATAGGGTCGGCCGCCCTAGCCAACAAGCCAGTCGTACGCCTCTCTCTCTCTCTCTTTTTGTCAATATCAGATACCAGCTCGGGTGATGTGGCCGGTCTAACTGCAACCTTGAGATGTGGCCATTGAACCTTTTTTCTGCATAAATCCACCTCCTTTCATCTGCCAGGAGGGCTCATACAGAGTAATTGTATAACTTTGTGTGGAGTAGGGTGGTTTACTGTTCAGGGGGTTGCCTTCTTAACTAGGAACTCACTAATAAAGGGTTAGCGCCTCACAACTCAGACTGCGGTAGTTCTTTAGAGCCACAGAGTCGTAGACTCTCTCTGATCGAATCCCAGCCTCCAGATCCAACAATCTCGAAGCCACATAACTCCCATTGATGCCCTGAAGCCGGGAGTATGGAGTACAATGACTGCACGGAAGCACGGAAATACAAGCTAGTCAACAATTAACCGTGGATTTGTTTTAGCATGTGTCTTGAATAATATGTAGGTGCTAGTATGATTGATGGTTATTATACTATTGCGAATATGAATATTTCTATGGACTATACCCGCGTGGCGTTGACTACCCGTGTCCCGAAACATCATAACGATGCTCGCAACACGCACGCGGGAACTGGGCTACCCCTGGAACATAACACTCTGTACGGAGTAGATTCCATGAAGCACAGGACCAAGACTATATTTACGAAGTACTCATCAGCATCAACCCATCCCCTGTCTTGCTGCCCTGTCTTGCTGCCCTGTCTTGCTCCCTGTCTCTTTTCTCTCTATACCAGGGTCGATCCCATCTGACTTCCTCTGCCAGGGCAGCCCCAGCCTCCATGTCCCATCAAGAACAGGCGAGTTAGAACTTAGGTACAACGTATTCCAGTCGGCCAGTCGGTTGAATCAAGCACATGAAATAGACCCTCTCCTTGCATCAAATTACGTTGTACGGAGTATAATAAAGTGTATCCAAGATGAGGGGTAAACATGAAGGTGAGATTGTGAATTTATCCAGAGAATGTAAGAGATGATGATAGCTTCAACTCCTGGCCCGACTAGGCAAAATACTTCGAGTCTTGAGTCTTGACCATCGGGCTCCATTCCTGTGTACTAACCCCGCGTGCCCCGCGTGCCGCCTTGCCGCCTTTCCTTGATTCTACCGTGTTCTTTGAAGCTCTGTCAAACCGGCTAATTAGAAGCAGACAGAACTGGGCTCCTACACGGCAGAATAGGGAGGATGCCGGGCCTAGCAGGGAGGAGGAGCGCCCGAATGGGGCGTGACAGGTCGCGATTCAAGATTATACTGGCATTGGGAACTGAGATCTACTGTTCTCTGTTTTCATATTATGGTACGGCTTGTCCCTCCCGCCAAAAGCAACCAGACATGAACAAGCATGCAAGACACCATTTCCTCAGTCGTAGTTTCGCGACACCGACGTCTCAACACCAACGATCAGCCCCCCGTAGGCCCTACTCAACCCGAAAAGGAGAGGCCAGGGCCATATATATGTCATTGTGTCACGGGAGGTCACAATGGGAGCATATGCTATGGCCTCCATGTCACCTCAAGAGCCACAATTGCAGTTTCTAACAACTTTGGTTGGCTTTCGTTGACGGCCAACTGTGTGACTGACTGCCTCCCAGAACCACGGTATGACGAACTACGGAAGCCTATACCAGGCCCCTGGTATACATCAAATAGCAAAGATGACAGGTCTCTATGAGGAAGGAGTGGTCGATCACTACTGAAAGCATCGTAGCTCTGCCGTCACTTTTGATTGCTGTCAAACTGTCAGGTCAGGCCTCGTGTAGGTCGCAGTGTTGTCTCGACAGATTCCATGGACGTGCTTGAGCTCTCCAGCCTTCGTCCGTTCAACTGCGCAGACGGCGACCTTGTTTTCTTCCAACGAGCCGTCTCTCACTCTCGGTGCTGTCACGTTTGACTTGAACTCTCGGTGACTCCGCTGCTTCATGGAATACGATCCATAAAAGTCATCCCTATTGGAGCGCCTGTTGTCCAACCCGCTTGTTTGCTGTCGTTGACCGGCAAAATACTACCCTCTGCGGCTCCTCAAAGAGACACGCATAGTCATACATATGCAGCATTCCTCACGTTTGCCGCTCGCCTCTTAAATTCCCCCCTTTTTTCTTTTTCTTTTTTTCCCCCTCAATTTCCCCCACGCGGAGCCACCTCCGGCCTGTGACTGAGGGCCCAAAGCCACGTTTATAGTGCCCAGAGCAAACCAATATATCCGGGTTAACGGTTATTTCTGCAAGAGTGCTACTAATCAGCTCGGCGAGCGGCGAGATCGCGTGGACAGTCTCGCCAGAGGGGTACGGTTACATCCACGCATACGGAAGTAAGTAACATGACCTATGATGAACTATGGCGTCAAGGGGGGCGGCGGCCTCGCCGAGCCGCACCCTCGGAGGCCTTCAGTTTATCTTTCCTCTCGACGGGTACGAATCAAGGTGTAGACAGGACCGTGCCGACGGTGCATTGATCTGGACTTCAGCCGAGAAACAAAGTCCAAGATCTCGTCTCGACGAGTCGACGCTTTTCCCCAGCGCTCTCACTTTAGCCTATATACGCAAGTGCCGTAAGTCGGGAGAGCCATTCTCCGTAAACAGCACTATCCCCCGGCTTCCAGGGCGGCCCCGGATTCCCTAATGCGATCTAGGTGATTCAGATTAAGGACCCCGGCCTCGCTACCCATACCGCATTCGGTCCTCCTGACCATGCTGATCATTCCGGATGAAAGTCTGAGCTTGGGGGTCGATGTTCAGAGTCCAGACTCTCATTCTTTTCAAATAAACTCAATCGGACACAAGCTTTGATCATCTGTCCATCAATTTCTAATAAGAGTCAGGATCATCATAGCCTACTACCCTATTGCTGATCGAGCCCGCCGAGTTGGGCGAAGGGGACGACAAAGTCTGGTACTGGAAACCAAGCCGGCAGGACGCATTACGGCTTGCTGATCAAGACGGGGCCCACGGGGGGTTGCGCAGGACGAGTGCGCACTAGTGTAGAGTCCGGCGAAGAGCGTGCCAAGAGGTCGCATCCCTGTCCCCCAGTCGTCTACTTTTGGTTTTCCGGGGTATGGTCTTCCGTCGGTTCAGGGAATCAGTGTGATTGCCGACTCGTAAGGCGCCAAACCTCCACTGCGCCCCGGACCACCCCCAGACCTCCCCCAGACCTCCCCCAGACCTACCAGGTTCTCATCCCGGTCTGGGCTCGCTTGCTAAGCATGGTCGAGTTTTGATGATGTTGCTGATCAAGGTCAATATTGCTCAATACTGCTCGATGATTGTATTTTTATTTTTATTTCTTAGCTCTGTATTTTGTGGTTCAAAAGTTCTTCGAGTTCGACCGACGACAACCATGCCAAGACCTCCCATCCCTACTGCTGAGTAGTCGAAATACCTCTCATCTGGGGCTCAAAGCGTCAATCGACTTCAAAAGTCCTCCTGGGCGGATGATTCACCTTGGTCCATGTCAAACTGCTACTCTTAAGGTAATTAACCCCGGATGGTTGTAGGGAGCCCCTTTACAGGTCATGACCCCTGAATCACATTCACAGACATGGCCCGGGGTTAATAGACTCGTGACCCATGTCATGCCGGGACTTTAACCGTCAAATAATAGCCGTCGTGGCGTTCCCACCATGCGTCAAGTGGCCCCCGGCAAAAGATCAGCACGATGGCTTCCTTCTTCATGTTCACTGCCGCGATGTGGATAGACCAGGTCACTGCTTTTCGTAGTTCCTACGCCATGTCTCTCCCTCCATGATGTGATATGGCGGGACAATCTTAGTCTGTGGAGCACGGGGAGTTAGGAAATAGCCTAGAAGCCTTCTCCGCACGCCGAGATATTTCTCTGAGACGTCGTCAAGGCGGGCAGCGCCGCAGCGGGCGTTGTACGCTGGATTCTAGCATCTGAGCGCTGAGGTTCTAGGTCCTAGGTCCTAGGTTCTAGGTTCTTGGTTCTGGGCTCCGGTGCGGGCTCCTTTGGGCTCCCTGGAATCCCGGATCAGAAGCAGAAGACGAGGCACGGTGGGCAAATAACGCTGACCCAGAATCGAATATATAAAGGCAGGGTCAGTTCCGGCAAAGATCATCCTCCTCTTCCACCACCCTCACCTCACCCCAACATCCTCATCTACATCAGACCACTACTTGAGAATCTCCGCCCCATTCTCGACGAGTCGAAACAATGGTTTCCTTCAAGTCTCTCCTCCTCGCCGCCGCGGCGGTCACTGCCGTCATTGCTGCCCCGTTCGACTTCCTCAACGAGCGTGACGATGGCAACTCGACCGAGATCCTCGACAAGCGCCAGGTCACCCCCAACTCGGAGGGCTACCACAACGGCTACTTCTACTCGTGGTGGTCCGATGGCGGCGGCTACGTTCAGTACACCATGGGTGCTGGCAGCCGGTACTCGGTCCAGTGGAGGAACACGGGCAACTTTGTCGGTGGCAAGGGTTGGAACCCGGGCAATGGCCGGTGAGTCTGCCCTGCCTCTCCCTGCCTCTCCCTGCCTCCCTGTGCTTCTATCGCTAACCAACCACCAAACAGCACCATCAACTATGGCGGCTACTTCAACCCCAGCGGCAACGGCTACCTCTGCGTCTACGGCTGGACTCGCAACCCCCTGGTCGAATACTACGTGATCGAGAACCTGGGCTCCTACAACCCCGGCAACTCCGCCCAGTACCGCGGCTCGCACACCTCCGACGGCTCCAACTACAACCTCTACGTCTCCACCCGCTACAACCAGCCCTCCATCGACGGAACCCGCACCTTTCAGCAGTATTGGTCCATCCGCGACAACAGGCGCTCGCAGGGCACCGTCAACATGCAGAACCACTTCAACGCCTGGAACCGCGTCGGTCTTCCCCTCGGCCAGCACTACTACCAGATCGTCGCCACCGAGGGTTACCAGAGCAGCGGTGAATCCGACATTTACGTCCAGACGCACTAGTACGTTCGATTCATGTTCTTAATGCTGTTGCTCTCTGCTCTCTCAGCTTCATTCACGCTGCACTCAAATGGCTGCTGACCCTTCTTGCGCAACAGAATCCCTTACCTCAGGGCCAGTGAAGAGGCGTCTTCCGAGGCGCATCTGGGGCCATCGCCTTGCTTTTGCGACACTGTCACCGGGCCTCATGGCAAGCTAGATGGCCATTCCCATGTTCAAAAGTAGCGGGAATTGGTGAAAAGGTCATCAGAAGGGGATGTAGTTTACGACGAGACGAGGGATGATGGACGAGGGGGGGGGTGTCGGTGGTCACACGCGTGGGTTATTTGTTTGCAGCCTGTATCTGCCCTTCTGCAGCCTCCTGGATCCTTAGAATGCTGGGAGGTTGGCCCTCTCAATGAGAGCATTCGAATACATCCTTGGACAACTCCAACCGTTTGCCCATGTGAAGACTTCTGAGCGACCATGGTGTTCTCGAATCTCGACTACAGCGCAGGTTACTGTGTATATGCCACGATAATTTCAATACATGTACTTTTCAACATCACAGGTCACATCTTTACCACGTTGATCCGCATTATAAAGATGACCAAAGAGCAAAAGTCCTGGCCCTGGATATTCACTAATGTGAGAGGGGAATCTAGGATCGGGATAAGAGTAGTCCTGGAACGAGTTGGGGTCTTACTGTCCAAGAGACTGGGAATAGCTTCAAACGCCCAACTAATCAGGAAGGAGAACTAAAAAACTAAAATCAGAAGACTTGCTATAGGATGCACAACTCGTGCGTGGAAAGTTCCCATGATACGTCAATGCCAAGCGGACGATAAAGTCAACGAATTCCATCAGCACGTCCCGTAACCAGCCCGCTTCACCGACGACCCCTTATCCCTTTCCCCCCCATCACCCCCTTGACCCCCCCGGGCCGCGTCAACCTCCTCCGCCATCTGCTCCGGCGTCGCGCCAAACGTGCCGAAATAATCCAACTCGTCCACCTCGCGAGGACTCTGAATCGGGGAAACCACATAGTGGCAAAACAAGTACGTCAAGACAGCCAGCCCGCACCCCGCGGGCCAAGCCATGTAATAGAGATGCGACCACCCGGGGAACACGGCGTCGGGGTCGCGCACGCGCATCACGAACCCGGGGAGCAGCGGCCACGTGCCGGCGACCCACGCCACCACGGCCCGCCAGTTGACGCCGTTCGCGTACCAGTAGATGCTGCAACTCGACATGTCGTACAGGTGCGTGAGCCGCAGCCGGCGCGCGCGGACGACGTAGTAGTCGGCGAACATGACGCCCATCAGCGACCCGAGGAAGACGCCGTAGCCGCCCATGACGGCGAGGAACTTGCTCGCCCCGTTCAGCAGCTGCCACGGCTGCATGGCGAAGGCGCAGGCGGCCGTGAGGTAGCCGCCCCGGCGGAGGTTGAAGAGGCGCGGCGCGAGGGCGGATAGGTCGATGCCGTTGGAGAGGGCGTTCTGCGCGACGGCGATGCCGAACTGCGCCATGATGAAGGCCAGCGACGCGAACGCCACCGCCACGCGGGCGCCGGCGCCGTCGTTGTAATGCGCCTGCAGGGCGTCGAGGAACCGGTAGGGTTCCCAGACCAGGGAGCCCCTCGTGGCGGGGAACAGCTCGGCGGCACACGACGTGCACACCATGCCGATGAAGGACACCACAATGGTGTTGGTGGGGACGAAGATGAGCTGAGCCATCAGCTGGTCGCGCGGGCGGCGGGCGAACCGCGTGTAATCGGACTGGCTGCACAGGTGGGTGGCGATGCCGGAAATGTTGGTGCAGATGCCCAGGACGATCATCCAGGCGAGCCGGCTTCCCCTGGCCGGCTTCACCCCCGCCGTGCCCTCGATGTCGCCGACCATGGGGCCCAGCCCGCCCGTCTGAACGACGCACCAGACGAGCAGGACAAAAACCGCGGGGATGACGGTGACGGCGGCGGCGGCGAAGGGGACGTGGTAGCGCTCGGGCCGGATCCAGATGAGCGGGAGGCAAAGGAGGGAGAAGACGATGAAACCGATAAAGTCGGCCACGGTCATGGTGCCGTCGGCGAGAGGGGCGTCGAGGGAGTTGAAGGCGGGCCAGAGCGCGGCGATGAAGGTTCGCACGCACTGGCCGCCCCAGTAGACCTGGGTCGAGTACCAGATGAAGGAGAGCATGATGCGCTGCACCATGGGCACGAGGGCGCCCCACATGCCCCAGCTGCTCTTCTGCAGGATGGAGAAGCCGATGTGCCACTTGGCTCCCGGCGCGCCGGTCATGACGCAGATGATGCCGACGATGCAGTGGCCGACGATGACGGTGGCCATGGCTTGCCAGACGGTGAGGCCCAGGGCGATGAGGGCCGACCCGGTGCACCAGCCGCCAATGTTGAAGGAGCCCGTGACGATCCAGAGGCCGACAAACTGCCAGGGCCCGTACGTCCGGCGGGACAGGGGCAAAGGTCGCGTGTCGCGGTTCATGTACGCCGTTGTTTCCACGTCGGATTCCCGTGGCACTTGAAGGCGACGGAGCGCCCTCCCCAACGGGAAGGGCCACAGCATGTTGGCGCGGATTCGTAGTGTAGCGACACTGACGATTTGAGAGTGTCGTGTCGTCCGTGTATGACCAGGGGTCCAGCGGCAGCCCGATCCGGTGGTTATATAGCGCCAAGTTCAAGATGTCAATATAACTTATTCTCCGCGTCCCAAACCCCGGGGACCCGATGCGTCCATGGCTTGCCCAAGTATGTAAGGACGTGGAAGGGTCCTCATCAACGACCCCTTGTCCCCCTTTCCCCGCGTGATGCAACACCCCGGCCTGAGTCCTCCCTCGGTCTACCGCAATGGCGTTCGTGTTTTCCCGTCTGTGGGGGGGGGGGGGGGGGGCGGGGAGAAAAGCGGGCATTTGGCGGGCTAAAGCAAGCCAAGAGAAACCGGATGGGAACTCCGTTGCTGACGTGGGGTTGGTGGGTTTGTTCGACCATCTCTTCTCGAAGAAAGGGACCAAGATCCAAGGAGAGTCTGCGGGGGCACATCTTGTTATCGACCCGTGCCACCCGACCAGATAGGTGGACATTTTCGGCTGGTTGGTGATCATATGCTGTTCTTGGCGCTGTCGATGTCGAATTACGAATAGTTTATTGAGGTTTGCCTGGTCAAGCCAAGGCCAGATTAGGTATGCGGAACTTTGCGTTTTGTCAACCCGAGGTCTAAGAGTCCCGGTCCTATCAATGGGTCAGTTAACCTGTTTCTGGCCAAGACGTGGGGAGGGGGGCGTGGGGGTTAATAATGCAGAACCAAGTCAGAGCAAGGAGCGTCTTACTGTCAGATGAGGTTGGTGGGCATGAACGTGATCTTACAGACTATCCCGAAACTGGCGGTGATCTTCAAAGAACAAATCCCGAGATGCGGGACGGGCGACGGACACTCTCGACTGCGCCGACACTTAAGATTCGTTTTTGTGAGTTTGCTGCACTGAGCGTTCCGCTGATGTGGTCCCGGGACGACATCTGATTTCCGAAAAGAGAAAAAAAGAAAAAAAAAAAAAAGAAAGGGGGCCGTTACTCCATTCAGCCCGAATCCTATTTAGACACGAGACCCTGGACCTGACATTCCTTCGTCTCCGTGGTTTTTTCGAGCCGTTTCGTTGGCCAGTTCTCCGACGGAGACCATTCTCCTCATCTCTTGCAGTCGAGGGTGAAGGGTGAATTCTAACCTCTGCGGGGATAGTAAATCCTTCCGCAGAAATGATCATCTGAGAATTCGGCGGCTCGGCCGGGAATCCCCGTGGCAGGGCTGGGGCTGGTTAGACTTCACCCACACAGCTCCCTCTCAGTCATTGCCTCAATCGTTCATGTTTCAGCCTCTATACGGCCGTTTGATGTCGTCGTCGTCGTCGTTGACGGGAGCGTGCGCCAAAATAAACAGGCCGCAACACAAGCCTTTCAGCCGGCTCCCGCGTTATAAGCCTGAAACTGGCCAGCCCAGTCCACATCGGCAGTCAGGCCACTAAACGAGCCCGGCCACGGAATATGCTCCAGATACTCCAAGGGGATGGTGTAGTTGGCGTGCGGCACGACGAAATGGTGAATCGGCACCTCGGCGGTTCTCTGGCCCGGCGCCACTTGCGACGCCTCGGGCTCGTTCAGGATGGAGGAGGAACTGTCTGGCGGCTGCGTCTTGGCCAGGTAGTCGTCGATGCGGCCGATGTGGCGAGAGAGCCTGTGTCCGGCTTCCACGGCCGAGGGGAGGGAGGGGCCCAGGTTCTCGAGGAAGATGGCCATGGCTCGTCTATCACGCGAAGCGGGTCAGTTTCATCTCATCCGACCCAAGTAGGTAGGCGACTTTGTGGATTTCTTTTCTTTTTGCTCACATGACTTCCCGCAGGTGCTGATACTCGGTGGGATGGAGTTGGCGTCCAATGAAGCTAGTCAGCATGTGGCCGACGCCGGCCAATTCCTGTAGCTGGGGGAAGTCTGTCAGTCTTGACTGGCCGGGGCTGCGATCGTAAAACGGGTCAGGGTGACGCTACCATGGGAGAGCCGATGGCCCGGAGATAATCCACCGGCGTCTGGGACATGTCCTCGATCAGCTCGGTAGCGGCGCGGCAGGCATCTCTGAACTTTACGTCCTGGCAGGAGAAGGAGGTCATTCTCAGAAGCTATGAAGGAGAGTCAGTCGGCCTTTTATTACACGGGGCATACCGACATGAGCATGAAAACAAAAGAATGGGAAAAAAAGAAAAGAAAAGAAAAGAAAAGAAAAAGAAAAAGAAAACCCCTAGGCTCAATGGTAATACGGACCTGAATGGTACAAGCGATATTAGCAACCTGAAACCCACACAAGTTGGACTCAATGTCATGAGACGGAGGTTGCGCACGGGCAAGATAGGCCGGGAGCGCGTCCCTCTGCGCCAGCACGCGGGTGAGCAGCTCGTCAACGGGAGGAGCTATAGAGCCGTATCCTCCGTACAAGCTACCCCGGTCAACGGCAGCGATCTTGCGGGCGCGAAAACGAACAATGACATGCTCGAGCACGCGGTAGAGGTCGGTAATGTAGTTCCAGCCTATCAACCACCCGCCACGTGGAAACGAGGAACCCGAGACCCCAGACACGGCCGCTGCCGCTGCCGTTGCCGCTGCCGCAGTCGATAGCGTCGATAGCGAGCCATCAAGACCGGGGGGCATAGACGGGTACGCAACGGCAGCCTGCATCTCGGGACAGCGGACGACATGGCCCATGATGAGGGCGGTGTGGACCTCGAGACGGTACATGGACCAGAAGAACTGGCGGCGGACGTGCCTCTCCACGGGGTCCAAGTCGGGCGGCCAGCGGGATTCGTTGTGAAAATTATGCTGGGCGACGACGAGGTGGTAGAGGCCGAGAGACTGGTGCAGCAGCGGCGCGTCGCCGATCTGGATGGCGGCGAGCGACAAGGTGGCCAGGGTCTGGAGGTACGGGAAACAGTCGGCGGCGGGGACATGGCGCGGGACGGCCCTCCGCGCGTCCTCGAGGTAGGCCTGCCGGTGGCGGGGCTCCACGGGGACCGAGAGGCCGAGGGTGAAGACGGCGCCGTCCCGGACGTGGCAGGAGCTGGTGGCGCAAACGGCCATGAGGCAGGCGAAGGAGGCGCGGCTGGACGACAGGCGGCAGCGGTCCCACTCGGCGAGAAGGAGGGATTCGGCGAAGAAGGGGAAGATGGGATACACGGTGTCGAAGAAGATGCGGAGGAGGCCACGGACGAGGTCCGGGTCGCCGTGGCGCGCCTCGGTGTAGGCCCATGCCTTGTCGTCACCCGCTACGGCGGGGGTGGACGGGGTGGTGGGTGAAGCGGCAGTGCCTCCCCTACTCGAGGAGCCATGAGGGGATGACTTGGACTTGACGCCCCGCTTGGCTGCCACGCGCGTCCACGTGCATGTTGCGCCGTGCTCGACGCAGGTCAGACAGGTGATGTGTCCGGAGGGCAATCCGGGAGTGGAGGAGCTGCTGGTCTGGTCAACACCGGGGGGGAGCTTGCATTTTCGACCGCGACGATGACAAAAGTCGCAAGCCTTGGTGATGCGGCGGCGTTTGATGACATGGTGCTCGTGGAGTTGCGGAGGTGGAGGACGGTGATGAAGAGGAAGACCTTGGTCGTGGCCGTGGCCGTGGCCGTGGTCGTAAACGATGCCAGGAGCGGATGCAGGGGAGGACTCGGCTGCACGGGGGGACTCGTGCTTTAGGTTGTACAGCACCGGCGGATCCGTGCTCGTCGTCATGGTACAACGCCTCCGTTGACGATTGCCCTCCAATGAGACATCTAGCAGGTCGGACAGGACATCGGGGGTAAAAGCTGTAGGGTTGAATGAGCGAGAATGAGCTTTATCGCGATGCGCAGGGCCCTGGGAACGGAGTAAGATAGCGCGAAGGAGGAGCGATTATTTAGGTGGGTACGAAGGAGGAGGAGGAGGAAACGATGAGATGAGATGGGAGAGCATTGGAGACAGAAGATGAGACGGAACGGAGGAATCGGGGCGTTGGCTAGAGTAAGGAACAGATTGAAGCGAAGTGAAGTTGAAGTCGTTGGGAGGAAGAAACCGAAGGGGATGGATGTTCAACGTTCCAACCGTCGTGGGGAGGAGGAAGCGACACCGAAGCGGAGGAAAGTGCAAACGTGGGGGTCTGTCTCATTGGGGGTTGTCATTTCATCGATTACGTGAGCAGCAGTCGCACCTTCCACGTCTCTGGACGCACGAATGAGGTACAAACATACAAAGCCCCTTACCATTATGACTAATCAGCTTTGTTCTGGAGATACGTCTCGAAACGTAAGCATCTCAATTTCACCAAGGACAAGACTGCATACGTTGTACCCAAACCACCACCAACACGGACCGGACACATCGTGACCAAATATATAAGTAAGTATGAGATTCGATTTAATGAATTTAATGAACTATTAAAATATTTATGGAGAAAAATGGCTCCATACATATAAGCTCAGCTCCTCTGGTTATATATATATATATATATGTACCTAATAAACGCCAAAACGCGACCGTTCATTTACTTCGTGCTCTTCAGTGCCGTTGCTCATTCCAAGTGCTGATCCGGAACAGGTACCAGCCGTGTCCCCCAATTTAGTGCGTACCTATGCGTACCTTGTGCGTACTGCATAAAAACGTTGATCCGACGTCATAACTCTCCAACCCCTCCCCCTCTCCCCCAATCCATCCCCTCATCTTCTCCTCATCTTCTCCTCATCGTCTCCTCATCTTCTCCTTATCGTCTCACTTATTTCTTCAAGACTTCTTTCCTCATGCCGTCCTCTTCTCAGTAATGGCCTCTCCCACCGGCCTACCCCCCACAAACCCTCCGTTCTGCCCACCGTACGAAAACACCTTCTGCCCGCGCAGCCACGTCTCCCTGACGCGACCACGGAATTTCTTCCCTTCCCAAGGCGAGCACCGGTTCCGCCACTTCATGTCCCCGCTCTGGAGCACCCACTCGTCCTCGTCGTCGAACACGCACACGTCGCCGTCCAGCCCGACCTTGAGCCCGCCCTTGCGATGAGACAGTCCCACCTGCGCCGCCGTTGCCTGGCTGCACAGCCGCACCATGTCCACGATATCCGGCACCCCGGACGTCTTGCCCCGCTCGGCCCGTTCCACCGCCGCCCCGTGCAGGATGGGGAGACCGAGGCCGACCGAGGAGATACCGCCCCAGGCCGCGAAAAAGTCGCCGCTCGTGCTTGATGCGCAGGAAACCGCCCCGTCTTTGTCGACCTTGACGACCGTCTGCTGCTGCTTTTCGGCACCATTCGGCTCCGTCGTCTTTGTCATCTTCGTCTGCCTTTCCTCCCCGGGGCCCTGTTCCGGCTCGTCTCGCCCGTCTTCGGGGGCGGTCATGTCGATACCCGAGTCGGTGTGACGCATGGGTGGCGCTTCCAGAACAGGTTCCGGCTCGGGGGCAAGGTGTTCGGGTAGGAGCTTCAACTCGGGCGTGCAGGGCGAGTGGTCTGACACGACCGTGCGGATGCACGAGTCCGGCGCCGTGAGCTCCTCCCAGAGGACGTCGCGGTTAGCGTCCTCGCGGATCGGCGGGCAGCACTTGTGCCTGGTGTCGCCCATCTCGATCTCCTCCGCACTGAGGCCGAGGTAGTGGAAGCACGTCTCGGCCGTGATGTAGATGCCCGCCTCCCGCGCCTTGCGCAGGAGCGGGATCGCCTGGGCCGCCGACAGGTGCACGATGTGCAGGTGCAGGTTCGGTGCGAGGTGGGAGAGCGACAAGATCTCCTCGACGGCGTACGTCTCAAAGGACGGAGGGCGAGACGCGAGAAAAGTGTTATAGGCAGACAGTTCGCCCTGGGGGGCCAGGGGGGGGTGCGACTGTTGCACGGCGTCGCCTACCGATGCGGTAATGGGCGGGAGCATCTCGGCGTGGAACATGAGGGTGGTGGGCACGTCTCTCAACGTGCGCATGGCGAGGTCGACGTCCGAGGACGACACGGCGGGAAACTCTTCTACGCCCGAGTCGATCAGGAAGCCCTTGAACCCCCGGACGCCGGCTTCGACGAGGGGCACGAGGTGGTCGGCGTTTCCCGGGATGACGCCACCGTAGAACCCGACGTCGATCCAGCACTGGCCCCGGCTGGCAGCGAGCTTCAATTCAAAGTTGGCCACGGTGGTGGTCGGCGGGATGGCGTTCAGGGGCATGTCGACCACGGTGGTGACGCCACCAGAGGCGGCGGCCCGCGTGCCGGTCCAGAACCCCTCCCACTCGGTACGGCCCGGCTCGTTCAGGTGAACGTGGGCATCGACGAGGCCAGGGAGGACCAGCTTCTTTCCATAGTCGATGTACTCGGCCGGGCCCGGGAAGGCCGAGCGAGGGAGAACGGACGGGATGAGGTCGAGGATCTTCCCGGACTGGGGGGAGATGATGACGGTAGCAGGCGTGACGACTAGCGAGTCATCTGGGAGGGTGATGACGACTCGTGTTGAGGTGAGGACGACAATAGGGGACCTGGGGTACAAGGAGTGGGAAGTGAGGGAGAGGGGGGACGAGGGTGTGCCGTTGGTAACAACGGTCATGGTGGAGAATGTGGTGCAGTGGTGCAGTGGTGCTTAGGAGACTCTGGTTTGGGAATAACGGGTGGCTGAGTTGGTTGTAAGAAATCTCCCTAGGTATGGTCTAGGTCTATGCTCTATGCTGCAGAGAAGATTGCGGCAGATAAGGGTATAAGCGAGCGGTTATGGGAGAGGAGAGGAGAGAGAGGAGGAATGGGATGAAAAAGGCAAAGCACGGCGGGTTCGGGAGTTAAAAAGGTCCTTCTTGAATGAGTTAGCTGCCGGCGGTCAAGAAGGCAAGGCAGAGGCAGAGGACGACCCGACTTCTTATCTCCTTCCTTTGCTTCGTACACTTTTGGGCCGGCGAAGGAGGGGTGTGGTGGTCACTGTACTGTGGTGTGGGTAGCAACTTGCTGGTGGGGTCCAGGTTTCGAGTCGTGTGGCGGCGGAGCGGGCGTCTTCGGGGGCAGATCGGGAGCGTGGCTGCGTGGGCGAGATAAGGGACGTGCGACGACTAAATACTGTACCTTCCCTTGGGCCCAGCCGACTGAGCCGAGCCGAAACTGGTAAAAGACAGTTACACAAGGATCAAGGACGGTTTTCATGACACGGCAACTTTGCGGCTTTTGGTCAAGCCCCTTTTCTTTTTCTTCGCTCTCGGGTTGCCCAGGGAAAACACGATCAAGCCGTGGAACTTCGAATGGGTCGGCTCTTGCAGGGCCGCGAGAAGAGCCCGCCCTGCAACCAAAGACGTCTGCATAAGGTAGACTAAATCGAGTGGCATCTTTTGGTGATGTTTGACTGGAACCGCGTCGTCGGTTCTGGTTCTTTGACTAGTAATTACGCCATAGTACAGATACAGAGACAGATACCGATACCGATACCGATACCGATACACGACGGCACTTGCACCCCGTGGATCTAGGTATTGTCACTTGCGTCACACGCGGCTGGGTCCAGTCGGGTCTGGGGTTGGTGTCGAACAGAGGATGAAAACGGGTTAGTTAGGTCGGGGCGAGGAGGATGGGTGGGAAAATGGAAGAATGGGAGAATGGGAGACTAAGGAGAATAGGAGAATAGGAGAACCCACTTGTAGGGCAAAAGCAAAGAAGGCGAAAAAAAGACCGAAGGAAGGAATACGATCGTATGTACTTTCCTTTCCCAACTTGCACTTGTGCTCTTGTCCTAATTCGTTCTTATCATCTACACCTGATTGGCCGTTACCATATGTCGGAGCCCGCCGATAAATCCACACGCTGCTGCCAACTAATCACTGTTCTTCAATTTTAACCTCATCCTTACGTTGTACATGTTGTACTTCTGTATCTATATATATGTACGAAGTAGGTACTTCGCTTCCGGCTTTCTGCTATCTTTATCTTTCCTTCCAGATTCAGACAAACAATCAAACAGGCTGACGACGCCTTCCCTTTGCTCCGTACGAAGGACGTGCTCCGTAATTACCTTACTCGGTCGTCTCGCTGCGAAACAACCTTGCAACTTATGAGAAGTACTCCACTAAGGTAGGTACGTCCAAAAACGCCCATTGTCCTGAAGACCCCGAAGGCCGGTTGGCCCTCTTTATTTTCCGTATCCGTGCTTCGGACTAAATCCCGTGGATCTGACGAACAACCTGGAAATTAAGGGAACCCTTGACCCGCGGCTGGATGTTAACTGGCTGGACGTTGTACACGTACCGACAAACGCAAAGACCCGACCCCTTTGCCCCTTGGCATAAAAATCTCAAGATAGGGTCATTCGCAACTCAACTGAATTTCCATCGAGTAATTATCGAGTAAACTTCACGCTCTCTGTGTCTGGGATTGGTCCTCACAACTCCGAGCGCCACGTCGCCCAGAGGAACGAATTTTTTTTTTCTTTTTTTTTCTTGTTCTCTTTTTTTCCATTTTTTTTTCCACCTCTTTTTCTTTTACTCCGTACAACGACAAGGGAAGCCTAGAACGAACGACTCTGTAGACCGTCTTTCCTGGGACCACAGGTCTAAGCATGCTCGCCTGACAGGGCTTACTTCGTCCTTCGTACGAATACACACGAAGTCGGGGTTTTATCACGCGGGCATCGCCGCCATGTCCGTTCTGTGACACTAAATCGGGTCAAACCGTTCTACACTCTACTCGGTGTGTTCTAGGGTAGTGGTTTCAGTTCACCTCCACGGGAATGCTGAAGATGCGTGGCGATGCTTCTTCCTCTTCTCCCCCTCCACTCCACTGCCTCGTCCCGGTCCCTGATCGATCCGCGGAGATGGAAGAACCGTTGGACCACTAACACGAATAGATACTCCGTGCTTCATAGAGAATGTTGCTTCATCTCCAAGCACTCTCGGGCACAAAAAGAAGAGAGCCACGTGCCTGATTCTTCTGCCTCAACTGTTAATAACAACGGCGAATGGCCGAGGGGCCCAAACGCTTTGGTGGGAGTCAGTCATCGGCATCTTGGCCTATATTACCTACATCCCCGATCGAATACCCCTCCCAAAAGTCTCGGTGTCATTCATCCTTCTTCTGTCTAAGTATATGTCTTGTTACCGAAGAATGTAGAAAAAAAATGGGAGAGGAAAAAGACTCAAAACAATACACCAACATGTGAACCCCATCCTGTTCGACCGTGTTGTTACATGTGATGTGCAAATCACTCCATGCTGTTGCTCATACACCCCGCACATTTATCCATCCCACTGTACCCCCTCCTCTCCCAGTCTATGTGCGCCTCGTAAGTATTTGATACGACGGACACAGCTCTTGTCTTGGGCAGCTTCTTGTGGGGTAGTCGCACATTCGTAAAGGGCCCCGGCCCCGTCCAGTTGCCCCGCCTTTATTTCTGCCTCTGCAACGCCTTGATGGCCATCTCGACCAACCCGTCTTTGGCTTCGCTCTCCGGGAACCCGCTGATGGCGTCAATAGCCTTGTCGGAGTACTCTTTCGCGAGGGCCCGCGTTTGTTCAATGCCGTCGCTCTGCAACACCAGTTCCCTAGCCTATATGCACACAGTCATGTCAGCTTTTCCATGCCCAATGTCCATGTTGTGGCCCAACCTCGGGGGGTAAAGCGGAATGAATGCGCATCCACTCGCCACGACGGGATCATGTCGCTCAAGAGAACTCACCCTAGCCACGTCACCCTCCCGCTCAAACTTCCGTCCCACGAGCGCACCCAGCTCCGGCATCGTCTCCCACGCGAAAAGCAACGGCGCCGTCGCGAGCCCCAGCTCCAAATCCGCCCCCGCCGGCTTGCCCAGCTCGGCCTCGCTGCGCGTGTAATCAAGCAGGTCGTCCACAAGCTGGAACGCGAGCCCCAAGTTCTTGCCATACAAGTACGCCGCGTCCACCGACGCCGCGTCCGCGCCGCCCAGGATCGCCGCCGCGCGGCACGACTTGGAGATCAAGCTCGCCGTCTTCAGGTACGTCTTCTGGAGGTAGTAGGTCATGGTCTCCTCGGACCACTTGGGGCGGCGCTCGTCCTGCGCCGTGTTCTTGAGCTGCATGAACTCGCCCTCCACCAGGTTCGCGATCACGGTGGCCAGCAGCTCGATCACCTCGGCGTTGCGCAGCCGCGCCAGCGCCACCGAGGCCCGCCCGAGGAGGAAATCGCCCGCCAGCACGGCCATCTTGTTCCCGAACTCGAGGTTCGCCGAAGGGGACCCGCGCCGCGAGACCGAGTGGTCGATGACGTCGTCGTGGAGGAGCGAGGCCGTGTGGATCAGCTCGGTGATCTCGGCGAGGCGGCGCTGCGACGGCAGGATCTGCGCGTCGGCGTCGGCCGGGGTGGTGGGCGCCGCTTCGGTAAGGGGGGACGGAGACGAGGACGGGTTGACGTCGGCGAGGATGTTGAGCGGGGAGAGGGCCGTGTCGATCCCCCCCGACGGGAGGTCCGAGACCGAGGAAGAGGTACGTCGCGTTTCTTTGGGGCACAGGGTCGTTGCCCTCGACATGAGGAGTACGATGAGGGGTCGCATATGCTTGCCCTCGGCTTGGGTGTAGTACTTGGCCGCCCTATCGAGGGAGGGATGGCCCGATCCCAGCAGTTTCCGGATGTTGCCCGTCAGGAACTTCATTTCCTTGGCCACCGTCCGTAGCGGGTCGATAGGCATCTCGCCTTTGGTGACGCGGTTGATGGCATTGGAGGCCATGTGCGAGGCCACCGATACGGCGGCGCCCCATGCTGACGATCTCTTCGCCGAGCCGTGGTAGGCCGCCAGGCTCAAGGGTATCCTCGGGTCCCGTGGAATGGTTGTCTGGCGGCAGTGTGTACATGATGAGGTAGGGAGGAGAGGTCGGGGAGTAAGGCTATAGCCTCTGCGCAGCACCCGCGCCCCGGGCCGGAGCTGCTGCATGGCGCCGTGTGTTGTGGTCTGGTCTGTAGTGGACGATCGAGTTTTTTTGGTCGAGATTCCAAGTGGTTCGAGAGCCGCGTAAGCACAGATACGTGTCTAAAGGGTAAGACGCGTAGAAAATAGGGTTGTAACGAGCGTCGAGACGTCGATTGGATCGATTGACGGTAAGAATCGAGTGTTGTTGTTGGTGGGCATGGAGCGATTCAGATTTCCTTTTTTTTTTTTTGCTTCTTCTTTTTTTCTCGCGAGAAATTCATCGGAACATCGACAGGGACCGAGGTGGTTCCGGACCTGTAGACTGATCTGTCATTGGTTGAAGCTCCACCATCGGCTTCACCGGACGGGATGCAGGTCGGTGTACCTGGCAGGCGGGAATCATCGGCCGTTTCCAGTTGTATCGAGGTGAAGCGCACGTACGGTCTCCGATTCGCACTGGCTTGGTACACGGTGTCCCAGTTCAGGCCCACCACCTCTACGTAGCTACCTTAGCTCGCTCTGGATTCATTGTTTGCGCAAAGGTCGACATGCTCCTCCATCCTCCCATCATCCTCAACCATGGTGCGCCTAACAATAACCCCTTCCATTGTGGAAGGATTGAAAAAGTTGCGTCAAAATAACACACGCGACGACTGCGAACCCTCGACCGATATCCAACCCAATGCGCCCGATTCCGAACCATCCCTCCTCAATCCAAAGGTCGGCAAACCCATCACCCACGGCCAAATCATCCACCTATGGCAACAATTACGAGCGGCAGAAGAAAAGGATTTCAGCCTGGAGACCCTCTTACGGGGTTCTCAAGTATACATGCCTCCACCTCCGCCCAAGCCAGAGCCCGTTCGTCGTCTCCCATTCCCTGATCTCCCTCTACTTGTCCCAACCGCCAACTGACGTGATCAACCACGCTACAGTCGGAAGAATACAAAGCCCTGATGGCGCGCCTCCGCCGCGAAGAAGAAGAACGATCCTACCAACGCATGGTCAAACAATCACATCAGCACCACCAAGAACCTTTCTCCCGCATGGACGCCTTCGCGCGCCGATTCCCCCACGCCGGCACGCCGGGCCTCACCACAGCCCAGGCCTACGCAGAAATCAACCGGCCCACGAGCAAGGCCGACGAGGGCGACGACGACGTCACCTACGCCGAGGTGCACCGCCAGCTCATGCTGTTGCTCAACTTCTTGGTCAGTATCGTCGGGGTGGCGGCCACGATATGGGTCGCGGCGCGCTGGTGGAGCACCACGTCCCGACTGCTGATCACCCTCGCCGGCGCTATTCTCGTGGCCGTCGCTGAAGTGGTGGTGTATTCTGGCTATATGCGGAAGCTGGGAGAGGCGAAGCAGGTGCAGGAGAAGGTAAAGGAGGAGCGGGAGGTGGTGCAGACGTGGGTTGTCGGGCCCGAGGGGGAGAAGGGAGGGCAGAATGGAGAGGCGGAGGAGGCAGTGTTACTGGAGAAGAAAGTGACCAGAAAGGAGGAGGGGTTCCGAAGGCGATTCAAAAGTGGAATCAAGGACGAACCAGGTGAATAATGATACCCTGCTCAGCCAGAATTGAATTGAGAAGTTCTGATGACTGGCGATATGGACGCAAGGGTGGTTCTCTCGTTGCGGTTTGTGCACTGTATGACACTGTGTGACCTCATCCCCTGGTTTCAGGGCTTCTATTAGTCAGCATAGCGCAAAACACGAAGTGCACGTGATTGCGCGACGGTGCGTAGAGAACGCGTCGGAACGCGTTTGCGGTGGGGCGTAATGAGAGACACGAACAATATCGCGAATAGTATCACGAAGGATTCCACTCTTCTGAATCAATGGCCACTGAATCGTCACAACAGATTATCCATACCGACATGATCCTCTGTTCTCTTTTTCTCCAAAATTGCGCGATAGACTGAAAATCGTCATCATTGTCAGAGTCATCCAACCCACGGCTGAAGATGCTGGAAAGTCACGGCTTGATCGCCATTCGGTCGTCTAGCGACAAAAGGTGAGCATCCTCTTGGACGATACAATTTTCCCCGTCGTCTTTTTCTTTCATGCTTCATGCTGACCTTCAACAGGAAGCCGCTACGTACCTATGGCCGGAAACGAGCACACCCAAGTAGCGAGCCTTCGAACTACCACACACCCATCACGACCGAGAAACGGAGGAGGGTTTCTTCGGAAGATCCAGAATCATCAACGCCCAGCGAGCTGCCTCCGTTACCTCCCCGTGCCTCTGCCCCTGCCTCGTCCAACAACTTCGAAAAGGGATCCATCCTCCATTATTTCAAACCAAGCCGCGCAAGCTCCTCCCTTTCTTCCTCCTCCAATCTGTTTTCCGATCCCCGCAAACTGGCTTCCACGCCACCTTCATCCCCTCCACAAAGCGGCAACGTGCGCAGGAGTCCCCGAAGACTTCGCCTCCGACCACCTGAACCCGCCAAACTTTTCGTGAGTGAGGGCGGACGCGACAAAGTGGAAGACCGCGCGTATCTACAATTCGCAGAGCCGAATCACGCAAGGACATCAGAAAGTCGAGAGAGGGAAGCAGCAGTCGATGTGGCGACACAAGAGGGCCTGCGACGATGGCGACAAGATCCACCAAACACAAGGAACGACGATGCTGAAAGCCTGGCGGCGGGGGATGCGTTGAAGAAGGGGACTACTGGCGGCAAATCAAAACGGTCCAAATCGTCACCGATACAGACCACCATTAACCTGTCGACGAAGCCGGCATTTGAGGAGTGCAAGATGTGTCACATTGTGTATAACCCGCTGCACCCCAAGGACGTCAGATACCATACGAAGAGGCACAAGGCCATTCTGCGAAACAAGTCTCTGAGCTGACAACGCTGGGGGCTCGATTCCGGCGTGCTTGACGAGACGAGACGAGACGAGACGAGACGAGACAATGTTCGATATTTCACGGGTGAAGACAGAAGAGCAGAGGCCCACGGAGACGAGGAAGGAGATACCCCTAGATACCATACTCAATGAGAAAGAAACCACTGTTCCCACGACATCCATCGACGGACGCTGCTTCCACGGAATATATACCTTGATGACCTTGATGCCATACGTGCGGTAAGGCGGTAGGACAGGACCAACCGAGTCGGATGGTTTGTCGGTCTGTTTGTTTTTCTTCTTCTTTTTATGTTTTCTTTTTGCTTTTCCGCCCTTTGCTATCGACATACTCTCTCAACTTTTCTCTACCTTAATCCTCCTTAGATCTGCGCACCATTGCAACATCATATGCATTGTGTATAGTCTCTGGACTCACTGTTCTTATTCGCACATTTTACCCTCTCTCCAGCAGACAACCAACACAACCAAGCGATGGACCTCAACGACGCGGTGGCCTCCGACCAAGCGATGGCCCCCGACCAAGCGGTGGCCCCCGACCAAGCGATGGCCCCCAACGGAGCGGCGGCCTTCGACGGAGCGGTGGCCTTCGACGGAGCGATGTCCGACCAAGCGATAGCCTCCTCCATCCAAGCGGTGGCCTCCAACCGATCGATGGCCTCCCAGGCGCCGGATAAACAGCAACACGATGCCATACAGCCCGTCTTCTCACACCACACCGTCCGGTCCTTTCGAGCCTTCTTCAGCTTCTTCGGGGTATGGTTCCGAGTAATGTGGCCTGATCTTCTCATCATGGTTGTTTTAGGCGGCGCTGCTATTAGAGTTGGTCTTTTCCATCCATCCACCCACCGCCTTTTCTTTTTCTTTTTTATATATACTTTCTTCGCTCGACTAACACAACTTATTGTCAGATTAATGCAGCCCCCCTCCTCGGCACACGCACGTTCCCCGTCACCTTTGACCGGTCAGGTGATATCGTCTTTCCGAGCCTGGCGTACCCGAACCGCGGCTGGATCGTCAGTCCGTTGCTCACGGGCATCCTCTGCTCCGTGATCCCCATGTCGGTCATCCTGCTCTCCCAATTCCGCGTCCGCAGCTTCTGGGACGCCAATAACGGCATCATGGGGCTCGGCCTTGCTCTTCTCATGGGAATCGTCTCGAAGTTGTTAATCAAGCATCTCGTCGGCGGCTTCCGTCCGTCCTTCCTCCAAGTTTGCATGCCCGACACGTCTCTCGCCGCCGCCCGCAACGCCTCCGGGTTGAACGGCGTCGGATTCCAGCAAGCGTTCTACACGGCGGACATCTGCACCCAGCCGGACAAGGGCGCACTCAAGGTGGCCATGACGTCCTTCCCGTCGGGCCACACGACCGTGGCCAGCGCCGGATTCGGGTTCTTGTACCTGTATCTCAACGGTAAACTCAAGGTGATCTCTGCCTCGCGCCCGCGTTTGTGGACGGCTGTGCTGCTCGTCCTACCGCTGCTCGCTGCCTTTCTCATGGGCGCCATCCTCACCGTCGACCGGGCACACCACTGGTATGACATTCTTGCCGGTGCCGTCATCGGTACCGTCACCGCGTTGATCGCATACCGGAGTTGTTACGCGGCTACCTGGGACTGGCGGTATAACCATATTCCGCTTGCAAGGGGTGAGACCTTCTTGTACAAGCCGGGCAACGCAGCGCAATCTCGGCATGGGGTGCTCGCGAACCGTGATTGGGGCAAGCCACGACCACGGGAGGAGGAACAGTTGGGCATAGAAATGGAAGAGATGGTGTAACCGGAATATCCGAGGGGTTGCTTGCGGCGGATGGCCTTCAAATTGCGTACTTCCCTACTATTCTTTACTGTACAGTTGGAGATTTTGAACAGTTTGCCATGCTGTCTTTGTTACGAGGTGCTATCCATTGTACTGATCCGCTCATCAAAATACAGTAGTTCCATACTATAGGCCTGTGTCTGCTGGTCGCTCGAGTGACTAGGACTAAATTGGAGTTTTATTATTATCCTTAGAAAAGACAAGTGGTAACATGATAGATATGCCCATCTTCTTTGTGTTCCGACTTCCTCCATGTTTGAGTCCAAGGGGATTGATTATAGCCCCTTTCAACATATTTCAACATCACCAAATGATGTTTCTATACTCGTCCTTTGTCTCTTCTACTTGTGGGCAAAGCTCCAAGGCCATAACAATGCACACAAGTAGTTCTGTAGTCTTTCACATTTTTCGTAGATGATATTCAGGATGAGTATAACTAGTGAAGAACGCATCCTCAGGACGTCGACAACACAAGTCTCCATTTGATAATCATCTTCCACCATCAAAGACACAATGTTTATTCCGTCAATCATCATGCGCATCCTCTCGTCGCCTCCTGAGCCGGAGGGGAAATGGAATGCCGCGCCCCAACTTCAACCCTCTTCCCCATGCCGAAGGTATCCCCGTCCACAGCCACCCAGGACGCTCGGGAATCTATCATCGTTTACTCCCATGTATGCCGACGAGTTTTCTGTCCCGCCGTCGGGAGACAAATGCGCATCATGCGGGTTTCATCCCCTTGTTATCGAGGGGCGGAGGCCGGAGAGATGTGAGGTATGCGGAGGTCGGTCTCCCCTTCGTTTCCCCCTCTATGAAAAAGGCGGAGGTAGGACCGGGTTGGAAAACGGGGTTAGGCGTCGTGACAGTGTTCTTGGTAAAGGGGATAGGGGCTCTAAGTCTGGGTCGGAACTGTGGACGCGCAGAGGAGTTGTCAAGACGTTGTTTGGATGGGACGTTTATTGATGGGAAGGGATATATGAGGTATTCATCGTGGAGTTGGGGATTTCTTTTATACTGAATGAGATGGGGAAAATAAAGAGAAGTTCGAGTTGAAGTGCTGCTTTACTCGAGAATCCTCGAGCGAGGTTGTCACTGTCAATGGCTTGCTTCATGCCCCTACCCCTGAGCCGTGAGAAGACGATTTCAGGGGGCACCATTGAAAAGCTTCATATCCCGACACCCAACTCCCGGCCTGACCACTAATAACTTCCCTCCATCTTTCTTGCTCTTGTCTTTGTTCAATTGAAATACCTTATATTGGGATCCATGAAGCCGTCCTTCCTAACTATTGGAAGCTGCTGTGGACTTTGAGACACCTGCAATTTTGCCAAGGGGCCAAAGCCTAAAGGATCTAACTGAACTGTATTATTATTATTATTATTATTATTATTATTATTATTATTATTAATGTGTTTATTTACTTATTTATTACTCTGCTCTCGCCTAGCAAGTTAAACTGGCCTCCTGGGCAACAGTCCTTCCTTGACATCGCCTTCACGAGACTCCGGCAGTCTGGCCTGCCCAACTTACATGGTCCACCCATGAGTCCATGACTAGGCTCCTTTCTCTTGATGTTTTCCTCTCTTCTCTTCTCTCCATTGCTTCAAACACTTACTGAGCAATTATCACCAATACTTCAGAGTTGTCTCCTTACCCTGTAAGTTTTCATTCTCGGACACCTTTGGAGCATTCTTCAGAGATGCAAGCACAGGTACTGACTCGGGCGTGGGCGCCCCAGCCTACGTAGCTACCATGGCAGGTGCTTTTCCATCCGATTCCATACATCGATTCGTCGCAGCAGGCGTACCGCCTCGGATGGTCTGCCCAGCTGTGTTAACAGATGCAACTCTTACCTACGACGAGACGACGGGCGTGTCACATCTCAGGAGGCCGACGGGCCTGCAACCAGGGGACGGAATGAACGTATCGCCGCACTAGGACTCGGCGGTATTGGTGATTCAAAGTTTGCGCGTAAACCGCGAAGACGGCTTTGGATGGGCCGTGTACTTCGGGCCAGGATCTTCTTGGAATCGCAAGGGCCGTGAGCCAAAAGCGGCGGGGCGGCGAGGTGGCCTCCGCGCTACGCTCCGGGCACTTTCAGTGGCTCTGGATATCCTTGAGATCCTGTTCCTCTACAGCCCGAGACAGGTCAACATCTACATCGCGTTGGAGTGCAGGGCTCTTCTGATGGCTCTGTTTAGTGTGGATGATGGGGTTAGGGCTTGGATAGAGAGTGGCGGACTCAGACAGAGTGGTCACCGACAGCATTACTTTCAAGAGATTCAAGATGTCTACCATCGTCTCTGCAGCTTGGTACGCGATCCCGGCAAGATCGTCCACTTTTGGCAGGTTGACAAGACCAATCGCTATCTTCGGAGGGCCAGCATGATGGCTCGAAACCCTGATAACAATGTATAACTTAACGGGCCGATGATAGTGGGCACGGGGAGTCAGTGGCGGGGCTTGTTGTGAGCCTTACTTTGGCGTAGAGAACGGTCGAATTGAAATATCTATATCATCACGACGTGTGGTATGCTGCGAGCTCTCTTGAGTCGCCCCAAAAGAGAATTACTTCTAGATGCATGAAGCCCACACCACGGAGTATGGCAGGCTCGGTCCGGCGCCCTATCCTTTGGCCTGAGATGCGGTCGTCTAGCCCAAAATGATCACCCGAAGGAGAATTATAAGAACCAGACAAGTTAGGCCCCACGGCCCGGTGCCTATTCCAGTGCCTCAAAGTCGGCTTTAACGAGCGCACAAAGCCGGTCCACCAACGACTCCTCCTCATCATCCGATACGCCCAAGGCACCAGCACGCCACGTCGCTGTGCAGACCAAGCTTCCACCCTTGAGGCTGACGACACTGAACGCGATGGGAGGACCCGCCACCTGTCCCGGTTGCGCAAACACCATCCTCCTTATCCCGAGGGCGCCTCGCCGATCGTCATCTCCTGCCAGTGCCGGCGCCTCGTCGAAGACCCCGACATTGCTGACCTCAAACGACGAGTCCCGCGGCTCGCCCATCTTCCCTAGCGTCCATTTCCTGACGCTGGGAAGGTACCTCAGGAGCCCGATGGGCTGGTCTTGCAGCGTAGCGGCGCAGGTAGCGAACTCCCGCGTCGCCGCAGCTGCCGCGGTCCACTCCTGCTCGGACAGGACGCCGCTGCCTCGGCCGTTGCTGCTGTCCTCGCTCGAGCGGCCGCACAATGCTCGCTCGTGGCGCACATAACTTGCGGAAACGAACTGGCCGGTCTGATCCTCCGGTAGGCCGACGGCTCCGCGCATGTTAACGGGTGTCTGCGATACGAAATTCGTGACCCCTTTGTCCGGGATGACCCGGCTCAGTGCCCGGGCCACGAGTTGACCGAGCACGGCGGTAAGTTTGGCGTCATGCTTCCTCGCAGCGCGCAGGGCCTTCTCTAACACGGCGGCTTCGATCTCGAATAATGCTATCCTCGTACGACTCTTGTGCGGGTTGAAGTGGATAGGCGAGGCGGTCCACGTTCCGGCGTCGACGGTTGAGGCCCCGGATCGCAATCCGAGCCATTGCGTGAGAAAACGTGGGAAGACGAGGGATAAGAGAGGCGACAATAGGAAGGACCAGGAGATGGGAAGCCTCTCGGGAGTGTCGAACGGGATGGGGAACGGCGTTTGGGGCGTTTCGACTGCGTTCGACAAGGGCTTGTCTCTGAAAGTGGTATGGAACGCTCGTAAAAATGTCCGATGGAATGATAATCCGGTTGGCCCATCTCCGACGGTGTGAGAATAGCAGAACGCGATGAAACATCGGGAGGGTGAGGACGGCAGTGGCGTGACGACGATCCTCCAAGGTGGGACGCCTCGGGGGAAAGGTCGGTCCAAGTTGGCCTCCAGTGCCCGCTGCATTGCTCTCAAGTCGTCGGTTCCATGCCCCTTGACAGTAGCCGACCCGTTGTCTGTATCGATGAGAACGTGTTCTTCCAGGTTTATGCGAGGGACACGCTGATAGAAGGCCTTGTCTGTGTGCATGTCGCTAACAGCGACACAAAGGAAGGGCTGTTCCTCGATACAGACCCTTAGCGGATGGAAGTAGAAGCTGGATGATAAAGGGTCGCCTTCGCTGTCAAAATCATAGATGGCCCCGACGATGACGGCATGGTAAAATCCAACATCTTCGCGGCTGATGGTGCGCAGTTCATTTGGGCCTGTGAGAGTTGGGAGTCAGGACAGCTGAGACCAACAAAAGGCAGCATGACAAAAAATAGGCCACCCACTGGCGTACCTCAGAAACCCTTCTGGTTCATCCATGACGGTAAATCCGACCGACCGTGGACAGTAATGGAAGAAGGATGGAGCGGCGGCGCTGGCGGCTCGCGATGCAAAAAGGAGGAATATTGGGACGAAAAAGGGGTTCACTGGAACGAACGTGAGGACGCCTTGACCTTCAAATGACAGACCCGTGACTGATTAGTAATCCGCTCACTATGACCGCAGTGGCGCTATGACCAACCCAGTTCTGAGACGAGGAATTTCACAAGACACAATTCAAGGCCATTTATGTTTTCGACGCTTTTGTTTTAAATATAAGTATAATTCAATTATCTCCAATTTCTGCATGGCAGCATACGGGCCGGAAGCTGAGCTACTTGTGCATACTGTGCGTCTTCCGCGTATCATACTCCATACCGCCCTGTCTGCCGGTGTTCGCACCACTCTTGCTATGCTCAGCCCTCGAGCCCCTGCTTCCACTCGTTCTTCGAGCTGTGATGCTCCATCTTCTTCCCCGGAATGCTATCCGTCTTCTGGTTCTTCTTCTCGACAATCTCGGCTTCTTCCTGCGCGATGCTGGCGTCGATCTTGGCGCCTTTGGAGGGTTCATTCCCATGCATAATGGCCTGTCCAGTGTTTCCCCTTGCGGTCAGCATTCTGATCGGAAAAAGAGAAAGGGGAAGCATGGGCAAAACAAGGCGACGACGTACGGCGTAGCCGGGTTCATGTTTGTATCGGTCATCGATTTGTCTCTGGGTCTAAAGTGAGAGGCCATATTAGTCCCTGATCGACCTTCCTTCGTCTTTACGCAGTGAAATGCGCAAAGCGGAGGCAGGACACGCACATCTTCGGCACGCAGCTCGTTCATGATTTTGTTGCGGTCCACTGTGCTCATGTCAGCTTCGTGGAAGGAGGCACTTGATGGTTTACGCGTCACGACTGAGTGAAAAGTGGGCAGGGAAGAGGAAGCGGTTTCAGCATACTCTGTCCCATGGTATTGATTCCATGTGGCCTGCCCTCCCTCTCCACCTCCGAGATACTGTAGTTCTCCTGGTCTCCGCCCTTATAGGTCATCCGAAGACCGACGCTCGACTGGCTGTTCGAATGATCTGTATCTGGTGCCATGTTTCTGGTGATTCGAAATGGGGTGGGGGGGGGGGTGGTGTCGAAGAAGAGAGTACGAAGAAGACCAACGGATTAGACTTGATTGAATTAATCTTTGACAATGTAGACAAAGCTGCTTCGATGACCGATTGTCCAGTTGTTTGGGGAGACATTATGGGTTATATGGGGGATGGCTTTGCTACCATGCGTGGTTCAGTCTCATGGCTTCATCTCAACGTCATCGACCCGCAAGTCGGCAACACCTCTCCTATGTTAAGGGCATGATATACGGTTACGACATAACGACTTGGTAGGTACGAGTTTGATGGGGGTTTGAGTCAGCTTTATAGGTACATGAACGTGACCTAAGAATGGTGGAAAAGTGACGCCTGATGAAGACTGAACAACCTCACCGTACACGTGTACATGTCTAGCGTCATTCCTCAGTGATCCGTTGAAGCTTCACCTGGATAAACAATCATTGTTTTCATTAGGTACTGAACTTAATCAATGGTACACGCTTAGGATTTATTAAGCGTCTTCTTAACACCTAGCTGGCAACGTTGTGGCTTCAAGTCACCCAAGCATCAATGCCTCCAAAGTGTCACGGGGTAGATACCTAGGTATTGTAGTGTGTCATGAACTATTATTGTACTCGCTAAACACATCTCCGGTACCGGTAGGTCGTATGTCTCGTATCTTTTGATCCATGGCCTCTAGACAACCCCAGAATTCTATGACCCGGTAGGTCGGCTGGCGCCCCGTCATCGGGGCTTTCCCCCGTGAACGCCTGGCTCTGCGTAAGAAAATCAAGACTTTGCTGCGAAAACAACCAATTCAATGCGATCTCTCATTATGGCCAATGCCGAACGCCGACTTCCGCAATATTCGGCAAAAAAAAAACAAAAAAAAGCAGAAGGAAATCCTGCAACTAGACTTGTCTCATCGTTTCGGGGCGCAGGTCTTGAACATAGAAATCGAGCTTGTCCGAGTGGTATACGTGCCCGTGGGGCTGACTGGCGCGCGTGTAAATATTGTCGATGTCGTGCATGTGGAAGGTCTCCGTCTTTGTGCACTGGAGAATGTGAGGTAGCCCGGGCGGGTTGGTGAGGCGGAAAATGCCATACCTGAGGGTATGAGTCAGTGATGTGTATGTCGCCATACAATGAGGGAAGTAATGGGGGGGAAAAAGGACGGAGTCATTGTCATCTTGGGGTTGGTCCTTACGAAGGCTCATGCCGCGGGGCGCACACGATGGCAATGCTCTCCGGCATCATGACCTGGTAGCCAGCCTGGGTGTGCAAGTCCCGCGAACTCATGAAACACGTCTGGGTCGGATGTGTGTGGATCCAGCCGAGCATCAGCAGGTCCTCGTTGATGCAGTATTCCAGCATGCCCGACTCGTTTTCCGTTTCACACGTGTCCGACGTGGACTTCTGCTCCGGGATGAGGAGGCAGCTGACGAAAAGGGCATTGTTGATGGGCCGGCCACAGAGCATGCCGCACATCTCCAGCCCCTTCCTGGTGTGGTCAGACGCGATCTTGAGGAACTCCTCCTTGAGACGGGTGGGGATGAAGACGGGCCGAATGGGGTCGCCGTTCTCCAGATATGCCGCTGGCCGGAAGGCAATGCGTTCCTTCTTGGGCGGTGGTTCTATCGCCGCCTGCTCCTTCGGAGGCCGGCGCGGGGCTCTTGTCGGAGAAGGCAGCCGCTTATAGGCCGCCGCGGGCTCGGGCTCCTTGCGGGGCCGTTCGGGAGGTCCCGAGTCAAGTCTGTGGGTGGTGGGTGCGACGGCTTCCTTCGGTGGCCTCAAGGGCGGCGGCAACGGGGCCGGGCGCGGGTCGAGATGCGCCCTCTCCGTCTCGAGAGGTTTCGGTCGGGAAATCGAAGGGTAATGATAAGGTCGGCTGGCAAGTCTCGGCGGCGGCAAAGAGGGGGTCCGTTTCAATCCCGTGGTCGGGCTTTGGCTCGAGGTGGTCGAGCTCGGGCTCATGGTATGGCGGAAGGCATCCTCGACACGTGCGGTGTCCTCTTCTTCGCCCACGGCGTTGTAATCCAGCCAGCGCCGCGTCGCCTCCATCTGCTTCCGCAACTCTTCATCCTCGTCTATGTCATTTATTGGTCCCTCTGGGAGGCTTCCTTCGTGTTTTGGTTCGGGTTTCCGCTCGAGTGGGTGTTCGGACTCTGGAGGGGGCTTATGATCTTGTACGTTCCAGTCATCCCACGTGCCCCCCTTGCGACGTTCCATCTCCAGCTCTTCGGTGACGCCTGCCTGCCGTGTGCCCCTCCTCCGCGCATCTCGGAGCTGATAGTCTCGTTGCGCAAGGCCGATGGCAAGGTCCTGGTTGTCCCCCACGTCAAGCACCTTGGCCTTGCCGCTCAGGGTGGGGTCCCGAGCAGAGAAGCTGTCGTAACTCCGGACCCTCGAATGGGAACGTTCAGCCTCTATCTGCTTCTGTGATGCTGTCATGGACTTCCATTCCTCGTACTCCCGATCTATCAGCGGCTTCAGTTGTTCGAGGCGCTTGAAGACTTCCTTGCTCTGTCGGTCTCGGAGAGGCTTAGCGATAATTTTGTTCACGGGCGATTTCGCTTCGGGGTGCGTATTGAGGTGCTTGAGGACCAGGATGGAGTGACGCCAGAGCATAAGATAGGCCTTTCGATAGTCGCCTTCCTCCATTGCGAACCCTGCCTGAGAGATGCGTTAGCAGACCGCGAGGTCAACTTCGATGTATACCGGCGCACCGAGGCGGAAGAAGATGACGCACTTCTTGATAGAGGGTATCGGCGGAGCGAGCCCAGTACTTGAAAGGAATCGTATGCTGAAACTGGAAGTCTTCTGCCATGGCCGCAAGCTCCTGCGAGCTAGTAGGCCGGCTCGGCCTTGGTATTGACGTGCCGTTCATCGTGATGGGCCAGACGAACGGGTTCCTGGCAGAGTTTCGAAGGTGGGAGGATGAAAGCGAAAGTCGAAAGTCGAAAGTCGGAACTTGGGACGTCGATGATCAAGAGGTGGTCGCGGTCATTCGGCCATGGCTCGGTCTATTCTTCGCACGCTACGTTGCTAAGGGAAACTGCGTTGATCCGCAGGAGGACGGAGGAATGATGGATGTCTTCCCACAGTATCTTGGACCACGCGTCAAAAGGTCAGTCAGGGACCTTCCCTACCTTTCCTTAGCTGCCTTCGGGTGGGTGGGGGGTCTGACATAACGCACGGCAGATCAGAACCCCCCTCGCGTAGCATCGGATGAGGGGAAAGTCACATGTTGTTCCACCTGACCAAGATCCGGCATTACTCCGGGAAAGAATGAGAATCAAAAGTTAAACCAAAATGACGGAATACCGGAGTACATTCCCCGCCATTCCCATCATTTCCATATTTCCATCCCACCCACCACGTTCCAACGGTTGCACCAACGCAATATGGGAATGCACCACCATAATCTCCGTTTCTCTCCGTTCCATCCGATCTCACCTACCTACAACGTCCCTCGACTCGCCTCACGCTTTATTCATGTAGCATCTCCGTAATCATCCTGCCTCTGACCATTGTCTTATCCGTAATTACAACCTACGGACGGACGTGGGTTTGCCTGCCGGTCGGGAATAATCGGCTCCTCCCCCGTCATTCACAATCCTCGACGACCTAGACACAAGGCTTTAATTTTTGCATTCCCAGGAACATTCGGAACGTTCTGACCGTGGCTGTCACATTCAACCACCGGGAGGTAGCCCGGTGGCGATGGGGAACAAGGATGAATAGATGAATTGGTACCGAATATTGCCTCCTGCCCCTGCCTATGGCCTGATCATTCGGGAAAAAGCGACCCTGCCCGAGATTACTGTCCTCATGAGGCTGCAAGGCTGCCACATCGTCCGAGCTTTTATCAATATCAAACAAACATATATTTCGGATTCCGGTCTCGTTGTCCCCTGGGAGTAATTGTTGTAATCCAAATTTCTTTCTCCTGGAATTAGAGCATAAAAGTGTCCGTCATCGAATGCGTTGGAACTTCACACTACACTCATTAGTGCAAATTCATCTGTCTGGATATATCAGCTCCAAAGCAACCAGTCTACAATTTCTTTTTCCACTTTTTTTTCCTTCCATTCAACATGTTGTCTCAAAAGGGCAAAGGTACGTTACCGCATTACCATCAATCACCCCCCCACCGCATCAGCTAACCTGGTCATCAGACGCTATCGATAGCGTTCTGCCTTCCTTCTCCGTGACCCTAGGCCACGCCTCCATCCAAACCACCGATTCCATCTGGGAGTCAGCCGTCCAATGCTTCGAACAAATCCTCGAGGCCTACGAAGCTCGCGCCGTCCTCTCCGGCCTGGAAAATCTCCGGAGCATCCTACAAGCAACATTTGACGAGGAGGTGCGCGGCCTATTGGACTCGGACGCACAGGGGTTGAGCCTACTCGACGATTCCCTCGACGACGCCACCAAGGCCCGTGTACTAGCTCAGGTCGTCGCCGGCACTGTCGCTGTGCTGGAGCGGACGACTGACTCGGGCAGGCTGGTCAGCGTAGAGCGTTTCGGCGCAGAGGTCCGACGTTTCGCGGAGAGCGACCACCGGAGGAGACTTGTCGAGACGATTGAGGGAAGCAAGGTGTTCGCGCGGTGTTACGCGCCCCAGCAGATCAGGGACGTCATGGTCCGGGCCGTGGAAGACCGCCACGACGGCGAGGATTGGTTGGGAGAGGATGGCCAATCTGCCATCGGCTGGGCGACGGAACTTCCCTCGAGGAACATGGGGTTGCCGTGGGGTTTCACCATCCTGGCATTGAACTGATTCTGGCGTCGCACGTGGGATTCGGATGGAAAATCTTGGCGGGCAGACATCAGATAGACGGCGTTCGGGCTAGCATCATTCATGTTCATGATCGAGGATAACGACCAAACCCAACTCTTAGAGCAACTTAATAATAACCACACCACACCCGCCACTCACTTTCTTATTTTTCCGCTATCCCTCGCCTAGCCCATTGCGGCAGCTTTGCCTTTGCCCGCCGGTTGACCTGCAGCGGCAGCAGCTTGTGCTGCAGATTGTGCCTGGATGATCTCTGCCTTCTTCTTGTCAAGCTTCTCCTGGATCTCATTCAGAGTAGCTTCGTGCCTCTCACTGCACAGATCATTAGCACATGGAGTCCAAGGTCGCAAGAAGAAAAGAAAAGAAAAAAAAGGTATCGTCGATGTTCCTCACATTTCCTTGGTGATAAACTCTAATCGTCCCTTGACCGTGCTCTCAGCCTCGGCCCTGTCCTGCTCCAAGAGGACGCTGCCGACCAGCTTGTATATGCGTTCGCCATCCTTGAGGTTCTTGAATTCCTAAGGTAGGATGTTAGGATGGAGGCATTGGGTATCTCAGTGGGGAGCGCCGGGGAGGATGTGAAGAGGGACTTGATCCGCCTACTTGCTCCACCCCGAGGTTTTCCTGTCTCTGAGCCTCAAGCTTTTGCCTCGCTTGTACCGAGTTTTGCAATTCTATGCACCGCTCTATTAGCATAATAGCACCAAATCCAGGTTTAGACAATACTACTTGCCTAATTGCAATTTTGTGTATTCCTCCGAGAGCGCCTGAAGGCGTGCTTGAAGCTCGGCCATGGTGAATGACAGACCGCTGTGAGCTTCAATGTTTCCTTTGGTACCCCTCCTTGGAAGATTTTGTTGGTAGGACTGAGTCCGGAACGCAGCAAGATAGGACACCTCTTTATTCTGTTTCCGTACTCGAATAAATTTCAGGAGAAGGCAATGAGTATATTGTCGGCTGGTAAGACATTAAGATATTCAAGACCGATGTGGATAGACAAAATCCGGCTGTTAAAGGTAAAGACTCATTCATCTGTGAGACGACAATTGAGGATGAACACCGGGATACCTAAGGTACGTAGCCAGGCCCTTGACGACCCCCCACTGTTTCTCATAATCGCAAACGCCCGCTTAAGAGCACTAGGGGGAATCTCCGTAGCATGGTATAACCATGAACAGATGGTCACAATTAGAACACTCTATAGACGAACATAAATGTGTAAAGCAATTAATAAATAAACAGGTATGTCTTACTTAATGATATAGGAAATGGCGAGAGCTTTCCAACCTTTCCTGCCCTGACAGGTGTCTTCGTTTTGAGAATAATCCTTTGTAATCTTATACCTCGATAAGACGGTAAGCTCTGGGTTTGTCACAACCCCCCCCCCTTACTGCCCCCACCACAGCCACAACACCCCAGGCAACGTCACTTGGTGGGCAATCCGTCGTCGATCTTGTTCCTGCTTCCCCCTCGCCCACTTTCTCGCCCACATCGGCCCAGGTCGGACAACCCCCCACTTCTGGCTACGCAACACCTCTGTTTTGCAAATCTCAGTCTTGTGCCATTGTTTGGATCTACCCAAGGGCTGTCTGTACTATCTCGAGTCTCCTTTGCGATTCCACCCCGCAGAGACGACGTCGACCGACAATCACCGCCTTTTCAAGATCTTGTGGCACGCTTCGAACCTACGAACATCCCCAGCGCCATTAAGACCGTCATTGCTATCTGACGATACCACCATAGCCCGCGATATACCCGTCTTGCGAAACACCACCCTCGATTATTTCGGGTGGCTTTCCCTCCCCTTCTCCCTTCGCCTCGCACCCCGCTTCGCCCTTCTCTTAGACGACGGAACATGTCGAACGTTGATTTTCTCGGCCGGGCGGTCAACACCGTCAAGCAGGCCATCGAGGCCGACAATGCGGGCGAATACGAGCGCGCCTTCAACCTCTACAAACAATCCCTCGAAGTATTCGTGCTAGCCATCAAATACGAGAAGAACCCCAAATCCAAGGACATGATCCGCGCCAAGACCGCCGAATACATGGACCGCGCCGAGAAGCTGAAATCCCACCTCGATGAAGTCGAAGCGAAGAAAACCGCGGGGAAAGGAGCCGTCGGCGCCAACGGGAAGAGCAAGGACGATAAGGAGGAAGACGGCGAGGATAAGAAGCTCAAGAACGCCCTCAGCAGCGCCATCCTTCAAGAGAGGCCCAATGTTCGCTGGGAGGACGTCGCTGGCCTCGAGGCCGCCAAGGAGACTCTGAAGGAGGCCGTCGTGATACCCATCCGCTTCCCCAGCTTGTTCCAGGGGAAACGCCAGCCGTGGAAGGGCATCCTGTTGTACGGCCCTCCGGGTACGGGCAAGAGTTACCTGGCCAAAGCCGTCGCGACCGAAGCGAACAGCACATTTTTCAGCGTGAGCAGTTCCGATCTGATCAGCAAGTGGATGGGCGAGAGTGAAAGGTAGGAAACCTTGCCCCCCCCCCCGCCCCCTGCTGGATGCCGAACAACTGGAATACAGGGAGACAGGGAGAAGGCAGGGGTTGGAAACACGCGGGTCGAAAACGTTTGGCTAACAACAGTCCTCGCACGACAGACTTGTCAAACTCCTCTTCTCCATGGCCCGCGAAAACAAACCATCCGTCATCTTCATCGACGAAATAGACGCTCTCTGCTCGCCCCGAGGCGAAGGCGACTCGGAGGCGTCGCGGCGCATCAAGACAGAGCTCCTGGTGCAGATGGACGGCGTGGGCAACGACAGCAAGGGCATTCTCGTGCTCGGCGCCACGAATATCCCCTGGCAGCTCGATTCGGCCATCCGGCGCCGCTTCCAGCGTCGTATCCACATCGGTCTCCCCGACGCCGCCGGCCGGGCCAGCATGTTCAGGATCGCCGTCGGTGACACGGAGACCAATCTCGCCGTGAACGACTACACCGCCCTCGCTAAGTCGAGTGAAGGGTACTCGGGCAGCGATATTGCCAACGTAGTACAGCACGCTCTCATGAGGCCCGTGGCTAAGATTGTACAAGCGACACATTATAAAGAGGTACGTTGGACTCGGCCCTTTTGCCCCTGATTTGGCAGGGTTTTGGCTCCCCTGAGTGTAGAGAGTAGTAGTTCACTGACGTGCTACGTGGGGGGAAACAACAGGTAATAGTAGACGGGCAGAAGAAGCTCACGCCCTGCTCGCCGGGCGACCCTGCCGCCAAAGAGATGAGCTGGCACGACGTGCAGTCCGACGACCTGCTCGCGCCGACCGTCGACGTCAAGGACTTTAAGCTTGCGCTGAAGGAGACGCCACCGACTGTATCGATGAGCGATGTCGAAGCACACCAAAAATGGACGGCAGAGCTAGGCAGCGAGGGAGCATGATGACGAGGCTCCAAGTCGAAGCCGAAGCGTGCGAGACGAGAAAAGAGGAAGGGGGACCATGGCGTGGGTGACTCGGTGAACAATGGATGCCAGCCAGCTCCCACCAAGAGTTTCGTTTGGAAGAGTGAAGTGCTTGGAAATCCCACATCTACAGTACATTCAGAGCAAAGAGAAGAGGTACGGGAGGCAGTAGCCCGGGTGAGGAAGGGGAGAAGGGACGCGGTGGGCAGACATGCCCCTGCAGCATAGCAGAGCGGTTAGGTGGTTTCGGGAACAGCACATGGCGTCCTGCGGCGTTTCTCGTTTTTGTTCTGTTGTCACCAGGCCTTTATGGGATGAAATGATGAGGATGGGCCACGATGGAAAGGGGAATGAATTGAAAGATGATTAATTGCTTGCATTGTGTGGCCGGCCCCCTTATGTAGCGTATGAACAATTCCGTGTTAGTTAGCCCTTACCACAGGGAATAGCAACGGTATGGCTGTTTGGACATTGTTCAACTCGCCCAAGCCTCATGTTCGTCACACGCAAATATCACAAGGCCAGAAATTATGGACCTGTCGAATGAGCTGGGTATGAACCTTCATGAGATGGTACATAGACGCGTCTAACATGTGACGCCAATGCAAAGACAAGACATCGAAATTGCCCAAAGAAACTCCTCATGCCGTAGATCCCTTGCAACTCCAACCAAAGACCGTAAGCAAGAACACAGAACAGAAACGAACGAGCCGAGACAAGCCAAGAAAAAGCCGACCCCAAGATGCGCTTATCTAGTCATCGTGCTTGGACTTCTTCTTCTTCTTCTTCTTCTTTTCGCCATCGCCGCCTGCTGCGGGCTCTTCTGGGGCGCCTACTTCGGACTCGCGCTTGCGCTTCTTCTCCTTCTTGTCGGACTTGTCCTTCTTCTCCTTTTTGTCCTTCTTGTCCTTGGACTTCTTCTCCTTTTCTCCTACGTCGGCGGCGGGAGCGGCGAGCTGGGACTGATCGATGTCCATGGCGTCACCTTCGATGGTCTTGAGCACGGATGCCTAAATATCCCAGTCAGTATTCCGTCACATGGGCGATCCAACGACAAAAGAGGATGAAAAAACAAACAAAAAAAAAGCAGAAGACATATCCACTTACCATTACATCCGCGTTCTTAGCGGGCTTCTTCCCTGACGCGTAAAACTCGAGCCGATCCTCGACCTGCTGGCGCAGCACCTCACCAAACCTGACGGACGGCTCTTCAGAAAAGTTGTCGATCCGGCTGGCGATACTGCACTTGTTGGCGAGGTAGCGCGAGATGCGTCCCTTATGACGAGCCCCAGCCTTGCCGATGAAGCTGCTGTGGTAGATGAGACCATACTTGGGGGTGTTGCTCTTCGTCTTGAGCGCGCGGAAGAGGGCCTTCTCGGCACCGAGGATCTGGAGCGTCGAGGCCGGGTACTTGGACAGGTTGGTCAGCGAGCCGGCGTGGGAGATGAGGCGGGCGGCCACGGGCGTGCCGATGAGGCACTGCAGGTTGGGGGCCACGATGTGCAGCTTCCGGTCGAGGTAGTTGGCCGTGGCGCGGCGGGCCTCGGCCTGCTGGACGACCGCCTCGGCGAAGCCCTTGACGATCTCCATGTCCTCGGGCGTGATCTGCAGGCCCATGGACACCTTGGCCGCGTCGATGATGGCCTGGGCCTTCTCGCCGTCCTGGTCGACAATGGCGGCGATGTCGTCCACCTTGTCGTCCGTCAGCGTCGACTTGTCGCCGATGGCGAGCACCAGCTTGGCGTAGGTCAGGTTGTCCGACTCGATCTTGATCAGCTCGGGGAAGTGCCAGCCGTACCACTCCCGCACCCGCATGAAGAACTGGTTGACGCCCTTGTCCTGGAAGTCGATGGTGGCGCTGGCCTGGATCACGTGGTTGTCGTTCTTGGTGGTGTTGAACTTGACCTTGCTCCGCGAGTAGGCGTGGCCGAGGCCGAGGCCGGCTTGGGCCGACTCGCCCGTCTGCAGGCCCTTGAGCAGCTTGTCGGCGTGCAGGCGAACGCCGCGCAGGAAGTCGGCGGCCACCTCGGACGTCTCGCTCGTTTCGCATTCGATACCGTTGAAGGTGGATTTGATCATGCTGGCCAAATTCTTCTCGGCGACGGCGAGGACGACCTTGCTCTTCTTTCCGCTCGTCTTGGGGAGATTGAGCTCGAGGATGGATTTCAGGTTATCGGACATTTGACCCTCCGAGATCATGTTGATTTCACTTAGGGCTTCCTTTCCGGTCCTGTGCCACCTAGTTAGTCCCCCAGTGTCCCTATATCCAGCATCTCCAAGTTCGTCCTCGGTACACATTCATCCCTCTCAGGCTCCCAGTGTCCATGTTCCTCCCGCCTGCAACTCGACTCGGGCGCCCGAGGACTTGGGGGTGGGTTTCTTCTTCTTCTTTTTTTCGGGTAAAATCTTACTGGAATGGGGTAAAGTTGAGGAGTTTGACCATCTTGCCAAACTTCGAAAGGTCATTGAGGGTTTCTTGGGTCTCCTTGGAGCGAAGACCGATGCTGTCAGCTTGGTGTTCGACCTGAAAAACACCATAGCCCATCGGGGCCTCATAGAGGATGTAATTGACAGACGCCATGCTGAAAAAGACTGTCGCCGAAGCCTATCAATTCAGATGGAATCAAAGTCGGCAGTAGACAGCTGGAGTGGTGCAATTGGACGTCGGTTTCTACCAAAGATGGACTGCGCGACCGACGATTGTTCTTGGTTGTACTATTTTTTCCTTCACCCACGGATTGGAAATTTTTCCACCGTAAAGAGCTTCTCGACCCACCTTGTTTGAGCACCCACCCTCGGCCAACCAATAAACATCTCTCAAACTTGAGTTTCGGTGGGGCTAAGCTCGGTTCATTCATGAAGACCACATGACCATACACGTGACCTTTTTCCTTTCCTTTCCCAACCTCGAGCCGATTTTCCAGAGGGCTTTCAATCCCTTTGTTTCACATAGTACAAAAGGTGTCACAGGTGATTTACTTGCTGAGCTGGTATCGGTGGATTGTTGATCCTAGGCTCTAGTCCTATAGAGAGCCGTTGATCTGCCAATTTATCGCCATTCTACATACGGATACTCACGGGGTTGACGGCCAAAGCCCTTGTTTGTTTCTTGCGAAGCATTGGTCTAACAACGCTTCTCACATAGACTCTCATGCCAACTCCTGTCATAAACGATGCTGAGTATTTCATCTGTCTGCCCAACGGCCTGTGCCTATCTACATGCCGGTTTCCCCATAGGCATTCAATGTTCCGGAACGCCGTGTAAAGAAAGACGCAAAAAGCTCCACTGACGACAATGCTGTCTAAACCCTTCTCTTCTGCCCGGGGGGAAACAATGTTTATCGTTCCTGGATGCTGCCAACAAATGACGGGTCCTTGACACTACCACCCGCATCTCCCAGTCCGGCAATCGGTCTGTTGTAACTGAAGCCCTGGAACTGGTTCTGCATGGTCTGCGACAGCATCGCATCCTCCACGTACGAGTCCTGGGGCGCTTCTGAGGTAAATTCGGGGTCGAAGTTATTAGTGTCGAGGGCATCCACCTGAATAATGATCTCAATCAGTAAAACATCCACATACAAGAGAGAAAGAAAACACTCGCAGAGGGTTTCACGTACCACATTAGGCTTGAACGCCGGTTCGTACTTGCGCTGCAGGAGCTTGCGCCAGTCAATGGCGTGGAAGAAAGGATGCGCCTTGATCTCGGCTGATCCGTTGGCTCCGAGACGCTCCCTTGGATCGCGGTTCAGCAACCTGGTCAGGAGATCCCTGGCCGCAGGAGGGACGATATCGTGACCAGGGAAGTGGAGGGGGTCCGAGAGGATCTTGCGATACATTTCGTTGGTGTTCTCATCATAAAAAGGAGGAAGACCCGTGAGCATCTCGTAGAGAAGAACGCCCAGGGTCCACCAATCCACCGTCTTATTGTATCCCTGCCCCATCAATAGCTCGGGCGCCAGATACTCGGGGGTGCCGCAGAAGGTGTTAGTTCTGTCCTCATCCTTCATATCCAGCTTGCAGAGACCAAAATCACACAGAGCGATGTGGCCCTGGTAGTCGAGCAGAATATTCTCGGGCTTGAGGTCTCGGTAGATGACGTTGAAGCCGTGCAGGCACTCGAGGGCGCACAGGAGTTCGGCGGTATAGAACCGGGAGCGGTTGACGTCGAATCTTGTCTCCTTTTGTAGGTGGTGGAAAAGCTCGCCTCCATTGACAAAGGCTAGCACGAAGTAGAGCTTCTCGGGCGACTGGAAGGTGAACTTGAGGGGGACGATGAACGGGTTGTTGATTTGCGCCAATACGGAGCGTTCGGCAAGGGTATGGGCGACTTCGGATCGAGAAATGATTTTTGCTTTCCTGATCGTCTTCAGGGCGTAGATTCGGTTCGTGTCCTTCTTGCGCACCTGCATAACCTTGCCGAAGCTGCCCTTGCCAACGACCTTGAGCAGGTCAAAGTCATCGATAGTGAGCTTGCCTGCGCGGTTCTCGACGTACTCGACGCCAATCTTGAGCTTTCCAGTGCCGTACTGTACGTCCACCCACTCAACTCCACTATGGCCGAGAGCGCGCTCGCGGTTGTTAAACTCGGCTGCGGCCTTCTCGCGGTCCTTCTTGTTCGCCTTGGGGTCCTCGACGAAGTCGTGCCTCTCCTCGAAGCGGGGGTTGATGCGGGCCAACCCGAGGAAGATATCCTGGCTACGGCCTGATCCAGGAGGGGCCATAGGATTACGCATGTACAGATGGATGACGAGCTCCGTGACGCGAGACACGTCGAACTTGTACTGCGTGTTTCCTCCGGCCCAGAGAGGGTTCTCCGGTGTTCCTTCAACCGAGTTGACAAAGACTTGCATCTTGTCGAAGTCCAGTAGGGCGTAGGGCATGTATTTGCCGGAAATACGGCCATGGTTGGTGGGAATTCCGCTGAAGCCACCGCCGGCGGAAGTCTGTGGGCGGCCACCGCTGATAAAAGAGCCGATGGTTCCTCGTTGGGAGGAAGAGGGGCGGACGGAGCCAGCGACGGTAGTGCCACCAGTGGACAGCGACCCTTGATGCGACGAAGCAAAGATTTGTCTGTGTTGTTCGGGGAGGGAGAAGCCTTGACCTTCGTGGAGGGTAACGACGAGGATACCGGGCTTGGGGGGGTTAACGACAGGGGCCTGGACCATAGCCTCCGAGGCGGCTACGACAGTTAGTATCAAATGCATGCCGTGTCGGACGGGTTTGGGGCTCCGTCCGATTCAAGCAAACATATGGGTTCGCGTACCGATGTTTCCCTCCGTCGTAGGTGTCACCGACCCCGATAGGCTGGGTTGGGCCTTTTCGCTGTCTGTAATGGTGGAGGTTGATGGCGAGCGGGAGAAGGTGCTGGCCAAGGGCCCAAGATGGGTGTCCTTGAGCTTCTTCGTCAATTTCCACGACATTTTGCGAAAGCGTGAGGCCAAGATGCGCAGAAAAGGGGGAATGGGCGGTGGGAAGGAATGTGGTCGGCTAGAAGATGAACAGTCCGGCTGGTGAAGACGGTACGAAGTCGACGCAAGGCCAGCCAAGTCAGTCGGGATAGTACGATACAAAAGCGTCAGGTTGCCCGGCTGTGGTAGTGTATAGCGAGAATGATGATGTAGAGGTCAGCTAACGTAGAGATGGAAGAGACGAGGACGAGCGACGTGTCTATCAGTCGCTCTCTAGGGTCGTGATTTGTTGGTGTTGATTCGGTCGCCGCTTCGTTGGAAGGAACCCCGCAAGATACGCCCCACTCTTATGTTGGGTTGGACGGACGGACGGTGAGACAACCGCTGAAGAGGTAATGCTTGGCAAGAACTGGACAAGTCGCCACCAAGGGATGGAAAGATGCAGACTGGTTTGGGGGAAATATATGCGTGTAGGAAAAAAAACTTTACAGAAGGCGCGTGGGAAAATGGTTTGGAATAATGGACGATTAAAGAACAATTTGCGTGCATCTGCTTGGTTGCTAGATGGAAAGAACCCCGAAGCTTACGAAGCAGCAGGGTGGCAGTGCAGCCATTGCCCAGTACCTAAGGTACCTACCTACCGTACAATGGTTGAGTGAAAAAGGGAAAAGGCAGGAAGGCTGTGCTCGCCTCGGTTCGGAATAAGGGGTGGAGGGTTGTCGGGAGGGGCCCACTTCCCCTTTCTAACTTTCCCCTCCCGACTCCCGACATGTCTCCAGGGGGTAATTACTAACCAAGAATAAAGCTGCGGCGTAGGTACCTACCCGTACTATCCGTAATAATTCTTACTCCGCAGCTGTATTTCGACTCGTATCAGTGGCTTCCTACGATACCTATATTCCCTAGGTATTACCTTATTCTGTGTCCGTCCCACGGCTTTTCTGCGTTGATTGAAGAGACAATCACCATAACCAATCTGTTAAACTTTACCAACACTGATTTTCCCTTCCCATGAATGAGAAAAGACATCCAAGATGACAATCCTGGGAAGAACACCTAGAGACAACCGCCAGTCCAGTTGCTAGGCATTGCTTCAACGATTTCAGCAACACCGATACGAGAAGCTAAACAATTAGGCACATACTAATGGACGTTCTTTGCCATGGGGAATTTACCCAACAGCGGGCGTCAAGATACCATGATACGGAGTATTCCGTATATTCTGACGAACGTGTTTGCGTTTCATGAAAGGACCAAAGGCCACAGACAACCCCGATTTTAGAGCTATACGAGTACGTTGTCTCCTCTGGCTCACATTGAGAACAGAAGTAACACTCCGTAATTGTCTGGACATAAATCACACAAGTAACGATCTATAAAGAATCCATTGCCCTTGTAAAGACAACAGTTGCAATCCCATCTACCAAGCTGTAGGCAGGACCAGCTCCCCGTCCGGCCTCGAGCACAGCTTCAAGACCTACAGTGGCGATGCTAACGTCGTGCCGCCCCTACTGTGGCTGCTCTGCTCCTGGAGCTAAGACCAACATCCTCACTACCTCATAACTTGACAACGACTTTTCACTTCGTGATCCAACCGGGAGAATAATCAGTTCATCGGTTCTAGCACCGCAGAGCGATGAGCCAAGCCTAGTATTGCACAACAATTCACCTATGGTCTCAACAAGAGAGGGGCAGGCAGGGGCCAATGTCTACACAAAATGTGGGGGGCAGTCACCACGGGTAACGCAGAGTCGCAGAGTCGGACAGACGACAGAGGGCGGCACTTCTGTTCGTGGTACAAAGAAAGAGGTGGGCCAGAATACCAAGATAAACGCTAAACCGGGGGGGAATAAACGATCCTCCACTGCTGAGATATAATTAAGATGCAGACGGACGAGGATGGTCGGGCCTTGGGTATCAGATAACGAAAAGGGGCATGCTACCAAAGTTGAGAAGCGCCTTCACGCGCGTTTGATAAGTCCGTATCAAGCTCACAGCGCCGCCTTGCCCCGTGACTCGTATGGAAGCAACAGAGCAATTATACCTGCGGCGATGAACAAGGCGCCGCTCGTGTAGACAGGGGCAGCCGTTTGGAGGTCCCCGAACATGGCAATAATAGGCTGCAAGACGAGTTAGTTCACATTGCGGGGTTTTCATCTCCACTGTTCGGGAGAAACATGCGGCGACACGTACCGCCATAATACCAAACACGCGGTTGGAGGTGGCTGTGAGAGCATTGCCCGTGCCTCGCTGAGGAGTGGGGAACAACTCGGGGGTGAAACCGTAGAGCACGGCGTACATGATGTTGCTCGTAAAGCTGAAGGCACAGTTGAAGCCCAACAGAGCATTGGAGGTCCTCGAGGTGGTGGAGCCATAGAGGAAGACGCCGGTGGCCACAGTCGACAGAGCGAGGGTGCCCTTACGACCGACCAAGCGCCGCTCGACCAACCAAGCACCCAGCAGGGCTCCAGGCACGCCAACGGCGGCGATGATCAAACTGTTGCGATAGGTAATGTACGTGCTGCCGTCTCCGTAGACGTCGCCGCGAGTGGCCATAATGTAAGGGATGTAGGCGTTGTAGAGCGGATAGCCGAGGCCGATGAGAGCCCAGATGGCCATGATGAGGCCAGTGCTAATGCCAAGGCGACGAGTCGCGAAGAGTTGGCGAATGTGGCTGAAGCTGAGCTTCTCGACATATCTCTTGGCGGCCGTCGCGACGTCGGTCCGAGCGACGTACCCTTCCGGCTCGCAGGCCTTGAGGTGGTCGAGAGTTAGGTCGGTGTCCCTGTTGTTCCGCTTGGCGATTTCGTAGACGACACGGACGGCGTCCTCGTCGCGGCCCTTGCCCATGAGGAACTTGGGCGACTCGTAGATCTTGAAAGCCAGGAAGCGGATCAAGAACATGAGCATTGTGATGCCGCCCATGGTGATAGTGAAGTACCTCCATCCCATATTGGCACCCCTGGTGCAATTCTCGCCCTGTTCGCAGGTGAGGTTTCCGAGGAGGGGCCATGCAATGAGAGTGGCGAGCAACTGCGCAAGCGACCACTTTACGGAGAGTGCGGTAAGCAGCCATTGGTGGGTAGAGGGAAGGGCCTCCAAGAAGATGGCAGCATCCACCGGGAGGTTGCCGCCAACACCAAAAGACCACAAGGCAGCGAAGGACGCAATGGCGGCAAAGTTGTTGGCACCTCCAGCAACCAGGCCCCAGGTGGCGGTCAGGCCGAGGGTGATGTTAAATGCCCACCGACGACCCCAGAAATCACAGCCAAACCCCCAAAAGGCGGCGCCGGCAAGCAGGCCAATATTCTGTGCTAGCGTCAATAGCGGCGGGCGACTCGGGTTGAACTCGTTGGCGACGGGTGTGAGAATGAGTGAGGTAACGATGGGCCAAAGGTTGTCGGCGGCCCAGCCGAAGCCGATGACGAAAAACAACTGCCATTGGTAGCGACCCATGCCGATCTCTTGGATCTAGAGTGTGGGCCAGAAGGCAACCGCAGGTTAGTACGCCTTAAGCTTCTCATCACAAACAAAGGTGTCGTCTATGGGGGGGGAGGAAAAGAAAAAAGAAAAAGCAAAGCCGGCCTCCCCGTCCGGGGGTTGCGCGGAGAACTTACAGCGCGGTTGAGAACGCGGGCCTTGGCCTCATATACAGGGTCAAGTGTACCCTTTGGATAGACACCTTCGTCATCGGAACTCGAATCGAAATCGATGTTGGCATCTCGGACAATATCGTCGGATTTACCGATGGTGTCGAAGGTCGGCGAGGCAGGCTTGACCTCACCCTTCGTCGGGGAATCCTGTTCCAATTGGCTCGCCATGACTGAAGCTACAGCGTCCGCTTGGGGCACGGTGCGAGGTGTCTAAAAGGGACAAAACGATGGGGTCGAGGCAAAGTCGAGATGACCGATGGGCGCAGATTTGTACTCGAGGTTGAGCGACTTGTCAATCGAACGCCACGGGTATTTCTGCGATCCCCGACAGCGGCTCAAAGCTAAGTTTGAGGCAGAAAGAAGCTGGGCGCACTGGTGGCGCAATGTTGGCGCAAGTAGGGAAAGGTGAAGGTACAAAAGCCAATTCCATCCATGAAGAAGAAATGCGAGGGGAAAGGGGGAAACAAACCTGGGGAAGGCCCCTAAATATTGGCAGGTCCCGCGTGTCAGGCCGGTGAGTCCGGAGACGGGCGGCAGGATAGGCGTCGTCGAGCTGCAAGAAAAGCCCGGCAGCGTATCCGTACTCAGTACATATATGCACGCTTAAAGCCAGGAAACGATGGCGCCATTGATCCATCGGCCTTATCATTTGTTTCCCGTCTCTGAACAAATAGGGAAAGATCTGCATGTCGTCCAGTTGGTGCCAAAGTGCGCAGTGGCTGCAAGCACAGCAACCCCGAGGGGATGCGGACATTTGGGTTTTGTGAGCTCTCAACTGATGACGTAACGAGGAATCGGTCAACCAGCGTCCTCGAAAGAAAGCTGAAAGTGTGCCTGGAGTCCTAGGCCAGGAACAGTTAACTCAAGGTAGTCAGAAGCTAATGATAAGGTAGGTTATATTAACCTACCGAGTTGACAGGACAATCCGTCTTCGGTATCCATACCTCAGGTACCTTACTCATTAGGTATGTACCGAGCTAATAACTTGGGTGGACGACGTTCCTGCGGATCGCTATCCCAGTCGTCTCGAGGATGCGATGCCGCCAACAGAACTTTGTGGCTTTGGAATGCATGTGGAATGCATGTAGAGCGACTGCCGAGGCCGCCATGACACCCGTTGTGGCTCGAAATCCGGGTCCAAAGTCCCAAAGGTAACGGTAAGGCGCCTCCTCACCATCAGAAACGATAAATTCTCTCCACGTCCACCCGGTCAACAACATAGTGACACGAGAAAAATAAAATCGACTGGCCACCGATTTGAGGTGCTAAGAATTTGAATGTTGGCAAGACGAAGATGTTGCGAGGAATAACTTTCGACTCGGCCAAGCCCTGCCTGTCAGTCACTGAATGTATTATGTGGAACTTCGGCAGTACAGTGGGGGGCAGAAGCTTCTACCCCACCCAATGTATTGAATCTCTCTTGACCCTAAGAAAATACTTTTGACGGAGTAGAAATACTTTGCCCCCACTGTACTGCTGACATCAAGAACGTCAGCCGGAAGGGGAAGGTAGAGAACGGAAGGTACCGAGTATCCGTACTCGTCTCGGCACGTGAGATTCTGGCCGGGGCTTGATGGAACCGGGTGTTTTAAGTGGGTGGTTGGACGCGTCTCGGCTTGTGGGGCCCCCAGGCTCCAAGGGTCGTCACGACTCAACACCGTGAACTCATCGTGAAATGTTCCCACTCACTCCCATGTCGAGATCACCACGGAGTATATCCCGCATATTAATCCTCGCAACATTCTTTCTTCTGAACCACCTCGGGGGTTTCACTTACCAAGTACCCTTTCGAAGGCTATTATATTATGGAACCGCTCTGACCACCCAAAAATTAGCCTGAATCGCTTCGGCAGGGCAGGGCCGGCAGGCTGCCCTTATCCACCTCAACCATGATCCCTTGCTCCATGTTCGCAACCGTTGCCCTAGTCGTGGCCTTTCTCATCCAAACAGCCGCAGCACGGAAAAACCTCATCCTCGACACGGATATATTCAGCGATTGCGAGTAAGACACCAACCCCGCTCCCCCCCCCCCCCCCCCCCCCCCCCCTTTTTTCTTTTTTCCTTTTTTGTACCACAACCCCCATATCCTCATCAGCACCTTCACGTAACTCAAGGAGGAATTAACTTGCCCCCGCCTACCATCAGCGACGCGGCTGCCCTCCTCCTCGCTGCCACCTCTCCCGACGTCAAGCTCCTCGCAGTGAACGTCAACTCGCACTCGACCTACTCCGCGCTCGCCACCTCCGCCATCCTCGCCCACTATGATCACGCCCACACTCCCGTGGGCGCCCGCCGCCCGCTGACCAACGACACGTTCTTCGATGCCAAGGACTTTGAGCTGGGCGAGTTCGCCAGCAAAGTGGCCCGCCACTGGTCCGGCGGCACCCTCCCCTGGGGCACCGCCGAGAAGGCCTGGGACCCCATCACGCTGTACCGCAGGACGCTCGCCGCCTCCGAGGACGGCAGCGTCTCCATCGTCTCCCTCGGCTTCCTCGACAACCTAGCCGGCCTCCTCGACTCGACCGCCGATGACTACTCCGACCTCTCCGGCCCGGACCTCATCTCCGCCAAGGTCTCCGAGCTGGTCGTCATGGGCGGAGGCTACCCGTCCGGCTACGAGTTCAATTTCTTCGCCGACGACCCTTCCACCACCGCCCACGTCATCAACGACTGGCCGGGCCGCATGGTCTTCTCCGGTTTCGAGCTCGGCCAATCCGTCATGTCCGGCGACCGCTTCGTGGCCGAGGGCCCGCCCGGCGACCCCGTCCGCGCCGCCTACATCTACCACTCCTACGGCGCACCCCACCCGTCCTGGGACCCCATCACCGTCCTCTATGCCATCCGGGGACTCAGCGACACTTTCGAGTACGGCAACCGCAGGGGCTACAACCACGTCGAACCCGACGGCACCAACGCTTGGGTGGACGATGCCAACGTCAGGAACCAGCATTGGCTCCGACTGAAGCTCGGAAACGACACCGTCGGCGCCGAGCTCGACAGGCTTTACTTGGAGGCTGCTTGGGTCGCTGACAATCCTCTTGTCCAAGCTGAAATGTCTTGGAGATCCCATCGGCCAATCTTCCCCAAGGCGGAGCTTTGAAGCGGCAGCTTTATGCCGCAATTTGCACTTGCTTTAGGATTGCTTGAACATGTGCTGTACGTTGCCTCCTCATCAACATGTAGGTAGGTAGAATATATCACGTTTGAACTGGCCAACGTCCCAGCGCTACCACCTTGATGGCGAAAGGGCAAAGTCAAACACAGATGCCGTTCCTCATTGCTCTTCTCCCTGGCCTCGTTTGCGTCCCACTCAATGTTCTTATTACCGCCAGCTTTTTCTCCAATAGATTCAAGAATGACCACCACTTCGGGAGTTCCACTAAGACGAGCTACGCCAACATGATGTGCGACAACGACATGTTAGTAAGGAACACTTTATCACATATGTATGTCACGCTGCTTAGTGCTAAAACAAAGCTAATCTTGATTTTAGGTTCGCACTACATACACGGTAGGAAGAGACATCTAACTATGGCTGTTGAACATCTCGACACTACCCTTCCTGAAACCCCATCCATGCTGAGCGTCCGGTAAGGCGCAACGCACTGAATAAAGAGCTATAAAGAGCCGCGACTAGCAAGAATTGTTGTAGGAGAACACTAAACGAAGACCTGAGAAAGAATTGCCGTAGGAGGCACTGCTTATTTACCCTCCGATCTCATCCGGGTATACCCTAAGAACATGAACGATTTTTCGTAACCATAACAAAGGAAATAAAGGGGGAGTGGGTGATCTGATTAGTAGTACTGCGGGATCGTGGTCGAAGTCTGAGGGCCAACAGTCTGAGGGACAACGGTCTGAGGGACAACGGTCTGAGTTTGACCCGGGATGCTTTGGACATCCGAGCCTCCAAGGACCCGCGAAGCGTCTTGAGCCATGCGAGAGCCCATGGCGGAATCATATGCACCACCCTGGGTACTACCAATAGGATGTTGACCAGCGAAACCATCCTGACCGCCCTGACGACCTGTCGGGCTGCCCTTGGGCACGTGCGTCTTGCGTTGGATCTTGGGCGCCTCGGGGATGTCGGTGGACTTGTTGGCCGTGCCGATGGAGAAAACCGGGCTCTCCCAACGCTCGCCTTTGCGGGCCAATTCCCTATACTCGGTAGCCTTCGTGCTAATGCCGCCTGGCAGCTTCACATTGGGGAAGATGCTGTCCTCCATGGTGATGGCCATGTTGAACTTCTTATCCGCGGCCACCTCCTTGGCCTTCTCCCTATTCTGGAGGATGCGTTTCTGCATGGCGTTGTAGTAGCGGTTGTAAATGTTGGGAACATGTTCGGGGTCGGAACGGGCCTCCTCCAGGGCACGGTCAGCCTCTTGCTTCATCTGGAAGAGCATCCTGTCGAGCTTGTTGGCCTGGTCCTTGATGCTCGCCTCGACAACCTTTTGCAGTGCAGGCCTGAGAACCTTCATCATTATCGGCTTGAACAACTTGAAGAGCAGCTTGTGGTTGGATTGCTTGAGCTTGACGTTCATGTGCTTGATCTCCACGTCGACCTTCTCAATCTTAAAGAAGTTCTGGCTGTCCAACTTATCGGCAGTGGCACACTTCATCTCGAAGGTGAGACCTTCACCGGCAAGCAAGAAGTCTGCTACACCGGTGTCCGTGATAGATGGGAAGCCCTCCTTGCGTTTAATATGGTAGCTGACATCCCGCAGGTCCATCTGGATGCCGGAGACCTTAACGTCGAAGACTTGCTTGTTCTTATTGGCAATCCTCTTACGGCCCCAACGGAAGTGATGCTCCGAATTGATCTCCAAGATGTTGGGAGTGAAGTTGTCCGATTCGATCACGAGGTTCTCGATGACAGCGTCGACTTGATGGTCGGAGTACTCAATGCGGGGCACCGGAACGTAGGCAAGGTTCTCCAAGACGCCCGGGATGATCACACCGGTGAGGTCCTTGACCAGATGAGGCTTGAAGACGGGCTTCCCATTCTCGTCGTTGCCCAGATCATTAAAGAGCTTCCGGATCGACTGTCCGAAAGCCTTGTTCTGTTGATCGTTGTCGAACTCGTTCATAATGAAGCGCAGCTCATCCACGACCCGATCGGTGTTGGTCCGGTACTTCTCGCGGAGAAGATAACGACCGTGATCATATAGTCGGTTCCATTCCTCATTCGACGAGTCCTCAAGGATATAGCCCTGCTGGAGGAGGCAGCGCCGGATGTACTGGTTCATGGCCTTGAACCAGTTCTTCAGCTCGGGATCATGGTCGGCATCGCGGTATATCTGGCCAATGTGAGACCAGAGGTCTCCAGTAGAAGTGCCGTTGGCAAATCGCTCAATCAGCGTCTGTGACGAAGCGTTAGCATGTTCGCTGGGTATCTTCATATGGATCAGGGATGAACAAGGGCAGATTTCAGACATACTCTGAGATCGGACTCGGCTTGGGCAAGACCGCCGCGGGCTTCCCTGACGGTGCCAGAACCACCCTCGGCGATTGCGCGGGAATGCTGGCTGTACTGCTCGATCAGGTCGAGAATGGTCTCGATGGCTTGCGAGTAGTCGGGGTGCTGCTGGCATTCAAGAACCATCTTCTTCAGGCGCAAGACGGTTTGGTCCCGACGAGATTCGGGCACCTTCTTGTTAAGATACTCCCGGGCCTTACGGCGATACTCTTCGTTGCGCTTCCGAATCTTCTCCTTGGTTTCCGGGTCAACGTTTTGTTCAACCCGCTCCTTGAGGTTGCCCGTGGCATTGCCGTTGGCGTCCGTGGTTTGCTGAACGCCCTGCCGCTCACTGGCGGCGGCAGTCCCATCTCTACCCGACCGCTGGGGAAGTGTCTGGCTACCGACAGCGGTAGCATCTTGTTTGGCTGCATGGGCGGTGTCCCGGAGATCTTTTTTGGGGTCACCTTTGTAGATATTCTGGGCCTCCTGCTTCCAGTTCTCCTTAGAAAACTTGGGGGCGTCGTGCCAAACGTTATCCTGCGCAGGATTGTCGATGTCCGCGAGTTCTTCCTGGGACGGCCTAACGTGCGAGGCGGCATTCGTCGCGGCATCGCCAGCAATGTCTCGGAGCAAGACAGTAGCATCCTTGACTGAAAACACGAGTTAGTGAGGTACTGGTAAGAGACACGTGTGAAGAGCATTAAGGGGGTACCTACGTAGCTTGCGGAACTGCCCATTGGTGATGATGAGCGTCCCCAGTGTCCTCAAGCCGTTGAGGGCCTGGTCACCATGCTGTTGAGCAGTCTGCTTATCAACGGGAGCACCAGGACGGCTGAGAGATTTGGCATCCCAATGCTGGGTTTGCCAGATGAAGTCCTGGAGCAGGTTGCCCTGGTTTCTGGAGAGAAGCAGATGCTGGGCGTTCTTGACGACGGTGCGAGCGTCCGCGACAAGTGACCTGCCTTCCTCGGATAGCTTGTCGGAAGGGTTTGAGATGGGCTTGGAGGCGAGGAAGCTGTTCAGGGCGACATCAATTTGATCGTTCTGGTCACGTATTAACATCAACATCAAGACGTCTCATTTATCAAAAATGGGGGGGGGGGGGAGAGCTGCGTGGGTGAGCATACGGAAGGAACTTTGCCGAGCTGGAAAGCGGAGATGATGCCGTAGAGCTGGAGCTTGCGGTGGACATCGGCCTCCTTTTGCTTCATGTCGGTGGGTTTGTTGACGTTGACGGACATGGTGGGCAGATGGGCAGACGGGTAGTCCAACTAGTCCAAAGAGATCAGAGATCACACGAGGTATACGGAGTGGTTGCGAATCAAGTCGACGTGATGACGGTGGCTGTATTAACCGTGGGGGAGTATATGGGTTTGTCGGTCGTTAGGTGGAAGAGACGCCGCGATGGTCGTTATTAGGGTTTGAAGGGGTATCACGAATTATTGTGGGAAAAAAAAGACAAGGCTTGTTGTACGTGAACGGTAATCGTGGAAAGGATAAGGTAGGTGCAGAACTGAGGGGAGAGGAGTAAAATAAGAAAATACGAACAGGAGCAGCGGTCAGCAGAGTTTATACGTGGTTGACATGGAGGGGGGAAGGGGGCCAGGACAGTAGCGGAAGGGGGGGTTGTGGGTGCCAGCCAAGGGAGGAAAGAGCAATCGAAGATGACACGAAGACGGGAGCGTCGTTGGTACAGCCCATGTACCTTGTGTAGCGACTTGAAGCCATGAGGTATGGTGCACAATGACGCAGTACCTACATGGGGGACTAGCTGTGAAACAACTCCATGACCAGGCCAGAGGAAGGGTGTGGTCAAGGCAAGAGCGTCAGCCTAGCCTCTAAAGCCGGCCTCCGGATAGGACCCAGGAATCCGCAAATACACAAGTCATTCAAGTACCTGAGTACCTTAGGAAAATGCTTGCCCAGACAGGTTGCCTCCGCTCTCTCTCTTCCTACCTACCGTATGGCATCGCTACGAAACCATTACGGGTAGGTGCAGTGCTGGTTCAAGGTGCACAAAAGCAGGTAGCGGGTTGGTACACATTCACAGGATCAACTGAGTAGCAATCCAGAAGAGCTGGCAATGACGTACACAGCTACTCACAGGATACCAATTTAGGGAGCTAGAGCTATCCCTGGCGGGTGTTAGTGTTGAGGTCAGTGACATAAAAGCTTCGTAGTGACGGTGACGAACTGCGACGGTGACGTGGCCGATAGGGGGAGCGAAGAAGCATGTGATGTCATCGGTTTCATAGCTTATGTGGAGACTGGGGTGTGCATTGGGCAATAAGGGGTCCAGAATCCGATCTGTGTTGTTCTTAGACTGCCGTCGCCGATGTCGAGAAGGGTGAACTTACCTGGCTAGGTAGCTCCTAGTGCTGGGTAAGATTCAGAGGTACATATACTCTGAGCTGAGCAGAAGCTGGAGACTCTTAGCATTCTTTTCTTGTGGGCAAAAAGTACAGGTACTTCTAGTTCGAATAGGTACACAAATTCGAGACAGGGTAAGGGCGACTTTATTACTAAGCCAGCCCAGGTACGGATGGTATGTCTCTGGAGGTATGGGTCTCTCGATGTTTTTCTATTAATCACCCTTGGCAACGGTTTCGTCACACGCCTTCACTATTTGTCTATGCCCATTCATCTCTGATGCATACCAGTTCTTTGAAGCTTCTGTTCCCATTGCCTCTCTACTATTAGCACGGTTCTGTATCCATTGGGTTTGGCCCCCTTTGCTTGGATAGGAACCATCCGGTATGAACCGCCATGGCCATAACCACGCGCGAAACGGTCGGAGCGCCGTCTAACAAAATATCCGAGCGGACGATCGCCTTGGAGGACAATAAAAGTATTCCGGTCTGACGTCGACCTGCATCCTGTCAACCTATTTGGACAAATGTGACAGGAGATGATATCTGTTCGTGGCGACCAAAGAATCACCAACTTTATTGCCGATTCAAACTTCAAGAGGCCATTGCCTGTTCCCGGACATCGCAAGTCGCTGTTCTTCTAACATAGGTCTCATTCGAGCATCTGGTCCTGGTCTTCTCACGTTCTCCATACAGCTACCGTCTGGTCAGCACTATCGTGGCCGATGTGTCTGGATCCTCCGGAATGTTTAGGTCCATATGTGCCTGGCAGCAGTTCTCTCCGTTTATTGTGTTCGGACGTTCCTGCACCCTTGATGGTTCTCGATGTAATATGTCTCGGATTCATTCGTCTTTTCTTTTGTCTGACACTCCTATCCTCCCTGACCCCAGGATCCGGTGACGATGTTTTAAGAGTAAGTTTCTTGTTCGCTAGTAAAAACATCCCTCGACTTATTGCGCAGAATACGAAAATATTGCACCATCACCATGGCCTCACAAAAGACGAGAATGGGGGATGAAATTCTGGGGACTTTGATGGTTCGACTTTCATAGGTACTCCCCGCTTCAACATAATGACACTGGCCCCAGCTCAGGTACTCACGCCCTGCATCCATTCATTGAGTTGGTCCCAAGGTGCCCGACTTTGGATTGTCACGTCTGCTGTTCGCAATTAATGGGGCGAGGTCTCGAGTCCCTGGCCATAATTGCTGAACTATGTTACACTCAAAAATGTACGACTACACCAAACGAGGTGTTGAACTAGGTATATAAGATCAAAAAGTACCGACGTCAAGCAGAGGATTCTTTTTTGGTGTAGTGGTACATTTTTGAGTGTGACAATAATCCCCCATACGGGCCGCGCTGCCTTAGTCACGGCAACGAGAATCCGCAACCGTTATCCAGCTCCACCCTCCAACGAACAGGACCAGATATCCATTAATTAATTACCTTTGTCGTGTTCATCGCAAGCCACATAGTCATGACGTCAACATCGACCAACTTAATTACTTTCCTCAACACCACCCGGCTTAGGAGATGCATACTCACTGGTGCTCCGTCGTACCGTGTAAGCTCTCGGTGCTCCAGCAAAATGAACGAGGAGCATCGCTTCCCTACCAGCGATCTGATCCAACTTATTTCATAATGATCGGAGTATGCAGATCGCCCGAGGTAAGTGAGTAAGTCTCACAGTGAGCCCCTTACACTCACTCACGAGTCATCTCACCCGGCCTCATTCAATCTCGCACCATTTCATCAAATAATCACAAGCCACTCATAATCGCCTTGCTCTGTGCGGCGTTTAGGGTCAATCTCGAAATTTTGTGTCATATTTGACTTTTCACATTCTTCACAGTCACTCCTACTTGGCCACCATATTTTGCACGACTGTCTGAAAGTGCCTGGGGACTAATATTTCTGTCTGTTTCATTGATCATATCTTAAGCGCCACTGGTCTCCTTGATGTTGACTTGCTCTTCCTCGTCTAGGAATTTGATGGCGTTGCTCAACCAGGCCGCTTGCTCATCATTCAGGCGAGACGCGTTCTTGACCACCTCCCCGACGGCCCGTAAAGCCAGGGCCTTGGGCGTTGTGTATCTTTCCGGTGGGCTGAAAGTCTCGGACACAATGATGGATTTATGAATGTCGGTTTGAGTCCACTCAAGCCCCTGGGGAGACAAAATCTCACGGAGTTGCAGAGCCGTGGCGTTGGGCACTCGCTTGCTCCGCTTGTGGCCTTGGAAGTAACTGTCCAGGTAGGGCACCCAGACGACGAGTGGAGGGGGCATAAGAGTCGTCCAGTCCCAGTCGACAATGCTTTGCAGGCGCTGCCTGCCCGCTACCAGCACGTTCCCCATGTGCAAATCGGGGTGCATCAGCTCCGTGTGCCAACCATCTACCGGGCCGAGCTGGTCTTCTGCCTTCCCATCACCGTTCTCCGAGGTGGGGAGGCGTTGCAAGTAGGCCAGGAGCTTGGGCATCAGGCGGTCATTGATGGCCTCGGCCCGCTCCACCATCTGCCTTACGGACACGGGGAGTTTGATCTCTGGGTGCGTCTTCGCATATGCGACAACTGCCTCCCACGACTCCAGACCCAACTGCTTTTGCAGCTGTTTCCGGTCATTTTCGAGCTCTTGGATGGCCTCCATCTGCTGGATCTCCATCAAGGATTTGAAGTACTCGGAGATGCTGTCGAAAGGACCTCGCAGGGCCGGGAAGTCGAGACGCCTACCTTCGAAGTACTCAAAGTCCACAAGGGGACCCACGTGGAAATCTCCCGTGTCCCAGTCGCAGTACAGGCTGCCAATCTTATCGAAGCGAAGGTCCCGGACGTGTTCCAAGTGTTGGCTGATCTCGGCACCGATGGCCATCTTCTTGTCGTTCGCAAGAGGAGGATTCATTTTCTCCGTGAGGTCCCGAAGGGTATCTCCCTCGACGTACTCCATGAGGGTCCATTCCAAGTTGGTCGCGTTCTTTGCCGTCGAGTCGAAGTAGAAGACCTGCGGTACCGGTACTCCCCCCTTACTCGCGAGCCACCACATGGTTGACACCTCCGACTCGGTCTGATAAAAGGGGTCTATAGGCGCTGTGAACCGGAGAATCATCACCCTGGGGAGACCTTCGGGCATCTCCTTGCCCTCGGGGAACTCCACCTTGAACAGTCGGTTGCATGCCCCGTTCGTGAACGGGGTGATGTTGAAGAGCATCGGGAAGGGCAACTCGTTGTCCACGATGTAGTCGAGCAGCATGATTCTCACTAGCCCTAGTGAAGGGATAGTATCGTATGGGTCTTTGGGTTCGTTGGTCCATCTTTTCATGTCCCACCAGGAACCTCCGGTTTGCATTCGGCTACGGTTCCAACTGAGAAACTTGCTTTGTTCCTCTATTCTCTCCTCCCTCGAGCGAGGTTTGGAGTCACGCACTCTCTTCGGCATCCGCATCGTAGAGATACAGACGGATCTGGCGTAGTTGTTGAGGATGATGATTTTCTTTCTTGTTTGTTTAAGTATCGATTGATATGTGTCGGTTAGCATCATGTAGCTCTGGAGGCATAACTTCTTCCTTCTTTATATGCGCGCTCCCCTGTCGAACAACGATGCTTGAGACATCGTTATTGGGCTCTGTTCGGTATGATTCCTCTAGTCGACAATGGTTGTCCCTCGAACAGGCGTTACGTCGCCAGATATGTGCGCTGCTTTGTCTTCTATGCGGTATACGCGAGTTGGTTGGCGCGATATGAAGGGATTGTCGTGCCTGTTCTTTGACAGTCAACCTGAACCATTACGTCTGTGCTCGGTGGTAGTTTCAGCTGTACTTCGGCTTTCAATCCTCAAATGGGCGGAAACGAAGGCTTGCACTCGCGAGTTGGATTTCTTTGAGTCTTTGAGCCCCTGAGGCTCGTGCCTGGTCTGGCTGAAACATCGAGACTTCAGACTTGGCCTATTAAGGAGGGCGTCGGAGGTGAAATTTTGAGCTTGTGTGTGAGCGGATGGTGAAAAGGCGAAAGCTATCGCATCCCTGACTTGTATATGGGGGTACACTTTCCAAGAGGCAAAGTCGAACCCGGGGGGGGATGAAACGTATGGAAGCCAATTTTCAGCAAGAACTCATCTGCTTAACAATGGATACTGTAGGGTTTTGTTCACATGGGTTGCTTTTCTTCGCTGTTTAGTGATGAGAGAGCACCCACAATACCTGGACAACACAGCCCTTGGCTTTCTTTCCGAGTAACCACTACACTGCCCTTTTATCTCGTGTAAGTCAACGAGCAAGGGGACGTGGTTGAGTATTCAGGCCCATGAGGTGACAACCGTGGCACGATCTTCACGAGAGCAGCACGGAATCGAAAATCTCAGACATGGAAGGACCTTGCAAGTTACAAGGCTCCTTTGTTGTACGTGGCTACCAGGCCCCGCCGACAAGGTGGCGTTTCAATGTTCCCATGACATGTTAAGAGTCCTCTGGCGGAAGAAGATCCATATCGGAACAGAAGTCGGCTTACGATGCAACTGGCAGCATCCACTGGTTACTAAGAATCTCGCTTCTGTGTCATGGTTGACCAACAGGAATGTATGACTCAAAACGCCCGTGGCTCAGAGAATGATGGCATGATGTGACCAATCCCTCGGTTGACGAATGGGTCACGGTGCTCGACAGACACCCTGAGCTTGAAGGCAAATGATTAGACCCTTTTAGCCGAGAGCGGAGAATATGGGGGCACGCATTGGAGGTGTGGCCACCAACGAGCAAGCAGGACACACTCGGATTCCGAGCATGGGTCGGGATGGAAGAGCGCTCGCGAGCGGTGTGACACGGTATTAACCGAGATCTCGGTTAGTAGTCTTCGGTCTCCAGTCTCGATGGCCTCCTGGTTCGGGCAACAGCCGGTATACGAGCCACTTATGTAACAGGAAACATAAGCAGTAAAGTCAGGACAGTCGGAGAAAGGTGCGACGGGCCCCCTAAGATTCCTTATAGTGTTAGGGTCATTTATAAGAGCTGGATATCTGTTTGGCTTCCTGATGACTCGTACTAGTGCAGGTGATCTCATAGAGGCGGAAGAAATTAGGGTGGAGAGCAAACTATGAGCAATAGATTCAATATTACTGCGTTATTCCACTACAGCTTATGAGGAAGCCAAGCCTCCATACCCCTAAGCTGAGTATGAAATACATAATAATAACCACTTAAGTATATACAAATTCCAAAAGAGTACGGACAATGTCAGAGAGCTCGTTTACAGTGATCTTTAAAGAACGAAAAGGGCCGCAATCGCACAAAGTCCAACGACCGAGCCGGTACCAGAGAGACGAACACCGGCGTTGGTCCCAATGTGGGAGGGCTCAGACAGGGTCTGCAAAGGAAAACAAGTCAGCACCATTCCAAACCAGCACTCGGAGACAAGGGGGAAAGCGGGATAAATTATAACAGGTACGAAGGAGCTCACCTCATTGCTAGCGCGAGTGGGAGCAACTGTTCGCTCGGCGTCTTCTGACAAAGTAGAGGGGGTGGGTTCAGGCTCAGAGGAGGCTTCAGGTGCAGCGGTGGGTGGGGAAGTGGGCTCCGGCTCGGCAGAAGGCTCAGGAGTCTCCTCCTCTTCTTCTCCGCCCTCAGAGGGCCTGGCGGGAGTTCCAGGCTCAACCGTTAAGCCGCAGGCCGCAGCAGCTTCGGAGACACTCTCTCCATAATACTGCCAGATAGGGTAAGTATCGACGCAGATAAGGCAGGTATCGAGGAGGTCCCGCCAGGCATTGTCGCTGCAGTGGTCACCGTCTTTAGCACCGTTGATAGTGCCGCCTGGTATTAAAGAGAGTTAGAGGTCTACAGTTCGATATGTTGAGAATAACACGCAGCTGAGTGAACGTTCTGAATATTGGCAAACGGGGGTGAGTGTGTCATTATTCGGGTGAGTAGGATTAAGACGTACCGCAGTCAGCGTGACATTGATACTGACCACCAGAAGCCTGACGCTTGTCCATGGGAACAGCATCAGGAAATCGGAAAGTGCGGACGGCAAGCTCTCTGTCAAAGGTAGAGGCAGAGACATAACCTGCCAGAGCGACAGCAGCGCCGAGATAGATGAGGGGTGTTGCAACCATGGTCTCAGATTGGGTGCAGGTGTGTGTCTGCGTCGTCGTCTTGGATAGGTGCAGAAAGCGAGTGGCTGAGAGAGACTCGTGCGTGTTCTGGCAAAGAGCAAGCGAGGGACGGGTGGGTGATGATAAGCTGAGGCGAGAGCTTTTGCTAGGGTGGGATAGGGAGCTTGGCTGCAGAGATGGAATATGGTGTGAGGGAGGCGGAGAGGATTAGACCTCTTATATCTTTGGTCACCTCCACTTTTATGATTTAGTTAGAGGACCACTTACAAAGGCTTCTATCAAGCCTTGGTGGTTGTCCTTCATTTGAATCCTTTCTGCGCCATGGCGGAGCCGCAAGGATCCGAATGATCTGAGTCTGAGAGCATGTAATCCAAAACACAAAGAAGTTCGAAGAGTTGGGTGATCTGGAACCAAGTTCCAATAACCTCATTTCCGATCTCGCAATGAACGCTGCAGAGCCGTTTCTCGTCCCGCTTTCAGAGAAACATGCGAGTGCCTAGGCGGTACCACCGACACAAGCACCGGGTCAGAATAAATTCCATCGGCAGTCCAATAGAATGTGATGGAACATGCCGAGGTACGATATGGGCCCGAAAATTCCTTAGGAACCAGACGAATTTAGTCTAGGTGACAGGTGTGGCGGCCGTGATGATGACAGGGGCAGGGCACAGGCAGCCAGGCTTCATTGCGTGGGAGATACGAACAAGCCGAAGTCGGGGTAATAAACGCTGAAGACCTTGTTCACAGAAATCACCTTTCGGACTAAAACATCCCTGTGACTTTGAGAGCGAGGGATTTTGCACAAACCATCAGGAACTATCACAAGCCGTCGCTTAGCTGGGCTTGCTCAATTTGGACCGTTGATTCTAAGTACCAATCAGAGAACGATAGATCATCTAATCAGATGATCAGATATCGCGCAAGATGTGGGTTGGACCCACCGCAGGGAAGGATCACAATCAATCATTGGTCAAGAAAATCTGATAAATTTTGTCCCCAGGAGTCCCCTGTCAACCGGGTCCGTAGAGTGGGGAGGCATGGTTCGATCGAACCGAGGACGACGCGAGCGGGGTCAAACAGAACTTGTTTGGGTGGAAAGACCGTGGGAGAGAGGAAAACTCTGGAGGATGGTAAGACTTGAGACAGGCTTAGCTTCAACATGGCTGGCTGGACCACGGAGAAAGTCGGCAGGAAGGCGAGGGTCGCGAGACAGCCGACGACTTGGCAAGAGAATGAAGAAGCATATATGGCCATGCCCTGCAGTTCCTAGATGCTCACATATTCCCCGTTCTTTTGTCTCACCACAGCTCCCAATCTTGTACCTTGTGCTCAATCAAGCGTTGAACGGGTGACTCGTCATATCAGACCTCTCTGGCATTTTATCATCCAAACTCTGAGCACTTCCCCTCTGGACAACTCAGCCTAAAATGGTCTCTACCACCAAGGCCGCTGCCCTCTTCGGCAGCCTCTTCATCACTACCGCCGTCGCTGCTGATACCACCAGCGATACGATGGGCGCTGGTGCCTTTGTGTGGCCCCCCGACCGTGCGTGGATCGACGGGCATGATGAGATTGCCCCTTGCGGCTCTACCGATGGAGTCGGCGAGAGGACACCATTCCCCTTGAGTACGTATCTGTTCCAATCCCTTTAAAAGTTACCGCATCCATGCGGACATTCTGGGGCGGTAGCTGACGGTGAACTCTACAGCCAACGGCAAGCTTGCCCTCGTTGCCCAAGACGCGACCCGTGCTGTCCACATCAGTGTTTCGTACAAGGATGGTAAGTCTCCTAACATTCGAATCTCGCGAAAAGACAAAGGGAGCTGGGAACACATGGCTAACAATGACTGAAAACAGACCCCAAGACCATGGACGACTTCGAGACCTTCTACGGTCCTAATGAAGTCGGCAGCCTAGACCTCGGCCACACCTGCATCAACGCCCCCGATGCCCCCTCCAACATCCGCCCCGGCATGAACGCCACCTTCGGCCTCCTCTACGTCGCCAACTTCGAGGAGAACCCGGCGTACCGCACCATCCACTACGCCTGTGCTGATGTGACCTTCGTCGAGTTCTCCGCCTTCGACGAGGCTATCCCCTGCTTCAACGCCACGACCGCCAACCCGGAGATCAGCATCGACGAGGATGTCGAGGTTACCACGACGGACAGGCACGGCAACGTCCCCCACACCGTCTCCGACCTTACCAGCAAGAGCTCGTCGGTTGGTCTGTCCACGGCTACTATTGCTGGTGCCGTCGTCGGTTCCGTCGCTGGACTTTCCGTCATCGCTGCTGTCGCCTTCTGGCTCTTCCGGCGCAACAAGAAGAGGAGCCAGCTCAACGAGCCCATGAGGCAGGTGGATGCCGAGAAGGCTAACAACGACACCCTGTCCACCCGATCTTAGACAGGGGGTCGGATCTTTCGGAAGAGGTCGCTCTCAGCTTTCACCTCGCCGTGCAAGCCTATAGTACACCGTCTTGTATCCGAATGAATATTGGATAGACTGCGTGGTCCTGAGGCTCCATTAAATCGGAGACGAGTGTTGGCATGACGATTAAAAGCAGTATGATGTATGAGCTCATGCAAATAACCAGACAACCTAGGTAGCATGGAATGAAGGCAATCAAGAGATGTGTGTGAAGTTGAAAGGTGGATGGACGTGGTAAAATTAAGCAAACCCACACAGTAGCATTACAGTGTCTAATTGCTACAATACGGAGTACTTCCTACGTACAGTTAACGTCAGTGGAGGTACCTATCCGTTGTACCTACTCGTAACGGTGTACTCCGTGCTAGCCCCACATTCTAGGCATCCACGCGGATTTGAACCAATAGCTGGGAACCTATCCTTGAGTACGTACCTTCAACCTCATCAACCTCAAGCTTCCATTGTTTGTTGCCTACGTCGTCCTACGGAGAACGAAGTACCTTAAAATTATCATCTCGTCTCGTCCTTGTCGTCTTCCCGTTTCATAAACTTCCAATATTTTCTTTCTTTTTTCGAACAGCCTTGCGCGATCCAACTGGCGGGGTTTCAATTCCTCGAACGAAGAGATGCGTCGAAATCCTCATTCTTCTGTACGACTCGTTTCGTAAAGTACGATCAAAACCACTGGGACCGTTCAATCGCCATTTCATCATTCATCATCGGGGCTCTCTTACAGTAACTCAACTCCGTCGCTGCCATGACCCAACCACGAGGAGACCGCGGATCGTCTCCTGCTGGGGTAGACGTGAATGAGGATGATACACAATATATGGCCGGTGGCATGACACTCGAAGAGCTTGACGAACAGTTTGCCCTCACCTTCCCTTCCCCTACTGGGGCGCTCAAAACCCCTGCAATCTCAACTGACTGGTGGACAGCTATCCGAATCGCCCACGGAATCATTCAGATACGCTTCCATTTCATGTTCTTTTCGAGACCTTGTTCAACCCATTGAACGAACACAAGAAATCATCGGGGCCTCGTATTCCCCGCACCAAGCTTGGGCCCCATGGACCTTCCAAGCTCTCACCTCATGAGCAAAGGCGGCACATTATTGAACGCTTCATCTCAAGATGGCGCAACGATGTTGGCGATGATATATTCCCCGCACTACGACTCATTCTCCCCGACAAGGACCGCGATCGGGGCGTCTACGGTTTGAAAGAGAATGCCATCGGAAAGCTTCTGGTTAAGCTCATGAAAATCGACCGGAATTCCGAGGACGGATACAACCTACTCCACTGGAAGCTCCCCGGTCAGACGACGGCATCTCGAATGGCCGGTGACTTCGCAGGGCGGTGCTTCGAGGTCCTATCCAAAAGACCGATGCGTACCGAGGTTGGCGACATGAGCGTCCGGGAAGTCAATGATCACCTCGACAAGCTAGCCGCCTCAGCGGGCGAGAAGGAGAACCTCCGGATTTTCGAAGAGTTCTATCAGAGAATGAACGCCGAGGAGCTCATGTGGCTGATCCGCATCATCCTTAAGCAGATGAAGGTCGGCGCTACCGAGAAGACCTTCCTTCACCTCTGGCATCCCGACGCGGAGGCACTGTTCAACGTCTCGTCCAGTCTACGACGCGTATGCTGGGAGCTGTACGATCCGAACCACCGCCTGGAGCAGGAGAGCGCCGGTGTCACCCTAATGCAATGTTTCCAGCCGCAGCTAGCTCAGTTTCAAATGCCCGCCTCTTTTCAGAAGATGGTAGAGTACCTCCGCCCAACCGAGGAGGACCCCGAGTACTGGATCGAGGAGAAGTTGGACGGCGAACGAATGCAGCTGCACATGGTGGAGGATGACAACACACCTGGAGGGAAGCGTTTCGCGTTCTGGTCGCGAAAGGCCAAAGACTACACCTATCTCTACGGAAACGGCTTCGAGGATGAGCGGGGCGCCGTGACGCGGTACCTAAAGGATGCTTTCGCGTCCGGCGTGCGGAATCTTATCTTGGACGGCGAGATGATTACCTGGGATCCAGAGACCGACAAGATCATGCCCTTTGGCACACTCAAGACAGCTGCCTTGGCGGAGCAGAATAACCCGTACAACAACAAAGGCCCCCGTCCGGTGTACCGAGTATTTGACATTCTCTACCTGAACGACCAGCCCTTGACCCGCTATACCCTACGTGATCGCCATCGAGCGTTGGAAAAGGCCGTGGTAGGAGTCCGCAGGCGCATCGAAGTGCACGGCCATGAAGTCGCCACATCTCCCGATGCGATCGAGCCTCTCCTCCGCAAAGTCGTGGCCGAAGCCTCGGAAGGCCTCGTTCTCAAGAACCCGCGGTCCATGTACCGCCTGAACAGTCGGAACGACGACTGGCTCAAAGTGAAGCCCGAGTACATGGATGAATTCGGCGAGTCGCTCGACTGCGTCGTCATCGGCGGTTACTACGGCTCAGGCAAACGAGGCGGTACCCTGTCCAGCTTCCTATGCGGTCTCCGCGCAAGCGAGAACCACATCCACGCGGGCGCCAACCCGGAGAAGTGCTTCAGCTTCTTCAAAGTCGGCGGTGGCCTCACCGCCGACGACTACGCCGAAATCCGACATCGCACAGACGGGCGTTGGAAGGAGTGGAATCCCAAGAAGCCCCCGGTCGAGTACATCGAGCTTGCCAACGGCACGGCCGAAAAGCCCGATCTATGGATCCGGCCTAAGGACTCCATCGTCATCGAAGCCAAGGCGGCGAGCGTCGGGCCCTCGGACCAGTTCGCGCTCGGCATCACCCTGCGCTTCCCCCGCTTCCGCCGGCTGCGCAGCGACAAGCGCTGGGACCAGGGCCTGAGCGTGCAGGAATTCCAGGACCTCCGCCGGCGCGTCGAGGAGGCGGTGAAGGACAAGAAGATGAACGTCGAGAGGCGGAAGCGGAGACCCACCAAGCGGGCGAAGAAGGAACTGGTTATCGCCGGCACGGATGGCAAGCCGGTCCAGTTTGCCGGGGAGAAGACCAACATGTTCGAAGGGCTCGAGTTCTGTGTCTTGTCGGAGTCGCTCAAGCCGTTCAGAAAGACCAAGGCGGAGCTCGAGACGCTCATCAAGGAGATCGGCGGACGTATATCACAGCGCGCGGTGCCCTCGTCGGGTATGATCCTCGTGGCTGATAAGAGGGTGGTCAAGGTCGCCAGCCTGATCAAGGGCGGCGGGGCGGACATCATCCGTCCCTTATGGATCAAGGACTGTCTAGCGCAACACGACGACTCTGCCCTGCTTCCCTACGAGGAACGGCATCTGTTTTACGCGACCGATGAGATGAGGGAGATGGCACGACAGCATACCGACATGTACGGAGATAGCTATGCGCGGGTCATCGACGTCGATGAACTGAGAGCCATCATGAACGGGATGCCCAAGAACGAGGAAAGCGATTTCGATGCAGACGAGTTTCTGAAGCAGCTCGAGGAGCGGGGACATGGATTGCCCCCCTTGCGGAGTACGCTTTTCCGGCGGTGCGTAGTCCACGTGCGGGCACCCAACGTCGATGATCTGAACGCACTACGATTGCAACATTACATTTCGTTTGGAGGTGGACGACTTGCCAGCGGGCTCAAGGATGAATCTATCACGCATATTGTGCTGCTAGGGGACGAGGACGAGAGGCAAGACGGCGCCATCACTGTGCGGAAGGAGCTGAAAGGACGGCGCAAGCTCCCCAATCTTGTGACGGGACGGTGGGTGGAAGATACGTGGAAGGAGAAGAGGCTGCTTGGTGAGGAGAAGTACATCCAGCCATGAAATCAGCCCGTGTAATGTAATGTACTTTATTACTGTTGTCATGACTGGTCAGGGCGGGGATTGTGAAGACTTCAAATAGGTCGCAATAAGATGATATATACGGGCGTTGTCTCAGTCCGCAAACTGCGCACAGGAGCCGTCGAACGCTTAACAATATACCTCGCTCTCACAAACTAGGTACGGCTTGAACCCCCGTACTCTTCGACCCGCACCCCTGATGCACTTCTAGTGATGCTGCTTCTCTCTCTGCCGGGCTCCCCATTGCACCGGGATACGTGCAGCGTAGCTTCATTTCGTCCAAGCGAAAGAGAAAGCTAGATAACTTAACTACTTGCCAATGGTCAGGAACAGACGATCGCCTATATCGCCCAAACCGGGCTTGATCATCCCCTGTCCCGTCAACTCCGGGTCCACAGCCGCAAGCCAAATCTCAGTCGCCTCGGGCCACTCCTCCGCAGCGCGACGGACACCCTCCGTGGCCCCAACAATGGACAGCACGACTATGCGCCGAGCGCCCCACTCCTTAAGCGTCTGGATGGCAGCTGCACACGTTCCGCCGGTGGCGATGACAGGGTCGAGTATGATGGCGAGACTCGACGCGTACGGGGCACCGGTGCCGTCGGCCTCGGCTTCAAGGGCAGACGCGGTGGTGGAGGAGGGAGCGAAGGCGGCGGCGGAGGTGGAGTTGGCCTTGAGGGTCGGGTCGGGGATGTGATGGGGCAGATTGTTGTAGTACTCGACCGGTTCGAGGGTGGAGGGTTCGCGGTAGAGGCCGAGGTGGTGGACGGGGACCGGGTCGGGGAGGATGGTTTGGAGGGCGTCGACCATGGCGAGACCGGAGCGGAGGATGGGGATGAGGGAGATGGTTTGCGGGGCTATGGTGGCGGTGTCATAGGGGAAGCCCAGGTGAGTTTCGTCCTGGTTGGGGGCAACGGAGTTAGCAAATGAAGCGGGCCTTCCGGGAAGTATTTGAAGGGCGAGTTGGTGAGTTGGTGGACCATGGCGGTGGGATGTTGATAAGGGGGATGCAGCCGTTCACCTTAGGTCCTTGGACGGAAGTGGTTGAAGTTGCCAGGGCATCACAGCCTAGTATTAGGGAAATATCGTGGACAAGCGACTTGACATCCTTTGCTGGAGTTGCCTTTAACCGGAGTTGGGAGAGCTTGGCCAGGAGGCAAGGATGGGAGGAGATATGAACGTTTGGCGGGAGGTCACGAACAGACGCCATGGTTCTAGGGATCAGAAACACTAATGCTCAAAAAGCACGCGGAATTTGAAGGATATATAGGAATATATAGGTATATATATAGGGGGAGAGAGAGAGAGGTCGTGAGGAAGGAGGGAGATGAAGAGAGGAGAAGAGGAAGAGAGGAAGAGACGTGAGAGGTTTGGAGGTTGGGAAGTTGGGATGGAATGAAAGGTACGGTACCAGTTGGCCGACAGGTCACGGACTCGGGGCCTGGATAAGGTACAGTAAGGTACCTTAATTATTTATAAGGTACCTTACCTGTCAGATGCCCACAGCCACCTTATCGAGGTGTGACAAACCACATTGTGTCTGACGTGTTGAGTACTTCGTTCCGATGTATCCAAATTCATTTCCCCTCATTTTTCCTAATAGTTAGACATCCCCGTGAAGTACCACGAACTTCACTTAGATGAATAAGGTAGGTAGGTACACACACAATTCCGAGTACCTTGATTTGTGTTCTGACAGTTAAGGTACCTTTCCTTGCTTAAGAGGAGGGGGCATTCAATCAATGGCGGGGGAAGTGAGATAAGATAAGGTAATGATAAGATAAAGAAAGGAGTGCCCGCTGTGGATCCGAAACTCTCACCAGAGCAAGGTCAGCTCGGTGTACGGAGTAGGTAATTACCTAAGGTATTATTAGCTCGGTAATCTCGGTGAATGGCACATGACTCAGTTACTCGTAAGCTAATTACGAATTCTCCTCCTTGCTTCTTCCGCCTCGCTATCTAAGTCGTGAAAAAGCTGCAACCGCCGGCATGATGCCAGATTGTATCTGGATCCATCGCCGGGACTTCCTCCGAATCTATTATCTCTCTATTCATTATCTGTGTATCCATGGAGCTGTCCCGTGAAGCAGTTGATTCACCACCATGGCGATCAGTCCCGCCATCACGGGGTTACCAACATGATCTCAGCCCTAGAAGCCATCAACGACACAGGAAACCTGCCTCTCACCTTGCGTCAAAGGTCTACACCTACTCCCATCTCATTTTCTTCTCTTTACTAGGAAATCTTGCACGAATAGGACTCCAAGCTTTGACTTTCTACCCCGGAGCTCCCGTCACCTTCCCCATCCTGTGGGCCAACGTTGCCGGCTGCTTCATCATGGGTGCACTGGTGGAAGACCGTTCTTTCTTCCACTATCCTCTTTGTCTAAGGTCGCAGGAAGTCGAGCTCCCAGAGGAGGAACCCACCGATCCAGCCAGAGCCGAGTCCGGAGCCCAATTGGAATTGACACCGTCTATAGGTGACGATCAAAGTCCAGCCTCGTCCGACCAGCAGGGAAACGTCGCCTATAAAGCACACATGGCGGCCAAGAAGGCTATCCCGCTTTACCTCGGCCTGACCATCGGCTTCTGCGGCTCCTGCACGTCCTTCGCCATCGTCATACGCGACATGTTCCTCTCCGCTTCCAACGACTTGCCTCAGACCCCTCCTTTCGCCATGACGCCCCCCTGGCCCCGGAGCGGCGGCCACTCCTTCCTCGCCGTGCTCGCTGTGCTCATCGTCAGCGTCACGTTGTCCTATGCCGCCTTTGTGGTCGGCGCCCACTTCGCGGCCACCGTCCTACGCCCCGTCATGCTTCCGCTGCCGTTCGCCCTGATGCGCAACTGCCTCGACCCCCTTGCCGTCGTCCTGGGCTGGGGCTGCTGGGTCGCCGCCATCCTCCTGGCGGTGTTCCCCCCGCACGACCGCTGGCGCGGCGACGTGCTTTTCGCGCTCGTTTTCGCGCCGGTTGGCTGTCTCTTGCGCTTCGAACTCTCTGCTTGGCTCAACATGCGCGTGCCCTCCTTCCCGGTGGGGACTTTTGTGGCTAATATACTCGGCACTGTTCTCCTGGGCATGGGGTATGACCTCATGGTCGCGCCCGTGGGCGGTGTCCTCGAATGTCAGGTCCTGCGAGGTATCGAGGTCGGTTTCTGCGACTCCTTGACCACCTTGTCGTCTTGGATCGCCGAGATGGCCGCCCTGGGGAAACGGCACGCTGTTACCTATGGCGTAGTGAGCGTCTCTACCGCCTTCTCCTTGCTCACTGTCATCATGGGAGCGATGCGCTGGGGCCATGGATTCGGGGCACCTCTGTGCTAGTGTCGTCAGCTCCCGTTTCACACCTAGAATTGCATTTTGCAGGGGAACACTTGTCTGGATTTTTTTTTTTTTTTTTACAGAACCTGTTGAGGCCTTGCACAAATAGGCATATATTACTATCCATACTGGGGACTGGTGGTATACGGGTATTCCATCTCATGATCTCAATATATCCATTCCATTACCAAACGGATCCCGCATTCGAGCACCGACGTCCGAGCAGAATCCAGATTTAACCGAAACAAAAGCCTGCCGTCTACTCCGCAATAACGCTCATCTAAGCACCGAAGTCTCAACGTTTTCCGGGGTAGGCCATATCGGCAGAGGGCTGGTATTCCTGCTGAATGGCCTGGGCAGCCGGGGGAGCCTTCTCCTGCGCCTCTTTCTCCTGCTGGACCAGAGAGCAGCAAGCGCAGCAGCACGAGAGGGCGAGGTCGCCGAGGCAGGTGCCTTGGAGGTGGAACTTTGCGCGGACCTGGGCGCGTTGCATGGCGGCGGGGATCCAGTGAAGGCCCACGCAAGACGAAGCGCAAAATAGGAGACACTAAAGATCCGAGATGAGGTTGTCAGCTCATCGGGGGGAGGTCCAAAAGGAGGATGAAGAGGCCAAAAGTTGGCCGAGGACTCACCGACGTGTTGACGGGCTCATAGCCGTCTAGGTTGGCATCCCGGTTGAGGCGGTGATGCGTCTTCCCGAAAGTGACGCAAGGCAAGCAGCAGCTCACGAGGCACAGGTCGATGGGGTTGAAGCAGGCGAAGAGGGAGTTGTTCCAGCTCTGAGCCGACGCGGGCGAGCTGGAGTGGATGACCTCGCCAGGTTTCGCGAGGACTTCGTTGAATCTTTGCGTCCATTCCTCGACGTCGCGGTTGTCGATAGGGCCTGCGCGGGCCTGGGTAGATGTTTGAGGGGCAGCCATTTTTTATTATTATTAAGCTAGGTAGTAGAAATGTCCGTCGACAAGGGAAGCAAGACAAGAAAGAGAACGGATATGATAACTGTCTGGAGCGAAGTAGAAAGGAGTGGATGGCAAGAAAAAGACTGCGAAAAGCTAAGGACTGGTTCAGCTGAAGAATCGGTTGCTGTTTGGTGTTCTCCCAAGCAAGGCAGAATTTAGAACATGCTTCTATTTATCTTTCCGCACGTTCCTCGAGACTTCTTAAAATTTGACGCAGCCTCTTCGCCCAGACGATACTCCTTACTCAAATTACTCAAATTACTCAATCCGTCTTGGAACGGTCAATAGCGGCCATCCCAAATGCCATGTGTTCACGACACCAAGGCAAACGAGTTCTCGGTGGCTGTAGGGCTGATGCGTCTAGTTCATAGCACCCCTGCGTAAAAGCCCCTGACTTCTGCCAACTCCTGACACCGAACATTAACTATAGCCGTAGGCCTCACAGACGGCTCAGGGATGGTTGCGCCGGACTGACTGCTCTCATCTTCATCTTCGTGTTAACAGTTACAACGTGGGCCATTGGGTAGGTGCCCACAACTCTCGTCTAATGGGTAGCCTATCGCGAAGCCCACAACACGACGCCTCATTTCCCAGAAGGGAGGCCTGAGCTTTGACACTCGAACTTGTCCCAAAACAGAGCACTAAGTCCTCAACCCTGCGTATGTAGGCCTCCCATCACTCGGCTTCGGTGACCCGTTTGGGCCCAAGTGTCGGGACAAATGGGCCCAGATTTACAGATATTCAAGCCACCGCACCCGACCTTATCTCGGGGACCGAGTTCGTCTTATTTGTTCGACTTGTCATCTGTGCGAGGTTGCAGGTAGAATGGAGATCGGAATTCAACAAGGCAGTTTCCCACGCCGGAAAGCAAAAATCTACTTTGTAACGAGGGACGTGTTGATCGGTCGGAAGATTCGCGGAATTCTCAATTCATTCCTAACAGAATCCGTGATGGAGGCTGCGAGTTAGGTAACCTTCTTGGTCTAAAATAAGACGAGCATGTAGGAAAACCAAAGGGAAGTTCATCGCCTTCATCAGGACAATGCAATGCTATATCCCATAGCAAGCACTTCACTAACGAATAGGCCCGCGACTATGGTTAGTTTAGTCTGGTGCTATACTATACTCTGTTTACTGGAACAGGCTGGGTCAAGTGGAAAGCAAGGATGGACTAGAAAACACTTGGAAGAAACCTGGCCGTCTGCACTTGCTCCGTATATCTGGATCGTTCCGGCAAAATGCAGACAGTATCTCGCATCCTCGTATTCTGGACGGCATTTGGGCAGTGTGACATTGGGCTGACCACGGGCCACTGCCTGTTGAGTATGGATGCTCGCCGATTCCGACCCACCGTGGAAGCACGTCCTCATCTACGCATGTCGCGTCGATGGTCGGCTTCTGGCTCAGTTTGGTCCGTCATGACTTCAGGTCTTGCTTCGCCGAGTCTCGCGTGTGGTGGTTGGTTTGGTAGGGGACTGACGACATCAGCCTTGAAGAAAGAAGAAGCTTCTCAAGCTTTGTTCACGACTGGACTCTCTGGGAACTCCCGAGAATCGCGCAGTAGGTGTGACAACCATGTTTGTTTCTGGACGGGTTGTCGGATTTTTCTTTCGGATGGGGAGGGCGGGAAATATAAGTGCAAGAATGAGGGACAGTTTAGGTACATAAAGCTGAATAATCAATCTAATCGATAAGCTTTTTTTGGGGGGGAAAAGGGGGGGGGGAGATACTAAAAATACAATTACGATAAGATTTGATCCTTCTTCCACTCCCACCAACGCATAGCAACGGAATATTCTCCGTTCATAACCAACCTCCACACCAAGCCTGACGACATCTCGGATGTCTGCCACGAGGGGAGAAGACAACAATGAAAAAGGAAGGTCGGCAAAGGTCGACATGCGAATTTTGCACAATGGAAACGTTCATTGGCCTCTGACCGGACGGCACTGATCACGGCAGATGGCGTCATCGGTCTAAGTCACCGAACAGGAATTTCTCTTACGCAGCAAATGGAGCAGATTTATGGGTTCCCTTCACGTCTGGAAACCACTAACACAGCTCAGATTCTCGACGGAGGGCCACTACTTTCGTAAAAGCTGAGCTAAACTAAACCGACCAGTGAGCTTCCTTCATTGCCGGCAATCCGCTGCCGCCACTCGGGGTTCTGGCTGTGCCACTCCCGCCTTCATCGAAGGCTTAGCATTGACAGGAAACGATAGCAAAGCACTTCGTTTTCCCTATGCTAGTCTGTGCTAGCACTGCCAGGAGATCACGTACTCTGCTAATGGAATCAACAGATCGTGAACTCGATGGATCCCTTCCCACATGGGGGCACACGAGCACACATTTTCGATCCTCTCAACGCGGCCACCAACAACCCCAAACCCAACAACCAACAACCAACAACCCACGCAGCACATCATAGACCCTGTCACTATGACCATGTCCGCATTCGTTCCGTTCATCAGCTTGGGCACCATCTAATTTATGGAATTTCCCAAGCCGTCGAGTCTTCGCATAGTGGCGGTCTTGGGAGCCATCACGCAACCCGAGCCTCGACGCACCGGAGCTTCTGAGCTTCCCGTTCCGTCGTTTGCGCCATCAGCGTGGCTCTTCGTCTCATTTCCGCCGTCCCTCGTACCGCGTGGTGTTCCCCTCGCCAACGTTGCCAAACATCCCGCCCACAAAGCCCTCACGAGGAGCAGTGACCCAGCCGCAAGTTCACCATGGGTCCGTGGATCAATCCGTCTCCCTTGGCGTGGCGGTCCGCCCCTGCCCTGCGGCGCCGTACCTGTTCGCCCTGGCCCCTTTGATCGGCACTCTTTTAGTTCCTCTTTTAAAAAATATAAAGCTCTTCTGGACCGGACCCTTTCTAGCTCCAATCATTCTGTCGTCTCGTCCTTGGTTCCCTTCCCTTCTCACCTTGTCCCACGGTCCTCGTCTGGCTTTATTGCCTTGATCATCCGCATCTCAGTCCCCGGCAGAGGACAGTTACGCAACGGATATCAAGCTACTTGAACCCCCCGTCGAAGTCGATTCCTACCGTAACTTCACAACCGTTTGTGTGGTCAGGGTACACCGTACAGGCACGGACACATTGCCTACCATGTCGGACAGCTTTGCTCCTCGGGTCCTCGCCGAGTCGGCCCCCGGGTCTTCAGGCGGTATCGAGAATAAGGATGGCCTCTTGGCCACTGTCGACGACCGTGACAGCGAAGTCGGTAAGTTTGATTCAGTTTCTCTCCTATCGACTGCATAATATACATACATGCACACATACGCACATACATACATGCATGCATCTATCCATCCATCGGGTCGTCCGTATACTGAAACGCAGCCTCTACTACAGGCCAGATCGAACAGAAACGCGAAGCGAAGCGCCAGATCGGCATCATCTCCGCCGCCTTCCTGATCTTCAACCGCATCGTCGGCACCGGTATCTTCGCCACCCCGGGCAGCATCCTCGGCCTCTCCGGGTCCGTCGGCCTGGCCCTCTTCATGTGGGTAGCCGGCATGCTCATCGCCTGCGCCGGTAGCGCCGTCTACCTCGAGTTCGGAACCGCCATCCCCAAGAACGGCGGCGAGAAGAACTACCTCGAGTTCGTCTACCGCAAGCCCCGCTTCCTCGTCACCGGCCTGTACGCCGGCTACGTCGTCCTCCTCGGCTGGGCCGCCGGCAACTCCGTCGTCTTCGGCGAGTACATCCTGCACGCCGCCAGCGTCGAGATCGACCGCTGGAACCAGCGCGCCGTCGGCCTCGCCTGCATCACCGTCGCCTTCCTCATCCACGGCACCGCCCTCAAATGGGGCCTGCACCTGCAGAACTTCCTGGGCTGGGTCAAGCTGACCATCGTCGCCATCATGATCATCGCCGGCTTCGTCGCCCTGGGCGGCCACCTGAAGATCCCCAACGACTTCAACAACTTCCACAACGCCTTCGAGGGCACCACCGCTTCGGGCTACGGCGTCGTCACCTCGCTCTACAACGTCATCTGGTCCTACCTCGGCTACAGCAACGCCAACTATGCCCTCAGCGAGACCAAGAACCCCGTCCGGACCCTCAAGATCGCCCTCCCCCTCGCCCTGGGCGCCATCTCCGTCATCTACATGCTCATCAACATTGCCTACTTCGCCGCCGTCCCCAAGGACGACATCCTCAACTCGGGCCGTCTTGTGGCTGCTCTCCTCTTCCGCAACGTCCTCGGCGGAACCGCCGAGCGTGCCCTTTCCGTCTTCGTCGCCCTCTCGGCCTTTGGAAACGTCTTGTCCGTCATCTTCTCCCAAGGCCGCATCGTCCAGGAACTCGGTCGCGAGGGCATCTTGCCCTTTTCTCGCCTCTGGGCCAGCAACCGTCCCTTCAACGCTCCTCTCGCCGGTCTCTTCGAGCATTGGCTCATCTGCGTCATTGTCATGCTTGCTCCCCCGCCTGGCGATGCCTACAACTTCATTCTGAAGTAAGTCTTTACTTCCCCGTCTACACCATATAAATCCCTCTCCCACAGCCACCTCCTTTCCGGGTGATCGTTACCCGATAACTAACATTCGTCTTAGCCTCATCTCCTACCCTCTCGCCATCGTCAACACCTTCGTCGCCGCCGGCCTCGCCTACCTCTACTTCAACCGCGCCGCCCTCAGCTGGAACCCTCCCTTCAGCGCCACCCTCCCCGTTATTGGCTTCTTCTTCCTCAGCAACCTGTACCTCGTCATCGCTCCGTTCGTCCCCCCTCCCACCCCGGACCAGAACCAGTACGCCGAGCTTCCCTACTGGATCCACTGCGTTGTCGGCTTCGGCATCATCTTCCTGGGCGGCGTCTATTGGCTCTTCTGGGCCGTCATCCTCCCCAAGGTCGGCAAATACGAGCTCGTGCGCGAGGTTGTCGTCGATGACATTGATGGCTGGGAGCGTAACGTCTTCTTTAGGCGGCCTCTTGGCTCTACTGCCTCCGATGATGGAGCTATTGCAGAGGGCAATAGCCAGTAGACTGGTTGAGGATGTTTCCGTCCGTTACATCTTGATTTGGCTGTGGGATAGGGAGACTTTTTGCTCATGATATTGTTGGATACCACATATGGCGCTGTACCACCCTTGCTTTTTGTGTAGCCTGCTTTCGTCCGATAGACATAATACTAGTTGGGTAAATATACCCCTGTCACCAAGAAGATGTTCAAGGAGAACAAACTGGGCAGTTTTATGAACTGCAGACTCGTAACCCCAGGATAGGTGGGGGAGAAGAAGCCTCCGCTGTCATTTAATTTCTCTCCGAATTGTAACGATAATGCCCAATCCGCTGGACCAGAAACAACCCTGTGCAAGTTAAGAACCAAAACAAAAGCTCCGCCCTGGACAATGACAGTGTGTTCTCGCTCGCCTTATTCACCTAGCTTACCAGCTCTCTGCACCATCATGGTGGAATCCCGCTGTACTACTTCAACGTCCGTCCTTTCTCATTCTCGAGATCTAGGCGAGCCCTCGAATTCACCTAGCGATGGCGGCGCCAAAGCAGAAAAACGCCGACTGCAACGACAGTAATGGCGGCGCTAGTAAAAATGACACTTCTTAGCGAGCCTTGATCCAAGGACTCGAAGATGAGGTGCCCCGCCGCCTCATCATCTTCCCTGACATCACAGCCCTCGTCCGGCGTGTTTACATCAGGCGAGGCATCATCCCTTGCCAGCCCTCCGGCGCCGTGGCTATTGTCATCGATACCATCGACCTCGTCGGAACCCGCCTCTTGTTTGGAATCCCGTATGGGTGGAAGAGGGTCAGACGATAAGGGCTCCGGCCGCGGAAAGTTCCATCGCCAAGAGGAGAGACGGTTCTCGACAATGTGCTCGGACGTGATCAGGCCGCCCGCAGTGTTGCCCCCTCCGGCGGGTGTCGGGCCTGGGCTTCCCTGAAGGGGAATGATGGGCTCCGGAAAGACGAAGGAGGGGATCGTCGGGGTCTCGGCGGAACGAGTCCCAATCAGTATCTCAAGCCCCGGAAGTGGAAAGGTTCCGGTGCCGGCGGCCTGGAATTGGGCGCTCGGCCGGTCGTACGCCCTGTTAAGTTCCTCTGTTTCAGCGGGACTCTCCTGCTGTTCTGCTGGTGTCGTTGGCGTTTCAGCCGGCTGGTCCTGGCTGGCTGCACTCTGGCAGAGTAGAAGGAGCGTGTTAGTGGCGGCTTTATCAGAGAGATGGAGGCAAGGCCCTATGTATGTGAGGGAGCAGGTAGAAAAGTGAACATGAGAGGCGTAGTGTAGGTAATTTGTAGTGGTTCAACGTACTTGTAACTCAACGCTCTTAGCATTTGAAAATACCTGACCTTCCTGACGCTGTTGATGCCGAGGGCCTGTAGAATCATCACTGGCCCCCTGCTCGCCGATTCTATCATTGGGTGCCATGGCAGAAAAAGTCTGGCGGTGCTCGGTGAAAAGCGCAAATCCAGCCGACTGTCATCTACAGCCGGGCTCTTTGTATGGTCGAATGAGGGTAAGCTGAAGACTGGCAAATATGCAAATTGAATTAGTCGACACCACTCAGTCCAATGCCCAGGCCCCAGACGGAGACACTAATCTTCCCTTCGAAAAAGGAGCAGTAATAGCTACATACCTAGATAATACAGCCCACGTTATTACGGTAGACTTGGTAATAACGGTATGGCTCTGTGGTAGTGATGAAGAACTGACATGTTCAGAATTCCCGACGAGCCGCACAGCCCGTGTAAAGTTCAAATATACGGGGACAATGGTGTCAACGAAGGACAAACGTCACAGAAAGAGGTATCCAAGAGCTCGCAGGCTGATAGATCCTTCATTCAACCTTGTCTTGGTAAACCTTGTCTTGGTACAAGAGGATAAACTTTTGCAGTGCCTCAAAGGCAGCGAGAGAAAGCAGGACCATTATCTTTCTGGTGGCGCTTACTGGGGAAAGAACTAGAATATCAAACAAGTACATCAATGCCGAAGAGGTGCATAACCCTCCATGGCTTTTCTCAGGGGCATACCTTCGGGCCTATAAAGTAACATTGTCGTGTCTTGTTGGTCCTTTGCCTACCCCAGTCTGCTCATCAGGCTCTGCTTCTGCTTCAACCGCATCATAGGTAGTACAGCCTGCATTTCAAAATTTCGCCAGGTTTCCTGGAGATGATCCCGACAGACCTCATGGACCTTCAATGAGGAGGTCCGTAGATGGAGTCCCATGCAACCCGCCGTTCAGTCAATAAATTCAAAGCCCCAGCAACTTCGCCTCACACCTTAAAAGTCCATCTTCAGGGTGTCCTTCCCTGCCCAAGAATCTCCACATACCGCCTCACCAGTTTCTTCCTCGTCCCGGGGGTCTTGGCCATCTCGATCCTCACGAGGACACGATACCGCAGGGTCTTGTTCAATCCCCCAAAATATTGCTGTGCAGAGGGAGTCGCCTCCAAAGCGACGCGAAGGTCCTCGGGCACAGTGATACTCCGTTGCCCCGCGTAGGCGCTGTCCCACCGTCCATCCGCCTTCGCGGCATCCACCTGCTGCTGACCTGCGGGTCGCATACGACCCGCCTTCGTGAGAGCCGCCACTTTCTCGACATTGCGGCGGGACCAGACACTTTTCTTGCGGCGCCGGGTAAACCGCTGGATGAAGTGGTGCTCGGAGAGGGCATTGCGCTGTCCGTCAATCCAGCCGTGGCAGAGGGCCGTATCAACGGCTTCGTCGTAGGTTATGGAAGGCTCGGGCGCCCCTTTTTTGGCGATCTTCATCAGGAGTCCTGGGGAGGTGGCGTGGTTTTCTGAGAGCCAGGCATCAAATGCCGCTGCCGTTTCGAACAGAAGGGTTGGGAGAGATGGGGAAGAGGAGGTGGAGGTGCTAGAGGGAGATGGACCGCTAGATGGGGTTGATGGGATCGACGATGACATCGCCACGGTGGGAATGGAAGGTGATGTTGCGGTCGCCGTTGGCATTCGAGCAAGCGTCTTGGCTGTTGAGCGGGTTATTCTCGCCATGATTAGTCGAGTAACGCGGTTACACTTCGAGATGAACGGAAATGACAAGCAACGATTCCAATTTCGCCGACTTGCTCGAGACGCGGGGTTGTTGACTGGCCGACGTGTCTTCGATTGATGGGGGACACGCCAACGTCGCGAAGTCACATGATTATCCAGAGCATATTACGTAACCTTGTATTGTCTTCGTTTTGTCTTCCCGTCCACTCGGACTGCTTCCTTTTTACCTAGGTAGCGAGATTTGCTTAGCGAGATTGTTTGATGCTGGAGATTATCTTCTGGAAGATGCATCTTCTTCGTCCTGCATTCCCTCACACTCCAGGCCAATGCGCCGGCAATGCGCCCTCGGGGTCGCCAGTGAACATAATACCAGCCAGGAAGGCAGTCAGATAAGCATCTAACTTCGCCAGTACGTGTCTGAAATGGGGCTGACAAGAGGACGAAGAACGGCCATCGAGGGTCTTATTTCTTCTCTCTCACGGCTCACGTTATCTCTCCAAAGCACCTGTCAGCGGGGACCTAGACTGCGGTCACAATTGTTCCGCAAAGGTTCGAGACCTATGTGCGTATACCTTAGGTATAATCCGGACGTCTTTCTTTCTTTCCCGCGATTCGGGATGGTGTATAGAATATAATTCGAAAGCGCTGTCTTTAAGGTGCCTATCTAGAGTCTCCAAATTCAAAATACCTTAGGTACTACGAAAATAGTACAAGTCGGAGTAGAAGCACGGGTGAAAGAGTCAAATCCGTGGAACTTATATCGATTGACGGTATCAATTAACCTCTTGGTTTTGCAGCATGATTATATTATTCGTGAGTGCTTCAGTCAACTCCAGGATGCCTCTCCCAATCTAACCAGAGCGTTGCTTCTCCATTTCCCCATTTTCCCACCAAGCCATTACTCCTATAACCGAGAACGTAGTCTAGACCGGGCACTGCGTCGTGCCGTGTGTTATCGCATATTTTTGTCCTCTCCCGTTTCCAGAACTGCACCATCCGGCCCTAGCAGGGTCTACATTGTAGCCCTCCCAGGATCCCCCCCATCGTTATCGCCGTCCCCTGCATCGCGTCTTAAAAAACGATGAGCGAATGCTATGTTCTTAGCTCTTCCCCGAGACGTAACTCGCGGTGCAGGAATTGGACGACGTCGTCCATGCCGGTTGGCCAGTTGAACCAGTGGCCTCCGTCTGGGTACTCCTTCCACGTAATTGGCGACCCGTAGCTTTCCAGTTGATCCCGCAGGTCCCGGCCCAAGTCCACCTTGATTAGCGGATCATCGGCGCAATGCTCCAGGAGCACAGGCGTGTTCCGGATCACTTCGTTGTCCTCCGGGACGTCTTCCAGGTTCAAAAGCTGTCGTTTCTCTGCCAATGTACCCCCGGGGAACGGTATCCTGCAAGAGAAGCCCACCACGGCACCTAGCCTCGGAACGCCCCCTAGTCGGTTCCCATTCATATTCGCGTCCGTCTCTCCGTCTGCGTGTCCTGTGTGGTTCGCGTCATCTGGCGTCGGAACCCTGAGGTTAAAAAGCGTGTGCATTGACGTAGCGGCACCCTGACTGATCCCTGCGAGGACGATCCTGTCCCACCGGCCTCCCAGCAGTTGCGCCTCGTCGCGGAGAAGGCGGCGTATTAGCGCCACGCTCTCCCGTAGGCCCTCGACCTGCACCTCTGCGCGCTCGGAAAAGTCCTGGAGATTCCATGAGTCGAACCACTGGGAGATGTACTCGATGGGGTTGGCGGCGCGGTAGCTATACTTCGCTTGGGGGAAGACCCAGCGGAACGATGGGAAGGCGGCCGGCAGGGAAAGGCCCTGCGACGTTGGCGAGGAATGCAGGGAAGCGGCGAGTGATTTGGCAGTTCCGCCCCGTCCGTGAAGGAAGACGACTGTGTGAGTATGTTCCGTCACGGGCGGAAAGGTGACCAAGGCGAGATCCATGTCGGTGGTGAGCGGTTGAGCGTCAAGACTCGAAACCACTGGGCCGATGAAAAGAGAGTATGTGCTGGCGCTCTTTGCGTATCGTTCGGTTTGCAGAAGAAGGATGTAAGAATAGATGTTATCTCTGGGCAATGGCCCAGGTCCATCCGAATATTGTCAAATCTCGTTGTGTTCGGGTGCGAGCTCGAGCTGCTTGGCTAAAGTGATCGTTTCCAGTCGGCTCCCAACGCATCGTATCGGGGGAGAGGTGTTGTGGAAAATGCCCCTCCTCCTCGCTCAGGGTTCCGCGAGACACAAAATTTAAGAGAGAGGGGTGAAGGGGGAAGAAGATGCGAGAAAAGGAAGACGGTGAGTCGACCGAGAAAAGCCTCCTGGGATAAGGAAAAGAAGGGCCAGACGGTCGGTGTATGCCCAGTCAGAAAACGGAGGCGGGCAAGAGCGAGGGGGAGGAGAGGGGGCCGCCCCGATGGCGCCTGCACAGATAATGGTCTGGACCCTTTTGGACCGTCTCTCAGGTTTCTCCCGTGGGGCCCCGGGGAAACACGGCAGTAGGCAAATGCCAAGAGTCACTGTGCGACGAAGACATCGAAACGGCCGAGATGGAAGATTTGGGCGACCGGACGGGGTCCAGCCCTGCATGGCCCGGTGGCCCAATCTTCTGTTGTGTTCTCTTTACAGATTTAAGCTTTACCCGTACACTTTTATTACAGGCAACTGGAGTTGGGTCCATCATTTGCTCATGGTTTCTTTCGTGTTTTCTTTCTGTTTGTTTGCTCTATTTTGCCAAGCCCGAAAATTTAGCGGCGGGGGGCAGTGAAATGATAGTCGAGGGAAAGGGAAGGGAATTTCGGTCCAGAACACGGATGCAACTGCTGGACACAAGGCACCCGCGCCAACGGGCCGTCTCGTCTCGTCCATAGAGCCTGATATTTCCCGATCTAGTCATGTGCAGTTGGTCAGAGCGTAGTGCTGGGTGACAGGCATGGGCATGGGTCACGCTTGCCAATTCTTCAACACCACAGTCGAGAAAAAGAAGAAGTGGGGGGAAGGAAGAAGAAAAGAAAGAACGATAGAAAAAGACAAAAGTATAGTAGAGGAAAAAAAAAAAAGAAAAGAAGAGGGGAGTCCCTAATTCGGCGGCCAAAATCGACCCGAGGGACTGGTGAATATTCCACGATGTATCAGAAAGATGCCGCCGGCTAAGCTCTGCGTGGGGTCTTGGGGGTTTTTTGGTTGTACACTACTTTACTCTGTGAATACCCCGTATTGGTAGGCAGGCGCCAGTCTGATGGGCGTCCGGTATATCGCCGAGAAAAGCATGCATGCGTATCATACTAGGTTGGGCTTGGCCTGTCATCTGAAATCGAACGGCAGCGATGTGATCGAGAAGTTAGGGTAATTTCCGGACTTCTCTGCCGCGTGACTGTCTAATACTTACATGGAGGAATTGAAGGGCTCTCATTTGTTTGCGTGATTTATACCTTAAAGGAGGATACAGTGGTGTTACAAAGGCCAAGCTGCCCCGGCGCGTCATTGGGATTTTACGTACTTGTCCGCACTTGTCCACATTTTGGGCGTGGGGACTTTAAGGCTCCCCAGTGGTGACACCGCAATCTACGGAGTCCTCCGTACCTTACCGTACTGAGCACTGTACTCCATGATAATACCTAATCACTCTCAGCAGCACGGATACGTCCGTATACCTACCTACCTTACATAAGGTAAGGTAATCACCTTCCGAACGGTTGATAAGATAAGAATCTTGACACCCAGCAATGAGAATGAGCACGGACCATGTCTCATCCACCCCCGCGAGCATCTTGGCCAATAAAGTCAAACGTCTGACCCATCGTCCACGAAGAGATCACAAAAGCTTCGTCGAGTTGCGCGTTCCATGCCGGATGCCTGGCAGACCTCCCTCGGGTCCTTTCACAGACATGAATCGTTCCCGCTTAGCTCCCTTGGTCTGGTGACACTGGGAGACCACCGAAGAAGTCGCACACCGGGCTTCTCTCTCCGGACAAGATGCACGAGTTCATGGACTACGTCCGGAGCGCGTTCTATGATGCCACAGATTGGAACCGCGAGAGCTCTTACTCGTCCCTGAACTCAACTGCGAATGGTACCCCCACTTCCCCAAACATCTCACCGATATCGTCTACCAAACCAAGACGGACCAGCTGACTTGAGTTCATCCTCATCGTCTCAGCGCTCCTCAATTTCCCGACCCCCATCGGCGTCCGCCTGACCCTCTCTTCCCTAGCGTCGCCCAACTTTGCGACGTCGTACCAGCTCGGTTCAATCGGCGTCGTCGATGGTTCCATATCCTACCTATACTCTTCAGTCCCCCTCGACGTCCACCTCACGCCGCAATCCGACCGCACCCCGCTAGCAACCCTCTTCCAGTCCTACCGACCCCTCCCCGCTCTCCCTCGTCGCGGCGAAGACCAGCTCACGCCCTACCCGCTGCATAGTCCCGCCGCCGCCTCACTTCTCTACGGCCGTCTCTACCTGCCGCAATCCCTCCTCGAAGCCCTCGTGATACGGCGCGTCACCCCCGCTCTCCAGCTCCAGCTCAGCGCCGTCTCGGGCCACTTCCTCCGGGACGGCGGCACCCTCCTGGGATTAGCCCAGTACGATGTGGGGCGGTACTCGCTCGAAGGGCTCGCTTCTTCCGACGGCGGCCTGCTCGGTCTGCGCGGGCTCTATAATTTCGGGAACGAAGTCGACGACGCCGGCGTGGTCCCGTCGTCGCCGCCTGCCCCTCCTTTACCGGTCGTGACGGGCAACGGCGGCGCCGACGAAGCCAGGGAGCGCATATACGGCCGCTTCAGTGCTGGCGGGGAGATCTACTACGGAACGCTGAACAAGTCCGGCGGCGTGAGCTTGGGCGCGCGCTTCGCCACGCTGCCCGCCCACCGCGGCACGCCGCTCACGGCCACCTTGACGCTGAACCCGCTCATGGGCAACGTCTGCGCCACGTACGCACTCATGGCAGGCCGAAACTGCAGCCTGGCGACCAAGTTTGACTTCAACGTGTTCAGCTACGAGAGTGATTGGGCTGTGGGCATGGAGCTGTGGAGGAAGCGCCCACCGATACCCACTGCACCAGTCGCCTCGGTGGAGAAGCTCGTCAGGGAAAGGAGTTTCCAGGCGAAGCTGGAGTGGAGGTTGGATGATCCGGAGGAGGTGGAGAAGGCAGTAACGTCGCAGAAATCCGAAGGCGCGGGGACGTCGGACGACGAGTATACCGGCGTGCTCAAGGCGCGGTTGGACCAAAATCTGAGGATCGGGCTGATGTGGGAAGGAAGAGCCAAATCGCTGCTATTCAGCTTGGGCAGCGGTATTGACCTTAGGCATTCGGAGTCCCCATTCCGAACGCTCGGTTTAGAAGTTCAGTTCTCCTCATGATGCAAAGAAGAGCGGTGGTATTAGGACTGTATATATATATATATATATATATGGCATTGTCATGATATCTGCATCGGGGAGCGAGAAGCGGCAGAGCATGATACAACATCAAAACTAGAAGGTGCGAGAGATAAGGAACTTCAGTAAATAACATCTGTCAGTTCGGATATTCCATATCAATACCAGCTCATCATGCTGGTCGGGAGAACCTCTTGACGCGTAAAGCGAGCTACATAGATATATAGTGGGTGGTTGAAGGGTCTTCCCTCCACACATCCCGCCAAACAGGGGATGTTTTCCCTGTGGCTGAGCTAATGTCACTGGTCTCTGGCTTACGTAGGTGACTGGTTGCCTACCTTACTTTGGTCATCATTCAGGGGCTCTCTTCCGCACAGCCTTGGGATCTCCATAAGGTACCTTAGGTAAGGTAGGTAAGGTAAAGGTAGACGTCTGTCAGCCGAGCGGGGGCTAACGTCCGGCTACTTTAGCTTCCGGCCAGGAATCGTCCATGGCCTTTCTATTTGTTTCTCCTTGTTAGATGACATGTCCCTTATTCCTTTTATAGTCACTTCGAGAAGACTGATGATGCTTTCCTCAGGGTCTGGGCCTTCTCTCCTGAGAAGGAGAATGAGCACTAACCGATATCCGAGTGAAGACGCCATGGTTTCATGCCATATTTTGTAGCTTTACACGTAGCTCTGCGCAGTCTTTTCTTGGTATCTATGTACTTCCTCTGTACCTACGTGGATGGACACGAGGTTAATGCGGCTTAAGGTACTTAAAGACGCCGGGAACCTTGATGGCCTTGCAAAGACCGGTGCCGAGTTTTTCTCGGTAACTCCTTCCCCGAACATACATAGTGCCTGGTAGTATGACGGGTAGCTACCGATCCGATCCGGACGGGTGATTGAGAAGGCGGCAGGATCTCCGGCCCATGTAAATCGGCAAACCCCCTTTACCCGTCCGGAGTCTCATGACCTAAATGTTCCACATAGCCCGGATGTCAGACTTTGCTTTTTACTCTGGACCTCGTTCGCTATGCGCTGCAAAATCAAAAGTGAACCTCCCCTCCCCTTCTTCCTCACATTTAATCTCCAGCAAGGGGCAGTTGCAACGAGCGACCAGCGCTACTTCTACCTCCGTAAGGTAGAGAGACCCCTCGAGCCACGTATCCCCAAGCGCCACCGAACCAAGTCGTGGTCAGGAGGAAACTAGGACCATAATCGCATCTCAAAGTCGTCCCCGAGAACGCCGCCGACGGATATGGTAGGAGAATACCAACCTCTGTTTCGGCCACATTCTTTCACTCTGCCTACATGTACTGAGTATGGCTACAACCCTCATTCGATGTATTAACCCGGAGATAAGGTAGACAAGATGCAGCTGCACAGCAGAAGCAACTTAGGGGAAGTGCCTCCCGACTCTCACCAGCAACACGTTTTCGAATCAAAGCGGTATCCCAACCCCATCACCGTGGATCATGACGATGTTGACTCGAACTGCAACGCCGCGCCGGCCGACCGGACCGACATGCACCTCCGCATCGCTTCAATTTTCATCATCTTAGTCTCCTCACTCATCGGGGCTTTGCTTCCAATTCTACTAAGAAAATTCGCGAAGGGCGGCTTCGCCAAGGCGATGCTCTTTGGGTCGAAGTTCGTGGGGAGCGGCGTGATCATTAGCACGGCCTGGATGCATCTCATGGCACCGGCCGCGGCGGAGCTGGGCCACGAATGTGCGCGTCGGAGATTGGGGAGGTTTGACTGGGCTTTCTTCATCGCCTTGATGACCGTCATGAGCATGTTTCTCGCTGAGATTCTTGTCACGCATTTCGGCCACCGCGGCTCCAATAACGCCAGCAGCGCGTCGCGGGTGTTCCTGTTACCCGAGGAAGCCTATTCGCATTTGGAGCAGCAGCATGTGAGAGGTAACGGGCGGGACAGGACCAACAATGCCGACAATCCGTCGTCTCAGCATTGTCAGGACGATGGAGGATCCTCCCCGGCCGAATCCGAGCGTACGATCGTCGCCACACAAGGCGACCCGCACAAGAAATCTGCAGAAGACCACCCCGGCCTTGTCAGTCAACTTACAGCTGTGTCGATCCTCGAATTCGGCATCGTCTTCCACAGCGTCTTGATCGGTCTCGTCCTCGCCACGACTTCCAACTTGACCGTCCTGCTGATCGCGATGGTATTCCACCAGCTTCTCGAAGGTCTCGGCCTCGGTGCTCGCCTGGCCGACGCTCCCTGGCCCAGAAACCGCTGGTGGCTTCCCTACATGTGCGCCTGCCTCTTCGCCGTCTCCACACCCATCGGTACAGTCGTCGGCTTGGTTGCCCAGCCCAGGAGCGCGGCAGACCAGCTCCTTATCACTGGTATTTTCGACGCGATTAGCGCAGGCATCTTGATGTACACCGGTCTTGTGGAGTTGCTGGCACATGAGTTCTTGTTGAATCCGGAGATGAGAAGCAGCCCGTTGAGAGCCCAGCTTAGTGCCTTTGCGTGCATCTTGGCTGGGACGGGAGGCATGGCTTTGTTGGCGAACTGGGCATGAAGTGTGGTTTGCTTTCCAGGAGTAGAGAACCATAAGGGAGAAATGCGCGCATAGCCTGCCTAGCCTCCATATCCATGGCCCTTCGCTGTCGGAGAGACCTTAAGAAGCATACAGGAAACCACATGCATCTTTAACAATACCATAGTGTCCTCATTAAATAAAGTGAATTCTGTAAATGCATAACATTTCTCTTTGACTATGGACTTGAACAGTAACATGCTGAGTGCAACCGAGTCTCTGACAGTGTCTTTGGAGATTATGAACACAGTTATTGTCGGAGATTCATATCACGTGACTTAGCCCTTGTTCACAGGGGCAAGCCCTAGACCGCCAAGACTTGCAACTCCCAGTGCACCACCACATGCCAAATTCTTTTTGCGGGTCGACTGGTTCAACCTCGATTTTCGATCTTCACATCGCAGACAACACACCAACCCACCAGTACCCTCAATCCCCCGACAACACCGAAAAAATGGCTGGCGGCGTTACCGTTCGCGATGTCGATGTAGGTTGATTACAATTCCCGCAAGGTCCCCAACAGAAGCCAGCGAAAAAAGAAAGGCAAAAGGAGGAAAAATGGACAACAACCTACTCGAGACCGTTCCTCCGAAGTTGGCCGCCTCGACCGACCTACAAATTGCGATTTCGACAACATACGGGATATGAAGACACCATGCTTCTCGAAGTCTCGCAGCTCGCAACGGCGGCACGCGGCCAACGAGGAGTGAATACAATGGGGCTACAATGAGGAAGGGAGCAGGCGCGAGGGGATCGAAAGATCTCCGACGACGGAATCATTGCTAATTGGTGTTTCTTCTTCCCGAACAGGCGCAGAAGTTCATCACTTCCTACGCGGCTTTCCTGAAGCGCCAGGGCAAGCTGCCCATTCCTGGTATGCCTCCACGGATTTTTCTTTGTCTTTCATTTTTCATTTTTTTTGTCCCCTCCCCCCTCATCGGGTGCAACCCTCCAGGCTAACTCTCGACTAGGCTGGGTCGATATCGTCAAGACCGGCCACGGCAAGGAACTCCCCCCTCAGGACATTGACTGGTTCTACGTCCGCGCCGCCTCCGTCGCTCGCCAGGTCTACCTCCGCAAGTCGGTCGGTGTCGGCCGTCTCCGCAAGGTCCACGGCTCCGCCAAGAACCGCGGTGTGCGCCCCTCGCACCACGCTGACGCCTCTGGCAGCGTCGACCGCAAGGTTCTCCAGGCTCTTGAGAAGATTGGTGTCGTTGAGCAGAACGAGGAGAAGGGCGGTCGCCGCATCACCGAGTCTGGGCAGCGTGACTTGGACCGTGAGTTTTTCCTCCTCCCCCTTGTAACTCGAATTTTCTTCCCTTTTTCCGTCAAGAGACTTTCCATCCCGAAGAGAGCTGGTCGCTAATCCTGCATCTAGGTATTGCCCAGACCACTGCTGAGGCTGAGGAGGAGGAGGAGTCTGAGGAGGACGATGAGTAGATATCCCCTACCGCACCAACGATTATGCGGTTTTGACGTTCGGCTCGGTTAGGTTCATGGCAACGGCGGGCATTGGGTTAGGCGTCTGAAAAGGAATCATGATTATTGACCATTTTTGAACCCCAATACAACGTCCCGTAGTCGTTGGTCTTCCCCCAACAACTTCAAGACCCTAATGGGGTTTCTAGCCTCTGCCGTGCTCCGTACCACATCTTCTCTTTCCTGTTATTTCCCGTCAGCTGACCCTCCCCTCCGAAGCAACTGCCCCCTTTTCCTCGATACGGTGAACCTGTGATGCCTTTTGGAATCAAGGCCTTGCCTTGAGACCACCCTCTTTCCCCCGCCGGCTCTATGTGCCTACTTCACCAGTTGCGACTGTTCCTACTACGTCCTTCCTCTGTTGCAGTTCCCTACTTAGATTATGTTCGCCGTTTGGGTTTACCAACAACCTTTTTCTTCCATCCTCATTCACTTCTTTCCGGCACTTCGACAGCGGTGGCGGTTACGTCGGTCATCAAAGCTCCCTTCGGCGGTCTCTGATTCTCGACTCCTAACGGTTGCCTGGCCTCTCTGAATCTTCCCCCATCCGTTCAAGGCCGGTAAGGCTGCTCTACTGTGTTCTCTGCCTTCACACCTCAACTTACCAAGAAATATTATGTAGCACGTAGGGCTTCGTCCTAACAGCATGACCTCACACGAAAGGTCACCTTCCATGGTGACAGGCAACGAGGACACGAGTTACTTTTTCAGTTCCGACCCGCCGCTGGAGCCTACGGTCGCTGGCGCCGGCCTTCCGGACAGCAACGATCGAGGAGTCGCAGGCATCGACGAAAACAACCAAAACGGCCTCGTGTTTTGTAAAGGCCGAAATGAGAACGGATGCCCTATCATTACGGTGTACAAACCCGTGATGACAACTGCATTCACCATCTCGGTACCAAACAATAGCCTAGGGGTTGCGAGTGACGTCTTGACGGCGTTCACTCAGAAGGCCGTTATAGGCGCCTTGATGTATAGGCAAACGATCATCATGCTTACGACTAGTACGAGCATGATTAGCGCCCCGCGGGATACCACGAACAAGACGCCTCGAATTCTGTGGAAGACAATCTGGCGGGACCGCGTCAAAAGACTCGCGCCTATGTTGAAGCTCCCGCTCGGCTCTATATACGATGGGGCTGGAAAAGCAGGATCCGGCCGTGAAACGGCCAAACAAGGCAACTACCACTCCTCGCACGTGGAGAAGAAGCTGGCGGTTTTCGCCCTGTATACCATGCTTAAGGCGTATGGTATCCGTACCGGGCGGTACGCGACTGCCGGTCAGATAAGACAGCTCCGAGAGGCTATACAACACGAACAACCGGGTGAACACGCCCAATTCGACATCCCCATCTCGAGGAAATACTGCTCTTTATGCCCCGTATTTGTCCAGCGGCTGGGTAACGTGAGCGGGATCAAGTTCAGGTTCAAGATCCAGCACCTTGTACAACGGCTACCTGTGCCTTCTTCCACGACGCGTACGGATATTCAGGTTCTTGGGACCGCGTCGGAAGTCGTCAATAACCCTGTTGAGTATCATGGCGAGACTTTCACCGATGCCGAGCTCACGGAGAATAATGGGTTAGTGGTGGAGACACGATGTGAAAGAGAAGACGATGCGCCGACTCCTCCCCCTCCAACATCTGAGGTGGTAGAGCAATTCTCCGAGGGGTTAAAGTCCTTCTCGTTCCAGCGCACCCGGCGAATGATAAAGCGCGCCCGCGAGCCGCTCTTCAAGCGGAAGCCACTACCTCCCACGGCGGAGATTTTTACGCCTAGTACATCACCGCAGTCGAGAGCACAGAGAAGCGACTAGTGCCATCCGACAAGCCAGAGAGAAGAACTACGTATTCGAGAAGAATTGCTCTGGTCTGTACACCATTTGCGGTCCATGATAGGGCGACGTGCTAAGGAATACCACAGGTACGGGAGCTCACACATTGGGAGCTTGGGTTTGCGAAGGCCAACGGATGTCTTGAGGGGTCAAGAAAAGGAGGGCGCCGTTTCGTGTTCGGTGTGATCGGGGGTGGGGGGCACCTGCACGTGGTGAAAAGTGTATGTAAGCTTCCAAGGTAAAACTGTATCGGCTCAGCACAGCCAAGACCGCCCTTTTGTCTGCGCTGGAGAGTCAGTGGAGTCTGATGGTGGCTTGGGTACAACAAAGGAACAGTATTTTGCTACCTAGGGAGAACAACTGTGTATAAGGTAATAAGTACCATGGCCAAATCCTACTTTGGATTAGCCCAACAACAGATTCCTACAATTGACACGATTCCTTACATAATCCTGCTAGGTTGGTCTTGTGTTTTCACAGTGTACAGTTGTACACGTACACGTAAGACGGACGACTCCTGAGGAGGGGCTTGATGTGCCTGTGGCTTGATTTTTGCCTTAGTGGCTGCTAAATTAACCGAGAGCACAACGGTTCGTGTCGCAAGCCACATTCAACAAGGATTCAACGCTTAGGGAGGTACCTTCTACTTTGTATAGGTAGGTAGTAGGTAGCTAATTAAGGCATCGGCACAATTTCCCGTCGTCTGCCTTATTAGTGCTTACTCCCAAACAAACTTGTACTCCTTTTTCCTCTGAAGGATGTCTCAATTGTCGGCTGTTGCCTTGCAATTTCTGCACATTGCATTTTCCTGACTGCCTGCTTCGAAGAAGGCTAATCGATATGCTGCTTCTTTTCGCCTTGTCCACTCACGTTCGACGACACTGCCCTGCGTTTGGCCCAAGGAGTTGGAGTTGCCTCCTGATGGCTTGGTCTGGCATGGCCGCGTTGCCAAGACAGCACATGAGGCACTTCCGTGCTTGGTATTCGGGGAGGGGGGGCGGGTTTGCCGCCCTCCAGGCAGCCAGGGAGCCAGTTATCTGCAGGAGCCAATTTACGCCAAGAAGCAATGCCAAGCATAACCAGAGTGTTCTGTTTTGCTTAGTTCGATTCTTGTTAGCCTTTTCCGGGATCCCGGGGGTCTTGTTCTCTCTCGTCTGTTTCGAAGACGACGAAGGAAAAGAAAAAAAAAAAGAAAAAACCCCGGATGCAGTTCGCTAATCTGGTACGACATCTTCGCTTGACGATCAACGGGTCGCCGCAGGAAGCCTTTCGAATAACGAGATGGACCTGGATTAGGTCACTGAGTCTTTGACTTGACAGATGTTGTGCCCATCCTGACGCTATTCGTACTACCTACAGTTGTACAACGCACTTCGTCCATCACATCCCCTTTCCGGAGGAACGCCCCCCCCCCCAATATGGGTCCAGCAACCGTCTCGTCCTGCCCTGGTGGCTAAATCGGGCAGCGCAACTTTTAGCCTTACCGGTCCCATGCCATGCCCCCAGAGCCGAGGCTCCGGCAAGCACGAATAGGGGCCCTTTCTGGGCTCTTGGTCGGGGGTCGGTTAGCTGCAGGCAATGCCATACCAACGACAGGGGGGTCACATCCAGGGGTCTAAGCCCCACGATCATCACAGACATCCAACGAGACGAAGATGTGACAAGCAGTTCCCTGCTTCTCCTATAATATGATTCCCCAGGGTTTCCGCTCCTTCGATTGGCAGAGAAATTTGGGAGTCATGAGAAGACGAATACAAAAGATCTTCCACGCCACGCCTTCTGCACCCGTGTCGTGACCATTCTTTCTCGGTTTGCCCCTGATTTTGTGTTTCGTCCCATCATTGATTTCCCGGCATCTTTGTCGGTTACTTAAGTATTTGTTTTCTTTTCTTCTACCTATTTCTTTAGTTTTTGTTTGCTTTCCGTGATCTTCACGCCCTCCTTCGCTTATTCCGTCGCTCCTTCAGACCAGCGCAGTTCGCCCCATATCCTGGGCCGTCTGCTTCTTATCGAAATACTCATGGTTAGACTCAACGCTCTAGCTGCGGGTGTGATACCCTTCAGCCTAGCCGCCGCCGCCACCGTACCAGCCAGACGGCAATCCTCTTCCAATGCTTGCGCGCAACTCGCGGCCGCGTATGAGGAGGCCGGCAGCTCTACTGGTGAGTGTTTGGAGGTCGCTACAACTTGAAAGAAGGGGGGAGGGGAGGGGACGAAGTACGACAGGCTAACATGTTATGACTTCCTGCTCGCTCCCAGGCACCTTTCCCATTGTGAAGCCGTCGGTGGCGTACGAATGCTTAAACTCGGTCCCCCTGGACGTCGAGCGCGACCAACAGCTCATCGAGTATTTTATCCCATGGCTCGAGTTTCAAAGCACGATCGGCATCCTGGCCGACCCTCCTCCAGGATACATGTTCCCCGGTGTCGACGTCTTGGGTGGGCTGCGTAACATGTCGTCGATGCTCGAGAACGGCAACTACGACAACCAGTACGAGTTCATTACCGACCTATACCGTCTCATCAATGTTAAACCTCGCGAGGGCCACCTCGGCTACACGCCCGCTCTTACCGTCCTGGCGGAATTCTCCACCCCGGCCCGGTTCATCTCCATTTCCGAGGACGGCACCAGCCTCCCTGAGGTCTACCTACTATGTACGTTGCTTTCTCTTTGAGAATGTCTACCCCGGAGATAGCAGCTAATCCTGTTTCCTTCACCCAGCCGACTACCTGGAGAGCGAGCGGAGAGGATACACGCCGTCCAGTGTCGAGTCATTTGACGGCACGCCTATCACGGACTGGCTCCAGCAGCGGGCCGTGGATAACGACAGGTGCCAGGACCCCGACGCGTCGTATAACTCGCAGGTCTGGAGCGCCGCTCTGGACAACATCGGCGTCACTCTCTCCTCCAACGTTTTCTTCCACGGGGTCCTGCCAGACGAGAGCGTCATCGCATTCACCAACGGGACCGATATCACCGTCGAAAATCAGGCCTTCCTCATCGGCGACTTCACCGGCATCGAATCGGGCCGAGACGTGCACAACGTGTTCGAGGTGCCCGACTTCGATTCCCGCTCCGAAATGGGATATGCCGACCCCAGGCCCCGCCGAATTCTCGACCTCGAAGGCTACCCGGAGCCCTTCATTCGCCACAGCCAGGACTACCTGACCGGTTACGCATTCGAGCGTAGCAACCTCGACGACACGGCCGTCCTCGCCGTAAAAAGCTTCTTGTCGCCGATGTACGAACAGACGACCGAGGAGGACATGATCGAGTTCGAGGAGGTCTGCATACGGTTCACCCGGGCCGCCAAGAGGCGCGGCGCGAACCGTCTCGTCATCGATTTCCAGGGCAACGGCGGCGGCGCTCTCGGCAACCTGCTGTCCATGTACTTGTCCATCTTCCCGAACGCGACCGTCAACCTTCCCCTGCGGGCCCGGGCCAACCCGGTGCTCGAATGGATGGGCAGGACGGCGGAGGAGCTTGGCGAGGACATGATCTCGACCTTTGACATCAACTACGCCGTGGATGAGGATCTCGGATCCTTCCGCAACTGGGACGATTTTTACGAGCTGGAGACCATCCTGGGCGACCAGTTTACCGACGTGTACCAGCCGAACATCCTGGCCGTGCTCGAGCGCGTCTTCCGGACAGATGACTTGATCGACTGGTTCACGCCGGAGGACACGGTCATCGTCACCGACGGGTTCTGCGCGTCGGCGTGCGCGCTGGCCGTGGGCCTGATGTCGCGCCTGCTCGGCGTGCAGGTGATCGCCATGGGCGGCCGCCCCATCGAGGCGCCCATGCAGGCCATCGGCGGCACCAAGGGCGGCCCGGTCATCGACATAACCGAGCCGGTGAACGTGTTCAACACGCTGAGCAGGAGGAGGGACCCGCCCGCGGACCTGGACGTCACCCCGTTCGAGATGGTGTACCCTCCCCTGGCCGGGCCGGGCGTCATCCCGGGCGTGATCAACTCGGCCAACGTGCACCTGCCCGAGGACGACGCCGGCACGCCGCTGCAGTTCGTGTACGAGGCGGCCAACTGCAAGCTGTTCTACACGTGGGAGACGCTCACCAACATGACGGCGCTCTGGGCGGCCGCGGCGGACGTCAAGTGGCACGGCGCGCCCTGCGTGAGGGGGTCGACCACCAACGATGACAATACCATGGGCGACAGCGTCCTCCCGTTCTCCCAGGACGTGGTCTCCCAGTTTACTTGGACGCCAGGTCCCGGTGACGTCTCGGATAGGCCGCCCACCGGTTCACCCGACGGGAGCGGTGGCAGTGGGAATGGCAATGGCAATGGGAACGGGAACGGGAACGGGAACGGAAATGGAGACGATGACAGTGCTGCTTCTAGGGTAGGCGGAGTCGTGTTCGCTGTTGTGATGAGCGTGTTTACGGCTGTTTTCTTGGTATAGTCGTATAGAACGACGCGACTTGGCGTCCTTTTCCTAGTTGTCATAATCTCGTGTCCTATTTACATAATCTTTGATTGATTAATGACATTCCCATGGAGACGGAGCAGCGCACCCCTCGATTTTGTACGAAGACCTGATGACCAATGTAAGTAATAAAGGTACCTAATAAGGTAATGTCTCCCTTGGGTAGTATGAGTTCTGCAATGCTGATAAGGTCCCCAAGGCTCGGCTGATTGCTTGACTGAAATGCTTATCTGGAAGAAAACAATGTGATTGGCTGCATCAACTCAACATTTGCGGGGCCTGACTACGGGGTCGAAGTACAGATACCCAGGGTTACTGTAATGCGAGGTACTCTGTACTAGACATCAGTAGGATGAATGACTGCATAAATGCTCTAGCTAATGTACCAGATACGAACAAATTTAAGACTTATTTTTAGACCCATTATTCGAAGAACTCTGTAAGCTTCTCCGTTAGGTACCTTACTAATTACTTAGGCCCCGTTCGACAATCTCAACTATTAGTTAGAAAACTCCCTTATTTTTATATAGGGTATAAACACAGCTAAGACCCTATTTTAAAGCCGGCCCTTAGCGTTAATGTATCTTTTTATGTAAAAATGCAGATATCCCCTCGGGCAAATATCGAACCGATCTGTAGTGCGGGGTTATATTATTTAGATATAAAACCATCGTCTTTTAGCTATTATTAAATATCGTAGGAACTTCTATATTTATCGATAGCCGGCCTAGGTTCTATTAACGTGGAGGATATTATAGAGAGATCTATAGATAATATACCTAATCCGAAATCCGGGGATATCGCGACTTAACTAGCACAGGATATCGACTAGGAGCTAACGTAAGATATCTAGCCGCCGCTTTCTATATAAGGGAGGGATACTATTAGATTAAACGCCTCTAATAATAACGATACACCCGAAAAGGATAGGTATAGTTAAAAAACCACCTTACTAGAGCGCCCTATGTTTAAGGCTAGCACTCCTTTATCTAATAAATAATCCTTACGTATAGTCTAGACCGATAATATTAAACGTGATCTCTTTAAACGGATACTTACTGCTTATTGTGATAATACTCTTTTCACGACTAGTAATAAGAGGTTAGCTAAGTAGTCGGTACTAGGTATAATCCTGCCTAAAATATAAAAGATATTCCCCTTAGCTCTCCTATTAGTTAGCGCGATAATATTAAAGCTTAATAATAAGGAAAAGGAGCTACGGGCGGCGCTAACACTTATTAATAAGTCCGGCGTTAATAACTACGACGATAAGAGCGGTATAATCGAAGCGAGTAATAAATAGTAGGATATCTTTAAAGCTAAATACGGCGATATTAGTAAGCGTATCCGTAGGCACGGTATACGATAGGTAAAGAGCCTCTTAATCTATATTTAGCCTGATACTATCACGATAGGTCAGAATATTATCGACGTTTACGAGCTAGATAAACATAAGCGTTAGTAATTAGTATCCACGCCTTTATAGTCGTAATCGTTAGCTCGTAAACGTAGTAAAAAGTAATAATAGGATCCTAATAATAGCAGCAGAGAAGGCTTACCTATCTCTTATAACGATCTTCTTAATATTACTCTATAGCGTTACCGTAAAAAGGAGCCGAGGGAGGTAGCTAATAACTCTATTTTAACTAGCCTAGTCGCGATATCTATACGCTAAAACGCGCCGTACTAGGAGAAGGCTATCCTTAATTACTATACGTAGTTTAAGGAGGAGTTAGGAGGCGATAATAGTCTTATTAACGTTAGCGAGTATTTCGCCGCACGTCCAAACCTAGCGGCGATATTTAACTTATTACCGACGAAAGGATTAAAAAAGAGGTTTTTATAGAAGCATAGATTTATTAAAGAGGTTATTAGAAGTGATAGTACTAGTAGTAATAGTACTAGTAGTAGAAGGCGAGGTAGGCGTAGCGTTATAGATCTGAAGTCGGATTAGTCTTATTTTCTAGCTATTTAATTAGTCGAAACTAGCTACCGCCTACCTATATAGGTATAGTACGGGGTAAAGCTTTATCTTATCTGCTGTTTTAATGGTTATATATAGTAGTAGTTAATATATCGTTAATATATTAATCCTTTAACCCTTTTCTTTTTAATAATAACCTCTTTATTTTTTATATAACTATAATAACTACTACTATTACTTAATTATCTTCGATATACAGTATCGTATCTATAGGCTTGTTCTATCCCTAATTATATAATTAGCCCGCGCTGCGGCTAACGCTAATAGTCTTTTTTCCTCCTCCTTAGTAAATCTAGTAGCTAATAAGTAATTACTATTATGTATAGCCCTAACGAAGTTCTAGATACTAGTCACGGCGTACACGATTTCGATCTGCTTTTCGAGGCTATATTTAGGTGCCTTCCCGTTAAGGATTCGAAAGGACCTCTCTAATACACCGAAAACGCGTTTAATAACGCTACGGTACCCGGCATAGAGGCGGTTAAACCTCTCCTTAAGGGATAGCCGCCTTTATTCTATTTTAGAGAAGTCTTAGAGGTAGTACCTCTCCTTATCGAATAGGGTTATTTATTATTACTATTATTATTATTATTATTATTATTATTATTATTATTATTATTATTATTATTATTATTATTATTATTATTATTATTATTATTATTATTATTATTA